ATCGAATTATCGAGCTGGATAAACATATTGATTTTCTGAATAAGAAATGCATGAATATGATTATATTGAAACTTGATTAGTCTCCAAGGGCATTCTCGATTGCCAAAAATACACCTTTTCACAATAAACTACGACAGTTTTTTCTTCTTTTTTTCGCCAGAATCGATTCAATTGATTGATTATCGTGTTTGAAAATTATCTAACATTGAAAAGATATTTCAAAAAAAATAAGACCACCTTGTGTTTGTTTCCACTACTGTGTCGATGTTTCAATTGATTTTCAAATGGTTAATTATTTTTTCCTAATGATTTATCTTTAAACTATAAAACATTGAGGAAAAGACATACCAACAACCTCAAAAATATCAGAATATTTATTAGCCTTTTAACTATCAAGAGAGAGAGACAGAAAAAAATTTCCATTTTCATATTGATCACGATTTTTTTTATCAAAGAATTACTGTTTACATTTCTTATCCGATTGTTGTTATATAACCTCACAAAGCCAAATCAGTCATTGAATCTTTCAATAACAATAGACAAGAACAATTAATAATCTCTCTTTTTTTCTATCCCTTCTCTCTGTGTGTGTGTGTGTTGTATGTGACTAGAATCGGAAATATTTTTTTTCAGGTTGATTTCTGTATTCAGTGGGTATATTGATTGACTTTTGACTTTTTTTTCTCAGTCTCTCTTTCATTCTTTAAGTTTGTTTACATAAACTTTTGTTGTTGTTGTTTTTTTTGACTTCATTCAAATCTAAATAGCAAGATGGCAAGAATTGAAATGAGTGAGAGTTGATGCGGTAACTATACCAACAATCTTTGTCTGTCTATTACCTGTCTATGTATTATCTTTTACATTCGATTATCGTTTACTTAAAAAAAAATCATCATTGTCATTGTGCATATTCAATGATGATGATGATGAGGTTAATGAAATTTGACTTTTGACCTTTTTCAATGCATCATTAATTTATGGATAAAATGAAGGTAAATGTTCATTGTAGCCATTTTGTTGTTGTTTTTTTCGAATTAGCATAACGACTTGTTCAAAGTCAAGAATAGAATGATGATAATGATGATGATGACCATTCAAATTGAATTCTAAAATCTATTAATCGCAAAAACAAATGCTAAGAAAAACAGTTCTTTTAATATTTACATAGAATGGAAAGAAATTTTCAACTTTTTTTCTGTTGAATTCTTGATTCGACTCATTCGTTTGTTTTGTATTGGTCACGTTTTTTTTCTCATTCACTATGGGTGTCTTTGGAGATATATTTCACATTTTATTTGTTTGTTATTTTTCGTCCATACGAAGCAATCAAAACAAATCACACCATAGATGTTGGCCAGAAATTCAATCGAACCGATCCAATATCATTGATTTATTTGTTTTTATTGACTTTTTTAAGCTCAGGAAAAAAATAAAAATTAAATTTTCAATGCAAACAAATGAAACATAAACCCAACAACAGTATTTGAGAAAGGCTGGTGTAAAAAAAATATCAATTTAGTCGCGACAAGCTTAGAATTTCGATCATTATAATTATGAATTCGATTCTTTTGGATGAAATTCGAAATAGACAACAAACTAAAGAATAGAAAAAAATTCCATCTTAAATGATGGTGACCTGGCGGTTTTTTTGTTGTTGATTTTTTTCAATCATTTATTATGGCAGTTTTATGACATTTTTTGTTGTTGTTGTTATATTCTGTTTTGTTTTGTCTGATTAGTTGTATTGTGTGTCAATCATGGCTACTGTTTTCAACCATACAATCATAATAAGTTTTTTTTGTCCACAATTAGTCAATTCAAATGTCACTTTCACCTTTAAAATTAAATGGTATTTGATACATGCCGAAAATATTCACACACAAACACAAAACACATACAAATTGTTGTATGTCATACTTACATCAAAGTCTGGACATTGATCGAATGATATATGCCGAAAATTTGACACTTTTTTTACATGAATGATTGGTTACCTGATTGTTTGATGTCTTTTTTTCGTGTGTATCGATTGCACAAGAGAAAAAATTGATTGTATTACCATCAATAATAGTGAATCTTTACTACATAAATATTGTAATCAAATAATAATGAGAAAAAAATGTTTTTTTTTCTTATCATTCCTTTGTTTTCGTACGATTCAAATGGTGAAAAAACCGGATAAAGTTAATGTATGTCTTTATTTCAGTTACTTATTTGAATATTAATAAAAATCGAATATAAAGACATCTGTTAGTTAGACAAAGTTAGTTTGTTTGATGATGCGTTTTGCAACGCTACAAAACTTTCAAATCTTTGAGATCTTTGAGAGTTTCTTTCACTCACTTACTCTCTCCCATGAATCTTAAAATGTTTGCACAAACAAACACACACACACACACATAATTAATATATAAATCCATAATTTCAAATAAGCAATACTGTCTGGCTGAATAAGAAGATAATTTATTGCTTTTTCTTTCTTGATTATTTCGTCTTATTCATGCATTCACGCATATTGGGAATTATAGATATTATTTGTCTCCGTAAATCTCTTCATTTCTCTCTCGTGCTTTGAACATAAACGAGAAAAAAGTTTTTTTTTCGCATTTTTTTTGTTCGGGTGAGGGGCTGAAGAGAATTGGCACCTGAATAATGAATTTTTCTTCATCTTCATCTTCACATTATGATATTATATGAAAAAAATAAAACTTAAAAAATTGTTCAAAGAAAAAAAACCATTTTCAATTTGTTTGATGTCTTCATCATCATCACTTGATAACTAGTTTCATAGGTCATAGATTCTTCATTGATGATTGATTTGTCGGATTTTTTTTAATTTTTTTGGTTTTACTTTGACCCCTAAAGCTTCTTGTGATGGTAGGTAATCAATAAAATCGAATCGAAATAAAATTAGAACTAATGATGATAACAAAAAAAAATGGCCCACCCGAATCTAAAAATTTGCTGTTTTTCTATGGCAATCGAATATTTTTCCAAGAAAAAAAAATATGAAACGATGGACATTTTGTGGCCAAAAAAATTGATGGTGATCTATTCGACTATTTCTCCCATATTGGTTTTAGTTTTTTGCTTCAATGTTTTTTCCCCATTTCTATGCAAACAAACAAAGAAAAACAAAGAAAACTTTGGATGAAAAGCAAATACAAGAAAAAAAACAAAATCTGGCCATTAAGCTCTAATAAACAAGTAAAAAATTTCGCGAACTTGTTTACCTGATGTTATAAACTTGTTTTTTTTATCTTTCATTAACGAATGTGTTCATATCTACTTTTGGTTGCATTGCTGCTGTGTTTCAATTTTTTCCTAGGTTCAAAAATGATTACTGTTTTCAGTTGCTTTTTTCATTCTTCATTGAGAAGAGATTTGCAATATTAAATCAAACAAACATGATGTCATTAGAATATGCAATTTGGTTGGCCCCTTGGCCCGAGAAAAAAAAACATTTGTTTTGACAGGATTTATCTATGGAATAAAATCTGGTCATGGCTCTACTTATCAATCTGTCTATCTAAAATTGTTTTTTTGATGATTAAAATCTATTCGCTTAGGTCATCATTGAATAAATAATTTCTGTGGTATAAGTTAATGTCGTGTCGACATGATGTCAACACTACCATAATTTCCATACGAAGCGTTTTACATTCATGAATGTACATCTTTATCTTAATGATCATGGCCATTAATTTTAGCCATATGGCCACAATTCGTATGTTTATCGTATCATCTTTTTTCTTTTTCTTTTTTGATTGGTGGTCCATTATAATCGATTCTATTAGTAAACCGCCATCCGACGGTAGCTACCATGAACTGAATAATCATTAGAATCATCAATTGACTATAATTTATTCAAAAGACCCGAGAACCTTGTGTTCAAGAACCGACCATTGACCTTTTTTACTAATTTTGAAAAAACCAAAGAAATTCTTTCTTTTTTTCTTGAGTATCTTGCTGTGTATTTAATGTTTTTTTTTCTGTTGTTTTTACTGTATAGGCATGACATCTTTGTGTGGGAACATAAATCTAAATTAAATCTAACCAAACACAACGTACATGAAATAGCCGGTACCGGTCTTGCTACCTTTTCTACCTACATGTCTGACTGAATGGCCACAAAAGATTGATTACTTTGATTATCTAACCAAATCTGAATTAAATTGAAATCGGTCATCATTCTAGGATAACCGATTTTTTTACTACTACCACTGTGAATTAATTGATTTCTTTTTCATTTTTATTCATTTGTCATTTTGAGCTTGAACAATTTTTTATCATTGAAACACGATGACAACGATCATAATTCATTCCATATTTGTCCATACATATTTCCATCTCCATCACACTCCCCCAATTGAAAAAGCTTTTGGTTAATCATTTTTTTGGACAAAAATGAAAAATCACCAAAAAAAATTTTATCACTGACACCGGATAGCATTTCATTGTTGATTTAGCATTATTTCATTGGTCAAACATTTCACATATTCGCCTACACATTATTATTATTATTATCAAAAAACAACAACATTTTTTTCTGATCGTAGGAGTAACTATTCACTTTGGTGCTAATTGGGTTATTCATACCATTATTTTTTTCTTTTGTTTGTTTTTCATTTTTGTTTAAGAGTTGATCAAATTCCTTGAAATTGTTGTTGTTAAATGTTCAAGAGCTTTACTTATTTTTTTTGCTAACATAATTATCTAATAAAAATGTTATTCATGTTTATTTTTTTATTATTATTATTTACAGGACTTAACATATATTATCATCATAAGCACCGGAAGGAAATTGTGATCCGATTCTCAACATCAACAATATCATGTAATTGTTATTCAAAAATGTATTCCATTCAATCGATGTTTATTTATGAATGATAATAGTACTGATTTATCGTTGTTAATGTGAATGGTTTGATCAAAAACCTAAAATAATTGTGTATACATGCATGTATGTAAGTATTGAATCCATACATGCGTATAAATTAAATTCTATGAAGTTAGTTCTAAAAATATACAAAAAGCTACAACCATATTCGCCAAAATCCATTCGTTTTTATTCGGCGATTGCCGACGACTATCGATACCCAAACAACGACAAGGGCAAGTGTATCCAGTATTCAATGTTGATACTCGATCACAATCGATTAGTTTAGGCGAATCGTCATCCAGATCCGTATCATCATCATCATCAGGATCATCATTGCAATCGTCATCATCGACAAAAAATAATAATTCGATACGATTTGGATTCTGGAACCTAATCTACAACAATATTATCGTTTTACGATCAATCAACTGGATACAATTGCCCACGTTTTCCGTTTGGTTTTCATCAATTTCATCATTATTACGATTAACATCATCAACATCATTATCATCATCAATAACTGGTGCATCATTCATTCATACTAACATGAATCGTAGATCAACAATAATGATGACAACGATAACAGCCATGCATTTTTTTACATTAGCATTACTATGTTTGTTCATATTACTTGGCGCACATTATAGTGACGCCCTGTTTGATATGAGTCAATCATCGTCATCATTGGATTCGAACATTTATGGTGTTCAATTATCATCTTGTCCACTTGAATGCGATTGTCAAGGTCTGACCGTCGATTGTTCACATCGTGGATTATCATATGTGCCACAAACATTTCCATTGGAAGTACGACGATTGTAAGTATCACCCAATAACATTTTTTTTGTCGTTGTTCTGCTTGTGTCCAGGTTTTTTTCTTTTGCATTTATATTCGGCCATTTACCAAGCAATTTAGGGCGCCCATTTTATTAAATTGACATTATCCATTAATCTTTTGTCCACTTAGCGTACAACCAATAAAAAAATAAAGGAAAGAAGAAAATTAGACCAAAATAAATGATCACAATGTCCATATGTGAAAAAAGCTTTTCATCATAGGCAAATTGAATTTCCGTTCTGTCATCGACAATGTCAATTTGCTGATGTTGTTTTTGGTTGAAAAGAACAAATTTCGGATGGTGATCAATTCTCGACAATTTGTCATCAAAATTATTTGTCTTTTGTTTCTTTTAAGTAGTCAAAATTGAATGATTGCAATTTACCATTCAGATTCAAATCATTATTGATATTTGTACATTAATATAATGGAATCTATAGCTATTTTTCAATTGGTGATCCAGTTTTTATATTATTTATTTTGGCTGTTGTTGACACTAATATTTCACTTCATACTATAAATTGAAAAAAAGAAAACATAGAATTGCAGGTGTAAAACTTATTTTGTAATCATTTTTAGAATTATTGAAAAAAATAGTTGTCATTTCTTTTCTCTTCGTTTATTTTTCGTTATCGTTTATGTTTGGACATTTTTTTCAAAAAATACATATAAACACAATCAATTGTTGCTTGATATCTAAAAAAGCATGTTTTTGTTCCTTTGATTATTTGATGAACGAAAACAAGCCCAAAAAATTCTTTTTTTACGATGAAAAAAATTACAACAAAATAGGAGTGTTTTATTTGGGTGTTGTAATATATTGTTCATTGTTGATCATATGATGATGACGACCATAACCAAACGAGTGAAAATAAAATCAAATAAAAATAAAAAAATTTCAGCTCATTTTCAGTTTTTATTCTCGGGTTGTAAATGTCTATCATTTGTGTGATTAATTTATGACCGAACCAAAAAAAAAAAATCATCATCATCATCTTGAACATGGTACATTATTCTATTTTTCACTATTAATAAGACATTCATTCTTGTTCCATGCTCGTTTTTACGATCCAACCATTCAATTCAAATGAATGTATTTGTATCCCAAACTTTTAATATTATATGGTTTCATGGACAAAAAAAAATTGTTCAGCTCATCACACACATTGATATAATATTTGGAAAAAAGAGTGAAAAAACTTATCACATTTTCACTGTAATAATAATATAAAATGATTGTTTGTTTTTGGGCCATAATGGGTTCGATTACATAGCAATTTAGAGAAAAAGATATAGATAAATATCATCATCAAAACCAACCAAGTTTTTAATGTTCTTCTTCATTGGTTCTTGAGCCTATACTTGATCAACAACGATTAATAGAATAGTGATAAAATGATATCTCATTTTCATCATTTATTGTCCACATATATGAATTGAAACTTTTTTTTCACTAACCAAGATTAGATTCGCATTCATGTGTTCATTGGTCATCATTTTTAATGTGACCATTTTGTTTCTTCATTTCTTGGATTATAATAAAGATAATGAGAATATATTATCAAATAATAATTGTGGAAATGTATAGCATTATTATTCTGTAAATGATGTCATAAAAGCTCATCACTTAATCAGAATCATAAACACTTATTTTAAATGCTAATTGCTTTTCTTTTTTGTTGTTGTTGTCGGTGTTCTTAACAAGAAATGCAAAATGATTTTTTTTTTGCATCCGACAGAATCTTTCAATATTCGTGACTATTTTCGTCTCGTTTTGAAATACAGATGTTTATTCTGCAGCACAAATTTTCATGTAGGATTTTTTTCTGATGACATGGTTAAAATGATGAATTTCATATTCGTGTCTGAATGGATGAAGTGTAAAAATGCAAAAAAAAAGAAAAAAGAAAATGAAATTTCAATTTGCTATTCATTAGGAAATTCTTATTCGCTTATTGTTGTTGTTGTTCGAATTTCCATAACATCTAGGCGTTTTAATTCGACAACAACAAAAAAAGAGGAATGGTCGGATATTGTTATGTGGGTGGTATTTTTATTTTTTTAATCCATTCGATTTGCCTTAATTATCAAGACGGATTTGTTTTACACGCCTTTGTTTTTCAATTGCTTTCGCTTGCTTCATGTTTATCCTAACACATCTGCTAATGACAACAGGTTTATTATGTAGTAGCGTTATTCATGTTTATTTTTGTTTGTGGGCGTTCCAATCCAGATCAAATAAATTGATAATATTCAAGAACAAATGTTTGAAAAAATAAGATTCTATTGATACAATGAAAATTTCCACATTATTCACTAATTATAATAAATATTAATAAGTAATAATTTGCAATGTTGTTGACGACCGAATAATCAAGTTTCTATTTTTTTGGTTAAAAATGTTATCATTAAGAAAAACAACCATTCATGCAGCCATAGATGATTTGTGTCGAAGATATATCATTAGGATTTAACTCTTAATAAATTGATGACCATAATATAACTAAGAATGACAGCTTTAAAATTTTCGATTCCATTCACAACATATACATAGGATGTATGCTTTTTTTTGAAGGTTGGGGTTGAATCAATATTTGATTTGAATGACGGTTGAAATTTTTTTTTGTTTCGCTCATCAATGAATAGGGAAAATCATCAGCCACTGATGATTTTTTCCCTTCATTCACATTTTTCTTTTTTAATATGGTCAAATTGAATAATGATTTTTTTGAAAAATTTAAAGATAACGGACAAAGATATAAAAGTTGTCATGATGATGATAGTAGCCATCTAATTGGGCTAAACATTTTAACTATGTGTGTGTGTGTGCTTAATTTGATCGATGTTGATGTTAATATGGATGAACATGTCTGATCAAATCAGAAACGGATCATCTTGATGATCTTTTGCTGATTTGTGTTCTACTTTGCAATCTTTGATCTTATATATCGAACTATGGCTAGCCATATAATCATTCCTGGCTAATCCGAATTCGATAGCGATCGAAAAAAACATGGTCATTATAAAATGAGCTTTCATTAGGTGAAGACAATCGTGATTCAGACAAATAGTCAAAAAAATTGATTGAATTCGATAATAATAAGAAAAAATTCGTTGTTTTTCATTCGCTGATCATTAGGTCAAATTCTTATGTCTATTATCATCATCAACATCATTATCATTTATGATTGTTATACATTCAAGAAAGATTAGATTCAACTAGGTATTTATTTGCCAACCAGAAGATTATTTATTCAGCTCAAACTTGTCCATCATTATCGTCGTCGTCATTATTAATGAAAATCACCTGAAAAAAATGGGAAAATGTCATTTTGTTTAATGTGGGATTTTTTGTTTGTTTGTTAACATTGTTTGAACATTGGATTATTATTATTTCCCTATGATTTACATTAACGATCTGAGCGAAGGAAAACCAAATGATATTTGTTCGTGATTTTTTATTAAATCTCAGATTATTATTATGAGAAATTCTTCTTATCGAAAAGCGAAAGTCTGACCTCATATATAATTCTTACATATACAAATACTTGTGGTGGTAGTTTTGAATCAAACATTCTCACCTTGTGTTTGTTTGATAATAATCACTACCTTTTTTTCCTGTTCACTTGAAACGTCTAATTATTTTCAAGTTAGAATTGAATTCAGATTCAAAAAATAAATAAAAAAAGAAATCCTTATTTTATTGTAGAAGGAAAATTAAAATCTTGTGTCGACCATCTTTTTCTTTTCTTTTTTCTCTTCCACGTTGAAATCGAATGATAATAAATTGCAGACATCTTTATTTGAGAACAAATGACAGGCAAAAATGTGTGATGTTTATGCGTTTTTATTCATATTTTATGTAATTTTCAGTCAATGTTTTAGAAAAAATCATGAAAAAACAATGACAATCATTAGTGTTGAGAAAAAGTTTTTTTTTCATTCATTATTATCATTTCTTCTCCTCGCTACTGAAAAACTAATGATTCTTATTTAGAGTTTTTCAACCAAAAAAAAAGTGAAACACTAAGTGTTTTGACAAAAGTGTTTTAATTCAATTTTAATTTGTTTTATTTTTAATATTCTTGAAAAATCGTTCCCTTTTTCTTTTCAATACTTTGAATAAATTCGAATGAGTTAATGTATAGTTGACATTTTCAAAAAAAAAGAAAGATGCCCCTTCCAATTCTTACCATATATTCAGTGTCAATAGGTGCCCATCTTTTTATTTTTAAAAGGATCGATAATAGTGTTTGGTAGTCATTTTATTCTCTTCATTTGCCCGAGAGTATGTTCTGTATACCAATGAATTTTATTATTATTATTATTATTATTTTATTCTTTGTGTATTGAAATTCAAAATGAATAAACGCTTTGCACCAAAATAAAGATTAAATGTACCGTAGCTAGAATTTTTTTTCAAAAATGAACAGCTTTTTTCTTGTCTTCAATCTTCGTTTCTTCGTCAAAAAAAAACTTCTAGTTCAATAGGGAACGGTTCAATAATTTCATTGATGTATATCACATATATAGATAGATAGATGGATCGGCATAAAGCCATTATGAATATTTTGTTCATTGTTTCAATCATCCGTTGTCTTTTAGTTAAAGATAAAAAGCTTCGTGGTTCATCACTGTTATTTCTTCTAGTTGAATAAAAATCGTTTAAAAAAAATACTGGGGCGTTTTTCATCATTTTAAGGCAAAACCGAAGGAAAAAAGCGGTTTTGCTTAATTCAAAGTTATTTCAAATCCCAAATTTATATTTTTTTTTCAAAAAAAAAACTTTATTCTCAAATCCACGGATCTAATGTAATGAGAAATAATATAAAAACTGACTGAATCTTATATTTTCAGTAACGAAACAAAAAATCATTGCTTGTATTTTTGTACGACATCACTAATGTGTATTGATGGCGCTCACTCATTTTTTCTGGTTTTAAAATTTGGCATTTTGATCATAAATAACAATCAAAATCTCATATACTATAGCTATAGCTAACTAAAATAAAATGCCACATCATCACCTAAATGGGCACCCAAATGCTGTTTTTCCCGTTCCGTTTGGTAAAAATAAAAAAATTACAAGATTTCTCCCCTCTTTATTTCCTGAATTATTGATTAGTGGATCTTGGAGCGTCATTATAATTGTTTTTTTTTTAAATGACAACTTACTTATTTTAATATTTTATTTTTACTTTATCCTTTTTTAGATACCTTGATGGTAACAATCTGACCATACTACGTCAAAATGATTTCCAACGTTTACCTTATTTGAAAGTTTTGTAAGTATCTTTATTTATTTATCATTGTGTTCATATGGATTATCCTATTAAAACAAGGCTTTATGGAATATATTTTTTTTACTTTGAATATTTGTTCATTTACATCCTTGTAGCTAATTGCCATCATGTTTAATCTGTATATGTTTGTGTGTGTGTATGTTTGTGATTTATGACGATCACAAACACAATCATAACGAACGATGGCAATAATGCTTTTTTCTTTTTTCTTCAATTTAAGCATCCAATTTTTTTTGTGTTATTTCATTCAAACACTATCATGAATGTTACAATTATCAATATTATTTTTCTGTAAAGCCCAAATGATTTATGAGAACAAAAAAAAACAAATTTTTTTAACAACGCAACACATTCAAAGAAAAATGAAATGAAATGAGCATCTTTAAATCATTTTGTATTAAATATGTTTCAAAATACCTGATCATTGACAATGTGAATTTAAAAAATTCAATACAAATACAAAATAATTAATCGTTTCAATCAATGAGTGCTTAGGAAAAAAATATTATCAATATAATTGATCATTTGATTTAAAGATATCCGAATAGTGCGTCAATATCATCATCTAAGCATTATCATAATAGCATTTTAATTAAGTTTTTTTTTCTGATTTGTTCTTGTTGCCAAACAAGTGAAAAAATATTTTGTTTTGTTTTTTTTACATTGAAAATATATAGCTTGTCATGATAAAGTTTTTTTTCGAAAAAAGAACAAACAAATTCAAATCTTTCGTACAAATGGCAAACATTTTTTTTTTCGTGACGCCTTACGTTGCTTAAATTCACTTTTGTCATGATGCAACGTAGAAATTGTCACAAACCACAAATTGATTTTTTTTTTGGGCAAATCACTGATTCGTTTGCCTGACAGATATGGTGAACATTATTCTGTTGTATATTAATATTAATTGCAGTCATTACCAATTATCACACGTTGGCAGAAATAAAAGAAAAAAGGAATCTCTGGAATAACTACGATTAGCTAAATAAAAAATGATTCTGTTCATAGTTGATTTTGAAAAATTTCCTAGCTACTGCTACAGGGCTATCAGGCAATAAATCATTCGTATGATTGGAGCCCGAAAAAATCTATTAGCATCGAATTTTTGATATAATTAATAATAGACGTGACCTACAGAATTGCTTTTCTCTTTCTTTCTTGCCATATCAATCAATGGCGAAAAGTAATTTCAAATTCAGATCTTTTGATTTTTATACACTCTTTATCTATCTAAATGTACAATGTTCAAAATTCTATTTCTATATGGCTTCAGAATAAAAACAGAATCGAAAATCGATTTATAAACTTACTTATCAATGTTTGTGTGTGTAGATGATGACTCAACTTTGTTCATTGACTAGATTGGACCATTGAACAAATTTCTATAGTCATTTCGGTTTTATGTCCCGAAAAATTGAATGGTGGAATGATCTGTGAGTCATTGGCCCTTTTTTTCACTAACATCATTCGTGTTCGCTCCATTCAATAGGTGAATCATACCAAAATTTCATAACTGCTGCACGTGTTGGTTTCATGTTCAATATCATATAGATTCTATATTATAGAACTCTGTTACTCTCCATGGAGTATTGTTATGCTCACATATTACCACGTGTTTACGCTGAGGGGATCAAAAAAAAAAAAATAATTATATCAATGATATATATGCTAAGAATCAATTACCATTCCTAGACATCATATGACTCACTAAGAGCTAAATATTATCATGATTATGATTCAACCTTTAATATTTCAAATTAATTTTTTTTATTTGTCCCACAGGCAAATAATGGACAATCAGGTACAAACATTGGAACCGGGTGTTTTCGATGATCTCAAAAGTTTGGAAAGACTGTAAGTAATTGATTATTTTTTTGAAAATTGATTAAGTGAAAGCCGATATGAAACATACACTTGGTTACATTGTTGTTGCGTATGACTTTTCTCTTTATCATTATTGATGTTTGAGAGTAAATAATTGTCATTCCGTCACATGACTATAATTATTGCACATTGATTACACAATTTTTCTCATCCTTGAATTGATATACGCATGTCCGAAAACATTATCATTCAGAAAACAATAAAGATAGAAAAATTTTCTGTTGATCGTATATAAAGAGATGTAAACAAATTGATCAAAACATGTGTCAAAAATATATTGACGAAAAGAAAGTACTCTTCAAGAATAATGGCTGGTAACGAACAACAAGGACGACAAGAAGAAATAGATCGTCAAATAGCTGCTGCTTTAGATTATGAACAACAAAGATATGAAAATAATCATGGACATTGTGGTCGTCATCAAGCTCATGGTCATCATTTGAATCATTTGAATTTTCAGGGTCATCATGAACACCATGGTCATCACGGACATCATGGTCATCACGGTCATCTCGGACATCATTTTGGTCATCATGGGCATCATGGGCATCATTTCGGTCATCATGTGCATCATTTTGGTCATCATGGACATCATGGACATCATTTTGGTCATCATGGACATCATGGACATCATTTTGGTCATCATGGTTGTCGCAATGATAGCTTACATCATTAATTCGATTCCTTTTCTTAATTTCTTATCAGTGATCTTGTCATACCGCACAAGCAATGCAAATTCAAACGAAGAAATGTTGCGAACAGAGATTTGTTTTGTCATTTTTTTTTGCAAATTTGAATAAAAAATGTTAAGAAAGGAAAATGTGGTTGCCATTAATATTATTATTATAGCAAATCTAATGTAGCGATAATTCATTTCGCATGTACTAAATACAAAATATGGGTTCATGTGAAACTTAGCATCGACACAAACATATAACTCGTATGATTATTGGGCTTGGCGATAAATTGACAAAATTCAGTAGTAGCTATTGATAATAATGATGATGATGATCAATCGATCAATCTTTTTTTGTACATTTGCTTATAAACATGATTTTCCTTATGTCATTAGCTTGCTAGATTTTATTCAGTTTTGACTATTTGTTTTTTTCAATCAAAGAAAAGTTTATTTTTCGAAATGTATTCGTTTCAAGATCAAATGACCACCAGTTATCTTTCTTTATGGAATACATCCATGAATGCATTGGCTAAATGGCCTGAAGTTGTTTCCATCATGGAACAGATGGCCGAAATTTTTCAACCCATAAATTCAGATACCAATGAAGATGTGATTGCTGAATTTTCGATGAATGAATCCGAAATGGATCCCGTATGTATGGATGGTAATATACCAAAAACTGATGAACAATCATCAACATCAAAATTATCGTCACTAAAAACGGCGATTGTTCGTAAAACGGTTAATAATGGAACTGCAATGTTACGACGAATTGTTGGTGATGAACTTAAGCTGCCTGCATTCGCCGATGTCCTGATCGAAGCAATGCCTACATTAATATCCTTATGCACATTAGCCTATCAATTGACTCAATCTACATCCAACGTTTATAATAGTGAAAAACAAAACAAAGATATTATTAAGACAGAGAAAATTGTCAATGATGAAACTATTGCAACATCGATAGCACCACTTGAATCATTAGTTAATTCGATTGAAACATTGAAACAACAGGAAAATGATAATGTAAAGCGATCGGAAAAATCTTCACCATCAAAGGAATGTAATCAAAGCTTTCAACAGATATTGATCGCATCTTTACCTACGTTGACATCATTAATGCAAATCATCAAAAATTATATAAAAGAAAAACAAACCAATAGCCAATTACAATCACAACAATCATCAAGCTTAGAATCGGAAACAAAGTCGAAAATTTTATTAAATGATCCGAAAATGAATGAATCAATGATCAATTCCACTACTACTACTACAATAACCTTATCATCACCAAAATTGAAAGAAAATATTGCAGTTGAACTTCCGGGTTTTACCGAAACATTTATCGCTGCATTACCAACATTGATAACATTGATCACTTTGATACACAAAAATGCTATTGGCGAATTTATGCAAAAGGTACCGTTTGTTGGTGATAAAATTCGTCAATTCAACAAATCAAATACTTCATCATCAAGTGATAATCAAATGTAGTTTTATGACTTACAAATTATATACGAGAAAAAATCAATAAAAAGTTACAATTATTGGAAAAAACCTTATAATTTTCTTCTGTAATTTGATTTTTTTGCTTTTAAAAGGCTATTACAAAATGACAATAAAATTAATATTACATCTTGTTCTCTACATAAATTAAATAATTTCTTCTTTTTTAAAATGTATATTTTCAAACAGGTGGCTTAGTCGTAATCATCTTCGCTATTTACCAGATAATGTATTTATCAAAAATTTGGCCCTACACCTAATGTAAGTACATTGACCGTTTCGATTGCTAATATTCATCGAAACCTGTCAAAATATGGAAAGCAAAAAAAAATCTAAAATAAAACAAAATATTCAAAATAGATAATATTTGATAGACAGAATATTCAAAAATCAGAAGAAAGAAGCACTTATTTTTTGAAATCAAATAAGAAGATGACAAATCGATCTTTGTTTTTTGCAAAGAATTTTTGATTTTTGTTTTGTTTTGACATTTGATTGAGCTTCGAAATTGAATTTCTTTCATATTTTTTGAAATGGAATTGAAACTCTAAACAACAATCATCGTCAAGATAGCAAGTCAACATTGCATGAGGAACACATCTTGAATTTCAAAAATTTTACAATTTCAAAAACGTTGTCCATCTAAAATCATAATTTTTCAATTCAAAAAGGAAAAGTTTCATTTTGACAATCAACAGAATAGACAGAATAGATAGATTTCTGATTTTTGTCGACATTTTTCTGAAAAAGTAAAACTTGAAATTTCGTACTTTTGAGATAGAAAAGATTCATTCGCCAGTGTCATTTTGGCTTGGAATTTTTGAATCAGTTTTTTTCATTTTTTTTCTTGTTGTTATTAAACTTTGAAATGAAATAAAAAAGTGAATGACCGAATGTAGACAAAATCAAATAGATTCAATAAATTAATTTTGATTGTAATAAATTTCTTTTCTTTTTCTTGTTTTTGTTTGTCCAAAAATAGCGATCTTAGCCATAACAGGATCATGGGCTTGACATCCAATGTTTTTTATGGTCTAAAATCGTTGAAAAGCTTGTAAGTTTTTTATTATTATTATGCTTTCAAATGATTGATTCAATTATGTCATTAAAATATTTTATCATTGTGAAAATGAACAAAATTTATTTGTCAGACATTTGGACAATAATCGATTATCCTGTATCGAAGATGGAACTTTTAGCAAATTGAAAGAATTAGAATTCCTGTAAGTAATAAACACAGAATGTTTTTGTTTTAATTAAAAAAAATTGAAATCAATTTTTAGAACATTGAACAAAAATAATCTTACAACATTGACCTATTCGATTTTCGATGGATTGGCTATGAAACTAAAAACATTGTAAGTATATTTTGTTTCACCTTTATTTGTTTTTTCGCTTTATAAATGACAACATATTTTGAACACTAATTGTTATAAAATTAAGACATATGGCAGACAATCCATTCCGTTGTGATTGTTCAATGGCCTGGCTAGTTCAATGGTTTCGAAAATTGTTCATCATGCAACATAAACAATCATCACAGCAAAGATTCGATATTGATAGTGCCAAATGTGTGGCACCATTTCATCTGTTTGGAATGAAAATCTCATCACTATCAACCAAAGATTTTCATTGTAAGCATTTTTTGAAAATTTTGTTTATTCAAATGATTTGATTTTTTTTTGGATTAATAATTTTCACTATATAGGCGATCAACCATATTATGATGAATTTCTACAGAATGATGATTCTGGCATAATGCGTCCATGTCGAATAGAGCCACAATGTCCATATCAATGTTCTTGTCAGGATGGTGTTGTTGATTGTCGTAATCGAAATTTAACCCGTATACCGGATTTTATTCCGGACAATGCCATCGAAATGTAAGTGTTCATTTTTTTAAATCATTAAATATTAGAATCTATTCAAACAATTTTTCTAACAACAAAAATCTTTTCGATAAAAATCATTCAAAATGATGATGATGATGATGGCTAAAAAATATGCAGTCGATTGGAACAGAATTCGATTACCGAAGTGCCTTCGCGTGCATTCTCATCGTATCGTCAGTTGGGCCGAATGTAAGTTTTATCATACAAACAAAAAACAACGGAAAAAAATTGGATGAAAGTTTCCATTTTTTTTTTCGTTACTCGCCAATTTTAATACCCAGATTTTTTCCATCCTTCAATCAATTGTCGTTGCTTGCTATGTCTATTATGATTTTAATTTTTTTCCTTCATCCTTGATTCTATGGCATGATTCATTCAATCGTTTTTTTTGCAAAATAATGAATGAAAAAGAAAAACAAATGAAGTATAGATAATAGGCTATTGTTCGCATTGTGTTCGGCATTGGCGTAAAACTTGGTGAAAAAAAACTTCTTTCGATTTTGCAACTGTTTATCGCTGTTGCTTGTGTTGAAAAAAAGAGTTCAATTAATTTTTTTTTACATGCACAAAAACAGAAATGTAGAATTTTATCAAAAGGGTAAAATTTTTTTTGAAAACAATTTATCTGGGTAACCGATTTTTCACTTTTTTCAGTTATTAATTTATAATCATAATCGAGCTCCTTATTAAAAAAATTCTGTTTTGTGTCATATTCTAAAATCAAATAATTACAATAACTCCTTTGATTCATTCGATTTCAATAGTCACTAATTTTTTTTCTTATTAATTATTTTAAATATTACAATAGCGATTTAAGCAAGAATAACATTTCCAGGATAGCTGAAGATGCTTTCAATGGATTAAAATCATTAAATGCATTGTAGGTATCCATTTTGTTTGTTTATCATAACTACAATCATTTTTTGTACTTCTTTTTTAGATTTTTATTTGGAAATGAAATCACTGATCTACCGGAAGCTCTATTCAAAGGTCTAGCCAACATACAGCTGCTGTAAGTGTCTCATTCATTTATTTAGTCATTCTTTTATTCCCTTCATGGAGGGATTAATTCCGGAATTTTTATTTTAACAAAAAAAAATATTCTCTTCTTTCTTTTCTGTTATTACTATTTCAAAATAAAAATGGTGTGATTCAATTGCCGAATGTCAAAACCAATTCCTGATACACACTCGAACAAATGAATGAATGAATCAACGAACAAACAAAATATAAATAAATAAATAAACGCGATGCGATGCAATTCTTCACAAACAAACAAACAACCATACGGTTCTGATTTATTTGAATTTGCGGTTGAATGAACCGACGGCTATTTGATTTGATGAATTCCTTTGGATTGGACTTTTTTTAAAAAAATGGACCTTTGGCTGTGGCCATGATGATGATCGTTTTAAATGTAAATAAAAATGAAAACAAAAACATTGAACAAAACGGATACCAACCAAATATGTCGATGTTTACGCTGATTTGATTTCAATCAGTTTGCTCAACAAGAACAGAATCAAATGTTTACGTCGTGGAATTTTTGCTGACCTTAAACATTTGAATCTATTGTAAGTTTTTCCTCCTTTTATATCATATTTTTCTTTACTTTTTCATACTTAATAACTCATCTTTGCTTCAGGTACTTTAATCCAATGAAAATATTTGTAAATTGAATTTTTCTTTTGAGAATTGAAAAATTCTGAAACCATACTGTCAAAGTTTGCTGAATTTTTATTTCTTTGAAATAAATTTTGAAAGAAACAACTTAAAGACATTGATCAAAACAATTTTTCATACATTAGACATGATTGTCAAACATTGAAAATCCGATTTAGGATAGCTAAGTAATATCGATTCGTACATTTGTTGCTGAAAATTTTCTCTCTTTTTACATGCATATATTTAGTGGCATGCTTCACACAAACACTTTTTTCAAATCTGTCAAACACAAATCGACCGATGCTGTGATTCACACAAACAATTTATTTTCCATTGAATGTATTGTTTACTGTTATTCTTTTCAAAAACAAAAATCTTATGGAATAATCATAGAAACAGTCATAAACGATTTTTCCACATAATGCTCAATACAAAAGTGATGTTAGCCAAATATAAACTTTTTTTCGAAAGGTATCAACTTCTAGGAGCAATCACACATCTGAGAATTTAACCATTTTGCTGACATGATCTTGGTGTTTGATTTGCTCAAGCTCATATAAGTTATGTTGATAGTTTGTATTCGGCCATGTTAACCAAATATCCGTTGAGGCGATTCAATATGAAGAGATTTGCAAAAATAAAAAAAAATCCACAAAACAAATGGCATATGATTCTTTCTTGAGCTTAATTTTGTTTATTCTACCGGAAGAATGGAAAAAATTGCGAAATCTTTTGGAAACAAGGATGTACAGTTAGGGAAAAAACTAAGCTTGGTGAATAAATTAATTTCACAACACACGATTATGGACCGAATGGATCGTTTCGTTTCGAACACATTACGCTGAAATATTCGTAACGTAATCTGCAAACAATTCATACAAAATGCATTCATGCTGTCGGTGACCACATTAAAATTATTGATGCGGTTTTATGTTTCGATAAAGAACCTGTTTTCTTTGCTACCATACGTTTTTATGTTTTATTATTATCATAGTCGTTTGTTTCTCATCCCATCGAAACAATGTATAATAAAGATTCTGCAATTCAAGATTCTTGTTTTTTTTCGATTGAGTGATGATGTACGAGTGATAATAATAAAAAAATGACTATATTGTTAGCTTCACTAATGATGGCATATAACTATCGCAATACAGGTATCATTTGCATCGGATATAAATGGCCATAAATGAGGCACATAAAAAGTATTAGAGCATGGAATTGCCAACAAATTAAAGATGTATATTTGTGTATGACAAAAACGGTCTAGTCAATTGATAATTCATATCCATTTTTCTCTGACCATACTCGATTATCTATTCAAAAAACTTTTGTACCAAAAATTTATTCTCGAAACATAGCAATATAAACCAAACAATAATGGTTATTGAATCCATGATCAATGGGCCCAATCGAACATTGTTTGAACCAAATTGATTAATTCTACACTCTCTGCACAATTACGAGACAAAAAGTTTGCATGAAATAATGAAAATAACCATAACAATGTTTAATAAACCATTGACCAATCGTTGACCAAATGATTTATGAGTTTACCTCATAATAATAGTTTCATATCTCATTTATATTGAATATGATCTAATAATAACCATTTCTTAGGCGTTGAAAAAAATATATTTCACTCTTACAATTTGTATGTTTTCAATTAATAATCAGGCTCTTGTGCAGTATCTTTCTCTATTCGCAATTGTTAATCCATATGCTTTATCGTTCTATATATTTTGTAAGTTTGAATAGTCCATTAAAATGATGAATTTCGTTACATGTACCGGGTTTATCATCAATTTTTCATCCAACAGAATACAAACTTTTTTCCTTGTTTGATCTGACCGGCCGAATGATAATCCTGCTTACATTACATTGAATGATAACAGTTATGAAGAAGAGAAAGAGAAAGAGCGAAAGTTGGTTGAGTGGTTGAATTGCAAATATTTGTCAATTAATCCCAGCGATTGTATATTATGAATTGATGATGTATGTTTTATATTTTTCCGGTATCATGCAGATCATTGTACGATAACAATATTCAATCATTGGCCGAAGGAATTTTTGATCCATTAATCAATATACAAACATTGTGAGTAGTATGATTGATCACTAAGATCATTTTTAAATAATGACCATTCCATTCATCATGATGCGAAAATAGACATTTAGGAAGAAATCCTTTCATTTGCGATTGTAATCTTCGATGGCTATCAAATTATCTGCGTGAACGTCCTAATCTGGAAACATCGGATGCTCGTTGTGAAGAACCTAAGCGTAATAGCCGAAAACGATTAACACAATTGAATCCCGAACGATTCCGTTGCAAAGGAACTGAAGAATTACGAACAAAATATTCCGCACAATGTATGGATAATAAATGTCCAAAGAATTGTGTTTGTGAAGGTACAATTGTGGATTGTTCACGATTGGATTTGCATCATCTACCGGAAGATGTACCAACGTTTGCTACCGAATTGTAAGTCATTGGAAAAATTTCCTGTTAATAATTCTAATGATAATTATTATCCAACATAAATTTATTTTAGACGTCTTACTGACAATCGTATTCGTCGTTTGATAAATAATAATTACTTCAAACGATTGCCCAATCTTTTAAAACTGTAAGTTTGTATCTAATTATTAATTGGAATGAAAAAAAGTTTGATCGGATAATCACGGGATAAAAATTGAATTCATTTTATATTCTTTCCTTTCATAGTGACCTTCGTAATAACCAATTAAATGAAATTCAAGACGGTTCATTACATGGTGCTGAAATGTTACAAGATTTGTTATTGAGTAATAATCAATTGCGACAAATCAGTCCCAAAATGTTCGCTAATCTCCGTAATCTAAGCACATTGTAAGTTTTAAAGTTTTCCTTCGCTTGTTTTGATAATCTTTTTTTTCGCAAATAACAGGGTTCTACATGACAACCAAATTACCTGTATCACCAATGATACATTTGCCGATCTAGAAAATCTGCGTTATCTGTAAGTGTCATCAATGTCAATTACTAATTATATTGATTCTTTTTTAAATTCATCTTTTATTCGTTCGTCTTTCTTTCTATCTGTATAATAGTTCATTGAATGATAACAAAATACGTTGTATTACATCTGGCGCGTTCGACAAACTTCGATCATTATTACAAGTGAACTTACAGAATAATCCGTTCAATTGTAATTGCCATCTACGTTGGATGTCGTCCTGGTTACGAAAGAAAAGCAGTAATAATAAAATTCTTATTGGTAAGTTTATTGCCCTACAATGTTTTCAATTAATTGAGTTTCCGTCTATTGTGAACGCTAGGCAATATACGATGTTATTCACCGGCCAACGTTGCCAATATACCGATTGAAGATGTTGAACCGGGTGATTTTCGATGTGATGAAGATGAAGAAGAAGCTGAATGCGGTCCTGATGGTCTATGCCCTTCACGTTGCACATGTTCAGGAACAGTTGTTCGATGTTCGCGACAAAAATTAAAACGTGTACCGAAATATATACCAACTACAACAACTGAACTTTATCTTGATATGAATGAAATTTCTGTTATTCCTACCGATCTAAATCGTTTGGCCGAACTTAGTCTTTTAGACTTGAGTAATAATCAAGTAAACATATTGCCAACAAAGATATTTGAAAACATGACCAAGCTACATACATTGATCATCAGTTATAATAAGCTTCAATGCATTCAACCGGATGCCTTTAAAGGCTTGATGTCGCTTCGAAAACTTACGCTTCATGGCAACGATATTTCCATGGTTCCAACCGGTTCATTTGATAGTTTAAATGTCATAACACATTTAGCTATCGGCGAAAATCCATTTTATTGCGATTGTAATATGCGTTGGCTTGCAGAATGGATACAAAAAACTAATACAGAAAGTAAGTCGATTATATTCTAAACACAGATACAATAAAAACAAATCTTTATAGATGGTATAGCACGTTGTATGGAACCGAGCACAATGCGTGGCAAACTTTTAATGTCAGCACTGCCTAATCATTTCATTTGTACGGGAAAAATTGAACCGCATATAATGGCCAAATGTGATGCCTGTTATACATTTCCTTGTAAGAATGGTGCCACATGTATTTCACAACCAATGCACACTTACGAATGTATGTGTGCTCCTGGATTTCATGGAACAAATTGTGAATACAAGATTGATGCATGTTTCGGAAATCCATGCGATAATGGTGGTACTTGTAAAGTTCTTGAGACTGGTCGTTTTAGTTGTCATTGTTCAACTGGCTTTAAAGGTCATCGATGTGAAATCGATATAGACGAGTGTGCCGAAGATAACAAATGTCAGAACAATTCGACTTGTATCGATGATATTGGATCATACCGATGTGAATGCTTGAGTGGCTATTCGGGATATTTTTGTGAGAAAAAAATCGAATATTGTTTGACCAGAGAATGGAATCCATGTCAAAACAAAGCCAAATGTATAAAAGATGAAGTTAATGATTTTTATTACTGTGAATGCGCACCTGGATGGACTGGTCAAAATTGTACTGATAATGAAGATGATTGTCTTGTCAACGAATGTCAAAACGGTGCCACCTGTTTAGACAAAATTTCTGGCTATGAATGTCAATGTCCAGTCGGCTATTCGGGACAATTTTGCGAATATGCACCCAATGTAGACTTGTTGTATCAACAAACAAGTCCTTGCCAACATCATGATTGTAAACATGGTGTCTGCTTTTTACCACCAGGATCTTCCGATTATCAATGTAAATGTTCACCTGGATATACTGGCAAACGATGTGACGTTATTTCTTCAGTTTCTTTTCGACTTGGATCCTATATCGAATTGGCCCAAGACATGAACTTACAATCCAAACCATCATTGTCGATCAAGTTCAAATTCATTACAAAAAAAGAGAGTGGTATTTTATTCTATCTTGGAGGTAATCAAGGTCATCATTTATCCGCTGAACTATTCAAAGGTCGTATTCGCATTAGTTTGAATGTGGGAAATTATCCTGTATCCACAATGTTCTCGTATGAAAAAGTTAACGATGGCCGCTTTCATCAAGTGAATTTCGAATTGATCAAAAAAAACTTTACAATGATTGTCGATGATGGTTCAACACGTACGATTGTCAATGAAGGTCGCAATGAATTTCTGGATGTAGCAAATCAACCATTATATATTGGAGGCATGCCTAAAGCTGTTGGCAATGATGTTCGACAAAAATGGCATATTTGGAATGATACCAGCTTTGAAGGTTTGTCGTTTGATTTAATATTTGTAATCCTACTTAATTCATTTGTTTTCGCAGGTTGCATGAAGGAATTATATATCAATTCAAATCCACCCGATTTAAATCAGGCAAAACATAAGCAGGACATTGTCATTGGTGGGGATGGTTCGTGTGATGATTACGAACAACCCAAACCGATGGATGCTTGTCATGCCAATCTTTGTCAACATGGTAAATGTGTCCCATCTGATGATGGACAAAGTTATCACTGTAAATGTAAATTAGGTTATAGTGGTCCATTTTGCGATCAAGGTATTTGTGTAAAAATTATCATTGTTGTGGATGACTTAACTTATTATTGTTTTCATTTGTAGCACCAACATGTCAGAAAGAAATCAAAAGAGATTTTTATTACGAAAATTCATGTCGTTCGACTAAGAAATTAAAAATGGCCATCTGTGTTGGTTCTTGTGGTGAAGCACAATGTAAGGCACAAAAAACAAAAAAACGTAGTATCAAATTGGCTTGTAATGATGGATCCAAATATACAAAACAGATTGAAATCATAAGAAAATGTGGATGTGGAAATACCAAATCAACATATACCGATCTTTTTTATTAATATTCAACATTGACCGGATTTTATCATTGATTATATGATTATTACGATATGATCTTCATTTCATTGCCATCACCTCAATTTTAGTCTGGTCATCATCATCATCATCATCATAATTATCATCATCATCATTATTATCGTCATTATTATCGTCATTATCATTATTATTATTTGTATAAAAGAAATTTACAATGCAATCTTTTAATTACATGAAAAAGTGAAAAACATAAAATCAACGGTACATTGACCATTGACATACCTCTTTCTTTCTCTTTCTATCAATCTATCTATCTATAACATTTTTATATTTTATTCTTTTCGCTTTTTTCCTGGTTGTAAATTGTATTTGATAAATGAACGTATAATTGTGTGTGTATGCGTGTTTGATTTTTTCGATCAAAAAAACCTTTTGTTTCGATTGAATTTGAAGCCTGTATAATTTTTCGTTTGGTTTCAATTTTTTTTCTTTTGCATATTTGTAAATTTTGTTCACTTCATTTTTTTTTGTATTCATTATCTGTTCTATTTACTGATGAATGTCCGAATACTTGATGATGCAGACTATTTGAAATGGTAATAATAATGGAAAAAATCCCCGAAAATGGCATGTTAATTAAAGGTAATTTGTGTACAATTGTGAATGCGGGTATCATGGATTTTTCAGCATTATATAAATGAAACAAAAAAATCCTTCTAGTTGATTGAAGCATGATCTTGGTTGATAGTTGATAAAAGCAATGGCAAGTTTGACAACACAATTACTTACCGTATCGATTTTATCGTTACAGCGACAACTTTCACATTATCAGCTTGCATCACGATCTACATGGGATTCTGAATATGATTTCATTGTAATCGGTGCAGGCGGTGCTGGTGCTATCGTAGCAGGACGTTTATCAGAAACAAATTCCACTGTTTTACTACTAGAAGCTGGTGGATCGGAAACAGTTATGACTGATATCCCAGCTATGTATTATGAATGGGTTGGAAATCCGGAAATCGATTGGAATTATCCTATGCTGTATCAACCGAATTTAGGCCAGGCATATCAAATGCCAGCCCATATGTCCGTTGGTAAAGTGCTTGGTGGATCCACCACAATTAGCGGAATGGTTTATAATCGCGGGAATCCTCGCCATTTCGATGAATGGGATTACCGTTTTGGATGTCGAGGATGGAATTATAATAACATTCGTCCTTATTTTCTGCGAATGGAAAATCAAACTGACATGAATTATCGACTTAATCATAATGTATCCGGGCCAATAACAGTATCATCAGATTGGTCACAATCAAATATGTTGCCAGCACACATGGCTTACCTTAGAACTGCTCAAGAGGCCGGTTATCCGTTAATCGATATCAACAATGGTCTAACACAAAATGGTGTTACATTGTTTGAACACACAATCAATCAAGGTGTTAAAGTAACAAGTTCGAGCGCATACCTAAATTTAAATCGTAATCGAAGCAATTTGAACATCGTGACTAAAGCACAAGTAACTCGAATTTTATTTGATGGTTCAACAGCTAAAGCGGTACGATTTCAACGTGACGGTCAGGTTTTTACAGTCACGGCCAACAAGGAAATCATATTATCTGCTGGAACAATCGCTTCTGCTCAATTGTTGATGTTGAGTGGAATTGGACCAAGTGAACATTTGAAGCAATTAGGTTTAACAATTGTAGCGGATCTGCCGGTTGGTAACAATCTTCACGATCATAGCAATACTATTCTATATTTTGATGTTCCTGATCAACGGCAATCGTATGAGCCAATCACATTGACAGCGCAAAATCTGTACGACTATTATGTTAACGGTCGTGGACCATTAACAATGTTTCCAAACGCAGCCACATATATAGTCAGCGATCAAAATAACGATAAAGAATGGCCAGATATTATGACCGAAATGGTTAGAAGCAATAATCATTGGAATAATCTGACAACGATTTTATCTCAATATCCACCAGAACAGCGACAAGTATGGGCTGAATATTGGAGGCCATATGTCGGCCGTAGACTTTTGGCATTCGATGTTCAATTGGTTAGACCTCGTGCTCGCGGAACATTGAGATTAAATTCGACAAATCCTTTCGATTCGCCATTGATTGATCCTAATTATATGGGTGACCCTAGGGATATGGCTGCCATGATCAACGGCATTAGACAGGTATTAACTAGAATTACTAATCGAGGACCATTCGCAAGGATAGCTCGCTTTATCAGTAACCCGGTACCTGGATGTAAAAACCTTTGCCAAGGAAATGATTCTTTGTGCGAAAGATATATCGAATGTTTTGTTCGACAAACATCTGTAGCAGTCTATCGACACGGTTCGTTCATAATATTCATAAATCATTCAATTTTATTAATCAATTAATTATGTTCATAGCTGGTACATGTCGATGTGGTTCCAGTTCGAATTCGAATGCTGTAGTTGATGAAAGACTCCGAGTTTTAAATGTGACCGGACTACGTGTAATCGATGGATCGATTATGCCTCAAATAATTAATGCCAATTCCTGGATCGCAACTGCTATGGTTGCGGAATATGGAGCTCAAATGATTCGCGATGATAATGATATTTAATGCTTAAAATTCAAATACCACATTTTTATAGATTAATTAAAATCCATCATTTCATAAATATTTAAAAAATCTGAAATAAAATTTACAAAAGTATATTTTAATATCATTGTTGAAACAAATTTTTTTGTTCATTTTTTTGTTAGATGGTTACCATGGTGATAATGTTTTTACTGTTTTTTGTTATATAAATTCTCACAATCAATTTATACGAAATAATTTCTCAATATTCTAATATCATCAACATGGAAAATACGAATAATGATAAGATTGTTAAGGTAAGTTTAAGATAATCATCGATAATTATGTTTAAAGCGAATCAAATCAAAATAGTCATCCATACATTATTATTGTTTAAATGGTTTGTATCGTACTATGGCTTCATTAGCTTCTGAAGGCCAAAGAATGTATCCGGGTGATCAAACCTATCGTTTCTATATGGGATGTTCATTGGCATTTGAGGGTCGTGTACAAGAAGCAATAAGGGAATTGGATCGTTGCGTCAATGATCGAGATTTAACAATGGCAGCTACATTGGCTCTAATTTATTCACATTCAAAATGTCAAGTTATTGGTTTGTATTTTCATTGTCGTATCAAACATAACTGACCGAATTGATAAAACACTCAATAGATAAAGATGCGATTGATTCATTGGAAAAGCGACTGGAACAATTAAAAGAACAATCTAACGAAACGGTGTGTGTGTGTGTATTTTTGTGAAAACTGATTTGATTAACAGATTTAATGAAACTTTCTTCTTAAACAGACATTATATTATGCAAGCTTATTCTTATTACTATCAAAAAAATTTGTCCAGGCCAGTCAATACATTGAACAATTGAATCAAAAATATCGTACATTTTTAGATGTAAGTAACATAAAGAATTAATTTCTTTTCTAATCGCCAAATTCTAATCGTTTCTAATTTCAAGGGTAAAGTTCTTTATGGTTGGCTAATTGTGCATAATGCCAATAACGATTCGATGGATGAAAAATCTCTAAAAAGCTATTCACATTTATTTGAGAAAATGTATGTATTTAAATTTTCATCATATTATTTTCTCTTTCTCTAAATTATCTGTTATTTTAAATGTTAGAAATGAACCTGATGTACTGATTATTTTGTCCAAAGTGGAAGAAAAGTTACATAACTATTCTGGATCTATTGAAAAACTTAATCATGCAATTGCTATGTATCCAAAGTTTTTGCCCGCTTTGATTGAGAAGATAAAAGTTCATGCTATGTTAAAAGAATTCGAATTATTGATGGACGCAGCATTTCGATCATTAGTTTTGGATAAACATTGTATTGAACCACATCGGTATTCTATCATATATTACTTAGCCTGGGATTTCAATGAAGAATCTGTAAGTTTAAGAATTGTTTCTTCAAACTTTGTCTAGTTTTATTGATTTATTTAGGCTTTGTCAAAAATTCGAGATCTTATATCATCGTTAGAATTACGTGAACCAAAAAATGCTTACCTTTATTATGAGAGCTCTAGACTTATATCTCGACTGGTAAGTAAAATTAGAATTTGATGGATTCAATTTCGATAATGATTTTGATCTTTTGATAAGGCTTTGAATAATCAGAATATTCTGATGCATTCTTCATCATTGATTGAAAGGGCAGTTTTTTTGGATCCAACAAATATTGATTATATCTGTGAAAATGCTTTTCAATGGGCTTTATTAAGTAAGTAGATTTTAACATTTAACTGTTTAACCAAAATCCTTTTGTTTTGCATAAACGCAGAGCGTTTCCAGGAATCAGAAAGACATTACAAAAATGCAATGAAAATAAATCCGGCTGATTCTAAGCCTATCTCGGGGCTATTAATGACTAAATTAATGCAACATGATCATGATTTAATGGATGGAAATGTGGGAGAAGATGACAAACTCAATCTGTATAAAGTATACGAAGAGATTGATCAATTGGAAGAATTCAATAGGACTACAACTGGATTGACAACTGTCAATGTAGGATCGAAAAATGAAACGATTGATCTTCTACCACCACAACAAGATTTACTTTATCTATGCGTAAAATCTCGAGTAGGTCGCAAACAACATGACAATGTCAAATTGATCGAAAACTATTTGTCGCAATTATTCAATCATTATAACCAACTTAAGGTATAAAAAAATATTGCAAATGGTTTCAATCTGATTCCAATCTAATGATCATTTTATCAGGCCAATCCAATCTCGGTACAATTCTATTCTAATCTACAAATACATCATGTTATGGATATTGTACAAATCTGTACATCTTTATGTGCACCGGAACCATTGGTACGAGGACAGCAAGTGCCCATGTTTCTTTATTATGCACAACAATTCATCAATGTATTGGCAGCAGTCATTCCAAATCATAAACAAATAATTTATCGTATGGCTATGATCAAATATTTGTCCGGAGAGATACGATCAGCAGCGAATCTAGTAAATCGTTGTCTACAATATGATGGCAAATTCATCGATTTATTCATATTAATGGCAAAAATATCTATATACGATCGTAACTTTAAAACAGCTAATCAATGTTTAGAAAATGCTCTTGTTCTTGATTTTAAGGTTTGTTTATTTGTCAAAAATGATTGGTTACAATTTTCTTCTGATGTCATTTATATAAATTTAGATACGTAACGACATTTCCTATATAATTTCTAAATCATCGATATTAAAATTCGAAAGAAAATATACTGAAGCATTACAGTTAATGATGGATGCATTACAATCAACAAATAAGTCAACATTATGTGATCATTTCGATTCGATTGATGTTGAGCTATTACTTTTGCTAGAAATGGTCGACATTCATTTATTACTCAATAATACTGTACTTATTGAAAAAAAACATATATCTAACTTATTCATTTATTCTGATAAATTTTTCCACCAAATAGATTGAAGCAAGAAAAATTGTAGAAAAATTAATACAACAATATACATCGGATTATAGTGGAGGAAAACAGGAACAACGAGCACGAATTTATCTATCGCAGGCAAAAATCGATTGCTATTCCGGTGATTATGAAGCAACATTACAAACATTACGTAATATAACGGCAACAATGAGTGATGACCATTATATTCGATCAAGAAAAATGATGGCAGCCATTTATCTCAGCAAACATAAAGATCGAAAACGTTTTATCGAATGTTATCAGTAATTTTGATTTTTAGCTAGTAGTCCACTTAAACCTAATCTATGTATTTCCTTTTTTTCAAGCGAAATTGCCGAAAATTTCCCATCACAACAATCACAATTGATGCTGGGCGATGCTTATATGCACATCCTACAGGTAAGTGTAAACGAACAAAATTTTACTTTGTTAATAATTGAAATCAAACAGCCTGAAAAATCGATTGAAATCTATGAACAAACTGTGAAAAAAAATCCGAAAGATTCTACACTTGTACGCAAAGTTGGTCAAGCATTGATCAAAGCTCATTTCTATGAACGAGCAGTTACCTATTATAAAGCAGCTATTAAATCAAGTGGCCAGATGCCGTCTTATTGTTATGATCTAGCGGAATTGCTTCATCGTCTTGGTCGTGATGACCAATGTAAGGAAATTATTGGTCAAACTACTAAATTATTTGATGCAAACAAAAGTCAGTTATTATTAACTTTTGAATTTAGCATGAAAAAATATGGAATTTTTTTTCTTATAGATGAAATGGATATCGATACTCATATTATCAAAATAAGAATATTCAATCTATTGGCCAAAGTTCATAAACGGTCAGGTGATAAAGGAAAAGCTATTCAAATATTGCGTGATGCTCATGATGAAAATCAAAAGTAAATTAGTAGACTTATGTTTTCGGCCATATTTAATGTTTCTGAATCTGATAGACTGATGCGTCGTTTACCCGTTGAACATCCAGATCGATTGGAAGAACATCGAAAATTTTCAATCAAGTATGTGATGCCCTATTGAACATTTTCATTATCATTGTAATTATCCTATGTTAGTCTAAGTGATCAGTTAGCGGATCTGTTGTTGGCAGCCGATTATGACAATAATCAACAATCAGCATTGCAGATATATAAAGACTCATTATCATTCGATAGTTGCAACGATGAAATATATCTGAAAATGGCTAAAATGGAAATGAGAAATGATCATTTTGATCAAGCTCATACGTATTGTACAAACGTTTTGAAAAATAAACCCAACATGGAAGAAGCATTAATGGTAGGTGGATCATTGTTTTGTTTTTAGTTATTTTTTTCCAATTATTTAATATCCAGATGATAGCCGATATTACATTTCGTCAGGCAGATTTTGAAGGTGCCCTTAGTCTCTATCAAGAATTGTGGAACAAGAACAAAAGTATAATCTAATTGTTTTGAAAATGTCATTAATTTAATTTGGAATTTAAAGCTAATTTTCGTTCGCTGATGCATCTCATAGATGCCGCTCGGCGATGTGGTCAATTGCAAATAATATCCAGTCTTTTGGAAGAAGCGGGCAAAAAATATAATGATGAAAGGATCAACGATGATAAAACGGCCAAATCGTCAAGTGAAGCTGGATTCTACTTCTGCAAAGCTCTTTATTACTGGTATACAGGTAAGTGAAAACTGTTCACAATCTCATTGCCTGATTATTCTTTATTATAGGCGATGTTAATGAAGCAATCAAATATCTGTACCCGATTCGTAATGATGCCCAATTTGGAAAGGAAGCAACCATTTTAATAATCGAAATTTGCATCCATTCTGATTCGATCACAACGAGTAATAATAATTATTCTATCGCAGATTCCTCCAACCAAGATAGTCAAAGGTTTTAATTTGTTTTTATAGAAATTACTCTCTAAGCTAATTATCAATGTAATCGGTTTAGGCCAAGTTCAATTTCATCGAATTCGACATTGAAAACGGCTGAAACCTTAGTCGAAGTATGTGTAATCATTAAACAATTATTTATCATTCAATTGATTTCTGTTTGACAGATATTGAAATTGCAGAATCCGGAAGACTTTCAAGTACATCTGCTTAACAATTTGGTATTGTTGGCAAAAAAGCAGAAAAACGATGCCGAGTTTGTTCTTTCCGATTTAATGAAATATTTGAGCAACGAACGTTACGTATGTAAGAAAAATCTTTTAAGTATTCTATTGATAAATTTATATTGTCAAGTGTGATCATTCGGCCCTTATCTATGGCATGGCTATGGCTTATATGACACTAAAGCAAACACCTAAAGCACGAAACCAATTGAAACGAATCGCTAAAAATAATTGGAAATATTCAGAAGGTGATTACCTGGAAAAAGCTTGGCTATTACTGGCTGATATTCACATACAATCAAACAAGTTTGACAATGCCAACGAACTTTTGAAACGAATTCTTCGCTACAATCGAGTAAGATAGATATTTTCGATAAAAAACATTTAGTTTGACTTATATAATTCTCGTTTGTAATCATATTCGATTGTATAGTCGTGTGCGAAAGCATATGAATATAGTGGTTACATAATGGAAAAAGAGCAATGCTATCGAGATGCTGCTTATAACTATGAACAAGCATGGCATTTTTGTAACCAATCTAATCCGACTATCGGCTATAAATTGGCATTCAACTATATGAAAGCAAAACGTTGGCCTGAAGCAATTGAAATCTGTCAAAAAATACTATCCCGTTATCCGGACTATCCAAAAATCAAAAAAGACATTCTTGATAAATGTATTGCTATGCTCAAATGCTAAAAATAGGGGAAGGTTTCGTAATTATTGTTCACATGATTCTTATGTCCCTGGCAATTCGTAGAATCATGCCAATTAGTGACTTTTTTATTTTACACACGAATGTCATTTATAAAACATTGAAAAAAGTGACAGTAAGATTTTTACTTTATAACTAAATTAATCAGCTTGTATGAACAAAAATAGATTCGATTATTTTAGCTATAATTTCAATTTGCTAACAAATACAATTGTAATTAATTGAAGATTGTTTTTTTATCGTTGACGATTCCGTAAATTGTAGCTCGGTTGTATTTTGTTTTTGACAAAAGATTCATTATATTGTTGGCCAGGTTCTTTCGAATTTTTTTGTGTATTTTCATCTTCATCGAGTGATTTCTCAGGCGTTATAGAATCGCGAGAATCATGACGAATAGAAACTCCACTATCAACACTCAATTTTCTGCATTCATCTTTTTTGTTAGTTTCGTTAGATTCCTGCTGCTGTTGCTGATGAAATTCTCTGCTATCTTCCAATTCGTCAATTTGTCCGGCAATGACTTTGTATAAAAGACGAATGGCAAACTGTGTAATTGAAAAAAAATTAATCAATTTCAAATGAATTTTTAATTGTACCGACCGAAAACCAATAGAAATTCATAAATAATATAATCCAAAGCATGATGACCAATAATGTCATGAACGGAACATGTATCCGTAATCGTTCCAACTGAATCGATGACATATAAATAACTTTGATCGGAAACCAATACAAGCGATTGGTGATCCTAGTAGACATTTAGAAAAATAAAAATTGATAATGTCCATTAAAAAAAGAAGAATAATATTACCATGTAACAAGAAAAGCGATAAAGCCAATGTTGACAAATATCTCTGCGGATTGGTATGTGTGGCCATGTTGAACTTTAAAATAACGAATTAATTTGGTTGCTTCTAATAATATATCGCAGCCATCATGCAAAAACAAAGTGACCAAGCCAGCCTTATGACTTCTACATCACGGAAAAAATAAAATCACTAAACAAAATGACATCGCAAAATTGCTTACTTGTTACAATATGAAATGAATATCAGACCAACACAAATTATATGATGTAACATTAACGTGTTCGTATCTTTTCTTCGCTCATCGACCATCAATGTCGTATAAAGGGAATGCAAGTAAAAGCTTAATTCGACCATATACAATAAATAAGTGATCGAATCGACGGGATTGTTGATAGAATAATCTTTTGGATAGGGAAATAAATATAAATAAATAAAGCTGGATTGTTATAAAACAAATGCACTACATACTAGTCCAAAAATTAGTCGGATTATAGAACAACTGTCCGCTATGCTGAACAAATATATAATAACTACTAGTAATCCAAGTAAAAAGATAGAACAATAATTTCCATGAACTTTCTGGAATTTTCGATGCATCTGTTGGTCCGATTCCACATATTTTTGTGATCGGCATGAATACATATCGAGTCATTAAATAACGTCCAACTGTCAATGCGATGCTCAAAACGATAACAAAAATAATGTCGAATCGATTTATTTGTCGCAACATTTCAGCCAAATCCAAATTAAATTCTTGGCTGAAATAATTTTTTCGTTTTTCTTGTTGTTGTTGCTCTCGTGTTTCTAATATCGGAAACAATTCTTGATATAAAAATACATACAGATTTTGATGAAAATAATTGATGGAATCTCGTATGAAATCCACATAGCTGATATTTAATCCTTGGTTGGTAATCATCATAGAATCAATCACATTCGATCCATTGTTTGTTGTTTTTATGATCATCGTTTCCATATTGTCCGTCTTATCCATTGTTTTGGAAACAGTTCAAAGATGAAAATATTTAGAGTTCAATTTTTTTTGATAATTTGTTAATGTTCAATTTTCACAAAAAAATCTTTAATCGCTATGCCAAGCATTCAATGAGTTGATGAATATAGATGCTTCCTGCCTCTAAGTACGTTGATCTGTTGCTAATGAGAAAATGATTCCTGTTTTTGTCCACACATCGACCAAGACTAATCTGACTGGACGGTCATCATAATTAAACGGCTGGTAAATCCAGTTTAGCAAGTTTTTTTCCAAGTAATGACCATCACCTGTAGATGACACTGTAATACCAAGATAACTGGATATTGAATATGACGATTGTGTGTGTCGTAACATTAATAGATGATAGCTTCACAAAGTTGGACTGTTCCAGTCCATCAACCTTATTCATTCATTATTAACAATTATGGATTGAATCAATATTGACTCAATGAATAAACATGAGCAAATACAATGGCAATGTTTGTCTAAGTCTCTGCCAGATTTATTGTTCCTGGAGCATCACATAACCTATGATTTTTTTCATAACTCTATTCAATTTTATTCAAGCCCAAATATTGGTTACTAAAAATAAATTCAGATAGATGATACTGTTTACTTCTTGCCTTATTCTTTGTCTATTAAAGTTCAAATTTTTTTATTTACATTGCATATTGGCTTCATTTTCAATAATTTTAAACGAGAGCAAAATGGAATTTATTCTAAAATTTAAAAATAATATTGTAAACATTATGAAAAACATTTTCGCAGATGATGATAGTCAACAACATCAATCGCATTGATGCATTATAAAATTTTTTTCATTATATTATGGACAATTGTTCCATTCATTGATCCAATGATTTAGATTATCATAAAGATTGGCGCCATTCTCGCATGGTACATAACCTTCATTGGTTACATTGTAAATATTTCGGTAATTGGATTCGGCCAACAATGTTATTCTTTTCTGAGCATGTTTCGGAATTTCGATCAACCATTTCATACGGCAATCATTACAACGAAATTCACATTCTGGTTCAAGGTATACACGATTGGTTGATTTATCCAAAAATGGTGCAAATATTTGTTCATCCAAATATTTCATATTCCAATAGCAACCACCGATTTCAGCGAATGATAAATGAACAGGACGTTGGGCACCATTCATGGCCATAAATGCAAAACTATTCTCATTCAAATTGTTAGCCACCATTGTTAAACGTAATGGATGAAAACTTGTGTAATTGGTAGCAAATGCATATTTGTCTACTAAAATAATGTTGTTGCCATCGATTCGTAAGTCTTCCAAATTAGGTAGATTAACAAATGCAAATGATCCTATTGCTTTAATGTTGTTACCGTATAAAACAATTTCTTTTAAATAAAATTGATTTTGAGCGAACGCCATTTCAGGAATATATTCGACGGTACAAGACCAAACAAAAAGACTACGAAGATATTTAAGGCTATTAATAGCTTCGAAAGTTTCGGGTAATCGATCATTAGCGAAATTCGCACCTGATATTCGCAGCTTTTGCATTGTAGAATTTGCAGGAAATGCATGTCGAGAAATATAACGAAGTCGAGATGCCTGTTCAATATGTAATTCGGATATTGCTACATCACCGAATGAATTAAGTGCTAATTCAGTCACGTTTCGTAGGATGACCTCATCAAAATACCATCGTGGATGATGTTTTTTTGATGAACTGCTTTCATTCAGTGCTTTCATCGCAACTAATTTTTGCAAACGATTAAATATATTGGTCACATTGTAAACAATTCCACGTTGATTGATACAACGAATTTGCAATAGTTGTCGATCAATCCCGAATGGCATTAATTGATCTTTTCGTACATTACATTCACATGGAAAAATAATTTCTGAAAATAAATCTCAACAATAATTCGATATAATTTTTTATTTGCGTGATTACTTACCTTTAGGAGGACAAATATTCTTACGAGAGGCAATATGTACTTCTGTAAGATTTCGCATCAATCCTAATGGTGCTTTCATTGGTTGAGTTCGATATGGTTCCAATCCAGTATTGTAGGCATAAAAATATTTTAATGAATTTGTGACCAATTTAAATGAAGCCGGATGAAGATGTTTCAATTGTGGAGCATCTTCGATGATTAAATGTCGAAAACGAATATCGGCGAAAAAATGCTTGGTTATTTTACGAACAGCATCCATATTGGTTAGATGTAACCAATCAAAATATTTTGAGTGACGATTGCCTAAACGTTTACTTAAACGTAATAATATGTTTTCAAATCTACGTTCATATTTAAAATCCGACCCATTACATCGCAATAATGTTCGAAAGAATAAATCATTATGATGTTCAAGACATTTGCAGGGACGGACAAGTTCTGTAGGCGGACAACCAATATGTTGTTGTGGACGAACATTGACAAATGAATCTGCCAGTGGCAAGAAATGTTCATCTGTAACCGTTTTGTTGATAATATTGGAATCACTTGAAGCAGCAAACATTTGATTTGATTTTGGAGGTGAAGTTATTATAACTGTTGAATCATTCGTTATGGATGATACAGATCTACCTATTATCTGCTGTCGATGTAAGTGATGATGATCGCGACCATTATAAAGATTATGATATTTTAAGTAACGACGATTATCAGTCAATGATTTGGCTGCAGTGTCCGAAAAAAAAGGGGAAGGCCATGATAACGATATTGTTGAATCATCTAAATCATAAGATGCTGCCGTTCGATCAATAGGCCCAGTATCGATCAAGAATAATAACATTAATTGTAATTCGAACATTTCAACAATTCGTTGATGAATTCTATGAAATGTGATCATCATTTCTATTCACTATAAACAGGTTCGATTTGAAATTTTGTTGACAAATATCCTTTCCGTTCGGATTTGTGTCCGATCCTCCATGGAACGAATGAATGTCGTGATCGTCAAACATTTATCGCGGCCAACACCACTTGTCCGTCGTTGTCATCATGACAACAGTATTATCTATTCGAATAAGATTCAGATGTGATGTATGTAGTTTATGGTGAAATAAAAGAATGCAATAGATATGTCGTTTGACAGGCAACGATTGACAATCGACAACAAATCACATATATATTACATACACACGCGCGCATATTGTTTGGCCAAAATATCTGAATCTTGTCATCATCATCATCATTCGTCATTTTTCCTACTCTTTTCATGATGTCAAACCATCTTTATATCAATAGAAGATTGGTTGTCATCCTATTCGTTTTCTTGTCCAAAGTATGGCTTATCTGCATCCCATCCCATTGTAAAACTTTTAGCATTTATTATCATTATTTTCTTTTAAACAAAATCCATATTGTCATTCTTGTTTTTTTTAAAGAAAGGTACGGGTTTCATTTATTTTATTTTCTCTCACATTCGTTTGGTATCCGGTATGAAAACAATCTATACCGAATAGGAATGTAATGAATAAAACAAAATTGGCCTCCGAAACATCAAAAAAATAAAATAAAAATAAAAGGATTTAAATCACGCATGTACCACGCGTTATTTAGACTATAGATAGAAACTTGGTATTATTTTGGCACGATTTCGATCGCCCGATATACGAACATCATAATGCGTATATCTCAAAGAATTTTTTTCAATAGATTATGTTTAAAAAGCCTTATAAATAGCCTGTAAAGGCGTTGGTTTCCATTTTCAATAATAATAATAGTAATAAATATACATGATGATCATATTGTACCATAATCAACTAAAGTAGATTGATACAAACGAAAAAAAAATATCAACTATATCAGCCCAACCAAATCGATCCGCATCAACAATGACGATGGAAGATTACTTTCACCATCATCATCATCATCATGAATGTTTTGTCATTTCGATTATAATATCATCACAATACATTGATTCATAATACAAAAAATTCATTCATTTTTCGCAGTGCATTACTCCGATTATTTTTTTCATTCATTTTAGTCTGAATAGAAATGGGATCGATATTATTATTATTATTTTGTTTGTATTATTCTCAAATTGAAAATGAACCAAATGTTTATCAAACCAAATCGATTAATGATTTATAATAATTGAATCGGTCAGTTGTGGTTGGTTGCATGGTTTTTCTTATTTTTTTTTTCACCCAACCACCACATATGTCAAACAAGAATGTGAAAAGCTTTTGCAATTCCGTTTTAAATAAATTATGAAAACACACCACACACAATTTTTCTCACCAATTTCCTTTCAAACAAAATTAGATGTTTATATATAATCAGTACATAAATTTAATAGCTAACAATGTGGCGATCACGGCTGCTATGGTTGCCGCTCCAGCCACTGTGACCATGGCTAAGAAATTATCATTGTTTAATAATGGTCGTTTAACTAAAATCAAATCATTGCTTTTTTCATTTGGTTTCGGGAGCTGTTGTTTCGTTTGTTTTGCTTTGCTTGTTTCCAAAATATGACGCAATCGGTATAGATTGGCCAAATGCAATTTTTGTCTATGTTTTAGTTGTTCGATTTGATTGAATAATCGTTTTCGATTCGCTTCCAATTCTTCTTGTAATTGTTTGCGCTGTTGTTCCTCTTTGCTTTCAATTGTCAAATATTCAACAACAGGAGGTGGTGGTGGCAATTTTTCAAATTCTAATTCCAAATTGACTAAATCTTCGCTTGTGCTGGTGAATTCTTCTTCTTCGATATAAAAATCGACCATTTTCTGTCTAAAAATTTCATCATCAACTTTTTTATCAGATTGTATTTTTTGATGTTGCTCCTTGGATTGGAAGGATTTAGATTCGGATAATTGTTGATCAATCAAATCAATTTTGGGTGTCTGTTTGATTTTTGCTTTTGATAATAAATTTTGTAAAGTATGTAATCGAGTTAATGTCACGGTCTTTGGTGCTTGTTCAGTTGTAACATTAGATACCAATTTTTTTCGATACAATTTTCGTTTGCTTGCGGGTGATGACAATTTATTCATTTTACTGTTGTTGTCGTCATCACAAATTTGATTTAACTTATTGATCATTTCGTATTTTGTGGAATCATGCGACTCGACAATAGGTTGTCGTATAGGACTTGATTTAAATTCGTTTGAATTTGTTTCAAATCGCAATGTCTTCGGTTTGTCAATAATGATTGACGGACTCGAATCGAATTTCTTTTGCAATGATTTTGGCAAAGATTTATGTTCCATTAATTTGCTACTGCAGCTGCTTTTTGGAAACGATGGAGACAATTGAATTGTCTTGGCCTCGGCAGCATCTTGTTGATTATCATTCGATGCCGATGATAATTTTTCCAATGGCATTAACGTTTTTGGTGAAGCTCGAATCAAATAATATTGATCTGTTTCTTCTTTTTGAGAAACTGGGCTAAGCAATTCGGCTTCAACCATCACATCTTCTTCACCTGATGCTGAACTTGACGATGTTATAATCACTGTTTTTGTTTCGAGTGGTTCAATTTCCATCTGAATTGATCGATTAGAATTAATATCGTCAATCGTCACGGTCATCGATTTGTCATCCTTTGATTGTTTCATTATGGGTTGATCAATAATAGATGGTGATGCAATTGCCGATGAATTTGATAAAGATGTAGGAGTCACAATGGCAGTATCAATACTAGCAATTCGTTTTTCATTCGATTTCAATGATAATTTTTTTTCTGTAGATTTTTTTAATTGTTCCAAGTTTTCTGTTGATGTTGTTTCAGTTGTTTTCACTTTCGATTCAATATTCAATATTGTTTTGGCTGGTGGACTTTTCATCGTTGCTCGATCATCAAAAGATTTTAATGGTGGTGGAGTTACAGAAAATTTTAATGTAGCAGGTTTTTTTGATACAGATTTGATTTCGCTTTCATCTGTAATCAAAGAAGAAATCAAACGCTTGTTGGCAATGATCTCATTCTCATTAACTGATGATTGAGTTTTGATTGATGATTTTGGTTTTGGCGAAATCATTATGCTTTTGGATAAGGAATTCAACGGTGAAGATTTTGGTGTAGGTAATGGACGTTGAAGATTTTCAAGTTGTTCCTTATCGTTGTCGATGATCGTCGTGTCGGCAGCGAATATTTTTTGATCTGATTGTTGTAGATTGGTCTGTGTTGATACATCATCTTTCACTTCAATATCTTGTTGTTGCTCTTTTATCACATCAATATTATATTTTTCCACACCGCTTGGTAACGATTTTGGTTGTTCTGCCAATTTTGTTGGACCCTTAGGTTCGACCATACTTTCCAATATCATTCGAGATAGAGAAGGATCAACTTCAAGTGCTGTTGAACTTTCATCAGCATCACTTTCGTCGATCGATGATGATGATGCTGATTTGAAACTTTCTTCCGGTGACATTCCTATTTTATACGATTTTTGTTGTTCCTTTATCACTTTATCAACGAGAGATGTTTTGATTGATTCATAATAATCTTCACTCAGTTTTGGTTGCTGTTGTTTATTCGAACTTTCATTTGTAAGGGCTAAATCCGGTTGTTGAGTTGCAGATGCTGCTGATGATGATGATGATTGAACTTCCAAAGCAGATTCCTCTTCTTGCTTAACTGATTTTTTTGACTTACTCATAGCAGTTTGAAAGTTTGACTTATATGATGAAGTTTTTGATTCATTAATCATTGTAGAAAAGAATGGAGATTCTTCTTCTGTTATCGGGGATCTATCATTTGATTTTTCAAAATTATAATTTTCAACTTGATTTGAATCATCCTCGATCGTATCGTATCTTTCGCTTTTAATCGAATCATCTTTGGATAACGACGGTGCAGGTTTAAATCCTAATGAATGAGTTGTGGATTGCTTATTCGGAGTCTTTGGCAGTGGAACAGTTGGTAACGTTTTCAATTGTTTTGATGAATGTTGAATACCAGTTGGCGTCACATATAAACTATATGGTTTTGATGATGATTGTTGTTGATTTTGTTGCAAATAACTTTTTGATTCCAATTGTTCAAGATATTCTCGAAGACATTCAACTAGATCATCGGGTACAGTAAGTACCAAAGATGATTCAGACTTTTCATCTTCGTCTATATCAGATAATTCTGATCCTTAACGATAATAATGAATGAGTAAAAGTAATACAACAATACATCTACTTACCTGAAGTTGTTTTGAATGGATCAATCAAAGGACTTTTAACACTTTCTTTTATGGTCTTTTTAGGAAAAACTGCTGTATCGACTTTGTCCTTTTCGATATAGGCAGAAAAAATTAACTGTTCATTCGGTGTGATATACATTGATTGACGTTCGATTTTGTCTTCTAATCTATCCGCTTCTTTGTCGTTAGTTTCCATTAATTTTGAATCTAAATTTATTGTTTTTACTAATTCCTGCGTTTCATAACGATCAAGAATTTCATCATAACTTTTTATTTCTGTTTTTGCTCGCCGATTTTTACGCTTTCTTTTTTGTTTTTTTCTTTTACCTGTATCTTGGTTTCCCAAATTAATTGCTTCAATCTCCTCTGGTATGAATTCTTTGGTCAATGATGAACGCATTAAACATTCTCTAGCTCTTTGCGTCATTCCAGATTCCGATGTTTGGGAACACGGTGGCTCAATTGTTCCTTTGATCCAATTCTCATGACTTTGTTTCGTTACATACAGTAATTGATTACGATTTTTGCGATTGCGTTCAATACGTACGTAGGTCCGTTCTACATGTTCTTTAACAATATCCATTAAAACACTATTTTCTTCGTTAACTGCCACAGCCGTTTTTATTGAAGATTTGCCATCATTTGAAGAATTGCTGCCTCCATTACTTTCAGTAGTCGCACTTGTACTATTTTCATCGTTGACCGATTGCTTTTCCGGCGAAGAGGAGGACATTGGTCAATTTAGTTTTTTTTTTGTACAATCTACTATTTGACACAGTAGTTGAATAAAACATACACGCACACACTAACAAATGGTTCATTTGTTTCCATTTGCTTCTTATAAAGGCTACTGAATTGTTAGGCTAATATAGAACGAAATTCGATTATAATTCACTGATTTCAGCTGTTGTTAAACTAATTGATCAATTCTATTGTTATTTTTGATTTTTCACATTCCATGTATATGCACAATTTGTGTGTTATTTGATTTCCGATTATCAATTTCACAATTCGAACATAAAGTTTAGAATCTTATCGCAATTTATTTTATATTGTCTTCTTTTTGGACATGAATTGTTCAATGTCTAGTTTACGATCCATCAATAGCTAATTGATTAGATTTAGTTTCTTTCGTTTTTCTGGTCTTGACTTTTGTTTAGTGTATTGAGCTAGAATATTCAAAGAGGATTATATTAGTAATTTTCAATGAAACTAAACGAAATTCCATCCAGTTCAATGTTGAAAACAATACCTCGGCTGTATTTCGGAACAAATAATAATGAGTTTGACATTTTGTTTTTTTCAAGTTTTTTTTTGTTCCCACTGGATGATGGCTAAAATGAATTGTTTTTATGTTGGACGCAGTGTGTTTCTCTTCAGATTTATTCGTGCCTCTCAACTAAAAATAGTCTCTCAGAATTTATTTTTTTCTTTAAAGATCAGATTTGTCATTCAGATTTCATGATGCATGCACATGAATCAAATTAAAGTGTACAAAACAGACCAACAACACACGCAAACAGTAAGCAAAGAGTTGTCAAATTCTAACAAATATACAGAAAATCGCATGATTTAATTTCACATTCCAAAATGGAGTTACGTAAATTTATATGCATAGTACAAGCTAAACACCAAGCAACCCAAAGTGTGATCTATGTGAGAATTCATATCAAAAACTGTAAAGACTAAACATGAACGTAATTAATATCATTTTTGATTAAATGTAAACTATTCTGCAAAAAAAGCAGCTAACAGAATTCTAATCGTTAAAACTTGATCTAATATAAGTATGATAAGTATATAATATATGGTCAAATTTTTATTTTTTGTTATTCAAATTGATTGATTCATATTATTTATTCATTTCATTAGGAAAAACGATCATTGCATCGATCAGAATGATAGATGTTTCATTGACAATACACAACTGGCATTGCATTTTTTTCATCTGATGGTTTCAGTGTTTCTACTCATTGTGACTGTTGCCGATTGGAGATAAGGGAATCATTATTTTATAGAATAAAACATAGAACATCCATATTGTTCAGGTGTCCAATTATATTTAAGCTATGATTATGATTGGCAATTTTCACATTCATTCATTCTAATTTGATTTGATCATGATGGTCAAATTACGTATCATGGAATCGAGACAATCCTTTGCATGAAATAAAATGTTCATCCATATTAGTTATCAACGTTGACATTACATGATTGCAGCTGTATAGTGATAATTAATTTTGTTTCATGCTCGAATGTCTTATTGCAATTTATGATCAAGATGATTATTATAACGGTACAAATGATTTACAAATAAATATATCAACATTTAGATTAATTTTTGATCCAATTGTGTCATATGTATGTTGTTGAGTGTATATTTTGGTGTCTGGTTTTTTTTCATTCATAGCGCAAGCGAAACTTTTGTTTCAGAAATGCTTATATAGCCCAAACAAGCCTGCTAACACAACCAATCTTTCTGTTTGGACCTCTACTATGATGAGCGAATAAGTTACAATGTTCCAATCCAGAAAACAAGTAAATGGAATAATATTGTCTAATCAGTAACAATCCAGAATTCAAGTACAACAGACACACATGCACAATCAGAAAAGGATTATGTTGATAATCGTATCTTCATAGCAGATAAAGATCGAATCATAAGTGAACATTGTTCATCATTTTATAAAAATGACAAATTAACATTTGTTTTCTTTCATGATTCTAACAATACAATCATTTTTATCGATGAATCCATACATACATTTTACAAAGATGTCAAAAGTTCGCCATCATCTTCAAAATCCTTCTGATGTTTCATTTCCAGACTATGAGCATCAAAAGTTATTCGAACAGATTCGCCGGACATCAACACCATGTCATCGACAATTACCATCATTACCATATCATTATCATCATCAACGATCAACACCATCTCCATCGCCACCGACATTGATGATAACCAATAGTGGAGATATGATTGACAATCTTTGTGATGTCACATCATCCATAACACTTATGAAAGAAAGGCCATCAATAGCAATCGATTCTCAAGATTTGAATCCATATTCAAATGATAATGAAAATTGCTATCGTTTTTATGAACAAAAACCTGACCATACACATTTTCGCCAAAGGTAGGCCATAAAATAAATCAAACTGTTTCAAATAAATAATATCAAAATTCATAGGGCATCATTCAACAGTGATTGCCTAATGATACAGCCATTAGATCAAAGGAATATTTCATTAAATGAATCAGATGAATCATTCGTTATTCCTCGGCGACATAGCAGTGCAATGACAACCGTTGTTTCAAAAACACCATTTTGTATATCTAATAATATACATTGCACTAGAGATCTATCACCACGATCCAAATCAAATAATAATAATAACAATAACCAATGTCTTTCTCTCAATGACGATATTAACCTTCGTAGACCAAGTATGCCGACAACGTTTCATTTTCTTCCGGTAAGTTTATGTTTGAAATGTTTTATTTTATCTAAGAATATTTTGTAAAATAATTTAGTAATTTTTTTTCATTTTCAAATACTACAACCTTGAATTATAATTATCATTTATGACATTACATCTTTTTATTAGCCCAAGATTAAATCGTTTCACGGCCACAAATCGTTTATAATGACAAATGATTAGAGAAAAAATTTATATTTTTTTTGTAGTTAATGTTATTAAATTACATAAATAATTAATATTATTAATTGTATTTATGACGATGTGAGGTAAATGAAAGTGCTTCACTTTGAATACCTAAATTCATTATTTTGCCTAAACATTTATAATCGTTTCATTGATCAATTTAGTTCATGTGTGTTTTCAAAAATGAAAATAAATGAATGAACGAAATGTTCATATGTATTGACGGTAATGGTTCATTTCCTGTGTATTGATTGTAAAGGCTGACTAAATTGTCGTAATTTATTCTCATTTGAACCATTAGAACACGGGTAAAAATAGTGAATTCATTCTCGAAATACTTGATATATCTCATACTATACTCGAGTAAAATTATCATGGCGTCATGTTTTTTCTCTTGATTATCTTTGTTTTTTTCTTCGTATTATGAACATTATAAACAGTCAATTTTCATATTTATGAACACAACTTGTTTTCTTTCTCTCTTTTCCTTTTTATATATCTTACTTTCGATATTGATGAAACTAGTTTGAGTTCTTGTCTCTTCTCTTTTTTTTGGTTGATCAATTGTTATATTTTTTGAGTCGATTTTGTCATTTGTCTTCGGTAGCTGAAAGTTGTCATTTTTTCTTCTTTTTCAACTTGTTTAAAATCGATTCATTGTTGTCGTCTTTTCTTCTTTAAACATTATTACATTTTATTTCAGGAAAATTTATGAAGACATATAGTTTGTTTATGTCAACAATTTTGATTAAATGTTGGAACTAACAAAAAATCAAATCAACAACTCTTTTGGTGATTGACAAACGTAAAACGACGATTCAGCAATGTGAATTTGTATATTCGAACAACATCCATATAAAATTTATAAACCAGTGTTTGAAAAAATCATTTATTGATAATTGTTGTAAATAAAATTGTTCCACAATGGAAGCTTGGTTTGATACTATACGACCCATACGAATACCTCGTCCAAAATTGATGTCCAATAGAACGACCATCGATATAAATATACTTGATGATCATGGTAATCAAGAACATATGGCGCCATCTATTACATCCATGGCATTAAACAGCAGCAGCAATGGTAATCATAATAATTCGGATATGATTGTCACCAAAATGAACAACGGTTCGATCAACAATGAATCATATCCAAGAGAACCTTGTTGTTGACGATAAATCGATCAACAACCTAAACTCATTCTATCATTTTCTCGACAAATTTTTGTTGTTGTTTTTTTGTCTCATGAAACGATTTTTTCCGGTCTTATTTTGTTGAATAAAAAAAAATTCTATTTGTTCAAATTCAATTATCAACAGCAATGATTCAATTTGATTAAAGAATTTCTGTGTAATATATTGATGGGGAGAGAATCGAATTGGATGGAATTTTGTTTAAAAATAGATTGATGAAGCTATTTTCATACACTATACAACAAATTCATTTATGGTAACAAAAAAAACTGACCTGTCAGACATTATCAGGCTATTTTTGGATGATATTAGCGTTTTACACTACCATCATTTATGTTTTCAATTTTAACAATAACAAATTCCAAAAAAATATTATAATTTTTTTTCCTTTTACTTTTTTTTAATGATAACCATTTTTTTAGGTTTTGAAGCTAAAATTTGTCATGAATGAGATAAGCAAACAGAATTCTTTTGCACTACAATCCATATCTCATGGACATTGACGGGTTTAAATGAGATTTTGAAATAGAGAAAAGTGGACGATTTAATCGGATGAATGAATTGATGTCATCATCATTCATCAAATAGTTGAAAAAAAATACGAACGAAAACAAGAACAAGCGAATAGTTGTTTCGAACGTGACCTAGTGTCCTGTTGTCATTACTGATGATGATGGTGACATTTATGCCAAGATAGTCGACATAATTATGGCTTTCTGTTGCATTAACATTATTCAATCGAATTCTTAACATGTAAAACATAAATATAGTGTCCTGTTTGTCAACATGATAATAACAGTGATAAATGGTCATTTTACATGTTTCATTTTTTTACTTTTCTTCAATTTTTCATGTTTCAACCCTAATTTTATAAATATCATTAAGTTCTGGTTGCCATGTATTATTTCACTTTATAATGATGAATATTTAATCATTATATTTGTTTGAAAAAATCTACAGGTAAATAATGAAAGACGGCGACAATCACAACAACATACTAACAATTTAACGACAACGGTCACAACGGCTACATTATCCACACCATGTTCATCACCATTGAGACGAGAAAATCATGCACAATCATTAATGTCCCATAAGCGGCAATCATCACCATCTTCAGAAACTATTCTGAAAGGAAATGAAACATTTAATCAGGAATCAATGAATGTAGAACAAATGACCATTGAACGTCAACAAATAGACGAACAGGATATTGATGAAATTGATCAGAATGATTGTAATAGACCAGTAACAAGTATTAGCGTCGATCGAAATCATGATTTATTGCAGATACCGAGCATACATCATGAATCTGTCGATCCAAACGAAAGCTCGGATCAATTATCTGAATACTGGCCAGATGAAACGTGGTATCTACAGGGTCATCATCATTTACCTGTTCGTCGGCATAGATCATTGCCTGCCACATCATTTACATCGGCTCCATTGTATGGAATATCATCTCGTGCTAATCAACAACGGAGTTCTTCTTTTCGTGTTAGGGTAAGAGTGATAGTTATCAATAAAATCAAAAAGTAAATTGATCTGTTATATGTTGCTTATCGATGACAGAGTAACAATCGCCTGGTTCATCAGGAACCAAACGGCCGTTGGAGAATCAAAGTGAAAAAAAGTAGACCATTTCTTGGTATTGCTATCGAAGGTGGATCGAACGTATCCACTCAATCACAACCAAGGATTATTAATATTCAGGTTTGATTATTAATATTTTAATGATATTGATCATACAAATCAATGAGACAATTTTCATCCAAAAGGAAGGCGGTGCCGCAGCGGAAAACCTACATGTTGGTCATATTATCTTAGAGGTGGATGGACAATCAACTCAGCTGATGAACCATGCACAAGTGGCACAAATGATCGCCCATGCCTATTACAATACACCCGAAAAAGATTACGTGGAATTTCTCGTTCGAGAAAAATCTCGAAATGAATTTGATCTTCGACGATCATCATTTATGTTATTAAATAATAGTTTTGAATAATCAAAACATGGTTGTAATTTTTTGAAACATTTGTAATTTTCTTACATTGAAAATAAAATCTTCAAATTTGAATGTGCCCAAGTAAATTCTTAATCAATTGAACTATGATTGAAAAAATGGCCAGATGAATGATTGTTTCCCATATAAACGGATTTTAATCATTTTTTTTCTCTTTTTTGCTGCGTTTTACTTTTGTATTAACAACGCTATTCATTCATTTAAAGTATGATTATTGTATAGCCTTCAAAATGGAACGATCAATTTCATAAAGTTTTGGCCAGTTATAAAACTAATGATTGATTCGGTCTGTCGTTGCGTTTTGGCCCCGACAACACAGCCGTTGTTGGCAATTGTTGTTTTTTTTTCTGATTTTTTTCGTTTAAATCAAACAAATGCAGGAGGAAAAAATGATCGAGAAGAAAACTTTTTATGTTTTTTTCAATTGAATTTGCAATCATTGTTAAAAATATGTCCATTGAAAATCTAAATAAATAAAATAGCGACATTCAAATCATCATGTCTATAAAATTAATTTTCATTTCAATAAAACAGGTAAATGGCCATGATTAAGTCTGCTGGAAAGTTTTCAGAATTTTCAGCTTGGTTTTGTGCTCATAAACTTTTCGAAAATTATAATGTATTGCCATGCTGATATTGAAATCCATTGTGAAGCCGGATTGAAACACACGCCTTGTCGAATCATTTGATCTGATTAGATTTATATTTTAACTTGTTAAAACATTTTTGATATTAATTGATTATTCATTTGGTGAAAATGTCAGCTGTACAAAATTTACTTTCAGTTGCTGGACAGCGTATTTCGGGACAGAATGTCCGTACACAAAATGGTTTGCTATTGTTTATTTGCACTATAATTATAATTATTGATGATTGATTTTCATAGTCATGGCAGCCTCTGCAATTGCCAATGTTGTCAAATCTTCGTTGGGACCGATTGGATTAGATAAAATGCTTGTTGATGATATTGGTGATGTGACCATTACGAATGATGGTGCAACCATACTTAGCTTATTGGAAGTGGAACATCCAGCTGCCAAGGTTCTTGTTGATTTAGCTCAATTGCAAGACAAAGAAGTTGGTGATGGAACAACATCGGTGGTTATTATTGCTGCTGAACTACTTAAGAATGCAGATGAATTAGTTCAAAACAAAATTCATCCAACATCGATCATTTCGGGTTATCGTTTAGCCTGCAAAGAAGCTGTCAAATATATTCAGGAAAATCTTTGCCTTTCAGTAGATGACCTCGGTAAAGACTCTATAATTAATGCGGCCAAAACTTCATTGTCATCCAAATTGATTGGATCGTAAGTTATTATTTGAAATAGTTTTTTTGTCCCATGAACTTTATCCATTTTACTTTGCATTTATAATTTGTGAAATGGATTATACGCTGGGAGTAAAGAAATTTCGGTCATATCCAATATTTTTTTCATGAAATTAATTACTAATTATCATTTTAATTAATTGGTCTCATCGAATATTGTTATTTCTTAGTGATTCGGATTTTTTCGCGAATATGGTTGTCGATGCTGTGACCATCATTAAACAATCCGATGGTCGTGGTGGATTTAAATATCCAGTAAAAGCTATTCGTGTGCTCAAAGCGAACGGTAAATCGATGCGCGAATCGATGCTTATCAATGGATTTGCATTGAACTGCGTCATTGCAATGCAAGGTAAAGAAATTATATCCTTTGTTTTTTGTAAAATTTCCAAAATGATTAAAAATTATGGTCAATTGATGCAGCTCGCAAATGATTGTGATTCTGTTATCCATGTATATGAGAATAAATTGATATCAACATGATAGATTCATTGATAATCAGTTACTAATGATTGAAATTTTTTTTTGTTCAAAAACAGGAATGCCAAAATATATAAAGAATGCAAAGATTGCCTTGTTGGATTTTTCACTTCAAAAAGCAAAAATGAAAATGGGAGTTCAAATGTTAGTAACGGATCCGGACAAATTGGAAGACATGCGTAAACGAGAAAGTGACATAACCAAAGAACGAATATTGAAAATTATCAATGCCGGCGCCAATGTTATTCTTACGACCGGAGGTATTGATGAACTCTGCCAAAAATATTGTCTAGAAGCTGGTGTGATGGCTGTACGTCGTTGCCGAAAAATTGATTTGAAACGTATTGCGAAAGCTACCGGTGGTCAATTAATCTCCAGTTTGGCTAACATGGAAGGTGAAGAAACATTTGAAGCATCAATGTTGGGTGAAGCTGAAGAAGTTGTTCAAGAACGAGTGTCCGACGATGAGCTCATAATGGTGAAAGGGTAAGTATCAATTCTAATGAAATGATGATTTATCTAATGAATTCAAATTCAATCATAGAACAAAAAATCATAATTCAGCATCAATCATTCTTCGTGGTGCAAATGAATTCTTTCTTGATGAAATGGAACGATCATTACATGATTCGTTGTGTGCTGTAAAACGTGTGCTTGAATCAAAAAAAGTCGTACCAGGTGGAGGTGCGGTTGAAGCAGCTTTGTCCGTCTATTTGGAAACCTTTGCGACCACTATTGGATCAAGAGAACAGCTGGCCATCGCTGAATTCGCAAAATCTTTGTTGGTAATACCAAAAACTTTGGCCGTGAATGCGGCTAAAGATGCAACTGATTTAGTGGCTAAACTTCGTGCCTACCATAATAGTTCTCAGCAAAAATCCGAGCATGTTGCATTGAAAAATGTCGGCCTCGATTTAATTGAAGGTTCAGTCAAGGATTGTATAAAGATGGGCGTTCTTGAACCGGCTATTTCTAAAATTAAAAGCTTGAAATTCGCCACCGAAGCTGCAATCACTATTTTACGAATCGATGACTTGATTAAACTTCAAAAAGATAAAGAAGATCACAGATATGGAGGCGATGAATGCTATGCAGGCGATGATTAAATTGAATTATTTCATTCGATAATTAATTTTTTTTCTAAATTTATAAAATTCTTAATAAAATGATTGGAATTTTCATTTTCAAATGAATTCGTGTTGTGTATTTTTATTAACAATTATTCAAGTACAATGGACCAACAATTGACTGTGCCTAATACTGTTAAACAATTTCAAAGCTTAGAGAAATCAGCAGCGAAAATTCGCCTGCTGGATTTGAACCGAATAATTGAAAAACCATCATTGAAACAGTATGATCAATCGTCCCGTAAAATTGTCGATATCGATTGTCAAACAGGATGTACAACCGCTTCATTGGTCGCATCATTCCCATCCGCATTTGTAATGGGAATTGATTCCGATGAAAATATGATTCATTACGCCCAAAATCATTATAAACAATCTGGCCATTTCATCAAGGCAGATGTTCGTAAGTCGGATTTCAGCCAACCTCTTAAACATTATGCTGGCGAACCGTTTGCCGATTTGGTCACTGCCATCCATTCGTTTCAAATGATGGATCCAAATATCGAAACTATATTGGCCAATTTGAATTCTATTCTAAAACCAGGTTAGCCTTGAAAAACTTGATGAAAAAAAAATCTAAAAATAATTATATTAATGATGCATAGATGGCATATTATGCGCGACATTTTCATTCTGGAGTGATCTGTTTCGCATAGGAAATGAAGTCTTCCTGTCCGACGATATGTCGTTGCGGTTATCAGATGAATCGGCGTATAAATTTACCAAACCAGATTGGCCTAAAGAAATGGATAAATTGAAGCAATTGCTAGCCAAATACAGATTTCGTACAGACAACTTATCCGTAATGGAATTGGTTGAACAACGAATTGAGTTCGACACGTTGAAACGAATACAAGATTGTATCCGTTTCATTTATCCATTAACTCCATTTGTGCCTGAATCGAAACGTTTGAGATTTTTCAGCAAATTTTTCGACAATGTTTATGATCATTCAATGTCAGATGGTTGGCAACAGGAACATGAAACATATCATTTTCGTTACCAGTATATATCGCTTCGTACCGCCAAATATGGGCCCGGTAATCAATAGATATTCTTGATAATGAATGTTTGTATGATTAGAACATTGTCTAGTTTTTTTTGTTTATTTTCAATGAACTAGCATCATTAATTTTAATACAATTCAAACACTTGACATTTGATTATGATTGATTCAATCGTTGATTGCTGTTGATCTCATTATTAATACTAGCAATATGATTCTTAACATGGTCAGCCTGCTTTGAATGAATAAATGATTTTAAAAAGAGAGATGGACAGAACAAAAAAAACAAATATTCAATGTGTGTCGTGTCATGTCAGTCAAAATAGCAGAAATAGAACAAAGAATATCCTAAGTTTTTGTCAAAATATAAACCACATACTTCGCGAGCCATTACATGTTGTCATCATCATCATCATCATCTATAGTTGTTTGACTTGACACGATCAAATCATGACCGAACGGCATGACAATCGATGATGTTGATGTGGATCCAATCCACCTACGACGATCCTTTTTTTCACCATTAGCTAACATCTGCCATTATATTTACATGTCGAATGGCTGTGGTTCTTTTGTTTAATCTGTCATGTTTTTTTTATGTAAAATTTTTTCATTCATAAACGATTCGAGAATTTCTCTTTCATTCATTCACAAAGATTTTTTCGATCTTTATTTTTCTTTAGTTGTGGCGGCTCAAGCAAACCAAAAAAAAAAATCCGTATTTGTTTTGGACAGGAGCAATTGCAAACAAAAACTACGATGTGTGTTACTTGTTGTTGTTTGTTCATCAAAAAAATGAATATGATGACTACGAGAACACACGGTAACTGGCCCACACTCTTTATGATGAGAATCGAGATGCGTTGTTGTTTTTGCTGCTGATTATGTTTGAGAGCAGGATATACACAAATCAATTCGATAACAAAAAATTTTTAGTGATTGATTGATTGATTGGTAACGTCATAACAACATTGTTGAATAATTTACATGTAAAAAAATGATAGTAAGTATTGCCAACACTTGACCATCATTGATCACACAAAGTGGAGGCGCATCAAAATAATATCGAATTTTGTTTTTTTTCCAACAAAACAAACATCTTAATCACACGGTGTCCAATATTTTGATGTTGATGATTAAATTATGTGTATAAAAGTACATGACCAACAACATATAATATCCATGTCGATCGTTTGATTGATAACACAGTGATCATCGGTTCTCATTATGTTTAAGGTGGTTATCATATATGATATATATAGTCAAAATTGATTTGAATTGTGATTATTTCATTGCTTTGGGTATTCAATTAAATCGAACCGATGAAAGAATTAAAAAAAAAATAGTGTCAACAATCGATGATGAGTTGAGCGCCCATAACTAAAAACTGATAAGTGAAAATCAGAAAAGGAATGATAATAATCATTATATAAAAGGCAAAAATGTTCATTCCCTTGCTGACCGGACTGTGAAATGTCGAACGAATCAGGAACGTTGAGCATAATTACCATAGTTCATAAAGCGTTTTTTTTTGCAATCTAATCAATTTTTTTGCATTCTTTATTGAAAAATGAAATTCTTTTCTACTATTTTCTTTATTTGTTACCATTTGCTAGTTCAATTCAAACGTTTTTATTATTATTATTTCGCAATGGTTTCCTCGAGTCGAAGATGAGCCAACGAAAAATTTTCATAAAAGTTATTCGATAGATGAACATCGGCGGCATCATTTCTCTGATGTTTCATGATAGCATTGAGAGAAAAAAAACAAGAGAGAGGGAGAGATGTGAATTTTGAACCTAAAGCTCGATTTATTCGTTTGATGTGTTTGCTTAACAAATAAAAAAAAACAAATGATGAGAATTCGATTCGATCGATTGATGAAAACAAAAATCCAGTAGTCGTTCGAACGAGAAATTCAATTGAAAAATTTACTCAGTTGTCCAAATGAATTAAAAAACAACAAAAAATTTCTTTGCACAATGAAGATTGGTTGTCGTTATCGATTTGTTTCAATTGAAATATTTATTTTTTGATTCATCAATAAAATTGATAATCCAGATTCGATGATAATGATAGATTGTAACTAAAAATTATCCAATAAGTATTGCATACATATTGAATTTAAGATAAATAATTCCACATTTGATTATATGTTTCATGGATCGTATTCAATCGATGTGTGATCATAGGTGAACATTGACAAACACGGTAGCAGATTGTCAGTTTTGTTGAACTTGTTGTTGGCAATGAAAAAAAACTTTCATTTGCTAAATCCATCCTAAATCATGGAAAACGACAATTGGGCACCCTACGGTGTTAAATGCAGAAAATCAGATACTGTCCGAAGAGAATGTTTGGTTTGTTGATTTCAACTAAATTTGTTTGTTTGTTTGTTTGTTTTTCTTGTTTTGATGCTGACCATGTCAATCACTCATCTTAGATGATGAAAGATAATTATATAGAATGGTCATCATTATTGAGCCATTCATGTGGTATGATGTGATATCAAAGGTGATGAACGAATTTTCAAATATCTGATTGATCGAAATAAGGCGATATGATTATGAAAAGATTCCCTATTCATAAGATAGAATGATCTGATGTTCGACTTTTCTATCATCAGATAAATTTGATTACGATGTATGAACGAATTAATCATTTTGACTTGTCATATAAATATTTGATTTACTTGTCAGATCTTGATTCTCTATCAAAATTCATTTCAATTTAGTTTTTTAAAGCCTGTCTTTAGACAGAATAATTTCTATATGTTTGTGTGTTACGAGACCGCAAGGTCCATCATGTACCAAAATTTATATTTCCATCGAATGAATATTATACCGGAACCAATATTGAGGTATTTCTTGAAAAAAAAATTCTCAAAATTTCATTGACAGTTCAACAATGTTTACATAGATGAAAACATTATTGAACAAAAAAGGTGAGGCAATAGAATGATGATGTAACTTGCAATGTTGTAGGCTTGCCAAGCATCAACAACAATAATATGAACACGACCTGAAAATTCGAGAAAAATTCAATATTGAAAGCTTCGAAATTCCGAATAAATAAATAAAAAATCGAATCGAATTGATGATTGTATGACATTGGACTCATCATTGTTTCAATACAGATCAGAAAAATGAGATGTATAAAATGTAAATGTAAAAAATATCGAATCGACAACTTTAGAAAAAAATAGTCTGTCTATTCGTCTAGTTTCGTTAGGCTTTCATTTTTACGACGTGACAATAACATCATAGAGTTGTAGTAAAATCATAAAATCAAAAAAAAATAAAAAAATAAAAATTCATTCATCGAATAACTTACTCGCCATTCATCAAATACTTTGTCTTCAATTGTATTCACATCCGAATTGATTTTCATATTACTTTAGTAGTTCAAAACAAAATCATCGGAAGTTTTTGTGATTGCAATAAAATTAAAAAAAAACAAGCATACGGCTATCGATCCAATTCGTTTGCAAAATCAATGAATAAAATGCTGCCTCTCTTACTCTTCTCTACTTTTTTACACTTACTATACATTCATTTATTTTACGATTTTTTTTCTTTTTGATTCGGTTCACTTTATTGTTATGTCATCTCATTTTTTTCTTCACATTTTGTTTTGTTTTTCAGACAAACAGTAGAAGTTTCATTTATTATATTTATTAATAATGATGATATTCAATGATAATGATATTGTCATTGTTACGCTTATAACTAAAAATAATTTTAGTTTCTAAATCATCATCATTCTTTCAGAATGAAATCCTCTCTTTTTTTCTTAGTCACAATCAGAATTCATTTTTTTTTGTATGGATTTTTTCATATATAAAGGCATTGAAATTGATGAAATAGAAAATTTTTCCAAAATAACATTTTCGAACAACAACAATCAACTTATGGTAAGTTTACTAAACTTTCATATGGATCACTTTATCAATATATATTCCGAAAAAAATTATATTGATTCCATTGTGTATGACTAAGTTGACCGTTGGGGTATATCATAATCATTTGTCAATTATAGCCACGTGTATTAGAGATTCTTGTGTGTGTGTGTGTGTATGTAGTAAGATAAATCCAAAGGGAAATATTAAATCAAAGAGACCAAATGATAACAACAACAAAAAATGTCAAACACGTATATACCCCATACCATTCAAAAAAAGGCAAATGGATTTTTATTAGCATAATAAAGTCATCACCACCAGAAATTTTTATAAGGCAATTTTTTTTGTCACTCTAGATGAAAATATCAACCAGAAAAAAAGGTCTGATTAGCATAACAACAACAGCCGTGAAATACATAATTCACGCATCGACGAATCTGTGAAAAAATGGAGATTTTTTTTCTTTCTTATTGGTCATCATCATCATCATCATTATCATCGACCAAAAACATTTGTCATTTACACTTGGTCATCGACATTGTTTTTATACCATTGATATCAAATTGATAATGTTTAGATTCAATCACTTATCAGTTTATGATTGATATAAACTTGATTGATTCTTTGATTCAACCATTCACTGTATCGCTTGATTTTTAGATGTTCAACTAGTGATAGTTTATTAGCTAAACAAAAAAAACTGTCGTATATTTTGGAAAACAAATGTGATCTTATTTTTCTGTTTTCAATGCCGACCAATTCGATTCGATGATGATGATGGTGATGATATGATGGCAAGATTGTCATCACTTGGGCAATCGACGCCGAATCAAATTGCAAAACTTGCAATAGTGATGACGACGATGTTGATGTTGACGATTTTGTTGATGATGGTGATGGTGGTGAATTCCCACGCTTCGAGTCAAATCTATCGTTTTGATGTTGATGTTTGATACCATTTTTTAAATTCAGTAATACGAAAAATTCGAAAAAAATCAGTAATATTTGAAAGAAATAGCCCGGTAGCCTTGTCGAGTAATAAAGTTCAAAGTTCATTCACTAACTAGAATATTAGTAGGATATCCTATTGCTATTCATCTGAAAACTATTATCGTTTCAAATTCGATCTACTGATTTCTGACACCTGATTGTAATGTTGTCTTGGACAATTGGTTAATATGATCAGAAGAAGAAAAAAAATTTAAATAAAACTCCGGAAATAGGACATTGAAGATGTAAATCTATATTCATCATATACGGATGCTGAATCATCATGATCAATATAAGATTGATCGAATACTTTGACCCCTTACAAATAAAACAGGAAAAGGGCTTACAATTGATGACAATAATATGTTCGTTTGAAAAATAAATTTATCGATTTTCAAACCCGTATGTATTAAACACAATCAAGAGCCAAAAAAAATAAGTTGTTATTATTGACGAAACATCCGTAACAAAGTTATGCTAATTTATGCAACTATGCAAATTAGCCAGACACGTTCCTATGTATTTTTGTGTATCATCAATGTCAGTTGATGGTTGTACAAGGCTCGAGATGAATGCAAATTATACCTGCATGATCGGCTAACAAAAGCACCAACTTCTCAAACATGAAACGTTTGCTGAGATATTGATAGCTATGCATGAATGAATGAGTCAGTGAAAAGAAATTGAAACTGTTGTTGACGATGATGACTTTGGATGGTTTTATTCATTATCATTTTTTTCGCTTTCTTGGTCAAACTATTTCCCGTACATACAAGGATAACCAACAGGCGGCAATCGATATTAATGGGATTCGAAATTCGAAGGGAATTTGGCTTATGGCTGTACAAATTGATTGTTATCAATGTGGACGATTGATTGAACCATTGGAATTGGGTAAATTAATTCTTGCAGGCATCGATTTTCGCAGCAAATTTTAATGTCATGGCTCCATGATTTTATTTAGCGTTTCGTATACCATATGGTCGAAAGCAACAGCTAATACATTATCATGTACGTTGTTTTACCTGTTCGAAATGTTCACGTCAATTGCAAAAAGGTGAACTTTATGGCCTGATAATCAATGATCATACTTTTGGGTTGAATGTGTATTGCGAACAACATTATCGTCAACATCAACATCGGAAACAAGAGAGTCAGTCGAGCGATGGACAACAAACATTTGATCAGATTTCCTCTTTTTCGTCATATAAATGTTTGAATCAAGGTATAAGTCTGATATAAAGTGGCATATTTTTATCCACCCAATCTTTTTTTTTGTATTCAATTTTGTGGAGCTAATTGGCTCCAGCTGTAACATTCAATGAATCATAAAAGAATCCGATTGTTACAATCACCGAAATCCGATTTTATGACGATTGCTTGACCCGATCCATAACGAAAATGTCAACTTTTCTTTTTTTTTTTTGATAGTGTTGAATGAAAAGAACTGGTTATTGTGCTTGATTGTCAATATTTAGCTATTTGGCTCTTTTGCTAAGAATACATCATATTATCCATTTGTTCAACAATGCAAGCATCTTGTCGTTTGATTTGAAATAATCCTACAAACAAACAACTAAAACAGCTTAGACAACACACACACACACACACACGACCCAGTATTAGTCGAGAAGAACTAGATCGGCTTCCGAAAAAAAAACTCAATACGATCCTTGAATTCATAAAAAAAGTTACTATTCTTCAAAATCCAGATTATTATTGGTTATGGTTGTGTAGTATGTTTGTACATCACAATTTTATATCGAGGAGGAGGAGGAGGTGAAAGATTTCTGGTCCTATAGTAGGCATCAAATGCATACAAAGTTAGTTCCAAGGCTGCCCGAATGAAGAACAACACACACACAACACATGAGCGCAAATACAGATGAAAAATAAAAACAGAATTTGGAACGGTTGTAATGATCATCGTCGTCGTCATCATTGTTGGTTGTTGTACACAAACACTAATCTGGCACAACTTTGCCGTGATGTTCTCTTGTGCATCTTTTTTTTCATCTTCATCTTTTTCATCCTTTTCTTCTTCTTCTTCTGGCTTATTGATTTTTTTCCAAATTCTAATAGCTTGGTTCTCGTGTTTCCGAGCGAAAGAAAATCCGATTATATTACCGAGCACATCAAGCCAACCAAATTGAATATAAACGAAACAAACAGAGCCGATTGTCTATTTTTTCACGAATAATTCTGCTCAGAAAAGCTCAGAAAAAATGTCCACTGATTCGACACTTGACAAACGGTGAATTGTGTGTGTGTGTGTGTTTAGGCTAATTATGATCTCAGATAAGACGAGTAAGAAATGAAAGATGATCTCAACCACGATAGATTGACATGTTTATCTCAATTCAGTTGTTCCAATGGATCCATATTGGATCGATGTTATTGCTTAGAGACAGAAAAAACATTTTAGTATCGGTGGGAAAATCCCATCAGATTTGAATGTGTTAGGAAAATTTTGCTTTTGTCCTTTAACCGAATGTTTGCCAGGGAGAGAAAGAATATCTTTTGTTTATTGAATGAAGATTCAAAGTTTTTGTTTTGCTTAGGACAACAACAACGTTCCGATTTTGCTTGCTTTTGGTTGTTGGCTAACTGAATATTTGTTCCCGTAGAGTCAATTGTTTAGACTAGTCGTTTGTTCGGCCCGGTATCTTATTAATAAACATGAATGCGGTCGCTGTTATATTATGTACCGTCATAGTATATCGAAAAACAAAAACAGTATGTAGTCAAGTTAGGCCCCGAAAAAAAATCAATAGACCATTTGATCGAAGTCAATAGCAACAAAGTAGATAGGTAATAGTTACAAAGTGAAAAATATAAATATACGAACCAGATCAGTTGGTCACGTGTTTCCCAAAGGTTTTATAGTTGTTCATACCCTCTGGATTAACAAATGGGTAGTAAAACACGTGCCCACTGTATATATATGCAGATATTTGGACATTGTTTCTTTCAGAGTAAAACATGTTTTTGTTTTGAACAAATATGAAACCCGTTTTTGTTTTTTGAATCCCTCAAACTCTCTTAGTCTATTGTACGTGATGGTACCGATTTCCCCTATCCATCATCATCGATTTGTTTGAAATTTATTGTCATATAGTCAATTCGTCATGAACATGATTGATAGGACCACTTTATTGATGAATAGATTTGACCATGAAAACAAAACAAAAAAATGTTACCCATCACATCATGGATCAACAAAAAAATGAATGAATGAAACCCGGGACCTTGTATTTCTTTTTGTTTATTTATTTGTTTATTCATTCATATATGTTGCATTTATTTGTGAAATCCTGCTGTGTCTCTGATCTTGTAGTTTGTTTGACCTTTGACTGAAATGTCAGCAAGTGATCATGGTCAAGGACTAACAACAAATACTTTACGAAAAATATATGCCAAAAATATATTGATGTTACAGTGACATATTTAAACACGTTTGTCTAAGATTCAAATAATCCACATTTTCATTTGAATTTTTAATTTTGACCAAAATTTCGTTAAAAATAATTTCTTATATAATGGTTTTTTTCGGAATTTACTTAGTAGATGTTGAATGTAAAATGGCCAAAATAAATGAATCGAATTCCGGTGAAAGTAATCGTTATTCTCATCAACAAAATTTCAATCGATTGTCCACATGCGGTCGTATATGGACCAATAATAATAATAATGAAAAACGTATGAGGACCAGTTTTCAGAAATGTCAGCTTGATTTACTACACCGATGTTTCAAACGGACACATAAACCAAATACTGATGAAATGTATCATCTTGTGCAACAGACTCAACTTTCTAAACGTGTTTTACAAGTAAATAATGTTCAAAACAAAAAAGTTTTCAATACCTTCTTTTGATTTTTTTTTCATCCTAAAGATTTGGTTTCAAAATCAACGATCCAAGTGGACGAGATTAATGATGTCGCGACCGCCCATTGTCGGTCCAATCAAAGTTATGGCCAGTAAAGTGGCAGCAGAATCATTTTCCCAAAATATAGCGATCATTGATCAAAAACAACAATAGCAGCAATTTTTTTACGTTGATCATACTTGAGAAAAGAGGATCAAGCTAGTATTTTTCGGTTACGCTCTATAGCTTCAATTTTCAATAAAAAACATGTTTATCATTTCTCGATTTGTTTGTTATTCTGTTAAAGTGTTGTTGTTTTTGGGTGGTTGATTTGTTTTTTTTTTCGTTGCAACAATGTTAATATAGCAAATACTGTCATATAAAATCATAGTCAAATATATGTTTGTCAATTATATATTTGATTTATATTCTTTTCGAATACTATTAGTTAGATTTAACAACAAAAATAAAAAATATCGATTATGATGATGAGCTCGCTATCATGCTTTAAACAATGAGAATAAATATATTTATTGCAATGCTACAATGACATTGTCGAAAAAAAATAATGTTGAACACACACATAGTATACAAAAAAGCACGGGCGTTTAGCTAGCAAATGGTCCGGAAACTTGGCATTCATTGAGGCTAATGTCTGTAAATAGTTATATTATATTCATAATAATCATCATCATCATTGTATGAATGTTGAACCATCTGCATAAATGAAATTGTCTACCATCATAAAGCTATATTTAACAAGAACTAAAATCTTTGATGTTCATTTTTTTGTGATTTAATGAAAAGGAAAACCAATGAATGAATTATGTATTCATTCATTCATTCAGTCTGTCATTTATTTGATCGAGATTATGACAACAACAACGAGGAATATTCTCTTTTTCTATTTTAGATATTTTTTTCAATGTTCATTTTCGATAAAAATTCGTTAATCACATATATAGAAGAATGTATGAAGATTCTGACAATATATTGTTGATGATCCAATAATAAGAGAATCAACCATGTCAAGACGATCGGTATATGTCGTCATATCGAGACATCGGTGGTAAAGAAGAAAAACAAAAACAAAAATATTAAAGACAGATGAATTTGATTGATGAGCTGCTGTTGTTGCTTTTCATTTTCTATGGGAATAAAAGACAAGCATTGAATATGAATATCATTGTCATTGTCTCGAATGTATCATGATAAAGATGATGGCAATGGGAAATGTTAAGATGATGAGCGATTTTTTTTTAATTTTATATTTCATTATATTAGCTGAATGAACAAAGAATATGTATTGTATTTAATTTTGGACTTACTATTCATTGGATTAAATTCTACTGGGTAAAATATTTTAGCTTGATATGGTGGTCTAAACAAAATCAGCACCGGTGGTGACAGAGAATCAACAGCTTGATTATTTTCAATAATTGGTTATCGTTCCGGTTTTTTTCTCTTTCATGTGTATACAATTGTTGTACATATAACAAACATAAATCACAGTCGGCATTTTTATGACATGTATTTATTTGCTAAAATAAAAAATAAAAAATTTGTGCATCGTCGTTGTTATTATTGTCACCGCTTCACTGATAATCTGTAAAGATGTCTGCATAGCAATTAGATCCCATGTTTTTTTGTTTTACTATCATCAATTATGATAATCAGGTCTAATTTAATTAAGATTTTCCAATGATAGTTTTTTTCTATTCGAAAATAGTCAATTCATTAGATGATCATCGTGTGTAGTCGTTGTCAAGATGAACAACGGATATAGAACTCGTTTTTTATTTGTTTGTACTGATAGTGTTGAACATATAAAGATCATCAATAGAATCTCTTTTTCTTTTTCTCAATGTTTTTTCGTTAAGTTGGTGTTCATTCAGCCAGATCAATGAGTGTTTTTCTTTTTTTGTTATCTTAGCATTCAAATATGATGACAAAAGACAAACATGACAATTGCCCGGCTCATTGATATTGAAAGAATAAAAATTTTCTTACCTATGAATACTAGTAAACATAATGAAATATTAGATAATAACTGTAAAATTATTCATCCTTATCCATGATAAAGATTTAAATATGTTTTGATTTACTTTTTTAAAAAAATGATATATTTTTTTGATAGAAAATGATAGATGATGTGATATGGAAAGCGAGACAAATTGAATTTTACAACTCAAATGGTAGGGTGATGACATAACACTGTATTGCGTATAGATTGACTGATTAAGTGATGTGTGTTTGTTTGTGTGTGTGTGTGTGTATGTATGGTGATGACCATCATGTTGGTAGATCATCATCATCATTATCATCTTCATGACCAAAATCGAAATGAATCAAGCAGTGATAAATAAATTTTTGATCACTATCTATGATCGAAAATTTTCAATTAATTCGATATTCGCTATACTGAAGATGAATTTTTTTTTCAATTTTGGCTTTTGGCAATGTTTGATGGCAAATAAATCATCAACACTGTTACATTTAATCAAAAAATTTTTAAAAAAATAGCAGATTATTATCAACGATTTTGACCTCATCATCATCTGTCCAAACATCTGACCATAAATATTTTCATTCCTCTTAATTTCAATTTGTGGATTCCTCATAGGAACTTGCTTGCTTGTTGTTGTTCAAGATGCTCAAGTCAATACTCTTTTTTTCCTGTATTTGACATTCCAATATAATTTTTTTGAAGCTACATTCCATACAATATTGTACTGTTATTGGTTCTGGTGACGATGTACGTGACTCAAAGCCAAAAAAAATAAAAAGCTGCTGACAAGCACCTTTCCATATTTATTTGTTCCATTGTTCCCAAAAACATAGATTGTTTTTCTCTATGTTCCAGCGAAAAAAGAATCATCATCATCATACCCCCAGCACGAGTGCTTGTTATTTCACAGACAGACAACAATTTCTATTGTTGTTCGATGGTACATGCGAGTGTCATCATTATATCTTTACGTACATGAAATATGTATATTGGCGTATGGCTAGACCGCTGGATCCCAATTATTTTCAAACCAAGTGGAATATTTGAGCTAGATCGACAAAGATAGTTGACATACACCAACAACTGATTAGTCCATCCTTTTTGGTTCATTTATATGTGTGTTTCAAAACAACTTCATCATCAGTAGCAAGGTGAAAATTGTGTGTCTATTGTGTGAGTGATCATAAGGGTGCATTCTAAGTCGCGTGCCATTCTCATGATCATCATCATTGATGACGATCATGATCATGATGACAATCAAACCAAAATCGCAAAAAAATAATAAAATAAAATAAAAACGGAAACTTCCGACCAATTGATCGACAATTTTTTTTCGAGATGTCATAGACAAAATAACAATAGAATGAATGGAAAAAAGAAAAATATTTTCTCTATAATCTATAGTGGTTTGAATCGAAAATTTATATACATTGTATCGGACAGTGTTACACATTGACGGACATGCTTGCTCATTATATATGGTGGAATAATGTATAAAATTGCTCATGCATCACAACCTCGATGCTAATAGTACATATCCTAGAAAGAATTTTTTTTTAATAAATATCTTTATTCTGGAACAAAATATGAGTAAAAAAAAAGTTTTTTCTTCTTCTTTTTGTGATTTACAAATTTTTTCTTGCTATGATCCCATCATTCAATGGATTCAAAAAAAATAGAGAATGAATGAGTCGTGTGTATGTGTGTCCATAATATTAGGCCAATATCATAAATCGTGTACATCATGATGATTGTTAATGATGGTGAGGATTTCATCGATGTGTTCTCAGTGAATTTTGCCCTTCTAAACAATATTTTGGACACGTGCATATAGCCAAAACAACAACAACAACAACAAAAAAGGAAAAAAATTTGTCACCAAAATCATGTTCATTCATTCAAGTTATTATTCGGTTTTTAGGTATGTTACATGAAATATGATCGGATTTTTTTTCAATCATAGATTTTCCAAATATTTGTCGACTAATTGGTGATGTGAACCCTTCTGTTAATTTTATAGAAAAAATTATGAAAGAATAAATTCTAGGAAACTTGATTCTTTTATTTACCATCATGATTCATGATGAAAAAAAATCTGACTAATAAATTTTTTCTGGTCAGATTATTTTTGGGTTTATTTATGTTAGATTTCATATGATCATCGAAACAATCTGACAAGTTTAATTCAAAACATTACCGCAAATCAGTAGGCCAACAAGTGACAAGTGTCACTTTTGAAATAGTTTACATCAGCTAGCTGACGGAATCTCCTATCATCATTAAGAGAATTGATACTAAGAAAACTGAATGAATCTCGAAATCATACTCAAAACACTGATGAGATATGTAGATTTTGTCATCGACTTGACTTCAAAAAGTACAATTCGCCTCTTTCAAATTCGGCAAAAAAAATCATCGTTGATGACATCTAGAACGACAGATGCATCTTCAAATATGTGTGGCATTGATCATTATCAACTACCATCACCATCATGATCATTATTTTAGACAAGCTTGTATAACAAATCTGATCACTATTCATAGCTGGAATTGTCGAATCCATGCAATTTGATCCAGGATCATAGATAATTTTTTGAGATTGTCATCGTATTTTTGTTTTTCGTTTTTGTCAAGGATCATTGATCGTATCTATGGTCGGCATCTACATGCTTCTTTATTCACCATTGATATGTACACGATGATCAGAGCAAACGAAATCGAAACCAAAATCTTTGAACATAGAAAACATGTTTCACAGAAAACTTGTTCATCATCATATAAATGATGATAATGAACCCTCCAGTTTTTTTTAAATTGAAGCCGAATTCGAATAAAAAAACAAAATCGGTTTCGATTGTCGAACTAAGTCGAATCGATTTCAAAAAATGCTACCGATTTTAATTATAAAAAAAATTCAGTATTGGTCAGCAACTATGATGATGATGTTCAACACCTTGATGATTTGAACGAGAAATGACTTTGATGGTTCTTATCGTCCTTATCTATTTCAACAGTCAAGTAATTGTCATCAACGTTTCAAGAAGAAAGAATTTACCGCCAAAGAAATATAATTTGACTTTGCAAATATTTTTATTTTTTTCATTAGTTCTCGGTTATGTCAAACTTAAGAATTCAAAGAATTGTTGCATATTGATGATGATGTTGTTGATTGAGTCGCTTCATTTTTTTTTGTCATCACCTATGTTACCATTAATTGTTGTTTAATGTATTTGTTGTTGTTTCACAAGTCGCTATTACTGCCGCCAGCATAGTAAAATTAAAACATCTAATAGAATGGCTATATTTGTAAACCCTTCTCTCTGAACAAAAAAAAAATCGTATCCGTTATAATGGAAAAAAATACAATCTGAATCTAATTCAACATTGTTCAGGCGCGTTTTTTGTGTTAGAGAGAATGGGCGGCATCATAAGGCGGCCCATAAGGCGGTTCTTGTATTAGTGTTAATGCAGCAATAAGGCTGGCAAATGTTTATTCACTTCATTCATTTTGTTTGAATGAATGATTCACCTACACACACAGAATGAGAAAAACAAAATTTTTATGCTTTTTAAAATCGGGTGCTTCACTATTTGGCTTTGATTATTTGTTTAGATGAACTCTGGTGCATCGCATCTTCGTCTATAGACGGTTCTTAGCAAAAATTCAACATTATGGTTAACAGAACAGTTTTATTATTATTATTATTTGTCATGTGTGTTTGTGTGCATCAATTCTTTCAGTATTCATACAATAAAAGACAATAGTAAGTGATGGGCGCGACAATCATCAAACAATCATAAGTATAACGGTAAATTCGATCTTAGTTCAGCACGAATGATAGATCGAAAAATGTATTACGATCCATATTGGATAGAAAACAGTAGTGTATATTGATGTAATAAAGCAATTGAATCACTTATCAGTAGTTGACCACATGTTACAGTGATAGTGCTATCCTGAGAGCCATTACAAATCACGAATTAAGGTTTGCAATCAAACCATGATTTTACCTGTATCGTCTTTGTCAATATCATCGTCTTCATCATCGTCATCATCGCCTTCATATTCATTATCTTCTTCATCTTCATCAATGATGATCAAAGAAGAAGCTTCATCATTATTGATCAGAACATCGACTTCATCTACATCATCAGTAGTTATGATTAGTGATATAATGACGAATTCAGCAGTAGATTCGGTTCCAATCGGTTCATCATTATCTCCTAACTCATCATCAACGACCACGGTACAGGCATCGACATCATCGGTTTCCGAAAGCAATATGCAAATGGTCAAATGCGACACAATGGTTGAATGTGCTGGATGTGGTTCACATATTCTTGATCGTTATTATTTATCGGCTGTTGATCAACACTGGCATGTATCTTGCCTCAAATGTTCCCAGTGCAAAGTGAATCTTCAGGCTGAACCAAGTTGCTTTTCGAGAGATGGCCTCATATTTTGTAAATCTGATTATTACAGGTAATGTTGGCAGGGTCTCATTTAATATTATAGAATGCTAATCATGTTTGCTATTCAGGCTATTTACTATGCGTCGTTGTAGTCGCTGTGGTGAAGGAATATATGCATCGGAATTAGTGATGCGTGTCCGCGATCATAATGTTTATCATTTGCAATGCTTCACTTGCGCCTGGTGTAATGTGACGCTTGCACAAGGTGACCTGTTCGGTGTACGCGATAATCTTGTCTATTGTCGCAATCATTATGAAATGTTGACCACCAACAATGGTTCGATAGGCAATCCTCCCATATCACCGATTCGTTGTTATGAGTCAGAGTCTGCTACGCCCCCACCACAATTGAATTCAACACCATATTCGCCATCACTAGGATCAATCTCATCATCATCATCTTCCGATTTACTAAATCGTCATCATCATATGCAGACTGCTCATCCACTTCATCATCATCATTATCACAACATTAATCGATCATTTCCTAATCCCGTTCATCTAGGACAACATCATCCGTCCGGACCATCGTTATCATCACCACCACCTCCACCACCACCACCATCTATGCATCTTAATGATTCACACTTAATGGGCGATATTTGTAGTACTATGGCTGCCACACCTTATTCTTCAACGGGTCAGCATCATTTATCTTATTCACCATTGTCCATTACAAATTTATCGAGTGGTGGCGGAGGTGGCAGTGGTAGTCCAGCTACACCCGTAGGAGGATCATCAATTCTGAATTCTATGAATGGTCAATCATCATCAACAACATCAACGACGACCACAAGAACAAATACGGGACAAAATATTCGAAAAGGTCGACCGCGAAAACGTAAAAATGTTACGTCTAACAGTAATCATCAACATCAACATCATCATCATCATCAGCAACAACAACAGTCACAGCTAAATAATTCACCTCATTCACATGGCCATCAACAACATCATTCCAATTCTCATTCACAATCGGATCCGGAAAATGGTGTCATAAATTCGTTATCGCATGAATCTCTTTCATCACCGCCAGCATCATCGTCGCGTAATACTCATAGTCCACTTGTGACAAGTAAGTCTTATTTTGAATTGCGAATTCATGAGCGTTATTGTTAACATTTTAATAATAGATTCATTAGATGGTCCATTATCAGGTCTAGCAGCATCGATTGAAAATTCATGCAATTCACAATTGACCTCATCTGCAATGAACAGTCTTACTTCACATCAATCGTTGGGTAGCGGAAACAGTGGTAGCAGTTCTAATCAGCGAACGAAACGAATGCGAACATCATTCAAACATCATCAATTGCGAACGATGAAAAGTTATTTCGGTATTAATCAAAATCCAGATGCTAAAGATCTGAAAGCATTGGCACAAAAAACTGGACTCTCCAAACGTGTCTTGCAGGTATGTGTTTTTTTCGAAAATAAATGTTGTGATTAAATTATACAAAAAATTATGGCCATCATTTCGTAGGTATGGTTTCAAAATGCTCGTGCCAAATGGCGACGTAATAACCTGAAGATGATGCCCGATAATCAACATGAATTAAGTCTGAGTGGCCAAACAATGTTGAACACTGCAATCGGTTCGCATAATCCATCTACTCCTTCAACCATTATTGGTAGTCCTAGTGGATCGACTAGACTTTACTCATCACCGTCACCTGCTGCCCTATCACCACCGAATTCGACAGCCGATACCTCATCGCTAAGTCATCAAGCGGCACTAATTTCAGCATCAAATCTAACAACATCCGGTGGACAACCTCCACCGCCAATACCATCATCATTAAAAACAAATTTACAAGAAGCAACAGCTTTTGTAAGCGGCGGAAGAGGATCAGGTACGGCTGGTGAACATCATCATCATCATCATCATCATCACTTAAATTCTTCGTCATCATCATCGATTGCACCAAGCAACATGATCTCGATGAACTTTCAAGAATTATACTGAGACATTTACAAAATACTCTTGAGATAATTACTGATTTGTAAATAGTTTTGTGTGCTCAAATAATACCCGTAGGTCGTCGATAAGAGTAAAAAAACAGTAACAAAATTTGTATACTTCGATCGTTGTACTCAAAGACTTATCCCTAAGACGATAAATGAATTGATGAATACCACATCCTTTATTAACAATTAATCGCGTGCATAAAACGCAAACAGAAGCAATGATCAATGAATCAATTTTATTCGAGCTGTATATAAGAATCAATTTTTAGAATGTTTTGAACAATAAAAAAAAATAAATAGTAAACTGTTTACAATCTAGAGCATCATTCAATTTGCCAAAGCTTTATATTGTGATACGGATCGAACTTTTTGATGTTTTAACATTAATTGATAATAATCTTCACCAGCTGAACTGAATTGAGAATCTCTTTTCGGCTGCTTAAGTTCAATCGGTAACGGCTTTTCAGCTATGGGCTTATGTTTTCCAAATGACAAATCCTCTTGTCGATCAGGGATAGTTGCGCCAGCTGGTGTTGGTCGTCGTCGTTGGAAATGTCTTCGTAGGCCACCGCTTACAATACCTGGTTTGACAAATGTTGAGATTGATTTAATTTCATTTTTACGTTTGATGAGCATATTGTAATAGCTATCCATATCATTAGTCGCATCCGTCGTTTGGCCAGTATTATCAGTGATTGCTTGAGTACGGCTAGTTATAAGCGATTGTGCTTCATCACTACGATAACTATGCCATCGATTTCGATTTTGGATTGTTGTTGTTGTTGTGTGACGCCGTCGTCTTTTTTGACCAAAAGCCTGTTGTTGTGCACGAGCATATGTATCTTGTAGCTGTTGACGCCAATGTTGGTCGGATGGTATTTTAATGTAATTGATACAAATGGCTAATGGTATAGCCATGCAAATGATACAGAAAAAAAGGAAGATACTGAATCCTGTGGTCACAAGCCAAAATGTATCAGCTTGGAACAAATGATTGGCATCATTCACTGTTTGAAATTCATTTTTGGTCGAAAGTTCGCATGCAAACCCAGCAGTCATAAATGCAACTAGAAACGAGAATAAAAAGTAAATAATATGAAATGATAATATGTGAGTTAAAATGATTACTTAGAAGCACAATCAGTAAATAAAAGAATCGTGCCAACTTGCAGAATCCTCTACCCATATTGTTATGATAATAGACTTTGATGACATAACGAAATGGCAGAATGAGTATGATAAATGCCAAACAACTCAGGCCACAGGAAATCAATCCAAGCACGAATATCATCTGTAAACGACATTCGGCTCCAGGGTGCGAACATTTTGCCATAAAAGTGAAGGCGTTTAGTGCATATATAATGTTCAAAGATGCATAGATAAAATAATAGGTCTCTAAACAAGTTACATTGCTCGTAGGCCGTATGTCCTCTTCAATTTCAGTTAATTTTTCGCGACCAAAAGGAAATGCTCGAACCTTTTGCATGTATTGTTCCTCGCCGATGGGAAATTGGACTGTAGCAATAATCGAATTAGGTTGGTCCACATTCTGTAGTTCAACCGAATCAACCAATATTGATCCACGGCCATTATGGTATAGGGTGACACATTTGATATCCTGATATCGTTCGGAAGTGCGGATAAATATTTTTGCACAATTCAGACCTTTGTACAATGTAGCACGTTCCATTATTTCCGGTGTAAATGGTATTTCTCTACAACGTCGTATGGAATGATCAATACGTACGGTTACTGTTGTCGATTCAGGTTGGTATGAAGATGAAATACCGGCAAATATTAAACGCAAAACATATTGATGTTGATAATTAAGAAAGTTACAATCATCATAAACAGTCGTCAGAATGTACGGAGAAATGAACAGTCGAACTAAACATATCAATAAGATAAATATGATAAACGTAGCGACGACCGTCATAAACGGACTGCTTAATCGAAAATCAGTCTCGAAAAACATGAGCCAAGTATTTTGGAGCAAGAAATCGTAATCACCATTCATTTATAAAATCTGTGAAACCTTTATATATCAAGAATCGAATAAAAATTCGAATTCAAAAATTTGGCTAATTGTTGTCGAAAACTTTTCCAATAACCATGTTTGTCGGAAAATTTTCCCATTTGTTGTGATTGTGAATTTGTTCGAAATTGATTTTTGTTTATGTATAATTCAATCACAAATGGTTATCATTAAATCCTTTTTATACAGGCCATTACCATTATACGCTAATGTTAAATGGTTCAAATGCATCAATGGTCAGTTTTCATCGCAGCGGACTATAATCCAAGCACTTAAACCCATTGTTTCTGTGACAAAATGCGTCAACCATAAAATAAAGGAGAAAATATTGATCAAATCACAAATAGCTACCCGAACATTATGTTCGTCATCATCTGATAGTTCGAAAAAAGCAAACAATTCGAACGATCAGAAAAATGACGAGGAAGAAAGTTCAGTTCCTTTACTAATGAACTTTGTTCCAAGAGGAATGCCGAATCTATTCATGTCATTGAAAAATTTTTACATCATAAATTTGGTCATACGAAATCATATTGATAGGAATTTCACATTCACTAATTTCGTCGAAGGTGCAAAGCAAGTATGTTAAATATAAATGGAATTAATCGATCTACATTCTCTAATCATCATTCATAGGCATTGATTTATGTATCATCGCATTTGGCCAACAACAAGTTAAATGAATTGGAAGGATTAATAGAACCGAATGCCTTGGCTGAAATAAAGCAAAATTATGAAAAACTTAGCATGGTTCAGCGACAAGAATTTCAGCTACAATCCAGTGATATTGTACTTGCTTTCGCTCATCACATTGATGTAGCGACGATGAAAGAAGAATTTACCGGCACTCGAAAACATGTCGTCACCTTTTTCATTGTTTTCGATTGCATTAAAAACTTACAGGATACATTGCAGGAAAAAGCTCGCTCTAATCAAAAGATAAATACTCGAGAACTATTTCACGAATTCCATGACCGTAAAATTATTTGTAATTATGAATTTCAACGTGAATATATTGAAGGTGTACAAGGCGCTGGCGATATAAAAAAAACTGACTGGATAATCACAAAATTGTTATACATTAAGGAAAAAGATTTAATTAAATTGAATCATATGAAATAAAATCAATCAATATAATTTAGAAAAATTGATCAAAACATCTGTATCATTTCTTTCGTCGACACGATTTAGTGCCTGTTTGAGATTGTTTTTTTGCTTCGATTCGTGCAAGTACTTCACGTTCTGCTGGTGTCATCACAGTCTTTTTGTTCTCTCCAGTTGATACATCTTTTGAATCAGATTTTGATTGTGATAGAAACAATGATCGGCGTGTTGTTTTGCTTACAGGTCCAGATGAGATGCCAGCATTACTAGTGCTGCTGTTATCTGCTAATGATTGTCGCATTTTTTCATACCGTAATTGAGAAGGAGTTCGAGGCACTATCGATTTTCTACCTCTTTTCGATCTGATGCTATTATTTTGTTCTTCATTTATTTGACTCATTTCCTCATCCTGGACTATTGAAGTTTCCATAAGATTAGTAGGGATTTGCGATAACGTCTGATCCTGTGAATCGCGTCCATTGTTGATTGACGTAAACATTTTATCAAAATCACGAACAATCCGTGTTCGCGTTTCATTCGCATTCGGGGAACGCCATTCGGCTTTCGAAGTAGAAGTGCCATTCTGTTTGGATTGTTCCATTTCAGGATTGGTTTTTTGAATAACTTGGGATTTTTGTTTACTGATTTTTTTCACAATCGAATCATGGACTTTCTTTGATGAGGCTGCGGATTCGAACGAACTTTCGAAATTTTCCGGACTATTTCTGTCATCATCTCTAAAGTGAGAGTAACTCTGATCGGCAATGTAGACATCGTATTTGCGTTTCTTGATCGGAATACCCATTTGGTAGTCGTAGCTTAAAGTACCCGGAGGTGGATCTTTAGTCAATGTTACTTGGAACGGTTGACTTTCTTGTAAGGCTGTCAAATACCGACGTAACAATGATCGTTGAGCTAAAGCAATTTCGTCGATCAAAGGCAAATCGCGTTCCAAATCCATAGCAGTCAAGGATAATTTTGTTCGGTAGCCATGATCGATCAATGTTTGAATGGTAACAGGCTCAATTTCTTGGGCTTGTTGAAGAAAAAACTTGACAAAACAATCCTCGATACCTTCCATGCTGAATGAATGATGAAATTGTATGCAAACTTTTTATGGATTTTGTTGCTCATTTGATGCTAATAACAGTTGGAAATAAAAACGCGGAATTTTTACTATCGATTGTATCGTTTGATACTTTATATAAAAATTTAAGTTTTTAGTTAACCAGAATTCGAAATTCAAAAAAATACGAGTAAAGAAAAAGAATTTTTTTTATTTCAGTTAGCCAACATACAAAAATTGGCCACAATCCAAAAAATGGACATTAATAATTTATAAATAAAACGTTTGCAAATAATTAAAACATTGTGATAGATATGGGTGAGAATTTTAACAACAAACAGATAGAATTAAATAACGTTGACATTATAAATGAATGTTTAATGTATTGATAATATATTAATGAATGATAAATAAAATCAAACATGTGAGTATATATGTACACAAATGTTACTGGCTTATAATTAGCAACAATGAATAGTAATTCAGTAATTAAGAAAGTTCACCAACAGTTGTTAGCCACGACTAGTATTACAAAGGTTTGTGCGGGTGAACCGATTCATTAATCATTAGGAACCAAATTCTTCACCGATAGACTAGTTGAACTGTTAATCGAACGAGGTTTCAACGAATCCGATATCTGCCACATGACATTTTCTGGTAAGAAATCCTGGAAATTGCCAAAAAAGGCAATTATATTTTCATTCTCGTTGATTGAGTATTGACTGTAGATGCAAAAAGAAATCATTAACACAGGATACTAAAAACATTTGTTTACTTACCTTTGTTTGAATTGAGCCATTTGACAGAGTATTTTGTATTGTTTGTAATGTTTGCACCAATTAATCTTGCCATCAGGTAATATATCGCTATTGCCGATATGAACAAATGTCAAATCTTGCAAAATTAGTCCACTGTTGAAGAATCAACAACAACAACAAAAAATGATTATGATAAAATAAAAAACACTTGATTATAACTTACATGTATGGAATACAAGGAGGTTTTGAATTCGCCAAAATGTTACGATATGTTCGGAATGATGATGATGAATCGATTAATGATCCATATTCGCGAATCATATCAGTCACATTTTTAGGCCAATCCAATCGGCTGATCGGCGCACAATCAAGTGCCGAAAGAATGGCCAGATAAGAGTTGAAATTGTTCAATTTACGTAAATATTTCATAATCTTGATAAACTTGAGCATATATTTTTCCCGTTCCTTTTGCTCTTGGCATTTGAGTATTTGGCTACGTGTCCAATAAGACATGTTGTTGAAATGTTCGGTAAACGTACTTAAATTTGGTATGCATTCTTCTTTTTGTTCTTTCGCCCAAATCAAAATCTCTGGAGGCTGAAATCGAATAAAAATTGTTTTTAGATCAATAGCATTAGGGCATTCTTTTATTTCACTATCATTTGTTGAACAAAGAAAAATCTACTGCCTACGCTAAAAGATAACATAATTCGATCCCTCAATGAATTCATTGAACAAATGAAACTGAAACTAAACGCAAAAAGATGAGTTCACAAACAAACTTTCTAAAACAATGGCTGCATCATCATTAAGCCATAGTAGGCATGATGATTATTTGGGCATGCAAAAATATTTTGAATTTTCAGCCAAACTTGGTAAGGCCACATTTAATACAGGCCAAAAACATGTTGAGTTGGAATGATCATTGGTATTCACTTGATCGAAGTATCTTCACTAAATGATATTCATCAGGAAGCCATTGATTTTGATAAAACAAGATGGCTAAACATAGTACAATAAAATTTAAACAAAATATACTATTCAATAGTGACTATTGGTTTCCATTTAGTGTCACTGTATGTATACTGAATGAGTGGGATATTTGGCATACATCGAACATTGACAACATTGATTAATTGTTCATTCGTCAATGTTGGTCGTTAACATATGTACCGTTTTTCTAATTTTATCTTTGCATAAGTTTTTGTATACATGCGTGGGTGTTGAATCATGGCAAATAATATGGCTTCGTGAAAAAAATTGATTATTATTCAAACAAACCTCGATTTTATAGAAAAGCCGTGAATCAAGTAACGTCATTTGTTCGGCCAAATGTTCGGCTTTGAAATCAAGCAACGTCCATGTTTTGAGATGAACAATATCGAAAGTATTAACATTAACCGCCGTTGTTTGTTTGAATGATGTAACATTTCCAACATTATTGTTATTATCATTTTGTTGTTGGCTATCGAAACTATCATTTGATTGTGATTGTTGTTGCTGTTGTCGACGGAATTCACGCTCTCTGATTCGTAATTTTTCATAACATTTTTCACGTAAAAATTTAGCATTTACCAGATCACCTTTGTTCACAAGTTGATAAATGAATTCCATCATTGTTTGAAATAGCTGTTTATCGAAATCGTAGATGCTTTATATGGCAAAAAAAGATAAAGGACAAAGAATGTTCAGTATATTTGTATGTGAGGTGATTATTCGAAAAGGTGTACGAATGTGAATGTATTTCACCAAATTAAGATTCATGCACACGATCATCGAATGAATGAACACCATTCAAACAAAATGATAGAAATAAATATGTTGAACAAAAAGGAACTTACTAAATTTTGGCGATGAATAGAGTGATAAAATTAACCACTTTTCGAGCGACCGATTGCCTTATAATATCGGTAGTTGTACTATTATTAGTCGATGTTGATGATGATGATGATGTTTGGCCACCACTAAAATAACGATAACGAAATGTAAGCTTTGTAAGGAGATCATTGGCTGAGATGAATGAACGATATGTGCTTAGAAAACAATCGACAAATGTTTCATCATCTACAGGCATGAAAACGGTTTTAATTAGAAAGGAAATTTAATCTATTAGAATTCTGTATCAAACAATTTGTATAAAAATTTAATGGCACAAATAATAATTGGGTTGAATCGTCGAGTTATTTTTTTCTATGGTAGAAGATTCAATTTGCTCTGCGTTTGACGGTTTACCCGAAGTATGCTATCAATGGCCGTTGTCATGTTAGGAATGTTATGAATGGAATATTCACAATGGCCACAAATATTAACTTTTCGTATCTGCATGAATGATATGTGAAATAAATGCACTTGTTGCCAAGCAATAACTTTTCATGGCTGTGAATCCATATGGCTTTCTCACCAGCTATTTGCTCTCCAGATTGGATTTGTTATAAAGACGAGAAAATGGAGAGAAAATTTTAACAAAAAAAAATCATAAGCAAATGAGAGAACAGATGGTCTAATCAGAAGATTGTCCTTGACAATCTTCTTATTATTTGGCCTTTATTGTCTTTAGTTACAAAGATCGATTGATAATTATATTGTCATTTCGAAATCAGTTCTCGCGTTTCGTATAAATTGAACCTGAAACAGACAATCAAAATATACATTTAAACTAACCTGAAGACATGCTAGCCTGAGTAGCTTTGATAATTAAAGCATCGATTTGACCACCACGAATCATATCGGCCGTTATTAGTTCAAATGCAGTGATTGCAACTTGTGATGTTGATCCTTCAGAATCGTTTGTTGTTTCAAGCGTAAACATTTCTGATGATATATCTACTTGAGCCAGTATGCATTCATCATCCGAATGTTTAGTTCCAAGTGAACAATATTGACAAATTTCATCAACAACACTATCCTCATCATTATCACTTGATGTTTCATCTAGTTCTTTTATTGTTGCATTTTCTTGATCATTGGTTGCAGGTTTTTCATGTTTATCATTTGATGCTGTCGAATCAGTCGAAGATGTTTCGTGAAAATGATGAAAGCTGTAGCCATGATGGTGATGGTGATGATGAAAATGAGGCTGAACAAGATCGTCTGATGCAATTACATTCAGTCGCTTGGTCGAAAGATTCGAATCCGTTGATCGTGATAAGATAATTTGACCTCTTCTGGGTGGAAGATTTGGAGGTGGCGATGGTGCCGATTCCGGAGGAGGTGATGGAGCCATAGGTAAATGTTCATATTGATCAGTTGGATCAACATTCGATATTTTAAATGAGGTATCATGCGGTTGAGATGATTTGCCAGTAATCGATGAAAAACTTGAACCAGTGGTTGCTGTAGATATGGAACTATTGGATGATACAACACTGGATGATGTTGATGTTTGACTAATGTGATGACTTTTGATTTGCGATGGTTTCTCGCAAAACATAGATTTGGTTGCACGAAGAAATGTATGTCCTGAATGTTCACCAGTTGGAGAATGATAATTACCTACCATACCCATGTATGCATGAAGGTTACGTTTCGGTGGTAAGGGTGGTGGAGACAGTGATGGTGTTTCATGCAGTGACAATGATGGCCTTCGAGGTAATGATTGTTGCCTAAGAGATTCATCGGTTTGTATCTGACAGCAGCAACAACTATTAGCTTGCGAACAAAAATGTCGATTTTTTGAAGAATGATTGGCAGCCAATGAAAAGCTTTTTGTCAATGGCTGATGTATAGACAATGGTCTAAGGTTCGTTCCTGGTTTTCGATAAGTTCGAATCATTGATCGATTCGAACAACAACAACAAAATTCAGAAGTTGGTGATGTGCCAACATTCTGATTTGGGCAAATATTCATTAGATTTTCCTTTTCTTCTTCAATATTTTTATTCTTGAAAACATCATGTGGTTCGATGATAGAACAGAGGAATGAATCTGGCGCTGGTAATGGTGGTGGTGAATATGATGAGCATCGTTCATCTTCATTGTTTCCATCTGTTCCTACTATAGTATGAGATGATGATGATGTTGCACAACCTTTGTTCTCATCATCAGCTACACTGTCTTGGATTGTCCTTGTACGGTTTCGGCGAGCATTTTTTTTCGATCGCAATGTTACTTGAGAGAAACCAGTGTCCTGTTTATTATCGACTGTGGTCACTGTTTCTTTAGTTTTGACTATGGTTGGATTAGTTACAGAATTTCTATTTCCCAAATCAATAGAATCTAGCTTTTCGATCGGTTGTTGGTAAAGAGTAGATGGCATTGCTGGTGTCGATGAACCGAAACCTGAATCACAATCCTTCATTCGACTATTGCCATTTCTGAGATTTGTATCTTTGCCTATGTTCAATGATGATGATGATGACATTGAACTTATGTTCGATGCAATTGAAGAGCGACCAGAATTATTCATAGATGAAGATGGAGATGTTGTTGTTGTGCTATTAGAACAACGATTGTAAGTTTTGGGTGGTAATGGGGGAGGTGGCGTAGAGTCTATTTTCGAATCATGTTTTTTGGGTGAATTTGAAGATTTTCGACATTGTGACAAGCATGAAGTTTCATCTGAAAAATTTTGATCAATGTCAAACGATTTAGAATCGATGATTTGTTTCAACGTTGGTACTGGTCGATCGTAATGTTGATGACTAGTGTGCGTCGGTATACTTTCGTTGATCGAATGTTTTCGCGATTGCTGCTGAGGACTAAGATGGCGGTCAGCTGTTGGTGATCGATTTGATGATGGAGAAGATGGTTCAGTCGACATTTGCAACAAGTGTTTCGGTAATAAAATATTTGTATTGATTCGATGAATGTTACTTGCCGATTCCGAACGTTTTAATGATGATGATGATGAATTAGAAAGACTAAACAAAAACGAAAGCATAGTCTGATTTTCGGACAATTGTTGCTGACTGCCCTTATCCTGCTGCCTGGGTAACGAATCTTTTTTACTTCCATGTTGAGCATTTGAACGGAACTTTTTCAATTCAAAATGCTGCGCCATCTTTTGAGCCTGATGCGAAATAATATTAGGAATGAATCGATGAGTTCGGAAAATTGATGACGGCGATGTGGATGATGTAGAACTATTGGTTGTGGCTGAATGCGAAGAATTCGACGATAATAGAGAAGCAATGGTTGATGTCGATCCATTAACCATTGTCCTAATTGATTGATGTGGATGATTGTTGTTGTAATTTGATAATTCTATTCGATCATATTCAGGTGGTGGAGTTACGGATCTTCGCCGCATAGCTTTTTGAATTGTTTCCTGAAAGTCTAAGGATGTTTCATCTTCGTTTCGTCGTTGATTAATTGCATCGGCCATTATATAATCAGCCAATTTGGAATTGTTATACAGATAGTCTTGGTAACATTTTCGTAATTCACATTCTAAATTTCGATATGCTTTGACCAGATTCTATACATTGACAAAAAAGAAAAAGAAAAATCAAGAGATTCATTTTTACATTAGCTCGCTGACCAAATGACTCTTCAAACTTACCTTGAATGAATTGAAAACTAAGCGTGAAATTCGACTACCATCGTCGATTAATTGGCGAGGAATCGGTTCATCACATTCATTAATATGATCCACCATATTCCATTGACTTGGATCCATATCAGAATGATAAAAATGTCGAACTTGTTGACGAAGATAGATTTCATCCGACCATTTAACAAGATCAGAAAGATTTTTATAAAGCTCATTTGTAGCCTCAATAATTGGTGACGTTCTGCGAGTAAAGATTGGTTAATGGATTTTTAGTTGAGTTGTTATAATTATTTCAAAAACCAAACCTTTTTCTAGCACTATTTGTATCGCCATTATCCTCCATATGAATCATACAAAGAATTTGTAATCTAAGTTGAACTTGTTGTAAATGAAGATATGCATCACGTAATCGGGCACAATTCAATGAAATTGTTTCGATCAATATGTTACAGGAGCCGTTAAGTAATTCAAGTTTATCCTTTTTTACGGAATCTTCAAAATATTTCAACATCAATTCGATTTCTTTGCAATATTTTTCAGCATTGAAATGTCTTAGATCGGCCAGATATGATGCCAATGATCCGATCAATGATGGTTCTATTGCAGCTATAGGTATCGCATTTAACAGGTGACCATTTTCAGATTTATTACTAGTCGATGCCGGTATCACAGCTTTAGGCTTTGTCAATACGTTTTGTTCATGTTGGTGACTATGATCATCATTTTTCTGACTAGTAATTGTCAAAAATTGTCGCTGGTCATCATTGGCGATCTTTTCATACATTCCAGGAAGACTAGAGCTAAGGTGGCTACTTTCACGATTCAATAACTGAAATGATGAATTCACTGAACATATTGAACATCGACTTTTTTGTTGTTGTTGTTGCTGATTGTTGTTGTTGTTGTTTGTAGTCAATTGACTTGATGAAAAAACTTTTTTGAATGGAACTTTACGATTTTTAGCCGGTGGACTAGCTGCGGCGTTAGAATTACCGCCATTAGTTATAAATGCTAAACCAGCTGTAGCCATAGTAGACATCGCTACCGTTGATGATACTGATGATGATGATGATGACGCCAATGATGATTCGTTTTTAGGCGTTTTTGCCATCATTAAAGTTTTTAAAATTTTCGTTTACATAGTTTCTTTTCACAAATATACGCATACATACACACACACACCTACATAAACAAAACAGTCACAACACTAATATTGTGTAATGGAAAGGCAATCGATTGGCAGATTTGATCAATCAAGCGATGAATTGAATAAGAAAAAATAAGAAAATGTAATCTAAATGAATGAATGGATAAAATCAAACGTAATGTTTTTTCGTGTGTGTGTGTCTAAATCAAAATTGAAGAAGAGAAATGAACGTCGTGTACCGACGTCGTCACGCGTATAGTTTAAATTGATCCACCACGATACGCTTGGTTTGATTCCAAAAAAAAGCCACAAGAGAAAGAGAAACGTTTGTCAGTAATTTAGAGTCAAATCAATGGTGATGGTGAAACACACACACAAAAAAAGACAGCAGGTTGGTCGAACTTTTAGTTCCGGAGGAAATTATGTTCTGAAAATTGTTTGTTCATCTCAAACTTTTTTTCAATTGATCTCATTGAAAAAATGCCTTACGGACGCAAATAACAGCAATGGTTAAACGAAACAATAAACAGGAAGCCTGAATAATAGGGTAAGAGAAGAATTAAAAAAAGAAAAAAAGTTCAATTAGATCATTATGGGAAGGTAATCAAAATCGAATGAATAAAAAAAGTTTTATTTGAATGATGATGATGATGATGATGAATCGATGTTATAAATTAAACAAGTACTCATTGAAAATAAAAATTTTTTTTCGATTGGCATGTGAAATTTTACCGTTATCATTGTTGATTAAATGTTTTTGTATTGCTGCTATTTGATATTGTATCAATCCCATATAAATATTTATTAATGATATCATCAATTGAATGAATTGATTTAGACAAAAAATAATAATAACACTGCTAATATGTTCGGGCTACTAATTCTTGGCAAAAAAGATATAATAATGATTTTTTTTGGAAAAAAGTGATGCAAAACAAAACAAAACAAAAAGCGAAAACTCCCGAAACAAATGGAATGAATGAATGAATAAATGGAAACCTGCTATTATATTATGAAGGCATCCTGTCATTCATTCATCCATTCATTCAAACAAAATACATTCAAGATACAAACAATTATGAGACAGAAAAAAAGAATGACAGTATGACAATCATCTATGGTCTATTCAAACCAAACCAAACCAACAACGACAATCAAATCACAAAGGTAGCTGCTCATCTTAGTTAAGACAGGTATTCGAGTCTTACTATTATTTAATGACCGGAAAACGTTGGTTGGTCATAGAAAAAAATTGTCCCCTCTTTCTTTCTCTCTCTTTTTATTATTTTTCTGTAATGATGATGATGGTGATGATGATGCCCATTTATTCAATGCAGAAATTGTTCATGTTATCAACGACAATCACAATGGTTAAAGTAATTATCATTGAATACATGTGTGTGTGTGAGTTTGTGTGTAACAATCACGAAAAGACAGTCACTGTTTTCAGTAATTGGATATAATTATCATCCAAAATATATTTCCATTATTATTATTATCCAACAGACAGAGAAATAAATTTGAAAAAAAACTTGTCCAAACAGGTCTTTTTTTCTTTAAAGATTACACGCGTTTGTGTCATAAACGTACACGAATGCTACCGTTTTATTGTAATACCTGCCTATATAAACATAAACCTATGATACACCCATATGGCTAATTTCAATGTCCATCACGTGTTTGATTCATATCATTTACAATTATTTTTTGATAGAGGGGTGAATATAATGCAAAAAATAACAACGGATGAAAGAAAAAAGGCAAGCCTTTTTTCTCAACAACATCCTGTCAGATATGCCATTTTTTGGTGACATAATTTTGACAACAACAAAAATGACCACTAATAAATTAACAAGTAAGAAATGAAAGAAAAAATGGGGCCATAAGAATTGTACAAAATAGAAACAATTGGAAAAGACAATAAAAAATATATATTGGATGCCAGTTTTTTCCCCAATTCAAACATGGCGTTGACCTTTCATTTTTTATCATTTCTGAATATTGTAAAATTAGAGCTAATTGTCAACTTATATGTTTTGTGAATGAAAATGTATGACGCTTCCCAGAATCCTAATAGTTTACTATGTGAAATTTTTCGATAGTGATAGACAACTTGAAAAGAATTCACACGTAATAGGCTAGCATAGGTTGAGATTGAAAGATGTTGATAGTCGAGAAACCGTAAACGAATCAATATGAAAATGACGTTCAACTACATTATTTCATAATCATCAATTCAGTTATCAGAAATTTGTAAAGTGTAAAAAAAGTTAAAATTAGATACCTGTGTGTGTGTGTGTTTTACGTTATAACGTCATACACAATCAAAATAGGAATATTATTAGGCAATGTTTGTTTATATTCAAAATAGAAGTTGAATATAAATTATATCAAGTTTGCATTGGATGTAAACTCATTATACACATAACAGTCATTTGTGTCGAAATGTCAAGATGAATTCTCTCACAAACAAAAAATTAGTCTACCATAGCTGCTACCTGTCACATATGCATTTAAAACGAATCGGTACTGCAGTATTTGCGTATAATTTGAATGAATGAACAAAGGTTTATGTCTAACAACAAGACATTTTAAGATAATAATTACACCGGAAACACATACATACATAGATAAATATATGTAATCATTTTTTTAAACAACAGAAACTTCATTTGGTGGCTATGATTAAAGTGAATGGATTAAGTAAAAAAGTTATTTAAAAAAAAATATAAAAACATTTATGCAATTTTCTTTATGCAACACAAAACAAAGTGAAAAACACTACAAATTATAGAAAAAAATTTCAACTATTACATCAAAAAAAAGTTCAATTAGTTTACAAATTCACACATGACCATGATGATAATCATTCATTTTGTTTTTCAAAATGTTTGTTGACTTCAAGTGAATCATGGAAAAAAATTAACCATTTGAACATAATGAAACGGATATGAATGGCATCAAACCAGGAAAAAATGTCAACCATAACTACCGGGTTCATTTTTTCCATTGATTCGCCAATGTTTTGTGATTGTATACCATTAACTTACAATGATAAAGCATGAAAAAAAACAAAAATTTATTTTTAGAAATGACGTCCCAAATTTACTTGGTTTTTTTTTGTTTGAAAAGACGAAAACAATTGATTTGCGTTGTATTATTCGATAGCCAATGGGCAAAAAAAAATTTTTCAATATCAATTTTTTTTCGTTTTTAATGTTGTCGATACTCAAAAAAAAAAAAAATGGAATATTTTAACTTTATATAACAAATGTGTGTTCTGTGTATTCATCATAAAGTTTATTGAATAATAATAATTCAAACAGTAAAACACAATGAAAAAAATGCTTGTCTCCTATAATTACAAAGTCGAAATCATTTGACGACATTTTAAAATGCAGAATTCAGTGAAAAAAACGAGAAAGATAGTTTTTGTTGTTGTTATTATTTGTCATTTTCCTTCTTCAAAAACAAACATAGTGAATTCGAAAAAGAACATTAATACGCTTAACCCTAAATAGCGACATCATTAAATGTAAAATGTCTAATGGAAAAAAAATTGGTTAACAAACATTGAATAACAAATAATGATGTTTCACATATGATAATAATAATAATAATTATAATGGTCGTAGAAGAATTATGATTCAACTAATCTAATTATGTTTCAAACGAAGGAAAACAACAACAACAGCAAAAAATTTGAAACAATTTATATTAATAATTCAGTATAACATTAGCAACTTGTCCATTTTGGAAAGTAATAAAAATACCATCACCATTATCAACATATCGCTTGGCGGATGTAAACATACCGTTTTTTATCATTATAAATTTTTTTCAATGTGAAAATTATTATTATTTTCTCTTTTCATCAAATATTAGATTCAAGACCATATGGCCAAATGTTCAATAATTGAATATTTTGGTGAAACTATGGTAACAAAAAATAATTCAATTTATAATTGTCCATCCATATGTCTCAATTTCCAAGAAAGATTTCAATTTTTATTGTTGTTAACTTATGATTTAATAAGGTGAAAAAAATAATCATATCAATCACAAGATCACTTTGTTCAATAAGTCTTGTCATAATATTAAACAAATGGTGTAAGATTACATCACAATGTGTTTTAAAAAAAGTTGATACGCAGAAAAGACAGTTCATTAAATGTCAATTTAATTATTATGAAACTAAATATAAACACTTTTTCTAAATTTTAACTAAACAGGACAATTTTTTATTTTCTGTTCATTAAAATCCAGGACGTATTTTTATTGAACAACCTACGATATAGATTTGTCTATTGATTAAAAATTCAATTATCAAGTGTATTATGTGTTGTGCAAAATCGAAAAAAAACATCAACATCATCATTGAATTGTTTACAACTAACGTTGAGCCGGATCTTTCATGTTCCGGTTTTGTGTTTTTTTTTGTCCTTTCAAATAGATTCGAATGCTATTATGATGGAAAAAAAATTTCATTTTATCGTTTATATGATGATGGCAAGAAAAATCGAATCAATCAACAATCGAATATAACAACAAAAAAAACTATCCAAAAGGAAACATGGTCGTCATATTTCCGTTGATTTTACAATCGATAATTAACATTTTACAAATAATAATACTGTGATGATGACGACATTTTATGATTTTCTCAATACCTATCATTGCAAATATAATTGATGACAGTTTTGAAATCGAAATCGAAAAGAAAATTTGAGCTTATATAATAACGAAAACAAACAAACATTGTTTATTAGAAAACTTACGGATTTCAATCGATGTTTTTAAATGATGATGATGAGAAACATAATCATATGTGATGAGATATTTCAACAACAAAAAAAGAAATCAATCAATCATTCAATGATAGAAAAAAAAGGCAATCAATCATAAATATACACATGTAGACTATCATCAATCAATCAATTGATTGATTGGTCCATCATAAAAAGGTCGAAGTGAAAGTATATTATTTGAATCAAAAAAAATGAGTAATACAAAACCCAATATTTGATGATTCCTTCGATGCACTTTTGTTTTTGTTTTTAATACCAAAAATAAAAACAAAACAAAAATAATATCATGCGAACACAACCGAACACAGCAACAGAATATATTTGTTAACAATTCTTATATTTACTCAAAAAAAATATAGCCATCAATTCTGCGAAATTTGGGTACTGTGTTCTAAATATTCACTTATATTCGACCCGAGTATTGTTGCGTTTAACAAAAATACATGTGCACTGTTTGTTAAACAAAACAAAACAAAAAAAACACTAATATTCTTTGATTGATTCAATGAAACATTGCGGCTACACATTTTTGTCTTCTTCTTTTTTTTGATAGCCAGAATGAATTATCGGTTAATAGAAACGGGACAAGTGTATGTATGCATGAATGTTGGTGTTTGTGTGTGTGTGTTCAAGTGGTTCACTGCAGAAGATATCAGAAGATATATTTGGGCACGTTTCCAACGGTATTATGATGATGATGATGATGTTACCACTAGCAAACATTAAATAGACAAATGCTGATACCATTTTGGGATCCTCAATGCATCATTCACATAGTAGTGGCATTATTCACCAAAAAAAAACAAAAAAAACAAAAAACAAAAATAGGGGAGTCGACATGGATTCTCATGTTCCAGCCATGATTAGAATGTATTGGGCGTTGTTTATACACACTAGGAACAATTTTTGTTGATGATTGATAGTAGGCAACAATTTTGATCATTTTATTATAAGATGCCGGTAAAAGGTTATGACCGACAAAGAATCGACTGGCGCCAAAACAAGGATATTGCGCTTACCCTTCACAACTAAACTGCGCCAAGTAATTTTAAAGACTGAAAATGTTTAAATTGTGTGTTAGTTCAATGCAAGTAAACATTGATTAAAAGGGCGGGCAAAAAAATTCGTTTAGATATACGGTTGTTGATGCTGTTAGCATTGAGACCACGCAACCACTGTACGATTAAATGTGCTTCTTCCATTTGGCTACAGGTGCAGCCCCTTTCCTGCATCTTTTCAATCGAAAACAAGCTGACACACTTTGGACCGGAAATGAGTTGACATATGGCATGTCGATCCCTGAAAGACTAGGAATACAGTTACATAGGCTAGGTCCGGCATTGCTATTGTTTAATGGACATCTGTGCTTATTTGTCGCATAAGCTTTAAACTTGTAACAATGTTGTTTTGGTTTATATATCCGGACGAATTTTTTAATACAATAAATGTTAGTAGTATTTTATGAAAATAATGAATACAAAGATTAGAGTACAAAATGATTGGCTAGATGATAGGCAGCAGCCACGCGAAGCTGCTTCTCAATGCGTTGTATACGTCGTTGATTGGATTCATCATCCTCTGCATCCTGTTGTTGTTGTTGTTGGCCATGGTTGCGAAAATAATCCGACAACAAGGTCGATGTAGATTGGTCGCTTTCATGATCCGAACGAGATCGTGCACGATATAAGACCTGTTCCAAAGATGAGATAATCTTACAGATCTGTTTGCTATTCAATTGTAATGGTCCAGGCATGGACATTGAAATCGATGATTTCTGCGGTTGTATCAACGAAAGACAATCTTCTATAACTTTAGTTTGAAAAAAATCTGGTATCGCATTCGATGTGATCATATCGTCGACGAGTATTTTTGCTGCAGGTTCATAATGACCATTTTGACAGAGCTGTCTGAACTCATGGTATTTGCAGAGAAATATCAGACGCTCAGATAAAACGATCGATCCTCCAATGTTAGTGATGATGTCTGCATCCACATTCTGATCAGAAACAAGGTATTGATGTAAAATTTCATCGACAATATGATTTATTAGCATCTTGTCTTTAGCACGGATAGCCCAGAAAAGAGCTGAGCCTAGTTTTCGTTGCGAACCTCGCAGCCATTTTCGAGCTTGTTGTCGGCAGAGAGATAATTCTAATTGGCTAAAATCAAAACGACGACAAGTGGTGAGCAAACGTTGTAATTCATCTGCAGAATCGAATGGAACCCGTTCTAAGCAAGCCAAAATGAATTGTTGCGAATCTGCTGTTTCTTTTCCAACATGAATCAAATATTCGATACTCAATTGCCAGAATCTTCTACTATGAGAAAATAAAGCATTTGCATAATTTACAACAAATGAATCTCTTATCAAACTAATATCAGTAATTTGATAATCAGCATAACGAGCCGAATTGTAGATTAGGTCGACAAAATGTGTGACAAACCACCAATTATCATCGAAACATAAAGAACTTTGTTTGATAACATCAATAAGATCGTAGTTGAATGCAGAAAGAATAAGTTTATCAAACAAAGTGGGCGAATTTCCAATACCATTTGATGATTCATAATAGGCGTTCATTGTTTTTTCAATTAGAATATCGACATCACCTTTGAGGCAAGGATCGGTGAATAGAGCATATGAGACCATCATCTGGTACCAGGAATGAAAAAGATGGCTCACTAATTTAAATGATTCCAAATCGCCGGACAATAATCTGAGCAATAAGTGCAACTGTTGATGCGAGCGTTTCTGACTTGTTTTAGTCGATTGATTTTCTGCTGCTTCTTTGACGCTATCATGCCAGAATCCCCATCGAAGATAATATTCATGTATGACAAACGAATTGCTGCCGTTCATCATTGGGAATTTTTTCAATAAATCTTGAACGACCATAAAAATTGGGTCAGTCTTTGATTCGGAATGTAGTTCGAGCAATAGAGCCGCATTTTCCATATCACCCCGTAAAGCAAAAAACATGATAATATCCCAATAGTTTTCATGCATTTGTGGCAGATCGGCGACAATCATTTCGTCAGCCAATTTTACATAGTAGGTAAAATGCCATTTGATCCAATTCAATAACTGTACTAACAATGTTCCGGCACTAGAAACGTTTATGTAGAGGATTTCGCACAAATGCCACGAAATTTCCATCTGATGTAAAACTTTCGATTGTCGCATCAAATCATCGTTTACTTGTCCATCCTGAGCGGCTAAATCGTCGAGAATTTTGAGATACCATGAATGTATTACCGAACGATATTTACGGCTAGCTTTGATCATTTCCAAATGGCTCAACGGATCTTGACATTTGGATACACGCTGCACAAAATTAAAAACAACACCAGATTCGGATATGAAACCACGTGAATGACAGTTAGCGAATAGACATGAATGTGGTAGCCAATTTTCGGAAAAAACTTGTATCAAAGTTTTTGGACATTTTATTTGCGCCATTATTTTATCATTAATGGATATCTTTATAATTTATTTATATGAAAAAAACTATTATTTTAAAAAAATTCACATAAAATCTGGCTCATATTGAAACCTGACATGAGGAATGGGAGAAAACATGTTTGATATCGATAGAATCGATACCATCAAGAATTTAATTCATTCAGATATTCAGTCGAGTTAAAGCGAATAGCCAGAAAGCAATATACATGCCTAATAGCTAAAAATATAGTTTCATTAAAAATCAATTTTAATTATTAGATTATGTATTTTACCTCTAAGGCCATTCTATATGTTAAAGATCCATACGTAGAAATTACTGGGCCAAATTTTGGCCCATGAAGTAGACGTCCATACCAATCATCGTATTTAAGCTTCAATCTTATCTGTTTGATGTTAGGAACGATGCCTGAAATGTCTTTTTTAGTTTGATGCAATGTCTCGACCTCGAAACACATCGGAACAATCAACACCATTATTATTACCGTATGTACCACAATACCGATAGAAACTGGTATATATTCAAAGGTGTTGAGAACTCCTGATCTCAATAATAAAATAATTGCGATATTCAACGGTATGCTGACCATGATAAAAATCAATAGAATAGGACTCCAAGCTTCACTGAATGCCTTTCGATAAATTTTTGATATGCGTCCATGATCTCGATGAATCATACTTAGCTGGCAATTTATTTGACAACGGCGTCGTTGGCTTATGTTGATAGCTTTCATCTCCGCTCTTATAGATTTTAAAGATGAATTCCATTTTTTTATTTGAAAATAATGGTTCGCTCCAATCAATAACTCCAGGCCCGCTCCAAACAATCCACATTGAACTGATGTATAGAAGACATCATTGAGGATAATATATTCGACAGCGAACCATATTTTCTTGTACCATAAATTCATATTAGAGTGTTTAGCCAGACATTGATAATATTCGACGAATAGTAGACCGATAATCGGCACAGATATGACATGCATTGCAAAATATGAGATGTTTAATAAAATCTGCAATATCATTAAACATCGACGAGCTCGGAAATTGGTGTCCGGAAAATAGATCATTCGAAATTCGACAGACAATTTTGACTGATTAATGTGATCAAAATACAATCGATATTGAATATCGGTCAAAATGCGGCAAGAAAACTCGATGACCATCCGAGGCAAGTAAAATCGATCGATAAAACATTGTATATTATGGTCGTACCTTGTTTGCCAGATTATTTTTTGCTCTTCATCAGACAGGATACAATGACGAAATTGGTCAAAATTAACAACAATCAAATCATAAGGATAGAGCATAGTGCATGTATCGACCGGTGTAATTAGATGAAAGATAATAATGGCAGATAATCCTAAGAGAAATATCATTGATAATATTACAAAGACATAATAATAAAGTTTGTTGTATTCGTAAAACATGGCTACGCTTAAAGGATCATAGCGCCAAAGGGGACACCATTCCGAGAATTTCAATCTAGTGAATGGTACAAAAGAAAATCGAACAATCATTAAGATAAGTAGAAACACTTCCAGTTTATGGCGACCACGATATTTCGGATCATGATGAAGGTGAACAATTTCTTTCAATTCTGTATATAATAACTTGAAGAATTTGAACTGCATAGTTGTGAATCAATTGTCGATGACTATTGGAAAGGAAATGTTAGCTTATCTAATGTTTTAGGGTCCAAAGTAATTAAAAGTAATTAATACGAATTTTCAAAAGACATTCAAGATTTTGGTTACCATGGTTGAAATTTGTGACAAATATTTGTTATTACGATATTTGGGACTTACTTGGATAATTTTACTTGGAATGGCATCTAGGTAAAAGTGTTTAATCACTATGTTTGAAAACAATTTTCAATAGAATCATCATCTGTAAATGTTGCCGTGTTTACTGACTAACTTGCAAGGCCGAAACTAAAAATATAATCGTGAATGAATAAATTCCGTGGAATAATGACATTAATTAACAAATAAATTGATTGAATTTAATTAATAAAACCATAATGAATTCAAGGGTCAATAATTTAATCAATTATTAGAACAAACAGGCTAATATGAAAAGAAATAGGAGTACAAATTACAATGAAACTAATCATAATAAAAGATATGCTTCTTGCTTTTTCTCAATTACGATGATGGTTCGACGAAAGCAATGAATTCGATGCCAACATTGTCGTATGTTGTGGTTGATGATGCGAATGATGTTGACCAGAGCTATTACTTGGTACTGTACGAGGTGCCAATTGTAATCTGTTAGCTATTGATGGTATTCGTTGCACTGTTTGCGGTATACGTGCACAATCACTTTTCATATCAATCAACAAATCTTCCAAGTGATTACTGGCCCGTTGTAGAATTGGATTAAGGTTTTTAGATGGTTCATTTTCTTTGTTTTGATCAACATTTTCCGAAGTTGATTCACTATCTTTTTCTTTTTCATCAGATTTCTGATCTTTCGTTTCAGTTTGTTCATCTACTCCATTTTTATCTTTATCATCATGACCGTTAGATTCAGTTTTTTCCGGCTTCTTTTCTTCACCTGCAACAATAAATGTAGCTTGATTAGCCAGATGAGCAAAGCGGCGAAGCTGTTCTTCGAATACTAATGCCTGTTCCAGAAGCCGCAAACGACGTTCCATAAATTTATCGCGAATGTTGCCGCTATTTTTGAAAGGTTCGTTGAGGATGGAAAAATCTTCATCATTAGTAATATCATGCCAACGTTCATAGCCATGTTTTACAATGCCAGCCAAAAGCCAATAGTCATGACGTCGATTCCATATATCATGTTCACGGCGTCGCTGCAGTTCTTTTTCTTCAAAATACCAAAGGGTATGCAATTCAGTGAAACCACCATCTTGAATGTTGAATTCGAATGGTCGAACTTGATCTTCTTCATCGTTTTGATTATTTTCTTCTTTTATTTCGTTGCTACTTTCTTTATCATTAGTATTCGATTTTTGATCAGTAGTGGATGGCTGTTGATCAATATCCATTTTTTCATTGCCATCGTCCTCTTTTTTTACCTCAACATTTTTATCATCGGCATTTGATTCGACGGCATTGTTGTCACTTTGAACAGGAATAGCCTCACTTTTGACTGCATCGATTTTATTATCGACATCTGGTTTCGGTTCATTATCAGTTGGATTATCCGTTGACTGACCATTCGTTTGATTCTGGTTTTCAGCAGTCTTTTCATTGCTATTCATGCATACGGTTTGTGATGGTTCTTGCTTTGGCTTTGTCTTAGCTTGCCGATTCGGCATTGATATGGAGCCATTTTTCGCTTCATATTCACATACTTTACGTTTAATCAATGAAATAATACCGATACGTGATAATACTTGGCTAACATTTAGACCTTCTTTTGGCACACCATCTTCGAATGTCAATGCGGTAGGGTCGTCACCCGGTTCGCACAAATGATTTATAAAAAGAGATGTATACGCCCTTAAATGTTTTTCGGGTTTATTTTTCAGTTCACGAATGAAAAACTGTGAATCAGTGAGATTATAATCCAGATTGGGCAAACCAAATCGCATGACCAAATCGAGATATATTTTTCTATGTTTGGGTGTGAATCCAAGTACCTGAAAAAATTAAAATATGATAAATAATATTACAAAAAAGCAAAAGAAAAAATACCTCAGTGTTTTGACCAATCGAAGATAATAGCGGTGGCATTTTCTCTTTAGCTGGTGTATTTTTGTTGGATCGGGTAAATTTTTGATTACGACCTTCTGATCGTTCATCAAAGTCTTCATCATTCTCACTTGCATCTGCTGATGTTTGAAAGCAAAAGAAAGATTAATATATCGAAATATGAATAATGAATACTGACCAGAAGGAACGGAAAAGTCCGAACTTTCGCTAGATTCTTGATTTTGAAAATCATTTTGTCCGGAAGCAGAATCCAAGTAGTTGACTTGCTTTCGAACTCGTTTGCCTTTGCCCAATGAACGAGTAATGTTTTCTTGATATTGGAGATAATGGGCTCCTAATAGCTTTTCCCAGTAATGAGGATCATTTTGTGCCTCATCTTTAGACTGTTTCGAAGAGACAACTTCTTCCAGTTCTTCCTCAACTTCTTCAGCTTCTTTGGTTACGTAATTTGCTACCTTGAAAGACGACAAATATTCGTTTGCCCACATTTCTTTTTGTTCGATACCTTCCTGTGTTCGATCGAGTAAGCCATCAATTGCCTTGTCATCGTAATGAATCATTTCTGATTCTTTTGTCTCTTCCTCTTTGAACAATTCTTCGGTACCAAATTTAAGAATATCATCCAATTCTTGTTTCGACATTGTAGCGTTAGATTTGTTTGATCCAAGACCTGGACGTACGACCAAATGTGTCAACATCATTTTCTTTTTGGCTACTTGTGTGATTCGTTCTTCAACCGAATTTCTTGTCACAAATCGATAAATCATTACTTTGTTCGTTTGACCAATACGATGAGCACGGCTCAACGCTTGGATATCGTTGTGAGGATTCCAATCAGAGTCATAAATAACGACCGTATCTGCAGTTGCAAGATTGATGCCAAGACCACCGGCACGTGTAGACAATAAGAAAACGAATTGTTTGGCTCCTGGAGCGTTGAAACGATCGATGGCTTCTTGTCGAACGGAGCCAGTCACACCTCCATCGATGCGTTCGAATTTGTAGCCTTCGGCTTCGAGGAAATCTTCAAGAACATCCAACATTTGAGTCATCTGTGAAAATATAAGAACTCGATGGCCATCCTCTTTAAGTTTACGGAGCATTTTTTGTAACACTATCAATTTGCCACTTGCTTTGACCAACGGACTGCCTTCGAAATAGCCCAATTTTGTTTTTGGTGCTTCCTAAATATATAAACATCAGCAACAAAGAAAATTAGTATCGTACATAACTTACTTCAGCCGCAACAGGAAATAGATAAGGATGGTTGCAACATTTTTTCAAATCCATAACAATATTGAGCAGTGATACTTGTTTGCCACCAAATTTCGAATTCAACGCATCAAAATTTCGAGTTAATATGTATTTGTAGTATTTTCTAATCAATTAACATTAGATTATGGCAAACACAAATGAAATGGGCACTCACTTTTGCAATGGAGCTAAATCGACACGAATAATAAACTCGGATTTAGCCGGCATACCGGTGAGAACATCGGCTTTCAATCGTCGCAATAAATGTGGACCAAGCAATTCATGTAACTTTTTAACCTGTTCTTCTTTGGCAATGTCAGCGAATTCGTTGAGAAAGCCATCCATATCACTGGCAAAACAAAAATAATCGTTAAACAATTTAATAATTTTATAGCAGATAAAATTACTCACTTGAATCGATCGGGACTAAGAAAATTCAACAAGTTGAATAATTCTTCAAGATTATTTTGTAATGGAGTTCCAGTTAGCAATAGTTTATGTCCTACGCTGTACTGATTGAGCGTTCGAAAGAATAATGATTGGTTACTTTTCAATCGATGAGCTTCATCGACAACCAACACTTTCCAATCGATCGAGCCGAGTAAAGCAGAATCCAGATTGATTAATTCGTACGAGGTGAGCAGCACATGAAATTTGACAGGTACATGTTTACGAATACGGGTTGCTTTGTTGGCAGAACGTATGACATCAGCATCGAAACTTAATTCATTTTCTCGTATGATGATACGAGAGTCTTTGTTACCGGTATAATTTACCACATAGAAATCGGGTGCCCAATCTTCGAGCTCACGTTCCCAGTTAATTATTGTTGATAATGGAGCAGCGATAAGAAATGGGCCACGAGAATGACCTTCTTTGTACAAAGAATATAGGAAGCTAACCGTTTGGATGGTTTTACCCAGACCCATTTCATCGGCTAATATGGTATCAATACCAGATACCCATGAATATCGAAGCCAGCTAATGCCTTCCATCTGATAATCATGAAGCTTGAGTGGCTCAGGAATGTATTCTGGTTGTTGATCCAATTTCTTTTTCGGATCTGTTTTTGGATGGGCACCAAAATGTTTCATTTTTTTACTACCATGATGTTTATCTTTTTTTCGATGTTTCTCACCATCGCGATCTTTAGATTTACGTAGTTTCTCATCATCGACGGCAGTTTCTTCTTCAATAAGCCGACGAAGATTCCAATATTCGTCAATTTTTTTCTGGTAATCAGGTATCTCGAAATCACAATTTTCTGGTTCAGGTTCGGCTGTAACCTCTTCGTATGAAAGATCCCGCCATTTGATAAGGTAGTAAATTTTTCCTCGATTTTTTCGGTGATTAACGATTCGATGTATGAGTAACCATTCTGGACGTACACCATTTCTAACATACGTCTCTTCTATTTCTGACGGTAGATTACTACATCGTTTACGGCGACGATGTTTACTTGCTATAGAAGCGGCAAGGGCAGCAGGATTATCTTCGAATTTATTATTTTGTTCCTCATCAACGGCAGACCTACCAAGGTCGTCAATTGATTTCGGTTCAGAAAGATTTGTCGTCAGCATGCCAGCTTCATCGAACATAGGAGGATTGGTCATATCATTCTTTTGTGCATAGAATCGATACATATTTGAATGAAAAACCTGAAGTTGGGCTTCATCGATCCAAGAACAATGCCAATAGGACATGTCTTTCCATTTAACAAAGAATTCACGTTCGCGAGGCTTGCGATTTTTAAGATTTTTGAGCAAGTTTTTTGTCGTATCTTCGGCTGACATCTGTGTCTTCTGGTCACCATTCATTTCATCTTCTTTTGAAGTGTTAATTTTTTTCCAACGCCAAGTGATAATTCGTTGTACTTTGCCCTTCAACGGTTCGACCGAACAAGCAAGGCAATTCCAAACTTCGGGCATTTCGTCAAGCGGCGGATTCAAACATTGAATATGGATACGAGTGTTGCAAGAGGCGCAGAATACAATATCACCACCACTTTGTCGACATGATTTGCAAACAATTTTTTCTACTTTTTCACTTTTTTCGGTAGTAGAAGTTTCAAGTTCTGCATTACTAGCATCTACACCATGTTCCCGACAATATGGACATGACCATTGGCCTTCTGGTATGTTTTTCATATCTTCGTCCATACAAACTAGATGATATGCCCGTGGACACGTATCACAAAGTAATAGTTCACCACATTGATTACAGATTTCACAATAATCACGATTTTCGATTTCTTTTTCTTTGGAACTGGAACTGACCGCTTTTGTTGCGTATGTTGATGGTTGTTGTGGTGTTGATTGCTGACTTTTGGCAGCAGCTGACATTTGTTTTTTCTTCTTTTTGGCCACAATAGCGGCAACTTGCTGTTTCAATTCTTTAGGTGTCGGTTTTCCGTGAGTTTGACAATGTGGACAGCACCAATCATCAGGCAGCTCATCGTTTGCACCAATATCATCGTCGAGACAAACTTTATGATAAGCGCGTGGACAATAATCGCAAAGAATTAGCTCACCACTTTGTCGACAAGAATTGCAAACATCTTTATGAATAATTTTGAAATCAGGTTCCAATTCATCACCAGCACCGCTATCACCACCATCACCTGTTTCTCCGGCATTGTCTTGGATGGTATCCCCTTTTTTGGCATTCGAAACAAATATTCGTTCTGAACGGCGTGTTGGTATATTTGGTGTTGTAGATGATTCCGGATCAGGAACAGAACTTTTCGAAGAACTTTTTCTAGTGTTACTAGTCGAATGGTGGCTATCCATTTGAAAATCATCATCATCGTTGGCTGAGTGAATTGAATCATCGTTATCTCGGTTATTTCGTTTTGAAGATCGTTTAGATTTTTCTCGCGGTGGTAATAGTTTAATTTTCAATGGTGGCAATCGTTGCCCGTTCGATTGTTGATCATCATGGCTAGTTGTTGCTGTCGAACCACAATCTTCAACAGCCATTGATTGTTCAGTATCTGAATCTTGCATCTGATGTTTTGATGACGATGATGATGATGATGATGATGATTTGGATTTTTTTGATTTTTTTCGATTGTCACTGTGGCCACTGTTACTACTGGAAGCCATATTACGAGTTGTACTACTGCTAGTACGTTTCTTTTTTGATGATGATCCAGGTTCGTGATAATCTTCATCCTCTTCATAACGACCGGCTGATGAATTACCAGGAATAGAATTACCATCCCCATCATCATCCGAATCATCGCCTAAATTAATAGTTTCGTGTTTTTTCATTTTCGAAGATTCTCGTCGTCGACCTGTACAAAAGAATTATGAAATTATGGGATCTGAATCTCATCGAAAAAGTGGGTATCGAATGGTACTCACTTCTTCGATGATGTTTCGAATTACTATCGTGATCATCATTGTCTTGACCATATGATTGATCAATAACCGTATATTGCTGATCACTATTATCAGCACTATTATTATCGTCGCTGTCACTCATCACTTAAAAGAACATCAAGTTTTTTTGGAACACTTATCCAATATAGTATGTATGAACAGGTGAATGTTGGGCATCAAACGAAAGGGACAATTATTGAGGAGCCAAATTATAAGGCAAACAAAACATCAATATGGCCGCCACTGGTGAACGTGGGAGAATTTCTGCTCACATACAACACACACACACACTAATACACACACGGAGCGAATGTGGTGAGCCAGCGGAGGACAACGATCAACACCGCGCCGAATGGCAGCTGCCTGTAAGACAGCCAGCCACCACCATGAATTTAACCAACCAATTGCCACTAACGCCACCGAGCGGCAGATAAAGGGGGTTAACTTTGGGATTTTTGTTTTTGCGATCGACTCTAAATGGGGATGGTCATTCATTCTAAAATTACAGAGATGAATGAAATAACCGGGAGAGCTATCACCAACCGGGGGCATACAAACACATATATTTTGGTGTTTGTGTGTGTGTGGCTGTCTGTCCATCCTATCCATCCGTGTCTATCGGTAAGGATGTAGATTAATGCGCCACCAAACGTTGTTGATCAAAAACAGATTCCAAATCTGAAATGATTCGAATTACGAATCTAATATTAAAAACCACCAGTTGAAAATCCAAATCTATTTAGTTTGTTAAATATTTATCCTAATCCAATAGGATTGTTCACAGGTAAGTCGAATGTTTTAATTGAATGACTGAATATGCAAATTGCGATAGTAGATTACTATGAATCATTTCAATTGTTTGTTCAATTTAAGATTCATTCCTTTTTTTGGAATGATCGATGAATTTTAAATATAAGTGATGATCATTAACTATTGTCAGTTATAACATTGGCATTCATTGGCATTCATTTTCATGCAAGAACACCAATTTGGAAATAGAAAATAAAATGTCAATGATTTATTATCATAATAGATTTAAAATTAGATTATCCATTTTGAAATCGAAGTCAAAAGCTAATGCAATCATAAAGCATAATCGTAACAAAAACACTTGATTTTCTATTCATTATTTTCAAACTAAGATTTTGATCGATTTTTTAACGTTTCGTTTAATTTTCAATCCCACAACCTCACAACTTCACAACCTAACCTAACTCAAGCTTATAGCCTCTTAAAATCTAATACAAACATGAACTAAAGATGGCGACACAATGGAAAATTTTTTATTTTTTTTAATTTGAAAAAATTTTCGAATCACTTTTTTTTATTGTTGAACAAAAATTATATGTGAATGAACACACACAAACAAAGACATCGGAATCGACATGACTATTTCCGAATCCAATAATAAGGTTTGTTTATTTATCTCTATTTTTTTTTGTCAAATTTTATTATTTATTTTACGTTTTTTTTGCAGCAGATGTTTCAAGCGAAAAAAATCCAAACATTTTTATTTATAATAAATTGACAGCAACAAAAATGTAACGATAACAAGTCAAATCAAATATCGAATCGTGTTTAAAAGTGGCAAAACAGCCAAAATGAAAGTTTGTCCTATCGTTCCTGGATTTGTCAGAAACTTTTTCTCTTTTACTCTTTCTCTATATTGGCCACAAAGAAAAACGATTTGTCACCGAAAAAAAAATTTCCCATTTTTTCTTGTTTTTTTCATTTACCATTTCTATGATCGGTAATTACAATTATTTTTGTCCCTATTATTATGTGTGTATGCTACAGCACAAAATACGATTAATTTTATATCAATCAATCAGATTTTTCTTTACTTATTTCTAAATGGGAAGAATTTTCAAATATTATCTACATTGAAAAATCAAAATGAATAAAAACTTTTATCAAAAACAAAATGCAAAAGATAAACGAAATTTAGAATGTAGAAAATTCAATGAATTGGATGAATTTCCAAATAATTTTACGAATGACTTGTATAGATAAGAAAATGGCGATCGAGGGAGATTTGAACAATTTGTTTTTTTTTGAATTGAACGAAAAGAAAAAAGTTACAAATCCTATTTCAAAAATATTCTTATGAGAATTGAAACTTTTTGTTTGAAATTTTTCGATAAAAAAACAAATACTGAGCGATTGAACAAATTAGCCATAATGATCAATTCTTTCAATTGTTTCAACATTCATTCTCTTCATGTAGAATTATAGAGATTAGACGAAAAAAGTGTAGTGAAAGGAATAGGAAAAAATTTGAACAAAACAAAAAAAATCTTAGCAAAACAGAATGAATGAAAATGAAAAAGATGCCTTGAGAGAAAAGTTAGAATGTTTTGGGTCTTGAGGTTGAAAATAGAGGGGAAGAAAAAGAAGTCTAAATTCTCAAATCAAAATCAAATCAACCACCAGAAACGATAAAACTTTCGGTTGTTTTTTTTAACAAAAAACAAAATTTTAAAATTTTAAAACTTTAAGCTTCATATGCAATATATAGTTTAAGTAATCATAATTTCGATTGGATTCGTATTTTATTATTTCAAGCTATTATGATTTTTCTTTTGTGAATGTTCCATTTTTTTCTGATATGATGTTGTTTACTTATAACAAGATTGAATCGTTTTTTTTTTGGTTAATATGTTCGTCATCATCAATTTTTATCCCAAAAAAATGTAATCAATATGATTAAGCCAAACGAATCATAGAATTGAATGAATTACTATTGTTTTAATGATGGTTTATACCAATCGATAAATGATGTTTTTTAAGGACGCGGATGTAAAAAAAAACTTGAAGGACGAACGAAAAAAAAAATATTAAAAATTATACAAATAAAAATAATACTTTTGAAAAGAAAGGAAAAAAATTGAAATTTTTTTTTTCGTTCTAAATTGAATTTCTTTTTTTTTTTGAAATAATTTTTCAGGCTTATCATGGCCATAGTTTAAGATCATGAATAAAAAAACAAAAAAAAAGAGCATAATCATTGCAACATTGAACCCAAAAAATAATAATAATTCGTCTAGGGATTTTACTATTCTTTTTTTTTGTTTTGGATTTTCAAATGAGCTCAAGATACGATTCGACAAGCACTAGAATAAAGTAGTAGAATAATTTTTTTTTTTGAAAATTTAGACAAGAATATCCATTTGATAGTTCTCGACACATACGCACGCACGCTTTAAAAAAACACAGGAGAGATTAATCTTTGTTATATAAAAAAAATCCAACCTAATTCAATGAAGAAAAAAAAAGTATTATGATATCAACGGAAACAAAGCAAAAAAAAATGAAAAAAAAAATTTAAAATGAAAAAAATAGAAATAAAAGACGTAAATAAAATGTGTCGAAAACAGGCAACAACAATTTTTTTGTTTTCTCTATAGATGGGTGTGAATAAAAACAAAAAAAGCCTTCGCAGTTTTTTTCTGGAATAAATTTTTTCCCTTTCCTGAACATACGAAAAGCAGAAACGAAAAAAAAACGACCAACCAAATCCATATTATGGATCCATTGGATAGCACATTTTGGGTTTTTTCTTTAGTTATTCATTCATTCATTTCTGGTAGATTTTTTTTGCATCGTAGTTTAAAAGAACTATGAACGAATGATATTTTTTTATTGATTTCATCATCATCGCAAAACTAAACCAGAACAACACAATGATGATGATACTAGTGAAAGGACGAAGATGAATGGTGAAAAAAATTGATTCAGCTAAAACGAACATCATGAATCTTGCTGTTTTTTTCTTTTTATTTGTAAGAAAATGAGAATCAAGCGAATATTTCGAACCCGAAAAAAAGGGATAGAAATTTCGGCTGGTATCGATCGATCGTTTCCTATTTGTTGTTTTTTTCTGTCGTTATAATAACAGGCGTTATATGGATTCATCTCATATTTGATTTTTTGTTTTCTCTGGAATATAAAACTCACAAACAATGAACAGTTTGGAAAAGGTCCGATATATGACTGATGTGAGATGACAATGTTAGATTTAGCCAAATTAATGAAAAGTATTAATGAAAATTTTATCAAAAATAGCTACAGTTTAATCGTTTAATTATAATTATTAATATTACAATATCATGGATCAAGCATTTGATAATTTTGATGGTTTTGATTAACGACGTTCGTATTGAGACAAATTATCATATCGTTATTCAATGACAACAGCAGAAACCATAAAAAAGAAATTAGGAATATTCTACCTGTCAACAACATAAAAATCGAATTAGGAATTATATGCAAATCAACTGTGTGTATCGTTATTGTTCAGAGAAAAATCTCTATAAAAAAATTGCATATTGGAAATTTGAAATGAATATAAAAATGTGGCATCGAAAACATTGAAATTAATGATAGATGTGATTCAAATACGAAAAATAAAAAATGATAAATCATTTATTCTAAGCCACCAAAAAAAAACATCCATCGTAAAATGTTGTGGATTTCGGAATATAAAGAATACATTTCGACAGTCGATGATATTGAACTATCAAAAAAAAAAGAATAAAATAAAATAACCACCAAAATCAAAGGCGGATCAAAAAAGAAAAAACATTTTCCTTCTCTTGTGTAGTAGGAGGAGAAAATATTTTTGCCAACACTTTATGATTATTATTATCCATTCCATTCATTTTCTTTGTGAATTTTTCATGAAGGAACCAAACGATTGTCCAAAAGTCTAATTGATTCTGAAAAAATGTGGTTTAACAATGAAACCATCATGACCATCACGACCCAACAATAACATCAAAAAAGAAAAAATATTGTATTAGATAATGATAAAAAACTATAGATAAAAGACGATACCAATTGAAGAACGATTGATTTTTTTTCGCCTATATTCTTCCAATCCGATTTTTATCATCATCAACATTGAAGATGTGTGCAGATTGAAATGAGGTCGATACAATAATAATAGATTGAAATTTCCGTTTGTTTTCAATCATAATCATCATCATTATTATCAGATCCAAAAAAACAGAATTGAATTTATTCACATCCGTCGTAAATGTCCATATGAAATAATAGAGTTGAGAAAACAAATCAAACGGATATATATAGTAGATATAGCCATTTTAACCGGCAAGTACAACAAAATTGATCAAAATGAAAATTATTGAAAATGGACGTCGAAACAATTGTACAGTGGTAAAAATGTTAATGTTACAAAATAATGATAATAATTATTATCATCATCGTCATATAACGGTACCAAAACAAATTGAAAAAAAAACAGAGAACCCGTTGATTATTCCGTTGATTTTTCTATTTTCTCAATCTATTGAAAATAAAAAAATGAAAGCAAAATAGGAAAAAAGAGAACGAAAAAAACGATTATAATCATCCACGAATGATGAAAATGATAATTATCAAATCTTATAATGGAAAAAAACTGTATATAATAATAATAATAATCGCATTTTTTTCGCTCCATTTCGGTTGGATACAGGGCCTTGGAATGACGATAATGATGATGATGGTGGTGATGAAAATCCAGTGGAAAAAAGAATGTAAATGAAAATGAAAATGATTTTATTTAATTCTCGTGGTATTTGTGTATATGTGTGTTGTGTGTATTTGATTTTTTCAGAACATTACGTATATTCGTTTAGCATTTTATGATGATGATATGATTATATATGAAAGCTAAGTAAATTGAATTGTGTGTGTGTGTGTTTGTGTGTGTATTCTATTGACCATAATGATTGTCGTTTCGTTTGACATAAATCTGTGACTGAAAAAGAGAAGAATCTGAATTTTAAAATGGGCGGAAAAAAACTGTACATGAAAATTTTTTAAAAATATTTTTCTCTCATTTCTGTATCATTATTTAATCCAAACCAGAATTCCATGATTGCTAGAATTCGAAAGAATGAGAGAAGAGTAAAAAATGAAAATCAAAGAGTAAAATGAAATTGGCAAAAAAAATTCAATTCTTAATGATGGAAATAATAATGATTGGCCTCTTATACAAACACTAATAATAATGATAATAATAATGTATAATAATAAAAATATCAAAACTTTTCGAGTTTTTTTTCTCTTTTTGTTTTGTTTTTATTTCATTTTTTTCCACATGTATATTTTTAGTTTGTCTCATCAAAAAGTAATCTAATTGCTGTTCAACTGTATGTCTGCCAACAGCAATGGTTTAAAAAAATGCTTGTTATATGTACAATTGGATACAGTTGTACAATTATTATTATCAAATTTCCTATAGAACAGAAACAGAATCAGGCATTAAAAAAGAGAATATAATAAATCTGTTGGAAGGCAATTATAAAAAATGGAACAACAAGATATTGTTTCTAAAAAGAGGCATCAGCTTCATTAGAGGAGATTTGAAATGAATTGAAGGTGAAAAACAAGACTATTTTAAATCAAAATAAAATCGGTGGTCCTTTGGTATTGAATGTTGAAACTGATTTCATTTTTGATTCCCAGATAGATTGATTGATTGAATAACAAAAATCCGGTTGTGAAATTCCTTTTTTTGAAAACATGAAAAAAGTGAAAACTTTGCTATTTTTATGTTAAACAAAAAAACATGACAATTTCCTCTTACTCTAAATGCATCCGAAAACACATGACATATTAACAGCGACAGCGACAACGACAACAACAAAAACATTTTAAATTAATACGAAATCCAAAGTCAAAAAAAATTTGATGTTTTTCCAAAAGGATTAAAGAGGATGATTAAAAATACTTGTTATGTCAATTACAGAATACATAATACATGAAAATAATGAGAATATCAATTCAAGTGTAACAACAACAACAACAAAAAAGAAGAAAAAATAATTGACATGTTTACCAACAAAAAAATCAATCAATTATCATCAATGTGCACATATTGATGGATACTTAAGTCAAATTTTATAATGAATCGATAATGATGATGATTGATGGATAGGATATGAAACTAAAGACATTTGAAAATGTCGAAAGATTGATTGATTGATTAAGATAACAAGCATCGATCATAACATAACATATGCTATTATATTTTTTTCTAAAATTAGTTTGATTTTTATTCATTAAGAAAAAAATAAAAAATGAAGCAAACAAATAATTCTGACGAGAATTTTTATCGAAAAAAAGAAAAAGAAAAAAAAATAGCTGCTTTGATTCTGATTCTGGTATAGAAGAAGTCATTTTATAAAAACTACTATCGTACCACGGTGTGCGTTTGCATGGTGAAGAATGTGTTTTTGACAATATCGATTCATGAAATGAAAACAAAACCAAACAATATGGTATTTTTCTGACAATTTTTGTTTGTTTGTTTGTTTAGAAATAGAAAAGAACAATTCGACAATTCTTGAAACGAAAACAGGCCATCTAAATAAGTGGAGAGTATTGATGAAGAAGAAAAAAAACTTGAAATGAAATTTTAATTATTTGTGAGTAATGAAAAAAAATCATATATAATAATATCATACAATGGAACAGAAGTGAAATCAATGTAAGAAGAGGTCAGAACAACATATAGCCAAAACTGAATGTCGGAAAATTGAAAACGAAAATTAAGATGAATTGAATCGAATCGATTGTTTGCAATGATAAAAAAATTCTCATTCTTTTCTTTCCTTTCCTGTCTCCATTATTGTTATCATTATTTCAAAAACATTGTTGTCGTTGACAACATTATACACAGCACTAACAATAACAGTAACAACAACAACAAGAAAACGGAAAGACCAATGTAAAAATGTTGGAATCAATGTATCAGATAACCAATGATGATGATGATTCTTTGAATCTGGTTTTTTTTCATTTCAAATTTCAGGCTGTTGTTGTTGTTGTAGGAATAGAAAGCATCAATTTTTGTTTTTATTATGGATAAATTTTGATTTTCAATTTGATATGACAACAACAGCAACGACAACAACAACAACAAAAAGAAATTATAATACAAATAACTATAGCAATAAAATTATAACAAGAAAAAATGATAAAGATTATCCATCAAGCCTTGTCACCATTTTATTTTAATATAGTCTGGATGAAAAAAGAAAAATTTAATTTAATTAAAAAGAAAAAACTCAACGTGATGATAATAATTTTCAAATGATTTCTTCATAATTGCCAATCATGTTCACACCAACTAATCATAATGATGATGATAAAAAATCATAAGTGGCCATGATTAAATAAATACTACATCATCATCATCGTCAAAAAGTTTTGTTGTGTGGAATTTTTTTTGCTATTTGACATGAATAATAATATATTCTTCATTCTATAACACTATATCGTTCAATTGAATTCGATTATTTCTTATTTTTATCATTTACAATGTAAAAGTTGAATTTTCTGCTGTTTCATGGTGAAACAGAAATGGCAATGTTATGTTATTATAAAATTCAAGATTCTTGTGTTCGTGTGTGTGTGTTTGTACAATAAGATATTTGAAGAAAAGATGCTTTTCATTTCTTTATATGTATCGATTTTATTGATTGATAGGATGATTCGATTTATATGAGAGTCTCTCTTCATTCGATTGGACGTCAGTTTCATGTATCTGGTATTACATTATTATATTCGAGAAGAACTTGTAAGAAGAATAAGACGAAACAATTTTACAACAAAACCAACAACAACAACAACAAAAAAGTTTTCTTCACACGTCATATAATCGAAGTTTGAAGTTGTAGATCAAATATATAGTTTAGAAATATACTTGAATCCATTCAAGCGAAAAACCCAAAAATTCCAATAGATCTGAATTGAGATGTTTCTTTCACTTTTTTTTGTTATTATTTTTCATTTCAAAAATTGATACTTTTTTTCACGCTTTCTTACATTATACACAAAAAAATGTGTCATGTGTGTCGTTATCACACTTTCACAATCATCATCATCATCTTAAAACACCTTTTTATTTATTCGTTGATTTTATATGGCATAATATGAATTTATTTCGTTTATTATAAGGAAAAAAAATGATTATGAAACACTAAGTGAAAAATATTTGAGCATTTGTCATGATGAATTTAGTTGATTGCGTATTTTTTCGTGTTCTCTTTCCGGTGGCCACAATGTTATTCCACTGGATTAACCATATATCGTGTCGTTTTATCTGATGATGTGTATTTTTTGTGATGATAATGAAAAACGAAATTCCTTGATAATTATTATGGCCAGAAGCTAGTAACGAAAAAATGCTAGAATATAAAAAAAATTAATTTTTTATAATTAAAAAAACTTTTAAATAAGAAATTCAGGAAAACGCTTTTTTCTATGCAAATTGTAAAGATAAAAAAATGTCAACCAAACCAAAAGAAAAAAAATCAATTAATGAGCGAAACAAGAGGAAAAAATCATAAAATAAGGGTGTAAATGCTTAGTAAATCTATCATCATCATCATCATATTACTAATATGTTCTTTGGTAATTTGATATCAAGAATCAAATGTTCAATTCAATGTTTATGATAATGATTAATGTGTAATATGCTAAACATATCTTGGTTGTTGTTTTTTTCTTTGATAAACATTCAATCATTTAGCGAGATAAATAGATTCGAAAAAAATTACATAGAATTGCTTTATTCAGTAAAAAGAGAAGAAAAAAGCCTCATTACACATGAAAACGTTAAATTCAATTTTTAAGAAAGAATTAAAGTTTACCTTTATAGCCATCATTTTCCTTGAAAAAACTTATAATTTAATTTGATTTTCAAAAAATATCCGGACATCTAGACCAATCACGTTTAGTCCAATATTCATTTGTGAACATCCAATCTTCTTGGCCAGTATACTGATTTAATTCAGGCCGAAACCACCTTATGACATTTTGTAAAGGATTTTTTTCATGATGATTGAATGAATACGGGTACCGTCGTCATCGTCGTCGTCGTCATCATTATTATTATTATAATACGAAGTATCATAATACAAATGAATCAAGTTGTTTTTTAAGGTTTGTATTGTCAACAACATTTCATCAAGTTATTTTGACAAGTTGATATTGTTGAAAATGGTTAAGGGAACAAAAAAGTAGATCAAAAGCAATTAGTATAATTGTATAACGGTAGTAACAATAACATATATAAACTAAATGAAAAATGAAGTTGTGTTTGTGGTGGTGAAAAAACAAAAAATGTAAAGTTATCAACAACGACAACAAAAACGTAAACAAGAAATTAACAAAAAACTAAACAATTGCGTGCAAGAAATTTTGTCTCTACAATCAAACATTCAAAAATTCAGTTTTTTTTCGGGAATCTCGAATTCCAAAAAAAGAATAAAAAATAAATAAATATACGAAATAACATTGGACCTTACCACACACGCAAATACAAATATACAGCAATAGTTAAAAAAAATCCAACTTACAATGGTTGAAATTCTTTGATTTTGCCTTTTTTTCGTAATCGTCTTGCTTCACGTTGTTTTTCTTCCAATCGATTCTTTTCAGCAGCTGCTACATCTGTTGTACATTAGGAATTAGTTGTTTGATTTTTTTATGAAACAAAAAAAACAAGAAAATATAATTAATGATAATTCAAAAAAGTTATAAAAAGTTTTTATTATTTCATATTGGCCAAGGTTAATATTAAAGAATCAGCAAAATATAAATGTAGAATTTACTTATATCTATCCAGTCAAAAATGGATCATCATTTATCAGATTCAGTAAGAAATGCTAATGTATCATACTATCATTGAATCATTTTTGTTTGTTTGTTTTTAGCTTCAAGCTATTTATTGACAACTAAACAAGAAAAAACTAACAAACAAACAAACAAAAACATGAATGAATGTCCAAAATCTATTATATTTGCCTCTTATCTTTTTTCTCGTCTAATATAATATAAAATAAAGATTTGAACATGAAGAATAAATGAGAAATACATTACCCAGATCTCCTTCTTCTAATTTTCTTATATCAGGCCTTAAACGTGAATCAGTTGGCGGTAATCGTTTTAATAATTCTTGTCTTTCATTATCATCCTCAGGCAATTCATTTAAACCGAATGTAAACCAATTGAAATTATAATATTGTGATGAATGTTCGGGTCTTGGTTCAGCTTTCCATAATATTCGAGAATTATTTATATCCAATGAATGTGATGAATCACTTTTAGGAATATCACTTTCGATAGGTTCAGGTGGAAGATCACTACTATCATTTATTTGCTGTTGATTATCATTGTTACCTCCTGCACCAAGATCTAATGATCCTGTCAATTGTTTGGTAAATGAATTCAATTTGGACAGCATTTTACTACGATTAGATGAATGATGATTATTTAGATGTTCACCACCTTTATCACCGATATCGGTTGGTTTATCTGGTGCACGAAATCTATTATTATTAGCTTTTAGATATTCTTCATAATCTTCGATGCTAGCCGATTTAAGATAATCATTCCATTTTCCATAAACAAAACGTAGTTTTTCTTTTTCTGAATCATGTATATAGCCATCCAATCGATTTAGATCATAACCAAACCAACCGGCCGGTTTGAAATTTATAAACAATTTGAATCGATTCATGTGATTTGTAACTTCTACCGTACCATACTATTTGTAATAATGAATCAAAGATAAAGAACAGAAATCAAGAATTTGATTTTGAAATTTTAAAAAAATGAATTATTAAAATAATAGAAAAAAATGCATGATTTTGCTCATGTGGATTACATGAAAAATCAATTTACGATGAAATAAATTGAAAAACATCGTCGCTTTATTTCGATTAATCATCATCATCAAATATCCGAATAAATTCTATCAAACGCACCTGTTCGAACCAAATTTTTCCGACAATGATATTATGTACACAACAATTGACCGATTTCCAGGTGTAGATTTCGCCACGAGATTTAAGCTCAAGTGTTGCCGTTCCTTCAGGTTTCACTTCAATTGATTTACCCCAGAATCGTAATTTTGGTGCACTAGTTCCACGTAATATGAAATGTGGTGATTCAGCATGCCAGGCACTGATTGGAGGATGATGTGAAACTTGTTCACAAACAATTTTTGTTTGTGATGATTCTATTTCATATTCAAACGTTTCACCCAATAACGGATTGAAAGGTTTGTTTAGACGAAGCCAATTTGATGAATAAGCTGAAACAATGTACGCACAGATGTTCTTCATGATGAAAAACAAAATCGGGTAATTAATTAAATAACAATACAATGATAATATAATGATGAGTATGAAAGATTAATCACAAGTCGGTAGAAAAAAATATACAAAAATATAATGAGAAAAGATATAATAAATTGAATTATTTTCATTGAAGATTAAGATTGCACCAATTTCAAGCAAATACTATTCATTGGGACAATAATGAAAAAAAATAGATTGAACATACCTCCATGCGTTCAACAATATCATCACATTGATCAGCTATGTTAAGATAATGTGTATAATGGAATAGTTCGGTCATACGTTGTAAGAAACTAAGAGGCTCATTGAATATCACTGGGAATGTTATTTTTGATAATTCTTTTCCGATACAATGCTTTAGAATGCTCCAAAGGCCAACTTCATCTCTAGGCACCATTGGCGCTGGTAAACGATCTCGATGTTTGCTATATTAGTTATTATTTTTTTGAAGAGAAAAAAGGAAAAAATCAATAAAAAATTAATTAATTTGAAAAAATTGAAGATTTTTTTTAGAGAGATAACAATAATCAATTAAGATGACAAACCTATTTGCAGTAAATTTGACTAAATTATCATCATCATGATGGTAATTATTGTCATTATTATACATTGAAAACAATGTAGAATCAATAGGTTCAACATTGTTGACGTCCATTTCAGACGTATTTTTAGTATTATTATTAAGGGTGTGTAAAATAAGGCTAGATTTTTCCATAATTTTGCTGTTAGAGATTTGATAGTCATCAGAACAACAAATAATGATAATAAATGATTTCGATCAGTGAAAAAATGAAATTATTAACATGGTAAAATATGCAAAGAAAAAAAATTTGATTTTTTTTATTGTGTCAATGTATAGTTCATATATATCTTTTTTTATTGTTTGTTTGATTATGATAATTTGATATTATAGTAATACGATGATGATATGTGGTTTTTTTTGTTCAATAACATTCATAAAACTTCAAGTTTGTTTCTTTAAATGTCAGACTTTTTTCCTTGGTCGATCGTTAATGGTAAAATCAAAATAAAGAAAAAAAGGAGGAAAAAACGGTTATTTGTAATCAATCGAAATTATTCAATCGCTGCTATATGGTTTTTTGTTGTCAACTGTTCAATTTGTGTATTTAAAAGAAAAATATTATGCTTGAGATTTAACACTATTTTTAGTTGATTAAAATTATTATTATTATTATTGATAATAATATTCAAACCGGATCTGGTCCGTTATCACTACTATCACTGCTATAACTATTATGACGATTTTGTCGCCGTCGCCTTGCGGCGGCAGCTGCAGCTTTTTTCGCTGCAAACGAATTTGTCGTTTCAATCGCAATCAACACTAATACGATGAATAGTATGAATATAATAATCAATGGTGGTGTTAAAAGGGTGGCGGTCAAATGTATCAACGTATGCGTCGTTTTGAATGATTTTTTATGGATGGCCGGGTACTATGATCGTGCCCGGGGATATTTGTTTTTTTGCTTTTTTGTTTGGTTTTTAGTAGTCGTCGTCGTTGTTGTTGTCAATAAATTGATTGATATAAATCGAAGAAAATGAAAGGAAAATTTTTTTGATTCAAATAAAATAGGAAAAAATGTTCATAAACAAATAGCTTTTTCCAAGATGAATTGTTTTTTATTTCGTCCCGTTTTTCACAAATTTATGAAAATTAATGTTTTCCAAAGAATGGCACATTTGGTGAGAATATATAATGTGGTGCACTGGTATGTACGTCGATCGTCGGATATAATTTATCAAACATACACAATGTGAATTCAACGAAACAAAATTATTGAAACTAAAAAATATGAAAAGTATTCACACAAAATTTTGATTCATTTTCAATCAATCAATCATTTTTGTTCATTGATATCTTCATTAAATTTTAAACATTCAAAACAATAATGTCAAAAAGAAAAACAAGCTGGCATCGACAACAGGATCAACCATGATATCTTGGAAATGAAATCTTTTCACTGTTCATCATCAACGTTGTTGTTGTTGCTGAATTAAATGCTTTATCGATTATTTTTAGCCTGTTTGATGATTTTTTTTCCAAGTTTGTTTACATCAATTTCATATAAACATTTTACGAATTTATCATTAAAACATTTAAAGTGTAGAATTATAATCGATTACCAAAACAGAAAAAAAGACAAAAAAAAATTCATGTAAAAATGTCAAGTTTAAAGATTATGAAATTAGTTTATAAGAAACTTTTCCAAATAATTATTAAGCTGATGATAAACTATTTGGGCGAATCTTCTTTTTTTTCTAGAACGTTGGTTGCATAAATATGATTAGGGCTGGCCAACAAATCGATCATAAATGTCATCAACACACACACACACACATGAATATTACAGAGATTTTTAAATAAAAGAAATAACAAATTCAATCACAGTACAAAACTATTGAGATACAAGATAGATCCAGCATAAATTTGAAACAAAATCGTCGAAACAAATGATAAATTCAAACACAATAAAGCTCGAATATTTATATACAGAAAAAAAATGACACGGCTATAGACTTTGGCGAGGTCATTTGAATCGAATGAAGATGAAACAAGGAAAAAAAATTGATGATCATGAAATAAAAAGAGAAAGAAAAAGAATGATGATTCAAATGATCAAGATTGAAAAAAAGGAAAAAAGTAGGTTTTCAATCGATTTATCCTTGATCAAAATAATAAAATGTTTAAACTATGACAATAAAATTGCTGAAATTATTATGTCAGGGAGAAAAAAATGATCGACAAATGATGAATATCATTGAATGACCAAACATTGAATGAATGAGATTAGAAAAATCTGATGATGACAACAAGAATATTTTCTCTCAGTTTTTTTGTATTGCAATCGGGATCTGGATAATACCGACACAGACGCTAAAATCCAGTGCAAAATACATAGGATAAATAAGAGAGACAGAAAAAACTGGAACCGAATTCAGTTGCTGCTCTTTTTTAACTTTATACTTTATATATTTGCTGCTGTATCGCTGTAGATGACGATTCTGTTGTCACACAAACGCTACTTTATCAATGAAAAATGTGTATTAGTGCTTTAGCATGTGTGTGTGTATAACGTTTATGGAGCGCGTGATTCGATTCAAACGCAGACTGAAATATATCGGAATAAACGTGGAACAAGAGAAATATATTTGAGTCCAAGGATTCATAATGTTTTTCTTCATTTCATGGTAAAATTTGCTGTATATATTTTTATCAAAACACATAGCCTAACCACTTAGAAAATATTCTATATTCTAGACGATAATTATAGTTGGAAGTGGCTCATTTCGATGAACGAGAAGAGAAAAAAATGTGATCACCATATATTCAGTCAAACACATGTGACTATGTGTCCATTGATAAAAATAATAATAATAAACATGGAATTGAACTACGCGGACAACATTTAGTTCTCACTATTTTTCTCACTCTTTCGTTTGTTTTTTGCATTGATGACCTAATGCGACGTGCGCGTTATATAAACATATAAATTGAACCAATACATAATAGATTCAGAATGAAAAAAAATGGGAATCAAAAACCAAATAGAATTATATGGCTGGCGCCATGCTTTAATGTTTTAGAGAGAAGTTATTCTCTAATGCCCTTATATACAATTCCAAACAATATACAAATACAAAAGAAATTCAATTGAAAATGAGTTCAATTGTTTTGTTTTGTTTTTTTTTCACTAATTTGATCGGGTTATATTTGTGGTTGTACTAATTTTTTGCTCATCAAAAAACAAATACAAAGAAACAGAGAAAGAGGCAGAAAAAAAGAGTGAAAAAATTCTTTTAATGTGTGACTTTTCCAAATTGATTTCTTTTTTGTTGTTGTTTTGTTTTGTTCGGATCCGAAAACATTGCAATTCTTTTATCATAGATTTATCGATTCAATGAATAAAATAGACCATATTATATGGTTTATCCGAAAACAATCTGCGAGGCCAGAGAAATAGGATAACCAAAGAAAACTGAAAAGATCTGTAAATAGCCAACAATAATTTCCAAAACAAAATTATTTCAGAAAGAAATGAAAAATTTTTCAGTAATCATCATTTACAAAGAGAGAGAGAAAGAAATGAAAAAACAAAGCTATAATTTTGCAAACTGCGGAAGCAAGAAACGGGAAAAAAATTCGGTCAAACACATAAATAACAAATTGAAGAAACAATTTTTTTCTTTTTGTCATTTTTTCTGAACGATGTTATAACAAACAAAACAAAACATGATTGAATGATGAATTACGAAAAATTATTTTTGCAACATGAAAAATTCAGAATGATGACAACATTGAAACAAACACACAAACATTTACAATCTGACAAATGGATCGACAAACGGAAACAACAACAACAAAAAATGGAAACAATGAGAATAATTTTTCAAATAAAAAAAATGAAAGAAAATAAACGAAGCAATAAAAGACGAAGAACAACAACAACAAAAAAACAAACAAAAAACAAAATTAACCAGAAAAAAATAGATTTTCAAAAAAATCATTCATGAACCAAATGCTCATCATCATCATCTTTCACTTCAAATAAACACCCCGAAATTTTTCATAGTTTCACAACCAAAACAAACAAGACAACAAAACAGTCGTCCATGAAACAAAAAATAAATAAAATAGTAAAAAAAACATTGGTGTTGAAAGAAAAGCAACATAACTATAGTCATCATCATCATCATTATAATAATGATAATGATGATAAGACTCTTATATTCATTATATTATTATTATTATTATTCTGGTTTAGAATATAGAATATCTAGAATAATGATAATAATAACCAAAATATAAAAAACAACAACAACATTTCCGTTTATTTAATATGATGAAGAAAAAAACATATATTCATTCAGTCAATACGTCACCATACAAGTCGATATAGTGGATGATGATGATGAAAAAAAAACATTAAATCCTCTGTCAAAAAATTTCCTATATTGTTTCGATAATAATAATAACCATTAATGCATTGACTATCATTATTAAGCTATGATTGGAATAGAATATTCTTTCGACCATAAAGAATCGAATCTTCTGTTAGCTTTTCTACATCTAATAATAATAAGCTTCACGTTTATTTGGCTCATTAACATTCAGCACCATACACACACAAACACACACAAAGACATTGAGACACATTGGAATAAAATGTGTTATGATCAACGGCAAAAAAATAAGAATTACATAAAAATCTGTCGTCCGTGGTGCGTGTGTGCCGGACCAATAAAATCAAACGTCAAGAATGAAAATAGAATAGAAATTCTACCATTAGCATTTAGCACAATCATTTAAGATGATGAAATAATGATAATAATAAAAAAACAAACAGAATAAAATTATGTCAACTGAACCATATCCAAAAGATTAATCGAAAAACCAAATGAGAATCATAAAAATTGATAGAAATGATCTCTAAGAAATCCGATCAATAGATGGTCTCTTTTTCTTTACTAAACTTCAATTATTGTTATCATTTTATCGAATGAATCAAAACTGAAACTGAAAAAAAGATGCTTCGGGTTTAGAAATTATTTAGGATTTAGCATTTATAAAAATAATATTGATATGTGTTTTAGTGAAACAGAACTATAACTAATACTGGATCGTTTATTTATATGACATTTTGATCATGATGAGCATGAAGATTGTTATGATAAAATTTGATGACATGAATCATGAACAAAATAATCATAGGGAACAGAGAAAAAAAAACAGAATTTTTCAGTATGGTTTTTTATTCAAAAATGACACGGAACAAAAAAAATTCAATCCCATTCAATAAAAACAACAAAATATATTGGAAATTATGTTCGAATGAAATGGAAATTTTCTGAATCTTTTTTGTTTTTTGCTTTCAATGCTGCCCATCACTATCTCCATATTGGTTGGCAATAATTATCGAATAAAAGTCAATCGATTGTATTTCATTATCATAATTTATAAGATTAGAAAATAAGCTAATTCAGAAACATACGAAAAAAATCGTTAAATTATAACAAACAACCCAATTGACAATCAAAGACAAAGAATTCGCATTTCTTCATTTGAATCAGTCAACAAAATTCATTGAAGAGTGATCTTCAAACATTCGGTTAAAAGTAGAAGAAAAATACTTCATCTTCAATGAATTTAACCTACAAGCACGAAAAAATAAGGTCGAAAAAACTGACATCCAAATATTCAATTCATAACATACGAACGGATATTTATTTTTTGGATGTGATTTGGATGGTACCATCCGGATTTGAAATTGAATTTTTTTTTCGTATATTTTCATTTAGAAATGTACAATTCTTTGTTCGAATAAAAAACAACCTCGATTCCTTCTTCATAAACATCTTTTTTTTAAAAAAATAAGTAAATTAGATTTCAATTCTATAATGGCAGAATCCAATTTTGCAGTGGCAAAACACACACACACACAGATACACAAAATGCAAAAATGTACATTTCCGTTCATGTGATTGAATTTCTACCATATTATCTTTTATCCCTCTTTCTCTCTCCCTCTCTCTATCTTTTTATGTGTTCGTTTCAATTATTTTTTTTATTCGTTTTTTTTCTCAAACAGACTTTTTATGAATTCACAAACACGAACACGAATCGAATTTTGAATGAAAATAAAATTATCGAACGATGCATATATTAGCATTGTATTCGAATATCATAACTTATTGTACATCCTATACAGAATATTAAAAACATTCCAAAATCAAACATGACAAAGGAGAATTGAAAGAATTTGTCTCTCAATAATAATAATAAATTTACCGAAAATAAATGCAAAATACTAAATAACCGTAATAACCGTGATAAAAAACCGAGAATCTAAAACTTCAATGTATACAAGACAAAATATTAAAAAAAACTAACGAACCAGCGAAGTATTCGATATTATTTTTTTCCCCATTGTGCTTGACTAGCTGGAAAAAATGTATTTTTAAACACACATTTTTCTTTGCTAATATTTTATCACGGTTGCAGATGCATGATTAAATTGTCGTAAAATGAAGAAATAAATTATTATTTTTTCTAAGAATCCAAATGTATGCAATTCACCAAAATAATAATTCGTTAAATTTTCCGTAAGTAATTTGATTGTCATCTTTTAGAGAACAAATATAATAAAAATAATAAGGCATCTACCTCAATGAATTTGATGGTAAATCATCCGAACCGATAGTTTTGTCTAAATCACCATCGGGTGATAATGTTGATATTGAATCGTTGATTGTAAGATCATCCGGTTGTTCATTATTTTCATTTGCAGTATGGAATGTTGTTAATGTTTTCAATCGATTTAATGATCCATTTTCATTATCATTATTATTATCATCATTGTTATGCATTTTGATTATTTGATTACTATTATTGCCATTATTATTTATTAACGATTCACAAAGATCAATTTGATCAAGATTTAAATTTGAATGGTGATTTTGTTGATGTTGATAATCTTCATCATCAAATGCATCATCAAAAGCATCAAAAAATTCATCCATATCGGTTGCCATCGATGTTTGCGATAAACATGCAAATGATCGTACAAGACTTTGATTCAATGATTGATTAGAATTATGAGCAGATTTATCAGAAGCTAAAATGGAATTATTTGCATCAACATGGATCGACAATGATGCTGCAGTGGAATGCTGTTGCTGTTTAACATCAGAATTATGTATTGAACGCGTAACTGATCGTTCTAGATCATGATGTTCACGGGCTAACAATTGTAACGCTTCTTCCAATGCACGAACTTTTTCCTGTTCTTGTTGTATTAAAGTTTGTCGTGACTACATCCAGTATTGTGCGAAAACATAAAATTTCAATTTAAAGAATAAATAAATTTTGATAAGAAAAAAAATAATGATTTACGAACTTGATTTTGATGCGATATCAATACTAGACATTGTGTTAAAGATGAATTAGCATTCTTTGATGATTCTAAAATCAAATTCAAATGAAATTTAATTGAAGGTATTGTCGAACGAGAAATCGAATCACTCGATTGCAATGAATGATAGCTATCATTCGCAAGTTGATCATCACGATTTATTTCAGCTATATTATGAATAACTTGATTTAAAAATAAAAAATAAAAACACACTCAAAACATACCAGAAAAGAATAGAGTGTCATCATTTAATAATTGCTGTAATGCATTGATATGTCTTTCGAGAATTTTTTGGTGTGCATTTGCTGTCACTATCATATCCTGAATAGCTATTGGTGATAACAATTGTTTGGTTGCCTCTTCTTCATCATCCGAATCATCACCCATATGAGTTCCCTGTATTAAAGGTTTTTTACATTTAGTATTTGTACCATTAAAAAATTCCTAAATAAACATACTTGTTTGATAAAATTCGTGCTAAAATAAATGTGATCATTGATAGCGTTAATCCATTTTTGTAAATCAAGTTCGGATTGATTTTTTGGCAGTGCAAATATTGCTCTAGAACGATCACCGAATATAATAACAAAACATAATGTTTGTGACGATGGCTGATGATATTTATGTTCAACAATATTATTAGATAATGAACATGAAGTTGATGGATTATTGTTATTATTATTGCCAACATTATCATGTACAACTTCAGTAATGGCATTTTCCAAATATTTATAACCTTTTCGTCGAACTCCAGTTACTGAATCGGCTCGATTTTGAAAATACGAAAATACACCTCTTTCAAGAATGGCCCATATTGGTCGCCAACCAAAAAATCGACCTTTACGTAGAAGGCATCCTTCAAAACGTACAACAGATTTATTTTTCAATGAAGCAACCACTTTTGGTGTCATCACTGATAGATGTGCTTCCTGTATCAATTGTTTAAGCGAAATTGTAGCCGCTACATTGGAAGCCAATTGACCGCGTTTATTTTTGATCGTAGTGTCGATACCATTTTTGAGCAAAAAAATGACCACCTCGGTCTGTCCACGATAAGCAGCACAATGTAGAGCAGTATTGCCCGATGGATCCGTACAATTAATATTAATACAATTTTTTGTATCTTCAAGCAATTCTTTTATGATCGTTATCTGTCCGGAACGTGCTGCACTAAGATAACGTTCTTCACGACGTTTTATATCAAATTTTTCGGCTGCAGTTAATAATTTTTGTATTGAATCAGTTTTTGACAATTCAAATGGTCGAAGAGAATCACCATTAGAAATAAAAACGTTTGCATGATGTGCAAGCAATAATATGACTATATTTTCACGACCAGTATAGGCTGCTTTATGCAAAGGTGTATCGCCTTCTTCGTTCTGTATATTAACATCGGCACCATTTTTTAAGAGAATTTCTACCACTTCATAATGACCGAAATATGCGGCTAAATGTAATGGTGACCAACCGAAATTGGCTTTAACCGTACCTTTACAATCAATATTCAGGGCAATTTCATTGGCATTTCGAAGATTTAATAATTTTTTCACTAATTGCACTTGTCCGATACGAGAAAAATGTAGAAGAAATTCTTCAGAAGTTTCAAAATCAACAAGATCATCTTCATGAATATCGTAGAACTCTTGAGCATCAAGTTTTAATGGTTGGATCTGTTCTTTATGTTGACTTTCAATTTTTCGATCAGCATTTGAATCAGCATTGTTTATGGATTCTTCTTTATCGTCTTTTTGTTTGTTATTCTGTTGATTCGTTTGTTGAGAGGAAGACATTTTTTGTTGTTATATATTTTCACTTAAAATTCTTTTTCTGCATCAATTAATTAAATGAATGGATGATTTAGTGTTATGCTAGTGAAAACGGTGAATTATGGTAACAAAGGAGAGCTAACGATTTAATCATTTTAATATATCCTAATGATTATAATATATTAATCAAAAGTTTGATTTGGTTTATAATTTTTATCCGTGGATAAAACACCCTGCCAATATAAACAGTAACATCGTCAAAACATTCCTGAAAATGTCGAAATAGTTTATCGAATCTAGTGTCATCTATTGTGATTAATTTACATCAACTTCATAATTACAAGAATTCATGATCAGATGTTTTTCAATGTTTTTCTTTTGTTACGATTGGGAATTGAAAAAATTTAACATGAAATAATGATCATTAATGAATGAAAATCAATCAACAAAAAAATTTATCGACATTCCTGATTTTTGGAAAAAATATTTTAGTAAAAATTGAATTTTTCTAGTACCCTTTTAGGGTACTTTAACACCCGGAGATAAAAGTTTTCCACCATACTATTCCAGCAACTGAGCAGCTATGGCCGAGTGGTTAAGGCGATGGACTCGAATTATTTCAATTTCAATTTGATGAAGATCACCAAATTAATATGATGTTCACCATCCAAGAATGGAAAACATTGCTAAGAATTGAAAAGTTAGCCATCCATTGGGATATTCCCGCACAGGTTCGAATCCTGTTGGCTGCGCAATTTAAGGAAAATCAATTTTTTCTCTTATACAACTTTTTAAAATTTTTTTGATTTATTTATTAATTATTTTTTTTATTTCGTGATGTCAAAAACAAAAAAGTGAATAAATGGATGACTTATTTAACTTGATTCATGACAAAATTGAAAAATTTAGATTATTTAATTCGATCATTCAATTTTTGAATAATTTGGCGGTGTTAAGCCAAAATAGATATGATGATTTTGAAAATATTTTGATTTGCGGAAAATTTTATCAGTACCATGCAGCCAATCTAATATGCCAAGAATTCCATAATTCACATTGAATCTATATTAAAATTTAATATTAATATTTACAATTTTAAAAAGGATAAGCTATACATTGAAAAAAACTTACTTGAGATGATGAAAATCATGAAAAACTGGTGATAATGACCATGGAAAATGGTAACCACAATGGTCATTCAATGTTAATAAGACAGTGTATAATAACCAAATATTTTCAACAAGGATATGTGAACGCATTAGAAATGGTCCAATAATGACAGGAAAAAAATTGACAATTGCATGTTCAATTGGATGGCAATAAATAGCTGCAAGAGCAATCGGTGTTTGCCATTCATGGTGGCGTTTATGAATATGACGATAGAGATTACCATGATGACATAATCGATGCGTATAATAAAACAAAACTTCACGTATCAATATGAATGATATCCATTCGGTAATAAATCGGCTGATTGTTGGTATTTGTGTGGATGGTTGTGGAAAAAGAATGTTATTCCTTCTTAAAAAGTGAAATGAAAAACCCATTATGGCACCCAATATTTGATTAATCAACACCTGTTTCACTAATCTGTTCAAATCCTTGCCATTCACCTGCGATTTATCCGTTTGAATTTTATATTTTAAAATAAATTTTGGCCATTGATAAATATCGATGAATGTATAGGCTGCACCAACAATCCAATACAGGGCTATTGTGATGAACAAGCCAGTAATTTGTCCCGCCAAGATATGGTCACCTTTAAAACGTTGATCAATGAACATTTCATATTGATTTTCCACCGATAATCGATATGGCTCCGTGATGCTGTAGAGAAAAAAAATATATGTTAAAAAAATTCTATCAAGTTATTGGTCATCATACTTATCGATCAGATTTAATGTTTTCAACATTTTGTTCAAATGTTATGTGACGACTCGTTTCGAACGACAAAAATGAAAATGATAAATTTCCCAATTTTTAAAAGTTATTTATGAAAACTGGAAAATTCTTATCTCATATTGTTAAACGGGGACATGTGTTTATTGTGCTTATTTTTTGCTTGTTTATATCCAATCTTTTTTAGTATTGCATAAAATATTCAATGCGTTTGATGAATCGGCCATACATCAACAACTTTTATCAAGGCTGATTATTTAGGATTAGGCTATTTATGTAAACATTCGATAATTGTACCGGGTACATTTTGCATATGTAATCAATCTATCATAAATTATATACAAAGATTCATGTCGTTGCAATTTTTTTTATATCAATCTTTTGTCAAAATTTGAAAATCATTTGAAAATTATAAAATCGATAGTATCGATTGTTTTTACAAATATGCTTGGTGATCTCCGAACGAAATTGTAAATTGAATTCTTAAAAATTTTCAACTCTAAGGAAATTGAATACCGAAAAAATATAAAGTTTCATTACAATGGACGAAGAAAATGAGAATCCTCTACAGTTATTGCTGAAAATGCGCGATGGTTGTGTGGAGATGAACGAAGAATTGTGTGATGATCAATATGAAATCGATGAAATTGAAATCGATCCCCAACAATATTATCATGAAATGTATTATACTGCCAACAATAAACGTTCATCGTCGAAGCGTCAACAATCTTCGGGATCAACACGGTCAAAAGTTCGTAAAATTTCATTTCAAGAAGAAATCGGTGCAACCGATATGTTAACATTGGAAGAACAGAAAGAAATTGAAGAACCAATTGAGATAGATATGCGCAATATTTATAAAACATATGGTATTAATCCGATTGAAACCAAGCAAAAATTATTTAGAAAAACTTCAAACGATATAATTAATTTTTCAATCGGAGAAGCTTTTATGAAATTTGCACATGGAAAAAATGACGAAGCTATTAGCTTGTTGTTCGAGGTGATCCGTATGAATCCTTTAAATCCAGAACCATATGATGCATTGGGCGATATATATCGCCGATTAGGAAATTATAATAAGGCACTTGAATTCTATCTTTTAGGTATTGAATTCAATCAAAACGATAGTGAACGATGGGCCGAATTGGCCGAACTAGCTTATTTCAATAAGATGTATAAATCTGCATTGAAATTCTATACGAAAGCTGTACGACTCAGTCCACGCACCCTTAACTATTATATTAAAAAATCAAACATATTCGAAGAATTAAAACAGTATGAAAATGCTTACAAAACTTATGAGAAATTGATGTCCATTTTAGAGCCGGAAGATTACAAGATTATCATTTCGATTGCATTCCGTATTGCTAACTTGTTGCTATTTCAATTGAATTCTCCTTCTGAAGCGTTAGCCATCATCGAAAATATTATTGTTCAACATTCGATCGAGCAAGATTCGAATAAATTTGTTTCGTTTCGTTTATATCTGGCCAGTTATTTCGATTTGTTACTTACAAATGGTCAGATCGATAAATTAATCACTAAATTTATCAAATATAATTTGATCAAAACGGAACAACTTGATGTCATTGAAAATGTTGAACAATGTCGCGACTTTATTTTCGATAATTTAGATGAAAATCTTTTCAACACCAATGACATTGTATTACAATCAAAGTTAATTTGCGCTTGTTTATACTTTGAAAAACATCGCCACATGGATGCAATAAATAAATTTTATGATAAATTTTCTGAAATTGAAAATGAAACTGCACAAGAAATGGTTTACAGACCGATAATTGTCGCTTTAATGAATGCGAATGAATATGAACAGGCTCATGTTTATTCGGCTAAATTGGTAAAAAATTTTCGTTCATCAAAATATTGGTATTGGTATGGTTTATGTCTAAGAAAACTTGGCCGCGATGAAGATGCAGTCGAAGCTTATGGTAATGCCATACGTTATGATCAACATAATTACGATGCTGTTAATGAATTGAGTGATTTGTGTAATCGTATTGGTATACCAGAACGTGCACTTGATAAGGTCAATCTTGATCATCTAAAAGTAGATATTAATCTATTGATGAATCGATGTGATCTTTTGTTTGTTTGTAAAAGATGGGCAGAATTTATATCACATTGCCGATTATTATTAAGCTCCAATTTATATTTCATCGAAAATTGGCGTGATTTGGCCGAATTAGTTGCACGATCAACTACATCATTCAGTCTTAGGAAATCGGCACGATCATTGCGTAGAAAATGTTCCCTTATTAGCGGACGGACCGAATTGATTGGTGGTCGTCTGAATAAAGAACAATTTTTTGATTTTTGGAAAAAATCCATATTTGTTTTGCTAAACTATCTCCATGAACATGATGAAGCAGTTCGTTGGGCATTTTCTGGTCTAATGTCTTCATATAGCCATGAATTAATGCAACCAATTTTATTGATTACATTCCGTACTTGTATTGATGCTAAAGTTCGTCGATATACATTCTGGTTGGGAAAATTATTAATTAAAGAATTCCGTAATAGTGGTAAATTATGGTATGCATTCAGTGCAATGTTAAGCAGTATTTATCAGGATTATCGTCATAAACGATTCTGTATTCGACTTTGGTCAGAATCACCGGAAAATGTTAATATTCTATTAGTAAATGGTCATATTGCATTCGAATCAGGACGTTATCTACATGCATTGGCCATCTATTTAATGATCTATCGTATGCGAACATCGTATCGTTATGATTCATTTCATGTTGCTCTTGCTTATATGCATCTCATCTGTCAGAAACATACTTTGGATAAATGTTCATTGTTTAGTCAAATGATTGCCTTTCTTCATGATTACATGCTCAAAATTGGAAAATGTCAAGAAACCTATTACAATCTGGCTCGAACATTTCATCAACTTGGATTTATCCCTTACGCTATTGAATTATATCAGGCAGCCCTTCAAACACCTCTTAAAGTGCATGATAACCGTTTTGATCTCTCACCTGAGATCGCATTCAATCTATCACAGATTTATCGAAATTCAGGCAATCATAATCGTGCTAATGAATTGATCTCAAAATTTTGTACTATATGAATGTAATTTTATTTTTTCCATATTTTTAATCATTGATATCAAATATAAGTGTTGATAATAAAAAAAGATATGTTAATTTGTTTGCATTGATTTCAATCAGATTCGTTATCATCGAATGATGATTGTTGTAAATTTTCTTTTGGTTTTAATTTTTCAGATTGTGATTGTTCATTTTTTGATTGATCATTGTTTAATGTATGACGAAAATCATCGATTTTTCTCAATTCATCGGTAACCAACGATGTATAATGAGTTCTTTTCGATCGTACTAATCGAGATGGAAACGGATTAAGTTCTCGGAACGCTATATCAGATAGCCGCTGTAGATTGAATTGTCTTTCATCTAACGTACGAAGAAATTGATTCATTGATGCCGAATCAGTCATCTGTAGTAATTCAGATTCATGCAAACGTAGTATGGCCAAAGCAAATCGAAACAAAACTTTACTGCCTTCATGCAGAAATACATCCCAAATATGTAAATAAACGAACACCGGTACATTGTCGACAAAAATGGTCAAAAACCAAGCGAACAATGATATTTCAATATGATGATGATCCATGTGTTGTGATAATTGAGGCAATTTATCCGTTATCAAATCTCGTAATACATATTGATCAACATGGGCGCCTAATCGTTCAACAAAAAAAAATTATAATAAATAAATAACATTTGGAAACATACCAAGCAAATTCCGGCCATAATAGTCTTTAGGCATAATCGTCTCCACGATTGCAACTAGACACCAGAAAGAATCCTCTTCGGGCATAAAGAGCAATGCAACGGCTGCAAGCCGATTCAATCCTTGGCAATAGCCTACAGATGGATTATGAAGGCTGTATGCCAATAGCACACGACGAAGTCTTTCAATACCATCGGATTCTAGGTTTTCAAAATGACGATTATTTGGCAATGTGCGTAATAAGTCCAATTCAATTTGTTTGGCCGATGGATCAAGAACTTTATTTTGCGAACCAAGTTTCGAACGATTGCGCAGTAATGATTCATAATAATCATCACCTAATTTAGTTTTGAGATCTTTGACACGTTGATGTATCAGTGAACGCCAAATCTTACAACGATAATCCTGAGGCACACCGAGCCTAATCATTTGTTTCAGCTCGAAATTACCAATCGGAATTTCACCATGATTAGTCAAATTGCTCATAAAATGGTCCCATTTTGAACGCCATGTTATCTCACTTTTATCAGGATCGAGAACAAAATCATAACATCGTGGTCTTTCATTATCATGATGATAGAATCCCAATTCATCATAATCAGTACCACAAATCGAATTTGAAGTTGATTGATTTGACCATCCAGCCCTTGATCGATTTCCTGGTTTCCAACTTAATGGAATGTCTAACGAACTTTCCTCAAGCAATCTCGAAACTAATTGTTTAACAGATTCATTATTGACAAATGAATTTGATGATGATGATTCGATACCATGAAATTCTTCTTTTTGACAACGTTCTTCATCTTGTATACAATGATTGATTTCTTTCAAAAGTGACAATAATTTTGATTGTATCTGCGATGATTTAGCTTCGACTTCACACAATTTAGCCTCGGATTGTTTGTGTTTGATTTCAAGAATTCTACGAATTTCATTTAATTCGATGATTTCTTTGTTGAGGAAATAATTTTGCTGTTCGAATGCAATGGCTGTATCCTGAGATAAAATTAAACATCAAAATCTAACTTCCCTACCAATCTTGAATACCTGTTGACCTACCTCAAGCTGTTCAATTTTTTGTTTAAGTTTTCTTGGAACTTCATCCTGAATGAATTCTCGTTCCAATTCGGCATGAGTTTGCATTCGAGAATTTTTACATTCCAAATCATAAACTTCATGTGTTAATGAAACTAGTGAACGATCACGAGATTCAAGCATTTCTTCCAACACTTGTTTTGTGGTCGATAATGTGCTATTTTCTTGTCGCAATTTTTCATTTTCTTTAGCCATTGTGTTTAATTTGATTTTCAATGCAATTATATCATCACATCGTGGATCATCCGTATTTGAACAATTTGACGGTTTTTCATTTTGATTAAAAATGCGCAACTGTTCTTGTAAGATTTTGATTACTTCACGATTAGTCTTTACTTCATCTTCTAGAGCCATTTTATCATGCCGTAATGCTATTAGGCTACCATTTGATCGCTTACATTGTGGACAATCTGTTTCGGTATCTTTGGAAGAATCATCATGAATATTGTTAACAAGCTGCTTATTTGGTTTAGAGCTGAACATTCCGCCAAATAGACGAGATGGTCGACGATAGTCATTATTTTGGTTATTGTTTGATATTGGCACTGATAGTTGTTGTTCACGTTCAGCGGGTGGTAACGATTGGGTACGTTTTTGAATTGAAAGATTCGGAAATTTTTGTTTCGGCTTAACTATTTGTTCATTTAAAACTTTGTTTTGACTATTTAAATCAACAGCATTTATATCACAGCTCTGGTTGAAATTGCTTCCATCTGATTCGTCCGTTATAGCACTTTTCACGGTAACTGAAAAATATGATTTATCCGATCGATCAGTTAATGGTTCAGCTAATTGTTGAAAGTAACTTTGACGATAATGTTGTAACATTCGGACCCAATGGAAACCTTCGGTGGGAGTATTCGCTTCGAGCATAAATTGTTTCAGACCTGATCGTATTTCGAATCGAAATGTATCAACACCAGTAGTTGGATTGGCCAATATAAATGAGGATTGATTTATATCGATCTCACCCAATGGAAAAAGATCTTCTCTCGTACGATAATAATAGAGTTTACCATTTTCTTTATTGAAGACGAACCAACGTTTTTTTCGAAGATTGACCAATGGCGATGATTGTTCTTGTTGAATGTTCGAATGTATTAGAAGATAACCTTGGAGAACATCATTGTCCTTGGATTTTTTTCGAAGCTGTCTCACATTTTTGTTCTTGTTATTATTACCACTAATATTACTAATTTGGTTCATAATAATTTTATCACTGAGTAAAATTTTTCTTCTTCAATGATTCAATCAAATTTACAATTTGTTTGGCGAAGCGTAATTTTTTTTCTTTGAATGAGTGTCTATGAAAGCTAATTACGATAATTATGGTGGTGGGCGATAATCATACGAAAATAACGAAATGGTGTTCAAACAATGAAAAAAAACAATAGATATAAATTGGTGCAAAATGGCACTGATGATGATATCGTGCATTGATTGATAATAATTGAAAAATTCAAAATCTCAACAGCTTTATTGGAGATTTTCGATTTATTCGGTTCATTCTGAGACATTTATACATCGATTTGACATGATATAAACCATATCATATGGTAAAAAATAACGGTAACAAATTTCCAAATTGAGAGAGTTACTATTGTCAAGTTGGTTTTTGTTTGACAGGTGAAAAGCATACAAAATAATTTGAAAGTAATGCCATCTGGTTTATAATAAATTGCAATCCGAAAAAAAACAGAATTTTTTATTTAATTTGAAAAATAATTTTTTTTAATTTATTATTTCATTTAATTAATTTACGTATTTTTGTATTAAACTCATCAAATAATAATCAATTTTATGTTTAATTAATCAATAATTATATCGATTCAATTAAACCCTTTTTCTTGATATTTTTTTCATGTTTTGTTTTTATACAATCAAAAATATAATAATATATACCTCTCTCCATTTGATTCAAGTTAATTTTTTCTTATATCGATAAAGGATATATTGATAACAATGAGGCATAGGTTTTTTTTGTAGAAATCGAAGGAGAAATTGGAATAAAATTGGATGTTTGCATTAAAACAAATTAGGTAGATTAATGGATGGAAATGTTTAAAATTGTTGAACAAAATAAATGGATAATTTTATATATAAAAAAATTATAGTCAAAAAGGGAAGAAAAATGGCTCATATGGTAATGAAGAGCATGATTGATGGGCATGATTTTAAAATAAAAATTTCGTATTTTAAGTAATTTTTTACGTCATCGATAATTTTGACGAATATCTGATGGGAAAATGAAAGGCAAAAACACGGTTCATATCGGATGTGAAAAATTATGGAAAAATGGGGGAGGCAACAAATCAGTCTTATTTACAATTTATTGCATATGGATTTCAAGGATTTTGTTCTGCGCGTAAAATCAGAATGTCAATTAATTTTTGTAAATCGAAATCGAATTGATTTTAACTGGTCTCAAATTTCAATTTTGTTGCGAATCGGTGGTAGTCATTTGTGAAATGACTGTCGATGTTGTTGTGACTGGTATAGAATTATTGCCAGTAGTAGTTGTTGTTGTGGATGAATTTTCCGTCATATTAAATGACATCAATTTTTGACGTACTTCACGAATCTTTAGCTGTAAAGTATTCTTATTTGGAAATATATCATGATATTTTCTTTGAAATTCATTTGTTTCGTGAGCTAATAAAAATTGTTCAAAATCAGATTATCGAACCAAAATTTTTAAATAGATGACTTACTTGATGGAAAAAGACCTTTGTCGGCAAAGAATTGCATGACAAGTTGTCGTCGTTGATCTAAAATCTTGCGAACTGATGATCCTTGCTTCTCACTATTTGCTGAATTTGGTGGTTGATCTGAAACGAAAAAAGTCACATTGAAAAAAAGAACAGAAAAATTTGCAATAACAATCATTTACCGAGTGGAGTTTTAGGTGATATCGAATCTCCGCTATTTGTCAACGTATTCAAATGATTGATGGCTTCAGTAAGATTAAAATTTGGCCCAAAAAAGGCAGCACCAGTTTGAGTACTACTATCAGGTGTTTTTACAATCAATGGACTAAGACTATCCGGTGGTGTTGTCTTATTGCTATTTGCACTCAATTGTGAAGTTGATGACGATGTTTGTTGTGGTTGTTGCTGTGATTGTTGATTATTATTGATACTTGCCGAAATGGCTGCTAATGCAGCTAAATGTTGTTTACGTTGTTGCCGTTTACGATAAGATGATACGAATGCAGCAGTCATCGATGGTGATAATTGTATTGGCGTTGTTGGTGTAACTACCGATGGTGCTATCGATGGATCGAATTCTGGTAACTGTTCAAAATGTTGTTCGAAATTAACTTCTTCAAGTATTTTATCCATTGCATCAGGTTGTTGATAACTATTCTCATCGATAGTCATCACAGTTTCATTATTATTCAAATTTAACTGAGATTCATCAGTAATCATACTATTTGATTGCTCTTTGCATTCACAATTCTTAGGTGAAAGATCTTTGGGCTCATTTTCCTGTGGTAGATTTTCGATTGGAGATGATTCTAATGCAGATTCACTAACAGATTCGTTATTCATGGAAATGGATGTAGATTCAAGCTCTGTAACAGCAGCTCTCTTTGCTTTGGTAGCAGCTGCACGAGATTTTCCTAATTGTGCTGGGGTTGGTGCAAGAATGAATTTCTTACTCTCCGATGTTGAATTAATGGATCCATTTGTTGTAGTAGATGATTCTGGAATCGATGTAATAGGAGTTGGTGGGGTTGTAACCGATAAATTACCCGATTTAAAATTCATTATCGTCTTGTAGAACATTGGGAGTGATTCTTTAGCATTTGTAGATTGATTGTTATCCAACGATTTATTTGCTGTACAAATAACTGGAGATCTTTGTGCCTGATGATATGAAGGCAAAATATCCACATTGTTAATTCCCGATATTGATGATGCTGAACTAGGTGTTGTCGAAGACGATGACAATGTTAGCGGAGATGATGAAATGGATGATGCAGACGGTGTTGTGGATAATGAAGAACTCGATACTGCAGCAGTCGTAACATTTGATTTGTTTACCATGTTTTTGTATTTATATTGGATAAATGAAGGCGAAGATAGCGTTGTTTGATTCGACGAGGATTCTGATAGTTTGGCTATAGAAAATGAGCTAGGTATTGTCAATTTGTCATCCTCATTACTCTTTGATAAGTTAATGGCCTGAGATTCTAGTTGTTCATCATTTTTGGATGATTCTTCTTCAGTAACGATCATCAAAGGTGGTGGATCAACATGATCATTATCGTTTTGAGGGGATTTAGGAGATAAAACAATGGGCTGGGTAGCACTGATATCTTCATTTAGTTTGTTTCGGCGTTTTTTATGACCATTCGAACCATTATTATTGCTGCTGGTGATTGCATTCATTGAAAAGATGGCACTACTATTAACATAATCTTCATCATCTTCACCAATTTTTCCATGCTCCGAATCGGGCAGCATTGATTTTGAACACCATTTCCAATCAGGATGACGTTTGTAATGAGCTTCTTTAACTTTATTAGCCAATTCTTGATATTGTTGTTTTTCTTGAGCAGGTAATGAATACCACCATTCGCCGAGAATTTTGGACACAGTACGATTATCTGAATTTGGATGTTTATGATGTACAAGAGCTCGATGTCGTTTCGAAAAGATCATGAATGCGTTCATTGGTCGTCGAATATGTTTTTTATCCAAATCGGTAACAGAATTTGTTTGCTCATTACTATTGTCACCATTTGGAACAGTCCCAGCTGCCGGACGTTTTTTCGAACGACCTTCTAATTAATAGAATAGAAAAAAATTTAACAAATTCTAAAAAAATTGTAAATTTTTACCTTTAATATTATTTATAGATGATAACGAATGACTTCTTCGCTTAGATTTCTTAGAAGATTTTGTATTAGTTTCAGTGTTGATATTGCCATCGATATTTGATTCACTATTACTATCGTTTGTATCTTGAGAATGATCACTTTGATCAATATTGTTTTTAGAATTCAGCACAGTTAGACTGTTTGCCATTGTATTGGTATCACATTTATTATGTTGGTGCTTTGAATTCTTGACAAAGACATCATCATCATCATCCTCACCATCATTATTATTTTCATTTTGATCATCATTACCACGTTCATCTAAACCAAATGAAGCAAAATGATTATTGTGTTGAAGAGTTAAATGTGGTGGTGCCGAATGTGGCGGTGAGATCGGTTCGGACAAGCTTTCATTTCCAATAATGCCACCTATAGAGGGAGAAAGATATAGAAAACCACCAACTTGTGGCTTCTTATGATAATGAGATTTGGTTGCTGATTGGCCATGATAAAAATCATCACTTGTTGTCAAAGAGATCAATGGTTTTTGATGTTGCGGTTGTGCGGTTGGGGATGAACTAGGTGTATTCGGATTAAAATATGGCACCACAGAATACCACGGAAAATGTAATTCGGAATTTGTTGATGTGGATGAAGATGGCGATATTTTTTTATCATCATTATGATGGCTATGATCTGATAATGAAGTTTGAACAGTCAAATATGGCGATGATGACGACGTAACCAATGATGGCGAATTTGGCAAATGATGCTGAAGATTGGATGATTTCAGATTACCACCATTCGATAAAAAACCAATACCATGATGATGAGAAGGCGGGAATAATGTTGAAGGAGTTCCGGTGGGTGTCGGTTGTGAATTATAATTTAAACCGAATGGTGTGGGTGATGGAGCATTGGATGATCGTGACGATGATGTAGATGATGAAAATGATCGTAACCCATTCACGGCTGTCGATGCTTCGGTCCCGTTGGCATTAGAACTTGAAAAATGCTGTTGATGATTGGCAGTAATCGGTTGGAAAAATGGCAATAATTGCATTACTGGCGTTATGGGCAATGGAGATGATCCAGCCGATGAGCTACCGCCATTACCGCCTTGTGGATACAAACTATTCGATACATTTTGATTATTTTCAAGACCATAATTACGCTGAATGACAGTCGATGATGGAAATAATGATGATCTATAATGGTGTGGTTGCGGCATTGATAAATCATTTGGCGATGACTGACCATTACTATCAGCAGAGCGTTGATTAGAGGATTTTAATGAGACCAATAATGATGCTGCTTCAGATACATCCAAATTTGGTGGACCTGATTTTAAAAAAGAAAGAAAATGAAATATGTTTAAAATCAATATTTTTTTTTGGAAAAAACTGACTATAAGATCGTAATTCTGGTTCTGAATGTTGTTGTTTATCGCCCTTCTCCTTCTCATCATCATCATTATCATCATCATCACTATTATCAGTACTAATACTATTTGTTGGTTGTTGTTGATTGTCTAATAATGATAATTGTTGTTGTTCAATCCTTAAACGTTGTTCAAGAAAATTTCGAGAATCAAAAGCTGATGTTGATGACATCAATGGAATTGGCAATTGTTGTTGTAAATTTTGTAGATGAAATGATGGGATTGATGAAATTTGATTTTGTTGTTGAGAGTGTTGAACAATATTCGAAATATCAACATTATTATTAGCAGTATTAAGACCTAAGCCTAGACCCAATTGAGCTAATTGAGCATATGCATTAAAATATTGAAAGATTTCCATCGTTGAATTTTTTAATTTAAAAAAATTATATCAAAATTGATGAAAAAAATATGTTTGATTAATGTTGATTAAAAACATTCGAATACTCAAACTTCATTAATAATAATCATTTAAAAATTTGAAAGACAATTGTGATTTAATATTTGACACATTTCGAAAAACAACAAACAAAAATAACCAATGATGATCATGAAATTAAATGCGACAATATTTTCGGAATGTTTCACATATTTATATAAACAACACCTGCTTTTTGTGTGTGTGTTGAAAAAGACAACGACAACAACAAATGGAAACTTTTGAGAGAGGCAAGAAAGAACGAGAGTGAAATAAAAAAAAATAAGGGTCACGATATTTAGTCATCATCAAGTGTATAATAAATTTTAAAAAGTCACCAACAAAACATCACGAAAAAACCGAGAAAAATCAAGAAAAAAACCATCAGGAAAAAAATGACACTGACAAAAAAATAGAATTGGAGAAGAACTAGGAGATGACTGTGACTTATACCCAAGAATGACTTAATAAAATGAACGCAAAACAACAACAACGTTTCATAAAACAAACGAAGAAAAGTGAATCCACCAACCAACCGACCAAACAAATAACACAAAAAACAACCCCAAATGTGTGAGTGTTGCGAGAAAAGACACACACAACATTTATGCACTACTATGTTTTATAGTGAGAATGAGAAGAAATAAAATTGAGAAAAAAAATCTGACCGATCATCATTTTCCCCTGGTACAACAAGTGTCATGAGAATCTTGTAAAAAAAATGAAGGTCGTGTATTGACATGACATTTTTGTGAAAACTTTTTATTTCATCATCATATGTGAAATATATCACTGGCCAAAGATATCCTCACATGCTACCACTACACCACGACGATGATGACGACCACCACCATCATATCATATACCCTACTTTTTTAAATCATTAACCATCAGTGTATTTTTTAAATGAAATGTACTATTCCCAAATGATTCCAAAAATAAATTGTTCGTGTTTGCATGCACACACATTGATTGTATCATAAAATATTGAAGAAAAAAATCAAATCAAGATAACCTGTTGTACGAAAATGAGAAAAAAAAGACTAACTTGAACCTCACTCATTTATATATAGTAGTATATAGCGTAGTACACAGGTGAAAGGTCAAACAACAATGATGAAAGTGATTTTCTTTTCTTTTTGATTTAAAACAAAAATTCCAGATAAAACAAAACCAACACACGCTGAGAGAAGCAGCATACTATTTGTATTGTTTCAAATAAGTTTGAATTCAATTCTATGTTCTTCATAAGATTATAGAATTATAATGGGAAAACGGGAAACTTTCACTATTGACAAAAAAAAATTTGAATCAATTTTGAGCAAACAAAACAACCGTAAATGTCATACGTAAAATGTCCATAATTTTTTTTTGTAAAGAATTTTTTTTTCAGTTTAAGAAAATCATATTACATATATGGGTATTGGAAGATTCTTGAGATCAACGAACCTTTTTGTTGTTGATGGTGATGGTGGGAAGAAGAGGTTCGAAAAAATAGCGAAACAAATTGTTTGTTTCATCACATTGTCACACACATATATCGAAAGTGATATTCTCAAACTTTTTTACCCTTTTAAATCAATACATTTATAAAAAACGGATTGATGGTTGAGTTCAAACAAATGAACAAACAAAAAGGCAATTCAAATGAATAATAATTTAAACATTTACAGATTAAATCAAGTGATTATCAAATCAAACAAAAAATAAAAAAAGTACATTCAACAAAGTAAAAATATATTTCATTTTTGGCTTTGTTTCCAATGAAAATCCGATTAGAAAGCAATAACAAAAAAAAAATAAAATAAAACAACCAAAACACAGATGAAAATGAATGGAATAATTGTGTGTGTGTGATTGTAGGGGAGGGGGAGGCAAAAAACCATAATCGTAACTTATACGTGTGAACCTTTTACGGTCATGGACCTCGACCAATGATGATGATTAATAAACCAGAAACAGAAAATACATTTTTTTAAATCTCGATAATTTTTGCACATCGATAATAACGTGGTAATGATATAAAACCAATTAAAATGAATTAACGACACTGAATAATACTATTAATAACAACAACAACAAATCAAACAAAAACAGCAAGAAAGCATTTGTTTGGAACCAATAAAGAAATGAGGAAATGAAAATTCAGAAAAACAAAACAAAATTTTTCGAATCAAATACATACGTTTTTCTTTGTAACTTGATGAATTTGATGATAACGATGATGATGACTGCTGATTGTTTGTAGTCGAATAAGCGGATGTAGAATTATTCATAGATTTTGTCGGTGAAGAAATGACCACTTGTGGTGGTGGTGGTACAACTTGTTGCTGTTGATGATTAGATTGATGTTGATGATGATGATGACTTTTTGTCAATGCGGATATACTTGAACCACGCATAGACAAATGACGAGAACAATATCCACGACGTTGAGATTCTTTTGTACAGCCATCTTTCGAACATAATCGTCGCCATTGTTTTCCATTGAATTTTTTTCTTATACCATTCGGTGTTGAAACAATATCACCCTTTTTATATTGTTTTTGTTGTAAGGCATTTGTCGTTGTTGTTGTTTCTGTTTGTGATTGTTGATTATTTGTATGATTAAGTTCGTTGCATTCAGAATGTTGATGTTGATGAATGTTTATTGGACCAGATAATGTAGATCCTGAGTTTTTTGTAGGTGTTGTTGTTGGTCCAATCCTTTGATGGTTCGATGATTGATGTTGATGATCGATAATGATATTGTTATCATTATAACCGCCAAACATGGCTAAACTTTGATAAACTTCAGCATCGGCTGCTTCATCATCATCATCATCGTTATCATCATCAGTATCATGATCATTATCATCATCGTCATCATCATCATCTTGATTATCACCATTCGTATCGATTATATTATTATCATCGTCATTAACCAAATTCTTATTGCTATCAATCGATCCGGAATCTTGTTTATGTTTTTGATGATAGTATCCCGAATGATGAAGATAATCTGAATAATTATTCTGTTTTATATGCGGATGATGTTGATGATGAAATGGCGAGGTTTTCGACATTATTGATAAATTCTCAAGCTCATATTGAAATTTGTTCATCGTTATTGGCCCCTACAAAAAAAAAATAAAAAAATGCCATTATTATGACAAATTCAACATCAAACAGAATTCTTACCTGTATGACATGCGATTTATGAGAATCATTTTCCGTTTGACGAATAGCCGTTGATTGATGTTGATGAATCGATGATGATCCTGCCATTGTAATAACGCTAACATTATGACTACTTGTTGTTGATGGCGTCTTCGATTGTTGTTGAGATCCTCGAACTTCTTGAATCACACCGACTTGAGTTGTAATAAGTTTAGTTGATTCGGTTTGTTGTTGTGAGGATGGTGAAGGTTCGAAAATCGGTATAGATTGTTGTTTCATCATCAAAGGAATATTTGTTACAACATCATGATCATCATTATCATCATCGGACCATGGCTGTAAAAACAATCGAATATTAGCTCTTGAAAGTATTGCCGTTCTTGATTCATTCAATGATGATGATGATGGAGAATCAGCAAATCTTACACGATACGAAATCGATGATTTCGATTGAAATTCGTTGCTAGAATTTACTAAAATTTCTTCGATAACACCTTCACGAAATTTTGGTGAATGATTCAGAGATCGTGCGACTACACGACGCCCAACACGAATCTGTCGAGCAGATGGTGCACAATCACCGATTATATATGAAAGACAATTACCATTGTAATATTCAATAGATGAATGTGATTGTGATGAGGAAATTGATTGAGAGAGATCAGACGTTGTCAATGATGATTTATTATTCTCATCATCATCATCATCATCAAATTGTACACCGAGACCTTTGATGAGATCAAATGTTTTTATAACACCAGATTGATAGTAATAATATTGATAATTTATCAATTCATTAGACCATCGTTTCCGTCTGGCTAAAACCCGATGTCCAATCCATTCGGATAGATCGGATAATAATGATGAAGAATGTGAAGATGATGTTTTTTCTTCAGTATCCCTGTTGATTTCATTTGTCGCTAATGATAATGAATTATGGCTATTATCACACAGATTGGATGATGAGGTTTCATGAGATGTATTAATTACTACAGTTCTATCGTTCATATCCGTTTCACTATCTATTGTACGGTAAAGTATTTGATTATTATTCGTATCACTAGTTGTATGTATTCTTGTGGTAATAGATGACGTTGTTGGCGACAATGTCACAGTTGTTGATGGTGATAAATCAAAATGATTTAAATTTAATTTTCGTTTCTTTGGCAGAATTTTTGCTTCATTATTTGCCATGGTTATTGATGATGATGATGATGATTTTCCAATATTGGACTCATCACAAACTCCATGATCGATGACAGATAATGATGACGACGATGATGATAATAATGTCGATGTTGTTGATGATGGTGGCAATCTAGCATTCGATGATGCGATTGTTGTTTCGATCGACATCTATAATTTAAGAATGCAAAAATTAATCGATTCATACAAACAATCGATAAACTCAAAATCAGACAAACTTACCATCATTATGTTTCACTCGAAACAATTTTCTTCATTCAGAGTGGATAATAAAAAGAATTGAAAAATCTGAATTTTCATTTAGAAATCGAAATGAGAATTTAGAATCGTAATAATTTTACAAATAAAAAAATAATAAAACCAGTGATCAAACAACAAAAATCATAACGATATATTAATAATTATAAAAGGTATTCAACAAGGTGTATAATAATAATATTAATGATGATGATGACAATGCGAAAGAAACGATATAACGAAAAACATTTTTTTTTCATTTGGCGAACATAGACTTAAACGATGAAACGATTCATAGATTCAGATAATTCATATTCTTCATAGACACCGAAAGAAAAATCATATAACATTAAGTGACGATTGAATTGTAGAATTCAACAACAACATTGCTTGTTTGTTGCTTTCTCATATTGTGTTTTGACAGTTTTTTATTCATAAATGAAAAACATTATACGATGATTTTTTTTGCTTCTCATATATTATTGGTGATGATGAGAAAAACAGATACACTATTGAATTCGATGATCATGATCATAATCGCTGATGATGATGATGATGATCCTAAAAATTTTGTTATGAATCAGATGCTATCATCAATGTTGTTTATGGTCGAAGCAATCATATAATAACTATCAAACAGATTAAGACATTATCGCATTGATCGATTGATTATCGTTGTCATTTAATTTATTTTTTTCTGATAATGGTCGATTTTTTTCTTTTGTGGCTAAGATGAAAAGGAAAAAAAGATGAATATATTTTTCTTCTTCTTCGTCAAATCACCTGATTCATTCATCCGAATGATAATCAAAAAATAGCTAGAAAAAAAGAAACACTTTTGTTCGTTGTCAATGTAATATATTTCTGTTTGTTTCAATTAATAAATTTTAGAAGAAGAATCAATTTGAAACTATAATTGTCAATCGGATTTCATTAAAAAAAACATTATTTAAAAAGTTGAGATCTTGATAATAGAATATAGTTTCCGTTTATATTCGATTTATGATTGAATGAATATTAGTTTGTAAAACAAACCGAAGACATTTTTTTTGATTACTTTCCCTCTCTTTTTCTGCTGTATGGAAAATTTTTTCGATGATGATGATATGGATTGTTTTTGAAACACATACACACATATATCTATGACATTCTATTAATTGGTATGTTTGTCATTGATTCAAAAAGGTTGTTTTTTTTAAATTTTAATTTGATTTTGTTGTTGTTGTTATTTTTACTCTTACTACGGGTTAGATGATAATGTTTTTTTTTGTTTTGTTGAAGATGATTACCATCATATGATGATGATGATATCAATTTTTCATTTTTTTTATTACGTATCGAATCTCCATGGCATCATTTATAGTATTTTTTTTTGTCAATCTATTGTTGTTATTAAAATGATGATAAATGGATGGGTGAAGAAAAAAAACCAAACTAATATCAATCCAATTAGTTCTTATTTTTGGTCGATGTTATTCCGTAATATTTTCTGTGAAAAAAAAAGAGAAAAAACAAAAAGATTAAAATTAAGATTGAACAAGAAAAAAAATTCAATTTTTGAATATGATGAAATATTGATTCAAAAAAAAAATTATGAATCTAATTCTAATGAATAAAAAATTAAAATAACTAAAAACAAGAATATCTCTCTCATTTTTTTTCGAAATGAACCAAAATCTAAATTGAAAAACGGGAAAAATTTTTCTTTTTTTTTCATCATCATAAAAATTTCATAAACAATTTTTCGTTTCGTGCGTCATTCGCTCATCATCATCATCATCATGAATGAAAAAAGTTGAAATTCGTTTCCAAAAAAAACAAAACTGTTGAATAAAATAATAATATAGGATGTCAAATTCTAGAAAAACATCTAGATTTATAATTGAAAAAAAAAATCTGTAACAATGGACACACAATTCATGAAATGAAATTTTTTTTTGTTTCCATAATAAATAAAATTTTTCAATTTTTGAATGACACTTGATTTTTTGTTTTTTTTTTGGTTCGATTATTGATTTTTATCCGGCAAAAAAATGAAAATAAAAATTTCCAATCTTTTTCTTCGTTTTAATGATCCAAAATCGGTTTGATAAAATTCACAATGTTTAATGAATAAGACATTAGGAAAAAAACTAAAATAATCGATCAAGAAAGAAAGGTAAACAAAAAGATATCCAGAATACTATAAATCCATTTTTGTTGTTTGCCTACAATCACAATGTTTCAAACGATGTGTGTGTGTGTGTGATAATCAACAAACATCATGAACATAATAAAACAAATAATAATTATTATCATTCATTAAAAAAATTTGAAGGATAAACAAAAAAAAATCAAGAAATAATCTACTGTCTTAAATAGTAAAGTCAATTCAATTCGAATCAAAAATCGCATAGGCGGATTTACGCATCATACACACACACACACAAATCCAAACAATATTATCATCATCATTTACACATTTTTCCACCCCGTTATTCATTTTCACCATTTATAAAAATCTTAGTTTTTTCTTTCTTTCAACCATACATTACTTATAATATATTTTACATTTCCTGGTTTACCATATATATCTCTTTCGCTCTCTTTCTTTTCATATTTAATTGTAATTGATTTGAAATCCTTTTTTCTTTTTGAGGAATGAACAAAAAAAAAGAATTTTTCCATTAATGAAAATAAAAAAAAGGGTAAATGAATGAAAACATACACACACAGTGAGGAAGTTATCAAAGAAATGGAATGAATATCGAATATATTCAAAAACGACAAACTAAACAACAACAAAATATCGTTGATTTGATTTGATCATCTATTAAGTATTTCATTTTTTTTCTTCGTTCATTTTCAAATTCATTCGAAATTGATTCGATTGCAATCAAATACCAACCAACTAACCAACAAGTTATTCAAAACCAAATAATAATAATACACATTACCATAATCATAATCATCATCAATCCATCCATCGACAACATATAGCGCACATACACAAAATAATAACAAAAAACAATATCATCGATGCCTGAACACAAATTTCCCTTCCCCCATATTTTGTCGTTATTTTTTTCATCATCATCATGTTGTTTATATGATGATGACGTGATTACGACGATGTTGCAATTTGTAGATTATTTTTTTTTTAATTCTTCTCAATTATATGATATATTGATGATGATGGTTGAAATGTAAAAAAAAATTAAATTGTCTAAATATTACAGCTATTATTACACATCGTTGTTAATTTTTTTTTGTTGTTCATACATTTTTATCATAATAAAATTAATTCTTTTTATTAGTCAATGATTTTTTCGAACGACAAATGATCGATTTATTTCGATGTCTTTGATCAATGTTTTTGATCAACTAACTAATTAAAAATGATACAATTATTTTTTTTGGGAATAATTTTCTTAAACAACAACAAATAACGATATAATCTTAGATCATATAACATATTTGTTTGATATTTCTGTTTTTTCCATGATGACAGAAATGAGTCATCGATTAGATGAATTTATTGCAACATAATTATATACGGAAGTTGATTCATGAATCAATCATGAAAATTATAAAATTTAAAATATGATTTAGATCATGAATATATTACTTACAAATCTATTATATAATCGTGAATCAAGAATCAATTATGAATTGAACACACGTTCAATGTTGGCAAATTTGCAATGATCAATTGAAATCATATCTAAATGAACACATTCAATAAGATTATGTAAACACTTGTGAAAATAAAACAAAAACAACAACAATAACACAGAATCTTCTCAACTGACCGACCACCAATCAATAAATACACAATTTTTTTCTGTTGTTGAAATTCAAAACAAACAAAATCAAAATAAGAAATAATTAACTTGTAGAATTATGATTAACAAAAAAAAATGAACAATTCAAAGATCTCTGTGCAATCGTGTGATTTCTTTTTCTTTTTTTTTACTTCTGTATTTAGTTATAGAGTAAATTTTAATAAAAATAATAATGTTTTGATGTTAAAATGATGTTATAGTTTTAGTTGAATGTTGTTGTTGTTATTATTATTGTTGATTTGTTGCTGCCCGTTCCATCATCTGCCAATCTATCTATCTAACTATCCATCCAATACATCCATTCAACATTTGTATACACACATTCCTCATCATATAATAAAAAAATCCACATCTTTCCATCCGTATTTGTATGTGTAAAATTACGTAGTAGTAGCAGTGGAAGTACAATTACTATATACAGAAATAGTAAAAAAAATCCATCCAGTTGTTCGAATAGTAGTAGTATGAATAGTAGTAAAAAATAACGATCCTGGTCTCTTTTTTCCCCATTTTATTCTTCAGCCATTTGAACATTGAAGATAGAAAATATTCTTTTTCTTTTCGTGTGTTTGTGTGAGTTGTAAGAAATGAAATTACGAAAAATAAAATTGTAGTAAAAATTATATCAGTAATAGTAACAAATAATAGTAGTAGTGGTATAGGAATGTCATAGTAAAAAATCAAAAAAAAAATTAAAAGAATGAATAAAATCTATGGATAATGGGAATGCCAACACTTTGCAAGTTTTATTCAGGAAAAAAAAGTGCAAAGGTATGTTTTTGTTTTCGTTTTTTTTTCTACTTTCAAGAAAAAAATTTCCCACATTCGATATTCATCACAAATATTTTCATCGTCTTCGTTACATACATGTATTAGATGAATGAATGAATGAATAAAAAATTCCCTACATTTCTTTTGTTGATCGTCCCCATAAATGAACCTAGTAGCAGCATGTATAAAAACAAGACAAAAAATGTTTCAGGATCGATGGAATTATACTATAATAGTAACGAAAAGATGATGATGTTTGAATTGTTGAATATTTTTTTTATTGATGTAAATGAATGAAAGGTAAAGGGGACTATTGTGAATATCAAATGAGAAGGGAAGGAGGGAAGAAAAAAATTGTCAAATGGACATGTAATAAGGTTTTATTTTATAAAAAACCAACAATAACGTCAATGAAAATAAGAACATTGAGAAGAAGTTTACTGTATATATAGAGCATATGTATTGAATAAATTTTTTCATTCATTTACACACGCCAACATAACATCTGATAGGCGTTTATCTTGTCTATATATGTTTGTGTATGTTTCTGTATGTAATCATCATCATCAATGTTCAATTTCATTGAGATAAACAACAACAACAGCAAAAAAAAAAAGAAAAAATACAAACGTCAACCACATACACACGCACATTGTTGCAATACATCACAACGACGTCGACGATGAAATAATATAAAATAAAATTAATGAATAAAAAAACAAGCCCCTGTTGTTGTTGTTATGGTGTGTTGTTGCCTCCCCTAACCCCGAAAAAAAATTTCACCGTACATAAAGATTCACGCATACGATGTGTTTGAAAAATTTGCTACATTTTTTTTCCTTTTCTATTTCATCCTATATAATAAAAATATAATGAGATAATTTGAATTTTGCAAACACCCTGTAAAATATGTTTGTTTTTTGCTTTTAAAGTATTATTTATTTGAATGGAATTGAATCTTCATGTTTCTGGTGCTTCAAACTAATAGATGAGGGATGATTAGAGGAGGGAGTATGAAGATGACTATCACCTTATTATGTGTATTGATCAGAACGAAAGAGAAAATATTTCATTCATATTTCAAAGGTCAGGGTCATTGTTACCTGACCGTCCGATCGGGTCAGGAATGAATGGAATCATTTTTTTTTTAATTTTTTTTTGTTAAAATTAATGATGTTTGGTTGGTGTACATCATTTCCAAGAGTAATTTTCTAATTATCTTCAAAGCTACCTGTATTGGTTATTAATGAAATCTACTTCTTTTTTCTGGAAGAAAACTACTATTAATAATTTTTGGTTTTAGTAAAATTGTTATCAGTTATTTTTCTTTATTTGCCAAAAATACGACTGATAATGTCAATGAATGAGAGTTTTTCATTGGAATAAAATTCTGTCCGGATTTTATTTAATGGAATTTTTTGGTCTTTCTAAAAGAAAACAAAATTTTCGTATTGATTATTCTCATCTTTACTTTATTTTTCTTTCATTCATTTTGAATTTGTATTCGAAAAAAAGATGATCATAGCAGGAAACATTGAACGGAAATGAATTTTTTTTTCATTTTTCGACGAAAAAACATTCTTCGTCATACATTCTTCGTCATTTGGTATGCGTTTTTGTTTTTGCATCCTATAAAAATTCATTCAATTTAAAAGATACCTGATAGTATTAAAAAAAATATTACTGTTACTGGTATTTCATATAATCTTATTTCACATTTTTTTCTAGCTTTATTATAATTTCAATTTTCTTCAAATTATGAAATTTAATATCGATCAAAATGTAGAGGAAAGATTAATTATTTCAGTAGAATAGATGAGCGAGAGACCCTGAAACAATATATTTCAATTTAAAAAATTGTGTAATCTTTATTATTATTTAAAAAAGAAATATTAGAATATAACAACGAAATAATTCCTTTTTTCAATTTGTAATTGTTAATTTTTTTTTCTCAGCTAATCCAACATTCATTTTCATGTATGTTTTTCTTGATAAATTGATTGGAACAAAAAAAAAGCATTGAATGTATTTTGTATTCAAATCATAAACGAATGATGTTGATCAATTATGAATAACTTTTGCATGTAATTTATATCGATCTTACTGTATATTCATGAAACAAACTAACAACAAAAAAGAATGAATATTACAAACACTAGAACTTTTTTTTTGAAAAAAATGAAAATCTTTGGTTATAAACATTAAGAACAGATGAATACAAAACCAGTATATAGATCATCATCATTTCATTATTTTCGAATCAAATCAAATTATAAAAAATAAATTACCAGATTTGTGAATTATATAAAAAATGTACGTACTTTTCTTTTTTATGTCCTCGAACATATTTATCAAGAATTTTTTTATAATTAACATTTCATATTTCTCAACTCCCCAAGTGTTCTTACCATTTTGTTTTTGTTGTTCACGGGTTGAAAAATTGTTTCTATTATTCTGTCAAAATATTAACGACATCTTCCATAGACATTTATTGGGAATTATTTCATCAGTGAGAACAAAAGAGGATTTCGAATCAAAGAAACAGAAAAGAATCGAATCCCAGATTTGGGACATACAATAGTATAAAAGTATGGATTTTTTTTTTTGGTTCTTGCATTTAGTTCTTTTCCTTACTAACGCCAAACATTGTATAAAGTCCAATAAGATAAAAACTTTGCCGAACAAGATTGTCCTATACTATTACTATACAATTTACTGGATACCTACCCAACAACAACAGTATAGTCCTAAAGTATAGAGAATGTAGATGAAAATGTTGAATTCGAAGAATTTATATTATTTTTGTTTAACGAAAATTCTCTTGACATTCTCTATTGCATATAATTTCCTAGATTTTTTTTGCTTCATGGACAAAATTGCGAAAATTGTATCAGTTGTTCATATTAGACATAAGACATAGAGAGTAAAATTTATCGAAAAAAAAAATTCATTCACTGATGATCTAAATCCAATGTTTACACTATTATTGAATAGAAATTGAAAACCAATTTCATGTAAATTTATCATATTATCATAATGATATCGTTATCTTCATCTATTTATGATAGATGAAATGTACACCATACAAACATTTGAATATGAGATTGGCAAACTTTTTTATTATTATTTTGTTTTAACCCTTTTCGGCAAATGTTGTTATTTGAAATAATAATCTGAAAAACAGGAAAAGAATTTCATCCATATCTACTATATTCAATAAACTTGTTTTTTAATTTATTTAAATTATTAATGGAATAATCTATCTAGATTTATAGATTCTTTTGAAACAAACATCATATTAGAAATGAAACAAAGAGAGAATATTCTAGCGTAATGAATAATATGAAAAAAATTTGCGGTCAATATTGCAAACGGTTTACGCAATAATGTCAGATTGATTCGATTCCTTTTTTATTTATGGAGCTACAAACATTTAAAAAAATTTTCATTCCCATGAATTTTGGAATGTTGTTTTTTTTCATTCACTGTTGAAATAAAAACCAATGTATTTTCATTAATTTACTCGAATTTATTCGATTTTTCTCAGGAATTTTTTCAACATTGAGAATTTTTTTAAATTTAGTATTACTAATATAATGGTCGTGATGATGATTATGATAGTAACCAGAATTTTATTTGAAGCACCTGAAATCTAAATTTAGATATTCAAGAATTCTGGATCAGATTATACATACATCAAAATGTACTTATGAAAGATTTTCTATCCAATTTGAAATCATAATCTTAAAGGAATGTTTTCCGATATTATCGAAAGTTTTTTGAAATCTTTTTCCTTCTATTTTTATTTTCGAAAGAATTTTTTCTGTTAGTTTTATGGATTATTTTATAAAAGTTTCATTGCAAAAAAAATGATTTTTCAATTTTAATTACGTTTTGTTGTAAAAAAAATGTCTGAACAGGAAATTTTTCTCATACTTATAGTGACATCTATCGTTGTTGAATTGTGATATTTTTTCAAATTTTTTTAACTTTATTTTTGTTCCAAGCAATGTGGATAAAGATATAAAAAAATGAATAAAGATCTCACACAACATTTGACAGCTTAATGATGATGATGATGAAAGCCTTTGATGAATTGAAAATTGTTCATTTCTCTATATTACAACAGATTTTTTTGTTGCTCTGACAAGATCAAATCTTTGAAAAGTAAACAAAAAAGAATTACACTCAATTCAAGGAAATCCAAAGGAAAAAAATCTTTGACCATAAAAGGTGATTGCATATGATTATGATTACACACAAACATTTACGCAAACGATTCATGTCCAAAAAAGGATAATTTTGTAAGAAAAAAATCAGCTAAAAGATTTGCAACAAATCATTACTTGGAAAAAGAACAATGGACAGAAAAGCAATGATTACTTCAACGGTATAACACATATAAGAATATTTATTTCATGAAATTTATTAAGATTTTATTTACTATTTAAATGTAAATGAGAAAAAAAGATGTTTCAAAAATGGATAGAGCGAAAAAAGTTCATTTAAAATGATTTCTGATAATGATAATAATAATAATAATCATTGTAAGAAAATTTAAATTTTTTTCGAAATTTTCTCTGATATTCTAAGTGTGATGAATAATACTTTTATTTATTTAAATTTTCAATTCATAATGTTTACTTCTATAGACGTAGATAGTGATCAAAAAATTGTCCTTAATCCTATCATAAATATATCATCAAGTTAACTTTCGTACAGATTTTTAATGATAACAAACAATATACATAGGAAATCGATTCATTCGATTCGATCTAATCGAATGTATTGATTTTATTTTCTACAAATTAAAGATATTATGAAATTCATTTATCAATTAATTTAGATCGAAAAATTTTCTCTTTACTTTGTATAATTTTATAAATTGAAATTATTTCCTTGTGTCCAGATTTCCTAGTCCAGATAATGTATAACGCTTTCGATTTTTATGATTATAATCAATTTCATCACTATACTTAAATATCTATTTCGGACTTTTAAGAAATTTGTATTTATATGTTTACAGATTTAAACATTGAATGAATGGCAACAAGCAACAACAAAAAGAATCAAACCAGGAAAAACAAATCGGAAGGTAAAAACAAAAATGTTCTCCGAAAAAATAGAAGAGAAACCAGATGAGCCAGTTTTTTTTCCTATTTTTTCAAAAAAAAAACATTATTATTTCTTGATGCTTTCTATCTTTCCATCTTTATTTTTTTTTCTAAGCATTTCTATATTTAGAATTTATCTCGTTTCATCGTTAATTTTTTTCCCTTCCCGATAATACATTCGATTTAGGCCAATGGACCAAATAAAATAAAATAAAATAAAATATCCGAATGAAAAGAGTCGAGCCGAACGATGTGAAGATGATGATATCAACCATTGATTTAGATGTTGACGACTTTCGACGATAGACGATTGTGTCAATATCCGTTATTTTTTGTGGAATTTTTTCCTTGAATTTGTGGGTGTTCATATTTGTGTGTTTATATTGTTTTTTTTGTTGGTGGGTGTGAATATTTATTGAATCTGAAAAAAACAATTGAAAGAAATAAACAAACAAAATCTGATTATAATGGCATCTTCCACAATCATTGCTGATGATTTCGAAAGAATTACAAATGAATTGCGACAAGAATTTCGTACCGGTCGTACATTGTCTGTCGCATATCGTAAAGAACAATTACGAAAATTGCATCGATTTCTGGATGATAATCAAAAATTGATTATTGAAACATTGAAAAATGATTTACGAAAACCTTGGTTCGAGACCGTTATTGTTGAAGTTGATTTTGTTCTAAATGAAATACGTTCAACTTTGGCAAATATTGATCAATATTGTCAGAAAAAATGTGTAGCTAAATCGATGACCACATTGTTTGATGATACATTCGTTCATCATGAGCCGTATGGACTAGTCTTGATTGTTGGTGCATGGAATTATCCAGTACAAATTATTTTGGCACCACTAGTTGGCGCTATAGCTGCCGGTATGTATAATGAATTCAACACAGATGAATTCGTTTTCCTTTTTGTTTCATTTTGTTCTGTTCTTTTTCATAAATTGCCTTTAGGCAATGTGGCCATCATAAAACCATCGGAATTGGCACCGGAAAGCTCTCAGCTTATAGCAAAATTATTGCCCAGATATTTAGATAGTCGTTGTTATCGTGTTGTCACTGGTGATGCGGAAAAATCCAAACGATTATTGGAATATAAATTTGATTATATATTCTTTACCGGTTCCGGTACTATTGGTCGGGCTGTTCATCAAGCTGCCGCACGACATTTGACACCAACAACATTAGAATTGGGTGGTAAAAGTCCCATTTATTTACATGATAGTTTACCATCATCGGCCATGAAAATTGCATGTCGTAGAATGATCTGGGGTAAAATGATGAATGCCGGTCAAACATGCATTGCTCCTGATTATGTACTCTGTAGCAATAAAGTTCGCCAACAATTGCAGCAACATTTGATCGATGTTATTGAGGAATTTTTCGGCCATGATCCACAAAAGACTGATGATTTTGGTCGAATCGTTAATAAACGACATTTTGATCGGCTTATCGATCTCCTGAATACATGTTCGGGAAAAATTTTTTACGGTGGTAAAATCGATGCTAACGATCGTTATATTTCACCGACGATCATATTTGATGTTTCACCTGATGATCCAATAATGAAGGAAGAAATTTTTGGTCCAATATTTCCATTCGTAACAATTCGTACGGCCGATGAGGCCATTCAATTTATTAATACACGACCAAAACCATTGGCCATATATTTATTTGCCGAAGATAAAATTGTAAGAGATCGTTTCATACAGGAAACATCTAGTGGTGCATTATGTGTTAATGATGTTGTACTTCATGTTTCATTGGATACATTACCATTTGGAGGTGTCGGTGAAAGTGGTATGGGTGCCTATCATGGCCGTTATTCATTTAATACATTTTCACATCAGAAAGCAGGTAAGTTTTTTATATCAATTATCAAATACTTAATATTTATAACTGATTCAAAAACATATTTATAACTGATTCAAAAACAGTTCTAGTTAGAGGATATAATGGTTTACTTGAGATTATTGGTTCACGCCGTTATCCGCCATATAATCGTACAAAATTGGCAAGATTATTACGTTTGTTGAAAAAAAGACAACTACCATTTGATGATATACCTTATCGATTGATATTAACAGCTATTATATCGTTTATTTTTGGATTATTGGTAGCATATATGTTAATCGAATTGTCATCATCATCATCATCAACATTATCATCATCATGCATAATTCCAAATTTATGATTTAATTTTATGAAAAAAGCAAATTTGTGGCTGCGGGATCATTTCCTTTTTTTTGTTTCTTTGTCCTCTAGGCCAAAATTATCATCGTTATTCATTATATCGATTTATGTTTGTTATATTTTTCTTTTCTTATCTATCGTTTCGTTTTTCATTAAATTTCCATTTTAAAGTAATGATTTTCTTTCTTGAAAAAATATATTTTGAATAAAATCTGAATATAATTTAGAGCATACAAAAAAAACTAAACAAAACGTAGAGACAATGTTCATTTATCAGGAACCAAATATTCGATTTACAGAATGAATTAAAAACTTGGTCGTTGGAAGGACATTTACTAGATAATCATAATAGTTTCTGCTGTTGTAGTTGTTGTAAATCCTCAAATTGTGATCACCATCATCATAATCACGGAATTGATTTTTGTGATAAATGATCCATTTTGAAGAATAATTCTCGATAACATATAATAATGTACAGTTTTAATATTTCATTTTTTCCCTTCAAATACATTTACACAACTTTTTTTTTGTTTAGGTTTTTTGTCCATATTCAAGATGTTAGCCTTGAACCAGAATCTTCACACGCACAATAAACACAAATATCATTACTATTATTATCAATTCATTCATATTGTATAATTCATTCATTTAATTCCTAATGGATTCAGATTCGAATCTGATAATAGTGAGAGCGAGTGAGAGAAAAACCGCTGCAAATAAAATACGGTATGACACGCACATTTTATTCATTCAATAATGAAGCTTCATGGCCATTGTAGACAACAAAAACTGTAGCTGACACATACATTCATTACATTCATTTTATTATATTAAAAAAAATTTAATGAAGAATGAGTTCTTGTTTTTTCTGATGAATATAATCTATTGAATAAGTTTAAACATTCATCATTCGATCCATTAAAAAACAAACCAAACATAATAATGTACAAGTGGGTTTGTTTGATTCGATTTATTAAAATGTGTGAGTAGGTGCATATGGTCGATATATGTCTACTTGTGATCATTAATTTCACATGATTTTTTAGTTTTCAGCTAAAGAATCGAATTTTTTTGTGGTTTTCTATTCAGTTTTGAATTGATTAACGTTTGTAATTCATTTAGGTTTTTTTTGGCGACAATCGATCAATGGTATTTGTGTCAGTGTAGGTCGTTTTTTTTGACATTGGATTGATTTTTCCTGTTTCAATAATTATTTTCATTGCGAGTTGTTCGAAGATAAAATCCTAATCAAAGTAGATTTTATGAATATATCTGATTATTCGATTTTTTAATCATTAATATTATTCGATTCCAAGATATTTGCTTTTGAAGGATTATCAGTAATTTTATCTTTAATCATCAATATATACTGGTAAAAGAATTGTGACTCCATTTGATGATGATAATAAACATATGAATTGTGTCAGAAAAGGTTAACCCGTTGCTTTAAAATCAGTCAAATCTGAAGATATGAAAAAAACAAAGACAATATTCATACTGGAATAAATTCATGACAAAATAGAATCGACAGAAAATCCAAAAATTCTAGAAAATCCCAGGAATTTGGGTATTGTTTTCTTTGTTGACCTTGTCAAGATTCTTGTCCTTCAATATAATGATGTTGGGGAAAAAAATAAACGGACAAATCAAATTATATATTTGCCGTCTAGAAAAAAAAACGAATAAGAAAAGAGTTTCAACATCATATATAGAATAATTTAGTTTCCAATTTTTGTGGCGGTTATTTTTGTTGGTTAGATTCCGGGTATTTTGCTGATGTTGTTGTCATTATGACGAAATCAGTGGAAAACCCCCCTTGATTGTACTTTATCATTATCAGCGATAATTTTTTTTTAAATATTATTATTATTATATATCATCGATTCGGCCATCATTATCAAACACCATAATCATTTATAACACATATGGCTTAAAGGGGTTGGAAACAATTTGAATAGAGATGGATGAATCAAATGAATGAATGTAAAAAATGAAAATAGGACTAGAAAAAAGTATTGCAGAAAGAGATTTGGCCTAATTTTTTTTTTACTTTGCACTAGTAACAGTTCCATCATCACCCATATATACACCCCGTGTTCTTAACCTACTTTTAGTTTTTGGACCGTTTTTTCTTGTTGTTCCTCGTCTTCTTCTTTTGTATGCCATTTTCATAGTAACTGAAAAAAATCGGAGTCAAAACTAAGCTATGTTATCATCATTTGTGTGCTATATGTATTGCCGGTTGTCATTCGGCAAAGTAATTGTTGTTGTTATTATTATTTAGTTCGGTTGCTATAACAAGTTGGTGTCTATGATAGGAAATGTATATCGTCAACGACAACAACAACAATAAAATGACAACAATAATTTGTCTCCATAATGTTTTTGAAATGGCTCTTGATTTTCTTTTTTTACTCGTCTTCATTTTTTCTTTTCTTCTTCTTCTTCGTTCAATGATTCCGTTTCTGATCGTTTATTTCATTCGGTTAGATAGATACAACGGAAATCAACTAACCAACCTACAAAAAACAAATAACTGTCATCATCATTTTTCCCCCACCTGTCATATTATATAAACATACCTGGGCCAAGAATATAAGGAACATAACTCGACCAATTTCAATTCAAAGGAAAAAGTCTTTAATATCTATGGATGATGTAAATATTTTCGAATGAAAAACCCAAAAGATCATAGCTATTAGATTATTGTGCAAATATTATTTATCATTTTTATTTGATGTGTATTGTATACCCAAACCAAAAAGAAAAAAATTCCAGCCCTATATCTTACTCCCACCACAGCCACCACCATCCAAACACGCACATATTAATGCAAGAGAGTTTATAAAAACAACAAAAATAAAAAAAAAGGAAAAAAAGCAATAAATTTGTCATCAAATCGAATTAAAAATGAATCATCGACCTAGTTTTTTTTATCATAATAATAATATTATTATTATTAGAGAGAATTGTATTCTTTTCATCTCTCTATGTCTGTATGTATGTATGTGGTGAATGATTATCATAAACAACAAACTATAGAATCATGGATCATTCGAAGAAGATAAAAGAATTCGGTCAATTTTTTTTCATTTCATTGAATACTTTTTGTTTGACCGAATGTTCATTCATTCATTGAATCCTTTTGGATTATCATTAAAATTATTTTCAATATTTAAAAACCTTTCATTATTCATTCTCACATGTTTATGCTGATATGGAAAAAAAACGACAGTTGCCTGTTTTGGAAAGTCGGGAAAAAAATCTGTTTCATAATAACGTTCCACAGTATGGAGAATAACCATGTCGATAATAATAACAATTAAAGTGTAGAAAGTGTTTGACGACAGCCCTATAGTTTGGTTATCCTTGATTTTTTTTCTTTGAATTCGAAACAATTTTTCCGGGACCCGATTTTTTTCCCATCTTAAATCTTATAGCATTGATTCGATTTGACATTGAAGATGATGATTATCGGAAATTGAAATTATTATCCCTGTCAGAATAGATTCTTTCAGTATTTATTTGTTATGTAGAGGTTGTGTTTGTCGGTTGTAGATTTAGCGCCTGACAAACAAAAAAATAAATTTTGGATCAATTTGATATATCATCTATCGAGAGAACCACGGCGCACATTCATATGGACAGCGATGACAACAACAACACAAACAATGATTTCAACATTATCAAGGTATATCCATGTCTCTTATTTAACTTTCAAAGAATCATCTCATCGACGCTTCAATGCGGCGTTCTATTTTGTCATTGTAAAGAATCATTCAGATATAGTTGATATTTATGAAAAAAATGCATACATTTTTTTTGAATATTGTGGTAAAAACGGGGCAGCACTCTGTCTCTCTAGTTAGTCAAGAATAATCAGATATGTGCGCGCCAAACAATTGTCTCATTTAAATGATCGACATCGACCGGTTGGTTTCGACATATTTTTCGTTTTTAAATTTTTCTGTCGATAAAAATTTCACCAATGAAGGCCTTAGAAATATTTTTATTTTTTCTTAAATGGATTATATATTATAACGTGATTTATTCACTTTAAATCAAAAAAAAAGTTCTTAAGTGATAATTAGTATCACTGTAAATCATTTTGTGGCCATATCTTTTGAAATGTGATATCAATTATTCTTAGTCATTTTTTTCGATTCGAAAAAAAAATAAAAAAAATGTGAGCAAAAAAAATAAAAACAATGTCTTCAATAATTCGTGAACGACATCAACCAATTAGTGCCCAATCATCAGCATCATCTTCGATTGATGGTGGCTATTCCTCAACAACACCATCATCATATCCTCATACTGATCATAATAATAACCAACACCAACAACAAAATTCTTCATTATCATCATCATCATCATCATCAACATCATCAGCATGTGATCAGCAACAATATTGCCATTTATTTTCTGAAACGAATCATAATCGACGTCGTCATCATCATCATCATTTTCATCATCATCATCATCACCCACATTCTGGATTAATTGGTCATATTGGATTCGGTATGGCTGGCATCGATAGTGGCAATAATCATGGTATTGGTGATTGTAATCCTAATCCAAGAAATTATTGCAAACTCTTATTCAAAATAACAATTGTATTGTTGAGTTTTGCCGGTTTTCTATATCAAGCAACAGATATTTGTGCACATTATTTTAGCTATCGTACGGTTGTCTATACAAATACCGAACAGGATTCATTAGTTGATTTACCATCTATTACATTTTGCTTGCCCACATATTTTACCAAACAATCATTAGAACAATTATATTCACCATACATTAAACGTAATTTAGAGGAAATGTCTGCTTTTAAAAATCAATCGATGCTGGATGCAATCAAACCGGTCATCTATGAAACATTTCAGGTAATTTTTATATTGATCATCACTCAAATAATCGATTTGTACAATGATAATTATCATTATAGAAACAAGCATTCAAAGATCTTAGTGCAGCTCAAATTCTTGATGGTTCGATTTCGGATGATGGCATTATTGAATGTCGATTATTTTATCCACCGCAACATTGGCCCAATTTGACCAGAGAACGAATGTATGAAATCGTACAATATGGTCTGCCATGTGAAGAGGTGACTCAAGTCATTTCATCCATTAATGCCAATGGAAAATGTTTTACATTTTTTAGTCAATTGCTCACTGATAATGATTCATTGAAAGCATATCATACTCAAAGCGCTAGCGATTCTCAAGTGCTCGAATATCAACAATATCCACAGATGACTAGTTTTGCATCATCATCGGCATCTTCAGCATCGACACGCTCAACCGGTCCGGTTGCACCACCCATCGTTCAACATTCTCGTTATGTACCCGTTTCGCATAAAATTTCCGTCAATCACGGTTATCGTTTTCATTCAGGTAATTTGATTAATCCTGTAATTTAGAATTAGAATATTGTTAAAAAATAATTGATTATGGACTATTTGTAATTTTAATTTCAATTTATTTTATACAAATAAAAGGTCGTTTTATTCGTCTTCAAATACAATTTAATCGCAATCAATATACTGTGATTTCGGATGGACATCAACGTGAATGTATACAAGTACATCCTCCTTTCAAAATACCTTCGGAAGCTTGTATACATTCGATTAATCCTGGAATGAGTTATGATTTTGTATTAACTAAAACAAAAGCCATATTACAACCACCACCATATCAAACAAATTGTCAATCATATCAGGCAGTTACACAAGCGGAAAGTGAACTTCTCGCATCAAGCAGTGATCCAAGCGAATTGAAAGAATTTTATCTTAAACCAATGTCAAGATCGGATTGTATTGATAAATGTATGATACATATCTATGAAAAATATTGTGGCTGTTTGCCCATACATATAAGCATATGGCAACGAAGTTCATTATTTTTAAACATGTCCGTTTGTGATTATGAAGATTTCGAACGTATAGCACCATGTTTAGAGAAAGAATTGAGCAGCACCTGCTATGATACATGTAAATCCGATTGTATCGATAGGTAAGACAAAAAATAAATTCGATTGTAACTATTGAAATCGATAACACTGATATTTAATTATATTTATTAGACATTATCATTTGCATGTGGAATCTAGAGTCTATCCATCGGATGAACAAATTAAACAGGCAACTGGTGTTGAACGTATACGTTTGAAACGTCTTAGACAGAGTGCAGCTACAATCAGTATATGGAGTAATTATCTAAGCGATATTACCTATGTTCATACGCCTGCAATGTCATTGATACAGTTAATTTGTTATCTGGGCGGTTTGGCTGGTCTATGGCTTGGCGTTTCTGTAATGACTGTTTCTGGTTGGCTAGCTCAACTTTATCCATTCATGCAGAAATGGAATTATAAACAACGTTATATTCTTTTAACTGCTCGACAGAATATGCGTTATTTTTATGATTCATTTCGTTTTCGACAAGCAGCCGAATCAAAACTACCGGATTATCACAAAACATCAATGGTTGAAGATTGTTGTTATAATCCAAATAGTAAAACATGTTGTCTACTTGATAATCATCAAAATAGTTGCTGTTCAGATGATTCTGGATGTTTTGATCTAAATGATAAGAGAATCCATCAATATCATCCCATATCACGATCATCATCAAGAATGGTAAAAGAATTGCATCATCAAAAATCATCATCATCATCTACATCAGAATCGGCAACCGATACTCCTAGCCATATCATGCATAAATCATCTTCACAAACAGAAAATGATGAATGTGAAACGGAAGCGATTCTTAGAATGGAAGAAGAGAATATATTTAATCAATCAAATCATCAATTAGACCAATCATCACCATCATCAAATAAATCATCTACACTAGATCTAAATGGTCATCAATTGCAATCATCGATAAATATTGGTAAAAATGTTTCGAATATGAATCATAATCGTGCTTTCATTAATGACAGCAATAGCAATAATGATACGGCTAGCGGAAACGATACAAATAATCGTAATCAACAGCAACATCAACAAAATTATAATCAAATTCGTTCACATCCACATACAATTGCTCGTCGTGCCGTTTATTGGTCAAATTATTCTTCAATGTCAACATCATCCGATGATTTATCATTAATTTCCTCCAGTACGAATAGCACTAATATTAGTAATTCAGGCATTAGTGTTAGTGGTAATGGTGGTGTCAATGCATCGACAATTTTACGTCGTTTATCATTAATTAACAGTCCTAATCCGGCCATCAGTAATCTGGCCAAATATTCATATCGAGTTTAGTGATCATCAAATGATCATTATTCAAACAAAAAAAAAAATCATTTTCCTTAATCAAAATTTATCGAATTTTTCAATTTGAAAAAAACAAACAGAAAAAAAGAAATTTTGAAAATAACCTGTTAATCTAGCAATGAAAAAAATAAATAACTATCATTACCTCTCTAGAAACATTCATTCAATAAATACACCCTTTTTTCTCTCCACAATGCATTTGAAATTTAGCCGATAAACATGAAAAACCAAACAAAAAAAAGAAAGAAAAAAAGTTAATCTTTTAGCCGAACATATTTTAAATGCAATTGTATTATTGATTTTTTTCTATAAAAATTTTATCTTCTTCTTCGATGTTTATGATGTCTATGACTAAGATAAACATAAAGAGATACATATTTATATATTTTGGATGAATTCTATTATATTCTATTTACACAGTCACACAAAGATTCTATTATATTCTATTTACAAGAATGAAAATCCAACACACACCGAGAGAGAGAATTATATTTGTAGAAAATATAAAAACTTGTCTTTGTGCTTTTTTTTCTATCACATTCATTTACTAATAATTTTATTATTATTTTACATAATTTTTTTTGCTTCCAGTATTGAGTGAGAAAGGTATGAGTGAGAAAATGAAATTTTTTTTTCATTTATTCAAATATTTTTCATTATGTTCAACACAGTGAAAACAATGTAAGAAGAAATTTTAGAGAGAGAGAGAGAAAAAAAAAACAAATAATCAAAATAATTTCCGGCAAAAACCATGAGTGTCTTTCTTCTGTCTGGACTATATCTTATATAATTTATTTTTATATAAATTTTAATGCAAAGAAAACACACCTAATATACACCAAAACATATATTTTAAAAAAATTGTAATGAATCTGTGATTAATTGAATATGAATTGTAAAAGTATTATTATTGAATAATTGATAAATTGTGTATTGATAAAATTCCGACGATAGGAAAAATTTTTTTAGATATATTTGTATAGAATCCATATAAAGGAATTTTATTCTCGTTAATAATATTTCCATCTACAGGAAAAAATTGTTCATTTATTCGTTCATATTTATTATTATTTTTCAAAAAAGACATTAGTTTATAATTTGGTCAATTAATGTTATTTTCAAAAACATGACGAAAAAAAATTAATGATTAATTTAATATGAATCAATGATTGTAACAGTAGAGAATATATTCTATATTGAAAAAATTTTACCTTCGATAATTTGTAATCAAAGAAAATAAAAATGACGAAAAAAATAAGCATTCATATATAAATCGATTGACGAGTAAAATGGAAAAATTCTTTGTAACTTAATGAATAATGAGATAACGCTATAACGAATTAATCAAATCGATAATATCGATGTTTTTATTTCCCCGAAACAGTTATGACCAAAAAAAGAAAGAAATAATCTTTTTTTTCATTAAACAAACTTGGAAAGGAAATCATTATCAAACATTGTTTTAAATGGTGAAATCAATTGTTTTCTTCTCTACCTGATTGAAAATATATAATGGCAATGTAAAACTTCTATTCAAATGAAAAAAAATAATGATAATAATGTCGGATTGTTTGTTGTTAGGCGTGTTTTTCTTTCAATTTCTGTTGAAACTTTTTTTTTGTTCCATATGAAACGTATCAATCAAAATAAGGCTTTGAAATTAAACTTTTATAAATCGAAACTTGCGTGACATGTTCGCTTATGTGTTATTGGTCGAATGAAAAAAAATTGGTACAAGGTAAATACCGTGGAATTGCAATGATCATTAGTAAAATAATGAAAATGAAAAATTTACAAATAATTTTAATTCTTGAATTTAATAGATTTTTTTTCAACACAAATGTAAAGAAAAGAATGAATCAATGCCATTTAAAATCATTTGAAAAACTTTAATGAGAATAAAAAATTCAAGCTCGTCGAGTTTCAGTATTATCGGAATCTTGATTAAACAATTTCACTTTCGATTTTGAATCGATTTTCATTGTCCCGATATGTAATTGAAATCCTGTGCCGGAAAAACGATTAATTCTCAAAGCATTTTGTTTTCTTGAAGGCTGTTGAAAATGACAAACTTTGGGATCTTCATCATCACCATTGGGACAATCAATTTGGGAATTACAGATTTGATTTATATCGATGCACATGCCAATAGTGCCTGCACATGAATATTTTCCTGAACCACAACGATGTCGATCATCATCGTCATGATCATGATCGTGATCATGGTCACTATGAGTCGTTGTTTCCACATTTGGATCAGTGGTACTGGTACTGGTATATTTTCCCCAATCGAATGTTGTTCGTGTTTGTCCATGATCATTGGTTCCGGTGTGCTTACCCCAATCGTATGTAGTTCGCGATGATTCATCACTACTTATAGTTGTAGATTCATTGGATGTTTCGATATGACTTGATGGCATGGCTATAGCCATGGCTATCATAGCCAACATCAATGCAAATGATTTGATCATTATTTGGTAATTTGAAGTTTGAAATAAGAATGAAAAAAAGGAGTATAACAAAATTGCAAAACTATGATTTTATATATGAGATTTGATGATGACAATTCAATTAAAATCATGAAATACTACTTACTTATCGATTATCGACACTTGAAAGATCACTTGTGATGTTTTAAACTTTGGACATCTTTCAAATTTTGAAAACAATTGAGCTATCTGATTAGAAATTTATTTTTTTGAACCGATTTTGTATGTACTATTACTATTTTATCAATATAATTAATATAATTATCGATTGCATCATGATTTTAGCTTGAATAACACTTTTATATGATTCTGGCGATTGACCAATTTTATTTTCTTATCATTGGCACTGATACGCAGATAGTTTTAAGTGGTTTGTTTCGATCAATTTAAACAAATCCAGATTGCATTTAAATCCATTAGATTCGCCCTTCTTTAAGTTCATTTAATAAGTCGATTTTACTCGATTAAATATATTTTTCTTACAGATTCAATTTTCCAATTTTTCAACAAAAAAAAATGTTTTTTTCAAAATCAATTGTTTTTGCTTTGATCGTTATGGTCGTGGCCGAATCATCCATTGTCTTTGCAGCTTCAATTGCAGAGGATTCTATGTCAAAATGTAATCAAGCCTATGCTTGTGGACGTAATTCGACTTATCAACGAATGGTCTGTATTCAAATGAAACAATTTTGCGATGGTCGACCCGATTGTCCATTGGGTGATGACGAAAAAAATCCGGTTTGTGAATCGATCAATAAAGTTCGAGAACAAATAAAACGATTACAAGGCACAGAAAATGATTTCTCCGGCACTGGTTTTATGTTTGCCGTCAATAATTTGATCATCGATGGTGGTTCAAATGTGAAGATGTTCAATCAAAATTCTGACAATAGCGTTCCGGCAGCTGAAGAAAACATAATTGTCAAACATTAATTTCAATGAATGTATTTTATTAAATTACGATAAAAAAAATATTCAAATAAAAAAACCAAATTTTTGCTATTAAAACAATCAATCAATCAATCAATCAAATTGAAAAGTTTGTCATCGATATATACTGAGTTCCCCAGAAAAACAAACAAACATACTAATTTATTGTTTGTCATTTGACAATTGTCATTTTGTTTTACCAAAAATAAATACGTTCGAATTCTATACACTAATTTTTGTTCCATTAGTCGTCGTCATCGTGTTGACACAATTTACTGCACCTAAACCTAAGAATGAGAAAAAATAATACATTTCAAATTAATACAATTGAATCGATCAATAGATCGATCGAATTCTAATGATCACTGCATGGGGCTTCTTCACTGTTGAGTGTTGTTGATCAAATCATATCGAATATGCAAACAATGAGGAGAAAAACAAAATTCTTCGGACATCAATTTTTCTGATTCATTTTGGATTTTGTTTATGACTATTATTGCTGTTGTATTGACTAATGATTTTTTTTGTGAAGCTTGATTGATTCCTGATTACATCAACCTATTTTTGCTTTGATTCTGAAATATCGATTCAATCTATGGTTACAATGATTACTTATTTATACAGCTTGTTCGATATATTCACCTGTTGATTTATTTTATATATAAAACATCAAGTTTAATGTGCAAATTTTGACAAACGCCAACAACATCGAATGAATTTTTTAAAATTCAAAGTGATTGAAATAAAAACTTCAAAATGAATCCATGTTTTTCAATCTTGTTTTTTATAACAATTTCAAATTTGTTTGTCATGATTTTTTCTGCACAAAATATTGATATAGCTTCAACAAGGCAATTTCTATCTAGCGATAATACGGCCAAAATTGAAGAGATGCAGCAAAATGGTTCAAAATTGCGGAAACGAATCTGTGAATTAGATGAGAATGAAGCTCGTACATTCAATGACAAGATGAACGAATGTAATCGCTTGAATTACGTATATCAGATCGAAGAATTATTCAAACGATGTCGAGAATTAAAATCTGAAGCACTTAATTATTTGGAATTCGAACGTCAAGAATGTCTATATGAAGAATGTCATCTTAAGGTTATGGAGTCTAGTGAATATAAAAGAATCATGGCAGATTGGGAAAAATTATCACCTATGGAACGATTGAATCGAGATCATCAACGTTTTGTAAGTTTAAATATGCTATAATTTATATAATTTAATAAATTTTTACATTTAAATAGAAATGTGCTGTGGAAGCGCTAGAAATCAACTCGTCATAAACAATACAGAAACATCAACATTCAATTTTAATATTTCTTCTTGGTACAAAAAATCAAATCTAAATGTAACTTTTATTCATGTCATTCAATTCACGATGAAAACAATAAATATTCATTTATAATGTAAATGATCGACACATCAAAATCAAAATTATTCATTTTGTAAGATCCTGATCTTTTAAGTAACAATGAGTACAATGAGTCGATTTCTCGTTCATTAATAATATGTGGATTACAATTTTGCAAATACGTATCAATGACATCACAGATTAGTTCTCTTTGGATCGGTTCATTCCAAAATTTAAATAATATATCAAACAGATATGCAGTAATTAAAGAAAAATGCTTCCCAGTCCATTTAGATTTTTGTTTGCGAAATAATTCTGGCACAGATTTTAATAATTTTAACTGATAATTGATGGCAGCAGCTGACGATTCATGATCGAAATAAGCCAATAGATAAGCGAATAATCGTTCCGATTCGATTAAATTAAATTTGTGTAAATTATTTAGAAGATTTCTTAAATTATTCATCTGTATGAGATCACATTTATCGATGATTATTTGTAATAATAACTTGTCAATAATGCTAAGATTTAATTCATGCTCATCTTCATTGCTGGAAAACGAAATGATATCTGTAACATTCCCAGATGACGCATTCAAGATGTCGACCAATTGGTTGCCGAATAAATGGGCCATATATCTATGGAGGAGATTCGAATGATGCATCACTATTTGATTCATTAGATGATTCAGGGAATGTTCTGGATCGATAAAAGTTCCTAATTTTGAAATTGAAAAGAATTAAAAACATTGAATACTATGATAATATACTGACCATATAAAATTCGAAATGTAGTTTGATGTACGATAGTGTTTGACCAAAAATTTTCAGAATCAAATTTAACCTTCAAATCTAAAAATTGCTTATCAATTAAGATATATGACGATGATTTGGAACGGATAAACGAAAACGATTTTAATGAAAAACAATTGATTCTTTGACTAAATAATCTTCTCATTAGTGAAACATTATTTAAATTACGATAAACCAATACGATGAAAGATAACTCGAATAATTTTTGATAAAGCCTTGGATAAGAACGCAACTCATCTGATGTTAATATTAGAAAGATAAGGTCATAATTCTCTATTGCTTGATTAGCTCGTATCCAACGTGTCCAAAAGTAATTCGATTGTGCTTTCGTCAAATATTCGAAAGGATTTTCTATCGAAATCTCTAAATTTTTATGGATAAAATCAAATAAAGCAACCTTGTGATATTGATGGATATTTTTTATCATAAATTCAAAAGACCAAATAGAAAAATTATCAACCCATTCAGCATGCTTGTTTAAATCAATTTCGTTTGAATGATTACAATTATCTTGTCCATCAGTGGCAATGAAAAAAACTTTTTCAATCAGTTGACATCGATTCGAAATGTAATTGCTGATTGAAGTGAACATCTTTGTTTTCGAAATGAAAAACGAATCTGACGCATAAATGTAATCCGTATAACATTCGCGTATTGAAATCCATAATGTTCGAAAAAATTCTTCTGATTCATCATCCATTGTTAAAGATAGCTGTNATCTATGGAGGAGATTCGAATGATGCATCACTATTTGATTCATTAGATGATTCAGGGAATGTTCTGGATCGATAAAAGTTCCTAATTTTGAAATTGAAAAGAATTAAAAACATTGAATACTATGATAATATACTGACCATATAAAATTTGAAATGTAGTTTGATGTACGATAGTATTTGACCAAAAATATTCAGAATCAAATTTAACCTTCAAATCTAAAAATTGCTTATCAATTAAGAGATATGACGATGATTTGGAATGGATAAACGAAAACGATTTCAATGAAAAACGATTGATTCTTTGACTAAATAATCTTCTCATTAGTGAAACATTCTCTACATTACGATAAACCAATACGATGAACGATAACTCGAATAATTTTTGATGAAGCCTTGGATAAGATCGCAACTCATCTGATGTTATTATTAAAAAGATAAGGTCATAATTCTCTATTGCTTGATTAGCTCGTATCCAACGTGTCCAGAAGTAATTCGATTGGGCTTTCGTCAAATATTCGATAGGATTTTCCATCGTAATCTCTAAATTTTTATGGATAAAATCAAATAAAGCAATCTTGTGATATTGATGGATATTTTTTATCATAAATTCGAAAGACCAAATAGAAAAATTATCAACCCATTCATCATGCTTGTTTAAATCAATTTTGTTTGAATGATTACAATTATCTTGTCCATCAGTTGCAATGAAAAAAACTTTTTCAATCAGTTGACATCGATTCGAAACGTAATTGCTGATTGAAGTGAACATCTTTGTTTTCGAAATGAAAAACGAATCTGAAGCATAAATGTAATCCGTATAACATTCGCGTATTGAAATCCATAATGTTCGAAAAAATTCTTCAGATTCATCATCCATTGTTAAAGATAGCTGTAGTTGATAACATTGTTTAAAATGTAAAGCATATATAGTTAATTGTAAATCATTACAAATCTTGACGAATAAATCCGTATCAATAGAAAATTTACAACAATCAAATAGTTCAAATACAGGTGAAAAATATTGCTTAACTTCTTCATGATCAATGTCTTCGGTCTTTGTATTGAAGAAAACTGTACAAACACAAAATAAACTTTGAAACAAATCTTATAAAAATTTATAATTATCACTTACTTTGAGATAGGAAAATATGTGTCAACTTATAATCAATAAGGACGAAATTGAAGGAACAATCGGGTGAAATTTGTAATGAATTTTTCACTATATTTGTTCGCAATAATTTCAAATGTTGGATAAAATTCGTATATTCATCGTTGATGATTGGCGATTGATATGTAGAAAAAATGGTAGCCAATCTTGGCTTATCGATTGGGTCGAATTCAAATTGTTGATTCATTTCATTTCTATAGCGTCAAAATTCGTATCAAAAATTCGAACGTATTCGATGATAACATGTGACCAATAAATGGTCAACTACTAACATTAACGATAGATGGTGCACTTATAGGATTAAATTAAATTTGATTTTAAAAATCAAATTTAATTTTTTTTAAATTATTTATTTAGAAAAACTTTGATTCTAGTTTATTCGAATCAATGTCGACCGGATCTTTTAATTTTGCTGAGCTATTTTTGCTCATAATATTCATCATTGCCTGGATTTTATCAATTACAATGTTAGCATTCAATGGTATCATTTCGTATGGAATAACCAAAGAACATAAAACATTTATCAAACAAGCATCTAAAGTATCACTTCGACAAACAGAGGTGCAATCTGATCGATTGCTTAATATCGGAATACCATTGGAATCTAATAAGGACGAATAGAATTAATTGAATGCTTTTCAATAATAATGTTATAAGAATTTATTATGAAATAAATTAGTTTATTGCACGAATTTTTTTATTTCTTCATCTGCTTTATCAAGAAATGGTTTCCATAATTTCAGGACATGATCGATTTCTTTTTCCAACCAATCATTTTGCCGACCATAATCGATCAACGTTAAACATTCATCGGGCACATGGTGCGGATCAATTATACTATTGCCACCGAGATATTTAGGTACATTATCACGGTCAATATAATGAAAAATATCATCACCATTACAAAATTTGAACTTTTTTTCTAAATCAGCCGGTAGAAGCTTTTTCATTTGATTCCAAATGGATGTTACAAGCCAAGAAAAATCATAAAGCATTATATAATTTAAACCGGTCGGACAGCAATCGATTAGATTAGTGATACCCCATAAAATGTATTCAATATCCAAATTCATAAGACCAATTGATTTTAGATCAACAATAATGGCCATACCACGTCCTTTGGTTTTTTTATCCATTATTTCCATTTGATAACAAACAAATTGTTTAATTTTTCGATCAAGTTTTTTGATTTTACGATAGAAACGAGGACGCATAAAAACTACTCCATTTCCTTGCCGATCGTGACCACCGTTGAAAGCATATCCAATTTTGAACAATTCTCTGGGAAAACATACACTTTCTAATACGGGCATATCAATTTCACGACGAAATTTGAGCACATTATCTAATAGCTGAAAACTTTTGTCCACCGTTTTTCCTCGTTGAATATACCGTTCCACAGTCCAGTTGTCATTTTGTAGATATTCAATATCTTTTTCGTGATAAAGTTCGTTATTACTTTCATATTTTTGCATTATGATTGAACGAACTTGTTGAATTTTATGTTCCATATTTTCAGATGAAAATGATGCCATGTTTTATTGTTTGTCTTATCAATTTCTATTCACTTTTAGAAAGCAGAGCCTAGCTGCAGTCTCCTAGATGAAAAGTATGGTGTGACAAAAAATATTTAAACAGACCAAAAAAATGGGCTCACAAAAACAATTATCAAAAAATCAATGATTGTCAAATGAAATCACAATTCATCCTTCAATTAGAATTTATACAGATTTCTCGTCATTCGATCAAATTGCATGTTGGACGATTTTCTTTTGGTTTTTCGCAATGAATTTATCAAAAAAAAGTGTACACATTTTTAACAATTCAAATCATCGAATTTAATCAATTGCTAATCGGAATGTTTGATTGTGAGCAAATATTTATCATAATAAACAAAGATTTCGATATGATTTTGTATATCGTTATCATTATCATTGAACATTGAAATATCAAAAACATAAAAAAAACTTTAACTATCATTTCTTTTTCTTTTTCATTGATCCAATAATTTCATTTCATCTTCGCATTTTTCCAGATATGGTTTCCACATCTTTTCAATCTTATCGATTTGTTTTTGCGACCAACCTTTTTGCTGACCGAATTCGGCTAAAGGTAGACAAATTTTCGGCACTTGATAATGATTTAATCGACATTCACCACCAAGAAATTTTGGCAAATTTTCCTTATCAACATAATCGAATATTTCATCACCATTACAGAATTTCATTAAATGTGCTAAATCTTTTGGCATCAATGATTTAACAATATTCCAAACAGTACTCATCATTCGAGGTAGATTATATAGTAATATATAATTGATACTGACTGGACAACAATTTCCAAACGCTTTCATACCCCATCTTGAATAATCCATATCAGTATTTTCCAAACCGACATTATTCAGATCGACAATTATTGCCATACCTTGTCTGTTGGATTTTCGATCAACTTTATCCATTTGATAGATGAGAAATTGTCGCCAAATCATATCCAATTCTTTGATTTTACGATAAAATTGATGACGTATGTACATAACATCATTACCTTGTTTATCTTTTTTGTAATCAAAAACTATTCCCATTTTAAAATATTCAGCAGGAAAATTCGCATCACTTAAATGTGATAAGTTATGTTTATTACAAAATTTCAATGTATTGATCAACATTTCAGCACCATCTTTTATATTTTTTCGCCGTTCCAAGTATTTTTGAATGATACAATCATTTAGTTCCATTGATTCAACGAGATCATCATCAATAAATTCTTTTTCACTTTCATAGGCTTCCAGAACCAACGAACGAAATTCATCAATTTTTGATTGTTCACTCATTGTTTAATTGATAATTAAATGAAAAAAATTGTCAATCGAATAACACTGATGAATGAATGATGAAACAAATAAAAGAAATGAAAAACAAAAATCTTGAGACAAATCAACCGACTAAATATATTTCGAGGTAACTGCTAAAAAAATGACATGCACATTTTCAACATTTACTTTAACAATACTCATCCAATATTATTATCATCATCATCATTAATTTTGGCAACAAGTTTTTCAATGATATTGAATGATGTACAAACTGTTACGATTTGGTTATCAGTGTAAATTATAGATAAATATCTGAATGCTTTTTTTGTTCTGTTCACGTTTAATAATCTTGCGATATTCACTATAATATTAGGAAAATTATGAACACGTTAACTATGAATGTTGTTCGATAAAAAAAAATTCGTTTTACGTCATAATATTCTAATTATAAATGTTATTTTTTCTCTTTTCATTGCAAAATATGATTAAAGAAATAAGTTACTCATTATACTTTAAGAATTTTTTCGATTTTTTTTTTGTTTTCCAAAAAATTTTTTGATAAAATAAAAATCAATTAATTGTCATGGTAGCCGATTTCCATTTGTTATGTTTAAAATTGCTTTTAAAACAGAAAAAAAGATAACGCACAGGAATGAGGATCAATGATCACTTGATTTTGCGCTCCAGATGATTATTGATTGGTTGTAGGATGAATATATAAAAAAAGATGGATTAGAAGGATGTATGGATTAAGTGTTTGATTCAGACATAAAAAAATATTATGATAATTGATTGATGGCTGTAGACATTTTGCGTTGTGGAACGATCATTCAAAGTAATTGAATCAATAGTAATTAGATATTGGTAATCGAATATCGACAATTGGCATTGTTATATTTCTTTTATATACTTGGACCATTTACAGGCAGTGTGAATAATTGATTCAAGTCAAATTTGCTCAAAAAATCCTATCACCATTATCCTCTACTATTCATCATCTACGTACAACATTGTATTAAACTAACATCTTATTTATTGTCATAAATTTTATTAATCTATAATCAATGATCATATAATTTCGAAATATAATTCTTCATCATAATTAAAAATGAATCCAAAATTGTCAATTTGTTCGATTCTTCTATCTTTAACTACATTCATTTCAATTAACAATGCTAAATATCATCCATATAATGGTAAAATTGGTATCGAATGCCAAACTGAAGATGGAATCATCTTTTTGCGTATTGATGAAATGATAATTGATGACAAAAAACTTGATTGGAAACAATTAGATTATAATGCATCATCTTGTACATCATCGGAAAAAATTATTGAAAATAAAACACCAACAAATATCGAAAAATTGGAATTGAAATTTGAAACTGATATTGGAATGGATTTTGAATTCTTGAAGATTAAAAATAATACATATGAAATGAAAAAAATTACAATCATATTGAATGAAACATTGTATGAAAAAGATGAATTTGATTTACGATATAATCATAAATTTAAAATCGACACACAGGGCTATCATTGTGATGATCTTATCAACTATTTAAAAATCAATAAAACCGTTCCTAATGTTAAGGATGAAATAAGTGTACAATTTAAACAATTTCAATTTGCTGCCTATCTTAGCCACGAAAATATTACAAATATTGCATTCAAAGAATGTAATCCATTACCTGGTAATCAACTAGTACCTATTCTGGTCGGCAGTGGTCTATTAGTTTTAATGGGTGTATGTTTGACCATCTATATTTTTATGCGATCACGATAACCATGAAAAAAATATACTGAATTGGATTGAATTTGTGGCAAAATAAAACAAAAATTAAATTAAATTATTTAAATGTATTTGAATTCATTGTTTTTCATTTTAAACTAAATATTAACAATAATAAATTATCATTATTATCAATTGAAACCGGATATTTCTTCATATTGAAAAAGTTTAGCTATGTAATTGTTATAATTGAGATTTTTTTTTGTTCCTTCCTTTCAAATCACACTTGTATATAATCATTTTGTCCTGTTTCCAAGTGTGTCATTATGTGAATGTGAATCAAACGCATTAGAAGTTGATCTTTATCAATGAAAAAAAACAAAATTTTTTTATAATCGCAAATTTCGAGTGATGGGAGATAAATCAATAATCATATGATTATATTTCTTTTAAAAGATAAAAAACACCTGTTGATTCATTTAATTTTGAAAAATATTAGTTTTTAAATGATATCCCCCTCGATAATCACCGGATTGATTTTTTTCCATCAAAATTGTCATAATTATTGTGATAATTTTCAAGAAATCCAATTCGATAACCATTTATAAATAACAATGATAGATGGCATAATAATAGCTAGATATGTGCTAGCTGAAAATAAAAGACAAAAACAAATCATGAACTATTTGGAATAAGGAAAAAATTGAATATTCAAGGTTAATTTGAATTAGAATTCATTTAGTAGAATTTATTATTTGAAAAATTAAAAAAGAAAACCTAATCATCAAAACCAATTACCGACTGATTGATGAGACCATTTGATTTTTTTTACAGAACAAAACAAACAACAAACGTTAATGACCAGGAAAAAATGATAAAATTTCCTTGTTTGATTGATGAATTGCTAAATTGATTTCACTTTTTTGCCACAGATTTTTTGTGCAATTTTAAGAAAAAAAAGGAAAATGAAAAAAATATTCAATTTAAAATCTTTTTTATTATTTTAAAAAATTATTTTCATAGATCATTTGATAAAATCGTATCAAATCAATGGAATTCAATTTTCTGATAGTAAAATTTTACTCTCTTCATCTGCTTCATCCAATAATGGCTGAAATTGTTTAAGATATTTATTAATTTCTTTTGGTGTTTTTCCACGTTCTTGCCCGATTTCCATCGATGTTCGACTATTTTTCGGCACATGATGATAATTTATTCGACAAGTACCGCCCAAATACATTGGTAAATTTTCACGATTAATATAATCGAAAATTTCATCTTCTTTACAAAATTTAATTTTGTTTCGTGTTTCGGTTGGTAGCCAACCTTTGATTACATTCCATGCCGATTGAAATAACCATGGTAATTCATAAACTAATATGTAGTTAATACCGATAGGATAATAATTGAGCAATGATGAGACCAAAAACCAGATCATGTCCATATCTAAATTAGCTAAGCCGGTTCCTTTCAAATCGAAAACAATAGCCATACCATTACCATTGGTTATTCGATCCATTTTTTCCACTTGATAAAGAATGAATTGTTTGAAATCATGTTCTAATTCTTTAACTTTACGATGAAGTCGAACACGAAAATAGATCATGCCATTTCCTTGTTTATCATTGCAATAGCAAAATATTGTACCAATTTTATGAAATTCTTCAGGAAAATCATCATCCTTTAATCGAGGCATTGCCATTTCATGACGAAATTTAAGAGTATTATCCAACATTTCTTTCGATTCTTTTAGTGTTTTTCGACGACGAATAAATCTTTCAACAGTCCAATCATCATTACGAATACGTTCCATATCGCTTTCATCATATAATTCTTTATTTTTTTCATATTGTTCTTCAATATATTGACGAACTTCTTTGATTTTTTCATCAAGATTTTCTATCACAGCCAATTGATTTCTAGTAGCTTCGGTTGCCATTTTGTTTTGAATGAATCACAATATAGAATATGGACAAACTAAATAAATCAATAATGAAAAAATAAAAAAAAATGTCAAAGTTTTAATTTATTTATATAGAGGAATTTCAATATTTGAAAAAATAAATTTTATCACTAATGAAAACAAAAACAAATTTTTCGAATTGAATTTGATTGATTTTGTTGTTGTTGTTGTTATGACAAATCTATTTTGATATAGCTTGTTTGAAATATTTTAAAAATTATAAATTGATGATCATGATCAAATTTATTGACTGGCGGTAATTTTTTCAGTAGGCGAACATCACACAAACACACAAACACACGACAAAGACAAATGGAAAATTTAATTTACGTATTACATTATTCGAACGTCATCATTGATTGATAATTTTTTTTCCCAATCGATTCATGGTTATGACAAAGACTATCAACATTTGAACACAAACACACACAACAACAATTTAAAGGAAACCACCACTGTAATGTGTAAAATATTCGGATTATTAAAACAAATAAAGTGATACAATTATTGATTGCAAGTTACAATCATGAACAATAATATTAATTTTATTTATACCTATTCAAAAACGTATCAAATTTCCACAATTTTTCTTTTTCTTTTCACAACGTATTAAAATTTTTAAATGTTCACCATTTAATTTTGAAAAAATGAGAATAAGAAAAACAAAATAATTAATAAAAAAAACCGATTCAACAGAATTCAATATATGATAATGATGATGATTAGTAATGTTAACAAAATACTTTGTCAATGAAAGTAAATGAAATAATTTTTTCCAACCAATAAAGAAAAAAGGGAAATTATTCTTTTGTTTGTCGGTACGTTTCAAATATATTATAATGTCGACAGAATTGTCGTAATCAAAATTCAATCAAATTTTATTTGAAAGTCAAGGAAATTGTTATTTTATTTTATTTTGTACATCAAACGTAGTTAATTGACAAATATTATTGTTTCTAGAGGAAAACCTGTTGAATTCAATAGTTGATTGCATCAATAAATGAAAAAATAACGACAAAACAAACAAATGAATAAAAAGAAACAAAAAACAGAATATAAAAGGAGCATATAATAATCGATTATTGATGATTTCAAGTTTTTTTTTGTTTAAAAATATGTATACAAAGACACTTGGATCAATAAAATAATGAGAATGATTTTGAAGGTCAAACACAATAAAATGATTATTGGCAATCAAATCAAATCATTTGAATTATTTCACATTGAATGTTCATGACGAATCTCAATCAATTAATCAATGTTAGAATTTGGTTATTTTTTCATTCACTTATATTATTAGAAAATTTTGTATGATAGATATGAAAACGAAAACAACTTGTCTTATGATTTTTGATATAAGACAAAAAAAATACAATATAAGAAAAAAGTGAAAATATTTATGGTACAAAAACTGACAAATAGATAAACAAACGAGAAAAAGAGGGAGAGGGAGATAGAGAAAGAGGGAAAAAAAGAAATTGAACTTTTAGATATGAATAAAACATGACAAAATTTCTGGATCGGTGAACCTGATTTGAATAGAATAATTGACAATTGATTTGACAGCTGAATTTCTCTTTGTTGATGAAGAAAAAAAAATCAGCACATTTTTGTTTTGTTTCATCACATTACATTAATTTTTGTTTTTTCTTGCAATTATTTCGCAAATATCATTCATTTAAAATATTCGATTTGTCCTTTTTTTCTGATCAATTTGTTTTCATTATCATTTTTACTAAAGTTATTTTTTAAAAATGATCGTTATGCATCAGTGAATTTTTTTTCTTTCATAACAATTTTCAACAATCAATATAATTCGCAATAATGATTAAAACAATAAATTAGACTAAAAATTTTAACTATGAATTATTTTTTATAAATGTTAGATATGAGGCGACAACAACGACAACTCTTTGATAATGCAAAACAGGATTCGAAGTCTATCACACCAATCAAAATACTGAGAGGCGAATTAAGCGGTGGGAGTTAATTCTGAATAAAATAAACCCATAATTATAATTAATTTTATTTTCAACAACGTTTTAGCAGTGTTATGATCAAATTTTTTTTCTTTCATTTATCTATGGGCAAAGTGTTCGATGATGATTCATTTAAATGCATTAAATAGACGATTATAGCTTTTTGTTTAGCTTATTGGTAACTGTTTCCGTTGAAAATCTATAAAGAAAAAATTTAGGATTACGACATTGAATGAAAATGATGTTTTTTTTGTTTTTTGCTCTTACTTTTGTACTTTTTTCTTAACATTATTATTTTGTTTATTACTGAATTCAATTAATTGATCAATGGCTTTTGATCCAATCTGATCTATACTATTCTTTTCAATCCATTGATAAAGTGGTAATAGATAACGTTCCATAATTATTCTTGAGCCATTGAAATAATTAGAATAACACCAATAACCGAATATTAATTGTATGAAAGAAATAAACGGAATTGAATTAATTATGTTATGTGCATAATGTTCGATTGGCATAATACAAGCAAATACTGTCCAATAGTTAAGCCAATGAATTAATTCGGATTTATTTGCATTGGTATGAATAACACGTATTGTTTGATAAGTTGGATAAAGATAGAAAATAATATATTTTAATAGAATACAAAAATATGATGTTGCCATTGTCCAAAATATAAAAACAACGAATGCCTGTATAATATATCGTTGTGGAATATTCAGACATTGTTCAAGGTTCGTTACAGTTTGTTGTAGCCATGGAATACGCGGCACTAGGCCGAATTGAATGAAATCTAAGAATTTATAATAGGTTTCCATTTTATTTATTGATTTAAACTATTTTCGAAAAAAACAACCGTTAAAAACGGATAAAATTTAAATGATTTAGCTTTATATACATGAGAAAAACAATAACAAAAAGTGACAACAATTAAAATACCCCCACAAGAAAACCGAAGAAAATAAATTGAATTTAACATTAAAAATTAACAATAAGAAAAATCAGCTACATTTTATACACACAAGAAAAAGAACAGGCTCAAATGACTCGTAATTAATAAGATTCAAAAATTTCGAAAAAAATTTTCTTTACAAATTGAATTGATAGTTATTATTTTTTGAATCCAGTTTTACCCACCCACGGATATTGTTTTGGACATTTTTGACAAGTTTTTAAATATCGTGGTCCATCACGATGTGAAGTAGAACAAATCTTTGGCCGATTACAAGCTGGACGATCACTATAATCACATTGGAATGGTTGAAATGATTTAAGCCTTGATAATGGTGTTGGCTGCATCATCCATTGTAATAGTTGCCATTTTGTGACGAAATATACATCTTTATTTTTTAAAATATGATCAATGAATCGTAGGAATCCATTTTTATGATGTGCCGTATTAAACCATGCCGAATGAAAATATAATCCAAATGGTGCTTTGTTCGAATGATAATGACGATTGAAATTTTTTAATAAATTTTCAAATACACCATCTTCGGTGGATGGATGTGAACATGCATCGACCATTGAACAACGGCCACCACGATGATCAATCAACATGACCATACCGACTTCCCAAAGTCCTATTGACATGAATGAAAGTTTTTTTCAATCAATTAAAAAAAAGAAAGTTATGATTTATGAAATACATGAAAAACAATCGAATAGTTCATGTACATGACGACACTTACCAGGAAATGATTTACTAGGGCAAGGCGTAATCATACAATCATGACTCATTGCATAATCAAATGTGTATGGCCAATATGGAGGATTATTTTCGAAAACCGGTAGCGAAGAATCATAAGTAAAATTTGCATCATAAAGCATTTCGTATTGTCGATTACCACCGGGTTGTAAAAATGGTGCTCTCATTCCTCTCACATCTTCATATTTAACACCACCATATAGAGATAATATTTCACGTTGACCATTTACTTCATTGAGCCATTTTTCTTTAGAAAACTTATCACCAAAGCTATGACTATAAAACCAATAAAAAAGTTTTGATTGAATGAAATTACAATGAAATTCAATAAACTTACGTAATTGTATGCGAAGCCATTTCATGTCCAATCGAATAAAGATTTTGAACCTGACTATAATCAGTCCATTCATGTGAAACATAAAATGTACCAAGTATTGGACATCCGTTAGGATTGAATCGATTGGAAAAAATTTCCTGATATAATTCCCAATTAAGTTCATTGATAGAATCATCAAATGTAATCATAACTAATTGTGCAATATCTTTTGATTTCAAACCGTCTGGTATTGTTGATGAACCACAACGACAATAAGGTAAATGACATTGTTGTTCCGTACAACGTTCTGCATTAGTTTTTCCTGATCTTTCTTTCGTCATAACCATTTTAGTTTGTGAGTTTTTTAAATTACTCGATGATGGCGTACGTAATTTATTTGTCATTTGACGTCGAGATGGTGCCCGTGTTGTTGTTGTTGAAACAAAAGTGTGAGAAGAAGTAACGCCATAGTTGTTATAAAAATGATCATCGTATAAATCGTAATCATAATTTGGCAAAGGATGTCGATGATCGTTGTTATTGTTAATTGCAGTTCTGGAAAATGAAGTTATTGAAATCGGTGCTGGTGTTGTTGATTTTGTTGTCGCCATTTTCGTCGTTGTTGTTAATGTGGAAGTTGGATTTGTCAACAATGGAGTGGAAATAAATTGTCGTTGCAAAACAATAGCACTGTTTGTATTTGACCTTTTTGGTGCCGACATCACCGGCCTTGCACCATTAAATAAATCGGATGGTTTATTTTGTGGATTTTGATTATGTTGATGATTATGAAATGTCATTAAATCAACAGGTGTATTTGTCCTTGGAATGATGAATGTTGAAAAATTTTTCGGTGAATTTGTTGAAAAAGATTTAAAAATTGGTTGATTTTCGTTCAATGTAAATGAATGTAGTTGTTCTGGTTCCGAAGGTCCAAATGATTTAATCTTATATCGACTTGTTAGATTGATTGGAGCACTATATGACCAATGATAAGATGATGGTTTAGGTGCTGGCCGCCCAAAACTAGCCGAGTGAACACGGAAATTCGGTGGACTTTGAAACGTTGACGAAATATTCGATGGAAGAAAATTCGGTAATGATCGTCGAAGATGTTTGGCAGCTGTGTCTGATTTAGGTATATCTGAAAATGAGTGAAAACATAAAAATTCACATATCTTTTGAAAAATTTAAATCAAAATCAATTATTACCATTACGAAGAATGTCAAAATCTTCATTTTCAGCAAATAATGGTCGAACTGCAACGGTTAATTGACTATGATCCATTGCAATTGATGGCGTCATATTTACAGATTTCGGACGTGGATCTCGAATTTCATTATTTTCATTTGGTATAACAATAACTCTATTTACTATATTGTTATTATTAAAATTGGGATTTGATTCGACAATCTTATTATGATTATTTGTTCGTTGTGCAGTTGAATAAGTAAGATTTGGCTTTAATTTCATATATTTCAATACGATTCGTTTACGTTTGGCTATAGTTCGTTGATTAAGATCTTGACGATGTTGGTGGGCGTTTGATGGATGAGAAATTTTCATACGACTAATCTGTAACATTGAAGGACCGTAAAAATGCAAAAAAGATGGTGTTGACATTTCCGGTGATGGCATCACATATTTGGCTTTAACCATAGTGGTAGATTTTTTGTTTTTTTCTTTTCTTTCATCAACACTTTCATTGGCATTGTCATTCGAAATGATAATTGAATTACTTGTCATTCGATGATTTTGTGGTGAAATTATTTCTTGAAACGATGGTCGTTGTGATGATGATGATGATGATGTTATATTTGAATTAATTATTTGGCTAAAATGTTGGCGATGATAATGTTGTGGTCGTTTGAATTTTAATTTCCTATACGTAGGCGTTGTCAATACCACTAAATTTTCATTGTCGTTGTCGATGGCAGACGGCTGTCGACGTAATTGTAAATGTTTTGGAATTATTGATGCTGATTTTAGCTGCTGATTTCGACTATTTTGATTATCTATAATGAAACTATTTCTCGTTGACAATCGATTCGAATTATTTCTTTCTATCAATATAATTGGTTGATATTTTTGATGATTTGTTGATAATGATTCGCCTATATACCAGGTAAAAAAAATTTTAGAAACGAATATTAAAAAATTGGGATCAATCAATAAAAAAAGCAAAAAATTTATTTGTCAAGTACATATTTTTTTTCATTAAAATCTCATTGCAAATGATTCCATTAATTTCAAGGATAACGAAAAAAAAATTTGCTACGTTTAACTCACATCTCTTATTCATCAACTAACGTTTCCCACCAAGTAAAAATCCATAATTTAATAAAATGATAAAAATTTATATTTTCAAAAAGTGTTAATGAAAATTTCATAGGGCTATCTATGATTGATGTAAATTTATATCAACCAAGCAAAGAAAAATAATTCTAAGAAAGCAAAGAAATGACTGTGGTGAAAAAATTTTAGCAGTGTTGAAATTTCATTATTTTGAAGAAAAAAAAATAACAATTTAAAATAAACTATATTTTCATCCATTCATTTAAATTTATTATGTTCAAAATTCTTTTCATTATTCATTATTTCTATTTTATGAAGTTATGTTTTATTTCACAATCATATCTGACATCAAAGCATAGGCTGAGGAAAAAAACAAAACTTTTGTCTTTTATCATTTAATTTAATTTTTGCATTTTATATAGTTCAATTCATAATAATTTCTTCAAACATGATCGTTCATCAGTTAATTTAGAAGAGAAAAAAATGGCCATTTCCATGATGATAGGATTGTAAATGTGAATTTTTATCCCAGTTCTATATATTAGATTTCTTGTTTCTTGTTATATTTTGTCTTTTGAAATAATTTTGTTTATTTGATGGAATTCATTCATTAGTTATTGATGAAATTATCCATACATTGAAATATATATTTAAACCTAAGCTTATTATATTGACTATCATCATTATTGCTCTTATACATATGTAGTAGTCGATCTTGATTATTTAATTTAATGAATGATTGACGAAGAAAAGAAAACGATTGATATGCATAAACAAAAACAACGAATCAGATATAATAGACAAAAAGTCTGACATCAAACATGACATGTGTATAAATTTTGAAGCCCTAAAGGATTGAGATATTTTTTATTCTGACCACGAACTATTTCGAACAAAAAAAAAATCAAAAAATATTCATAATTATCAATGAATTGTCCAATGTTTCAATGAATTAGATGGAAATCAATGGCATTCTAATACATCAAACATGGATTTTTTCATCCAATTTTTTCAAGATAGTAAATGATAAAACAAAATTGCTTGTCATATAAATTGTCATGAATTCGAAACAAAAAAAAACAATATTTGTTCAGGCTAAAATGTCAAAATTGATGACATGATCTGTGGAAATAGCCAATCGAACTTGTCATGTAAATTTTTTTTAAGGAAGAAAAGAAAACAACAACAAAATCTCGCCATGCAGACATCTAACGACAAATATGGCAAATTGAAGATTTTGTTGCAAGAATTTTTGTTTGTTTTCGTTATTTTCAACAGCACTTAAGTTTCATTATCGGGTGTCATGTATTTAAAAAAATGATGAAGAAACATTCCCAAATTGACGCTTCCGTGTCACATCAAACAAAACGATTATGTTATGAAAGAAAAGCTCAAGTCATTCAACAACAAAAAAATAATGATTTGTTCTTCATTATCAACACGAACGGACATTGGATATTATCAATTTTTGTTGTTGTTGTTGCAACAGATATGAGTAAAAATATAAGGCAAGACCGAATCGAAAAATATCTCATTTTTCATCCAATACGATAATAATTTGTGTGAATTTTTTGTTGTTGTTCATGGTGCGATTATTGTTGAAGACAGAAAAACATTGATTTAACAAGCAATGAACAACAAAACCGATGATGATGATGAAGATTATGATAAGAAAAAAATTACAATCAAGAACAACCCAAGTTGTTTATGGTCAGTAAAATGATGTTGGATGATGATGAGATCGCACGTCAGATTTTAATTATCATTAAATGTAAAAAAATGAATCCATCCTGAATATATATGATCACACATCATCATCATATCACAATGTTTGAATCACCAAAAAATAATGACTTAAAGTAAATGAAAAAAACATTGGAAAAGAAAAAGTTTCAAACGGTGAAATCTACAATGATGAACAGCCAACCAACCAACAACAACAAAATGACAAGATAATTATGGCCACGTTTGGTGATGATGATGTTAATCATAAACAAATTATTAGACGAATGTATCGTCTTCCGATTTATTATTGATTAGATATGAATTGATTATATCATTTTTACAATGATAATAATAATATTAATATGTGATAATTCAATCAATTGAATCAATTGGTCAATACTTTTTTCCCTGTATAAATCAAATTGAATGAACAAAACTCTGACAATGATAAATTTTGCCTATAACAATGAAACACGAGTTGATTATTATGATTTTGAATGGATAATAACAATCGGGATGTGAAAGAAACAAAACAAAATGTATACTTAAAATACAATCAATTTTTTTTGGAAAAGGAAGAAATCAAATTGAAAATAACGGACAAAATATAAATATTTATTTAAAATTGAAAAAAAAACATTTTTTGTATGTCAAGATCATACGAAGAATGGTGACAAAATATATAGTTTTTTTGTGTTTAATCAATCAAAAAATAGCAACGTTTTCATTGTTCGAATTCATTTATCATACAGAATAGTGGATATTGTTTGTTTTGAAAATTGATGATGATTATTACTGATAATAATAATAAAAAAAACTGAAATTTCGTTTTTAAAAAAGAGACACCTTGAAAATTCAATCATTCTTTCTTTTGAGTGAATGAAAGCGAAAAAATTTAAAGTTTTATTGACAAGAGAAAAAATATTTTATATTAATTCGTGATCTTCATCGGGGATTAATGATACATAGGGAAGAAAAAAATCAAGATCACGACTCCCACTAATCACATCGAGATTGAACGTTTATCAATGAAAATTATTATTGTAAATTTTAATTATTCAAACTAAATTTAGTCATCATCATCATTATCAATATGGAATGAGAAATTGATTATGAAATCTTTATTAAAATCGAATGTCAATAAGGAAATCAAGGTATTTGAAAAAAATTAATTACACAATGGATTACTTGGAATCATCATCAAAATCGTATCACAAAAGAAGGAAAAAAATTTCTTGTTTCGTCTTCCTATTTTAACATAAATGGATTTTTTCATTAAATCTTTTTTTTAGTTCATTTCACCATGATTTAATGTGAAATATGGAAAAGCAAACAAACTTTTCTGGAACAGGATATCTGTATGTTAACAACAACAACAAAACCAAGATGATGCCATATAAAGTTTGAAATTAATCGATCCAAATAAACAAAAGATAGTCAAACAATGATTTGGTGATTTCGATTTCATGATGATCTTTCAGCAATGATCATGAAATAAAAATTTTATTATTTTTTTAATATTGACCTCACTATCTTTCTCTTTTTGGTGTGTCTGTGTGTGCGATATATTTTTTCTGAAAAAAAACTTGGACCGAATACAAAACAACAACAAAAATCATGCCATTTTACAATGATTCCTTCGGGGGGAAAAAACTATGATGATGATGACCTTAGTGTAATTGACATCATCTTATCATTATAATAATCATCATGATCATCGATGATTAAAATGAAAGCAAAATAATAAATAATAAAATAAAATACAACAACCTTTGAGCAACAAGGAAATTTAATAGAAAATTAATAATTGATATGTAACTTAAAACTTACCAAAAGTAAAAGGGATTATAAAAAATCCCAAAATTAAAATTAGGTTGATTTTGATCATCGTAGTGTGATGCTGATGGATTGCATTCCAGGTGAATGATGTTGATTTTAAATTAAATGACATTCTGGTAAAAAAAATAAATATCTACCAAAGTAGTCAAGAATACTGATGTTGTTGTAGACAATAATTTGGAAATCAAAAAATAAATTAATTGATTTGTCAACTAAGTAAAATCATTGATAAAACATTCTTCATAATGATGGACGCGTTTGGTAGATGATAAAATATTGATATAAAATATTCAAATGAATTCATTTCATATTCACTGGCGATGTCAAGCCAACCAAAAAAAAACAATTTGAAAAAAATGTAAATGGCTGCACCATAAACAAACACAAATAAACGAATAACGCCAATGTCGAAAAGTATTTTAGCTTTTTCTTTTCTTTTCTTTTTAATTCGGCCATAAAGGGAGAATGTATTTTCACTTGAATCAACAATTAATACATTCAAATTACAAACTATCCGAAGATATGAATGCAAGGGAACATGATGATGAGGATAATTTCTCTTTCATGGTTTTCGATTTTTTCTGACATCATCATCATCAGCTAGCTAAAGATTTCTCTTTTTTGCTCTTTTTTTCATCAAATTCCTTTTGGATCGAAGTTTTGAATCTTTTTTTTCTAATATTCAAACAGGTTTCATTCGTTCAGTGTATGGCAAACAAATAACACATGGCATTTCAATCGTATTTAAATAATCAATAAAATAAGTTCAGCAAAAAATCCATCGGTTGACAATTATCGGATGATGATTATCAAAATAATAATAAAAAAACAAAAATTGCTTGAGAAAAAATAAATTTTAATTTAAATGTGTTGAACACATTATCATATTCGATTAATCATTTTCTACAATGTTTCCATTCTATATCGAATAAATCGAGTGGATACTTTGAAAAAAAGATAATGGCAATAAAGACATTTAGGAAAAAATTTTCGACGATTAGATTTTTTTTCCCATCGTTCGAATCCATGATTGTTTTTTTTTTTGATCGATCGCGTGCATAGATAATGAATAATATGATATTTACAGCATTATAACACTTGAAAAGTTTATTTATTTTCAATCCAATTGTAAATTTGAAAAAATTTTTCCCAACAACACATACAACAACAATATTAATGAATTTGATTATAAAGATCAAAAATTAATGTTTAAGATTTATGGAATTGCAAAAAAAAGGAAAAAACCAATCAACAATTCAACAAACAAACAAAAAGCATCAGTAATGAAAGATTTTAAGAAATAAAATTTCCGTAATTTATATCACCATTGTTGAAATGTTCAATGAAGCAAACATTGATTTTTTTTTGTTCAAAACTAATATTTCCGATTTGATTTAAAATGAATGGTGATTTTGCCCTCATTCATTCATTCACATCCATGACTATGGGATTGAATTGTTTTGAATATATTTAATTAGATTTTAATTATAATTTTTAAAATTTTAAATCGATTTATACACGAAATGAAATAAAAATTCTTTGTTCAAAATAGGTCTATTTTTGAAAAAAAATTATTGTTTTCAACTTTTTACAAAATCATGTTTCGACATTTTTTTTTGTTGAATTTTTATGAAGAAAAATTAACATTTGTTTTTTTGACGAAAATCAATGATGCATGATATTGAACTGGTTCCATTTTTAAAATTTTCTACCGGATTTAGTCTTAAAAAATGTGGTTATATTTATAGTAACATTTTTGACATTTCTTTTTCATTGTCATTTTATGGATCTTAATTTTTTTGAAAACACGTTTAAAATCAAAAATCAGGATGAATGATGGACAAAACAACATTGAATTTTTTCCAGTGAATTTTCGATCCAAAAATACATTCATCCAATGGCATGGCGAATACGTTTTTTTTTCGTCTTATAATCAATCAAAGTTGTCATCATCACCATCATTTTTTCCTATCCTGTTCATCGTTTTTCATTTCAGTTTACGATCAAAGCAACAACAATAGATATATCGAAAATGATCAATCAGCATAGAAGAAAGTGTTTGAAAATGTTTATTTATAATTTCGTTTTTTTTTCGTTTCATTCATTCAATGATGATAATGATGATAATTCAGATTCAGATCGATGAAACACACAGTCATTCGATTCGATTGAACAATTAGAGATGTATAAAAACAAATCATTCGAATTTTCCATCAATTTATTTTACCTATCAATTAATCAGTCTTGATACAATATATTAAAAACTATTTTTGTTTTGTTCAATAACAATTTTGATAAAAGAATTTGAGATAAATTTGGCTGTAATCAAATATTGGACAAAAATAGGTGATTATTTTATTGAATATTTTTGCTTTTAAAAATGATAATTTAAATACATTTTAATCAGAATCACTACACGAATAATCGCATAATGATGTGATGACTTCAGATTTGTTTGTCGAATTCGATGCTTTATCTTGTGGCAGTAGTCGATTGTCATCATCTTTCGCTTTTTTCTTTACAACAATCATATTTTGTATAAGTTTTCGTTTACTTTTATTGTTAATTTGTTCTTCGTAGCATGTTTTTGTTGAGGAAACAATGTCCGTACGAATTGGCTTTTGTGCCTGTTCTTTATTTTGAATCGATGATATTTCATTGCAGGAAGATGAGTTCGGTTCTGTCTCATTATACTCTTCAATGATTTCTTCTTCTTCTCCATGATTATAATCACAGTCTTTGTCTTCATTATGGAAGATAGATTTGACGAACATTTCATCTTCGGCTTCTTGACGTTTCAACTCTCGTTCCAATTCTTCTTTCTTTTTTTGCAATAAATCATCATAATTGATGGCCACTTCTCGTTGATTCATTTCTTTGAGATCTTCAAGGGCCTCAAGATTTTCCATTTCTCGACGTGATGCTTTTGTTCGATTCTCCAACATTTTCATCGGATTTAAACGTTCCTCTTCTTCTTTTTCTTTCTCCTCTTCAATAGCCTGTTGTTGGGCTAATTTCAACGCCTTAAAATTAGGTGTTGCGCCGTGTTCGACGGTGTAGTCATAACTTTTAGGGTCTGTTTTGAATGTTATCTCCTGCATACATCTTGGACATTTAAAATAGAAACGAAATACTTTTAGGCCGAGATATTCTTCATTATCAACTGTTTCTTTGCGTGCATTAAATTTTTTGCCGCGAGCAATATAATCTCCACAAGTGTTGCATCGCATATTACATGGAGCCATAATTCGGACAGTGTATTGGCGATTTTTCGCCAAACGTAAACGTGGAATTTTTGACGGATCAAAATCCGGTGGATAATATTTCTATTTTTTTAAAGAGAATTTACGATTAATAAGAATTCAATAAATACTATTCGAATACTTACATTCAAAACCTTTCTTTCAGACATTTTGTCATGAAAATATTGAAAATTTAGTCAAAAATTTGTCAAAACTTGAATGTAAATATAAATTCTTCTTTCGAAACAATCAGCCGTTTTCGCATGACGCAACAGCATATCGATGGTCAACAATCGATAGTGAACGAAATCGTTAAAATGCAAAAGCCTCGGAGAATTTATTGAAAATTGTTCATTATTTAAAAATTTATTAACTTTTTTAAAATTTACGTTCATGTCATTTTGTATGAAGAATAAAATGGCTAATAATATAGTACAATATGTTATTGTGAGAGGCGATTTAAAATGGCCAACCGGCGCTCTGATTGGTTCGTATTCAAATTGTTCAATTCGATTTGTTTTGGTCTTTTTCTTTTGATTTTTATTTTCACTCTCAATTTATTTTAGGCCAGGGTTGTCATGCATCTGTAGCGGCTATTTACAAATATTTAAATGAGCCAGAAACTACAGAATATCTGGCTAATTTGGATCGTATGACTAAATTGGTTTTAAAAGCCGAATCAGAAGAGCAAATATTGAAAACTAGTGAATTGTTAACGGTTAATCAAATCAAACATTATTTGTGGCGTGAACAACCAGAAAATTATGTTACATCGTTGGCAACTGCACCTTATGATCGTAATATTCTCCGACCTTTACTGCAAGATTATAAACTTTTTCGATGATTTATTAAAATAGTTTTTTTTTATTAAAGTTAAACTGCAAAAATCGATTATTGATTAATATAATTGTAACATTTATATGATTAACTTTTATTTCGATTTATGGATGAATGTTCATATGACGGTGGTGGTCCTTGATATGGTGGTGGTCCTTGATATGATGATGATCCTTGAAATTGCGGTGGTGCTGGCATTGAAAAATCTGCTGCAACGAAACCTGGCGGTGGTGGTGCCGACGAATATTGATTTGTTGCCATCGGATTGACCATAAAGGCATTGTTGATCACCTGGGGTTGTGGCTCTCTCCGAGTTACAATAATCACATTTCCTGCATTTCTCCGACGTAAGTTACAAATTTTACAGCATAGAATGATGAAAAACACAATAAAACCTATAGGTAAAATAATAGCTAGCAGTGATACCGGATAAATTTCTTCATCTGCCATTGATGGATTGGGAGCCATCAATATTATTACCACAATAATCGCTAAAAATTTCATTAAATATTGCATTATTATATTCAGCTTGGTTTGATTCGAAAACAATCAAAATCGAGTAAAAGATTTTCAGCTCTCAAAAATGGTTATGACGTTGAAATTAAATTGATTATTAATGTAATCGACTAGGAATTGATTATAAATTTGTTGTCATTGGTTACTTTAGATATATAAAAAAAATTATGCTAGGAGTTATCATAAACTTTTGCGTATTTAAAATTGATAAAATTGACTTTTTTGTCATGAAAAAGGTAAAAAATCAAAGTTGTTGCATTAGGTTGTGATGATTGATAAAATTTACGTGAATTTTTTTGACCTATGAAAGTCGACATGAATTTGACAATAAGACAATGATTTTATTTTTGATAATTTGTAATTGGTAAGCAAAAACAATGATAAAAATTTATAGACTACAGGAATTTTTTTTAATTTTGTTGTGCTTTTTGATTAAATTACAGAAAAACAATAGCATCATTAAAATTTTGATGATGTGGAATAATGATAATTACTGTTATTACGATTATTATTATTATTATTATTATTATTATTATTGGATGAATAATTATTCGGAAATATATAACTATATGGACGCTCCATATCGTTATGATTGATATTAACATAATCGTCATCTGTCATATCATAATCGGGCGTGGCCGTAATGGTGTCTGGTATTGATGAACGAATTAATTTCGGTCGTGGTATTTGAAATGGTTGATTGATTATTTTATTTAAATTACCATGATGATCATCAATTTGATTATTTAACTGATGAATAGATTTATCCATCATATTTTTCAATGATAGTTGACGGGAATAGCGATTATTACAATATAATTCTCCATTCGATGTTTGTCGTCGTCGTTGTTGTTGTTGTTGTTCATAACTGAAATTATTATTATCCAAAGTATTTTCCATTTGTTTTGAACGAACAAAATGTTTTCGCAATAATGATATTATCCAAATCAATATGAGCATAAACATTAGGCCTACGATTATTATGGTGGCCAAAATCAACAAATGCAAAGAATTCATTTTGTCATTTGAAACAAAAGAATGTGGAATCGTTTTGAATCACTTCAAAAAACAATTCAATATAATGACATTTGACACTAACGGTTTGATTTAAATTTATGTAGCAATAATCATCTGATGATGATGATGATGTTGTTGTTGAATCAAACCATTATCTTTAATTAAAAACATCTTTTACTGAGCGATTTTTTTGAATTTAACAATTTTATTTAACTCTAAATTTGTTACTATAGCAATTAATGATCTATAGTAACGACATCAACCAATGGATTAATGCATTACTTACAGACCTAATGATACAATCAATCTAATCAATTCAACGAGATTTTTAATATGATAAATTCATTTTTAGTTGTCGAAATATTTAAAATTCAAATCATTTGTACGGTTGGACCGGCATACGGTGCTGGTGATCGGTTTTCACAACAGCAATGATAACAACCAACACAGGCAAAACACCAGATAACACAGTTTATAATAATACCGATGATTATTAATATGATTCCAACTGCAGTGGTTAAGAAAACTGCCATTGCTCCATCATCATAGTCAGGCTTTGAATTAGAAATTTAGATTATTCAAATATTCAATTTATATTTATATATCAAATCATACCTCATAACAAAAATTTGCTCTGCATACTTTCATACCTGGACAATCAAAATCGTTATGACAAGAATCATTGATAGGGATGTAAGATTTTGATTGAATTGCTGAATTCGATGCTGTACTCGATACTAAAGGCATAAAGCATGCTAAACAAATCGAAAACATAAAAATCGTTCTCATATTCATCATGATAAATAAGATTCAATTTCAATCTTCAATAATGTGTTTCTACTCCGGTGTTGATGAGAATGTTTATTTTCAAATGCCTGAAATCGTTTTACTTCCAAATCATCAATATTTTATACAATCTGATTCTCATGGATACTGGTTGCGATAAGATTGTTATAAATCGTTATTGATCAAATACAAAAAAATCAATTATGATCAATTATTTGTTTATTTTCGATGTAATACACCGTTTGGATTCTGATCACTAGTTGATAATTAATTGCAGATTTTGTTGAAATTTTAAAGAAAATATAGTACAAAGCATGTGTAATCATCTTTTTCCAATATTGATTCAAAATGAAGATTACAACAACAAAATTGGTGGTATACCAATTTGATGAGAATTTCTAAAATATTTATTATTTTCAATTATATCTCGAAAAAGTTAAAAATGTGATTTTTTTTAATTATATGTACATTTATTTTTAAAAAAATAAAATAAAAAAATTCAAAATTTGACATTATAGTCAAAAACATACAAATCATGTCTGTAATGATAGGATAGTTAAAGATATTCACTTTTGATTTTATATGTACTTTTCCAAATCTCACAAAGGCTTACAGTTGAATGAAAACGATAGAATATTGTTAATGGTGTTGTAACGTGTGTGATTATAGTCCATGCCCAGAATCTTTTCGTTTAAAAAAAATGAATAAAAATGAATAATGAACGAAGAATAAGACTTACCCATAGAATGACATTTGAACTGGATTCGAATCGGCACGTCGTGTTTCTAACGTATTGATGGCCCACATTGAAAAATTACAGACCAATAAAAATGTAACCATTTCACGTCCCGGTTTTCGTCTTACTTGATCGATTGTAGATGCTTTCCTTTTGGATGCATCCAAAATGAATATTGATTGCAGTAATGCTTGTATAAGACAAGCAAATGCATTAATCAACACAAGCCGAGTATTTTGTAATTGATTGATAAATTGCGCACCGATTATTGAAAACATTGTAAATATACAAAGTCCAGATTGCGCAATAATGAGCAAAATATTGTCCAATTCGACTCCACGATTACGATTATAGTTTAATTCACGAACCTGAAACAACGCAATTAACGATGCGATTGCCGTAATACAATAGATAATCAATTCAACAATATGTGCTTGTAGAACGGCCAAATTTCTATATTGATGTTTTTTAATGAAAACAAAAAATAGTATCAACGATATGATACACATGACCATTAAGAAAATCCCTGTAAATAAACCTTTATGTGCTTTTGCACAGTCAACCTAAATATTGTTTTTAAAAAAACATTAATCAAATCCCATAATGAAAAGACAAATTCACTGTTTACCTGATAATGATGACGATGATGAACAAATGTAGTCGTTTTGTTGAAATTGGAATATTTTGAGCTATTCTTATGTTTTTCACTTCTAAATAGTTATAATGTATTAATAAAAGGATTAGATTATTCAAAATAATAGATTGAATGAGTTTGAAAAAATTACATTTCACTTATATTTTTCCACATGATATACAGAATGGCAGCACAAATCAAACTATATTCAATGGTGCAAGGAAATAAAAATTGTGATGCATCAGTCACCAATTCTCCAATAACATTCGATCGTCTACAATGACCAGTAGTAATAATATAATGATCATTTAAACTTCGAACTGTACGATGTATTTGATTAATATGACTTTCGACTGATGATGTTGATATCGTGGTCATCAATGGCAATGCTGTCGTTGTCGATGTTTTTGAAACACTAAGCAACATTGATGGTAAATTATTATTATTACTATTGGTTCGATGTAATGCTGGATATGAACCGACTGAATCAAGATAATCTTCTGATATTTCTTCAACAACATCATCAACATGATCCCAAGCATTTGTAAGATCTGAACCGATTATCTCATGTGTTCCATTTGTCTGAACCATGACCATAATTTGATGTTTAGTTTCCTGGATGAGTACATGAAGCCATACACAAATGTTTGTCGCAATCATGTGCATCAATCCAAATCTAGCTATATAATAAAAACAAATAAATACATTCAAATAGATGTGAAAAGTGATGAAAAAAGATTCGATGTTTACCAATGAGCTTATGTCGTGCAATCAACACTCGAGAATTCATGAATATAAAATAAAGCTGTATGAATGTGAAAATCATATGCGAACTAGGCGTAAATCCATAAATAAATGAATAACAATGCTCTTTTGATTCTAGTTCAAAAAATTGTCCGAATTCAAGACCGGAATAAATCATTGATCCAACACCAAATGCAACAGCACCAACACGTAAATAAAATGAACCGCATTGTGCTTGTTGTTGTGGATCGAATTCATAATGTTCTTCATCGATCGAATTATCTGTTGCATCATATGCATCATTATTGGAACCGATACCACCAGTGCAACCATCATTATTCTTTTCACGGATTGTATTACGTACCATAATGGCAGAAATTGAACGACGAAATTGAGCGAATGGTTTACGTTTACGATTTAATAAAAATATGTAGACAAATATGAGAAACAAAATGGAACCCATATAAAGATAAAGATAAAATCCTTCATACCAGCTTATTGGTATTCGATGAGAGATTACTTCAGCGATCGGAAAACATAAACCTAAAAGTGAAATTAATCAAAATTTTTTAATAAACAGCACCACCAGAATCCAATGGAATAAATCTACAACAATAAAATCATGACTTACCGATCACAACTAAAATTTTGCAATAGATAGCGCTCAGTAAAGATACAATTCCATCGACTGGATCGAGATTAGGATCCGAGTTATTATTTGAATTAGTCGAATTCAATAGATTACTATCATTATGATGAACAATGTTGTTTTTGAGAATATTATTACCAACATTATCGATAAGATCATTATCAACGATATTATTATTTGGATGTAGATGGCTTTGATTGTTTGGTGTTGTCAATGATTTCATCTCTATAAAACTATTCTGTGCACTTGGTGAACAATAGAATTGGTTTGTTGATCCACCACCACCGATAGCAAACATGTCAGCCATTCGAAGATTTAAACCTTCGATTTTATCACGAGAAATATTTCTATCCAAATTGATACGTTGATCTATTGGATTCTCCTCTTTAGCGATTTGAATTTTTACATTCTGAACTTTTAAATCATTTAAAAATGTAGCTTCACGCACACTGTTGGTTGTAGTTGAACCTAATAGATTATTGTCAGAAGAATAAAATGTGGAAAAAATTTTAAGCAACAAGAATGAAAAAAATATATAGAACAAATTTATTAAAATTTATTGAATTTAATAATTGACTTATTTACAATGAACCAATTTTTTAGAATTTTTTGCTATAAAAAGAGAGAAATTGTAGATTGAAATTGAATTGTTCAAAATAAAAAAAAAATTCATGATTTCAATAAAAAAATTGAACGTGAAAAAATAAACATTGAGAATATGGATAAAGTCGTTAAAAAGGCCAAACAACGAAGTAAAATATCATCATCATCATCATCAAGGAGAAAACGGAATCAATCCAAAACAATTGAAACCGAATCAGATGAGGATACACAATCATGGAGTTTTTCGCAGTCATATTCGGATCAACCAAAAACATTTGATTCACCAAGTTTTTCTCTCACCGAAAAACCAATGGGAAAAATAGATCCATTAATAAAAAAACCAAAAAGAACACCACCGAAAACAGTATCGATGAAAAGATCAATAAGAGCACAATCGAAACCAGTATCGAGAAAAACGTCAATGAGAACACCACCGAAACCAGTGTCGAGAAAAAGGGCAATGAGAACACCATCGAAAACAGTATCGTTAAGAATACCAATAAGATCAACAAAATCAGAATCAGTTACACCAATAAGATCACCATCAAAAACAGCATCAGTAAGAAGACAAAAAGGATCACCATCAAAAACAGTATCAATAAGAAGACAAATAAAACAAACATCATCAAAAACAAGAAAAATGGATAAAAACCCTACGACTACCAAATTGAAAACGATTTTATCGAAAATCAAAATAAGACCACATTTATCGAAAAATAAATTAAAATATGAATCGAATAAAACACAGCTATCATCCCCATCAAAAACCCGAAAAAAACCCGGTAGTAAAAAAAATAAAACACTGCAATCAACACCATCAAAAACAACAAAACAAGCAAGGATAATCAAACAAAGCAAAGATAATAAAATAAAAGGATCGAAGATGAAAAAAACGATCGACAAGATAAATAAACGAAAAATTTCCGAAACAAAAATACCACCGAAATCTATCTATGACAAAGCAATTAGTAAACAAGTGAAACGTTTGACAACTCGAAGTGGTAAGTTTTAAAAATTGAATAACTTTTTCCTTCCTCTAGTTTTCATTAAATTTTTTTCTTAATAGAGTTGAATGCTATCGCTGAATTATGCTTAAAATTGATGAGATTTACGCCAAAAACAATGAGTACTGACAAATCAAAAGAAAAAAGTACAAGAATATATAAATCTCCAATAGGATTAATTAAAAGATATGAAATAATTGAAGCATCAACAACAGCCAAACCAGAACATATGAAAGATACCATTAAACGTGATATAACTGTGATGAAAATTCAGATAACGGAAACGAGAGAAAAACCAAAAGATGAAGATATTAAAAAAACCGAACTACCACCATCTGCAATCACACCACCGCCACCACCTACAATTACACCATTATCTTCAAAAACATCACCACCGCCTACAATTACACCATTATCTTTAAAAACATCACCACCGCCTACAATTACACCATCATCAAAAAAATCACCACCACCACCCCCACCACCAACACCCACAATTACACCACCATCACTGCCATCACCACCTGAACAAACGATTGCAAAACTGCCAGAAATCATTGTGCCTGCAAAAGATGAGGAAAAACAACAATTAAAAATTATCGATCCGTTTGGCGAAAGAAATTCATTATCCTATCGTCGACTCGAAGATTATGAAAATAAAAATGAATTAGATGCATCAGGTGGATTGTCAATGCGTTTTAATCCATATCTTGAAGGTCGATGTTTCTATGAAAAACTTTATCAACAAAATTTAGATGCAGTGGTTGAAGTAATACCTGGGTTAATTGACGAGGAATTAACTTATACTCCTTCCATATCAACGGTTGATCCAATAGCACAATCATCACTACCATCATCAGTACAGCCAATATTATCATACACACAACCAGGTTTCAAATGGATTGGAGAACAAATCATGGTTGACACAACGAAAACTCAGAGCGTCATTGATGAACCAATTATGGTTGAGACGGCGAAACCTTTGCATGTTATTTATGCACCAACAATGGCTGAAACAACAAAAACTTCGAACGTTATTATTTCACCGGCAATGGGTGAAACAATGAAAACTCCAAACATCATTGATGTTACAGAGAAAAAAGAAGGCACACAAATGTCAGCTTTTGGTGAACGAGATTCATTATTTTATCATAACCCATACAGTTATCCGATTTATGATCAAGATGATACAGAAATTTTGTTTAATCCATATTTGAAAGGAGTATCATTCAATTCATACTACGATCCGGGTGGTAAGTTCAAATAAGAGAATTTTCTAGCAGGATTAATAGCTAAAAAAATTTGTTTTTTTAAATTATATAGAATTGGATAAATTGATCGAAATCGTTCACGGATCCAATTATAATGATGAAATCAATGTTGATCAGACAGTAGACAATTCGGTTCAACAAAGTTTACTGAAATTAAAAAGAGAAATCAGCACTCCCAAAGTTTTTGAACCAATGATTGTTCCTAGAAAACAAAAACAGCCAGAAAAACAGCAACAACAACAATATCAATCATTATCAAAAATTATACGTAAAGAATCAGGTCAAAATCTAACACAGCCCATAAAAAAATCATCATTAATATCATCTAAATCTCCATTGCCATCAACGATAGAGACTATCACTACCGAAACACATACCAATGAAGTGATTACACTTGAAATAATCGTTGAAGCATTGCCAGAATCAAAATCAAAACAAAAACCATAAACGAATGAGATATTGAAATAATCATTAAAACATTTTACAACATCAATATTATTTTGTTCACAGGTCATGTTCTAATTGGAAATTTAATAAAAAAAATTACAACTATAACAAATATTTAGCCAATTTAATTGTTGAATTCTATTTTTTTAAGATTAGTTTAGAAGGTTAATATATATGGTTATATGGTACGGTTACAATTGTAAAGAAATGAAAAATGAACCAAAATTCTGAGAAGAAACAAATAAAAATTAAAAAAAATTCTAAAAATGTTAAATTATCTATAACTAAAAAATCTTCAATGGTCAATAATTCCCCATCGATTGATTCAATGCGAAAAAAAGTTCAATTATATTTAAAGGAGATCAATAAAAAGATTCCATATCAAGGTTTTCTTATCTATCGAAATCCATCATCACAAAGTTTGATCGAAACACCGTTGACACAACAAAAACTTGAATCAAATAAAAAACGCCCGAATACAATACAACAACCACTTTCATTGGGCGAAACATTGGGTAGTAAAGTTTTTACACTTCCAACAACTTTACAATCCGGCCAGCTAATTATGCAGGATAGTGAAATAAAAATTATAACCAATAATATCCCGATCGACAACAACAACAAGAATAATTTACAAAAGATTCGAAACAATTTGAAAAATTGCAATCATATTCCGATAAAACATTCAGAACCATCATCATCATCATCAGAATCTAATGATAATGAAACTGCAAAATCATCCGAATAACAAAAATTCTCAAATGATTTTGATGACAGACTGTTGCAACATTGTAAATTCGCCTGTCAATGAAAAAAAAAGAAATGAATTTAATGAGAAAAAACAATCAACTTCCTCTCGAATAGAAGGTGAGGAAATGTCAATCAATTTGAAATAATGTAAACATCATTCTATTATCAATAATAGGATAATTTGTTGAATTTGTAAATAATATTCATAAAATTAATGATCAATAATAACATTCATCAAATATAATATTGACGTTGACATGGTTAATTAAAATTATTTTTTGAAACAAGAAAAAAATAGGAAATTGAATTTTGTTTCCAACATGAATAGAAAAACCAAAACGGAAGAGAGAAAAAAATATTTTTAAAATAAACTCACTGCTACGTCGTCGTTGTTCGAACAAAGCCATCGACGATGATGATGATGGTAATATTTTTGGTTGATTTCGAATTACTATTGGTCCATCGATGATTTTTGACGATTCAAGTGATGGTGATATTTTTTTCGTCATTTGTTGTTGATGTTGATGATGATGATTATGATGCAGTATAACAGGAGTTGAAATTTGCATAGAATTTTCTGACATTGGCTCCTGATATTGTTGTTGTTGTTGTTGATTGTTACTATTATCGTCTTGCCGTTTGAATGTAACCATGATTATCATTGAAAAACAAAAATCTAATATTAATAAACAACCGATGAAGTTTTTAATTATTTTTGTGGGTGATGGTACTCAATTAAAAAAAACCTGATAGCATTTAGATCTATATCAGCGAAATTCTTATTAACTATGGTAACTTTTTATAGAATGCATTTTTAATTACATTAAAATTCTTTAGACGAATCAATTAACTTTCGTGATGTTGAAATTTTCGGGAATATTAAAATTGATTATAATTTGTCTTTGTGTTTGTCTCTGTGTATGTGATGCGAAATATAGCCAAGAACAAAAAAAAATTGGAATCAATAAAATTACATTAAACAAAACATCAAGACCGAAATATGCAAAGAATAAACATAAATGATTTTGATGATGATTAAATTCAATTCAAATATTTATAATGTCACCATGATACACATGTGATGTGTATGTAAAAACATATTGATGTTTAATAATGTTTATCATCATCATTATGATTGATGTCAGGATATTATAATCGACCAACATTTTTTTCTTTTTTTGTCACTTTATTTTAACTTAAATACTTACGGATATTCTTATCCAAATGATAATAATGTTGTTGAGATAATAACTGAACAAGAACAATTTTGTTTGTTTGCTTGGATGGCTGTCTGATATTCATTCATAATCAATAACATGCAAAAATGGAATTGATTAATTGACATTTTTTTATCTCGTCCAACATATGTTTGATATAAAGAGCTTCATTGAGTTTTTTTTTGTATTCGATAATAATAATAAAAATGTGAATAAATCGATAAAATGAAATATAAATGGGTGGTTGGTGGGTAAATGTTAATGTATATGGATGAACTTTGATTGACAAATTTCATTTTGTTGTTGTTGTTGTTGTTATCTTTGCAAACCATTCAATATTGTTTATAGCATTTCTGGGACAGTTATCATTGCTGTTTGGCAATATCTAATCAATATATAAAAATATATTGTTATCACAATTGATGACAAATAAGAAATGAAAAAATTGTTTGAAATGACACAAAAAAATTACTTTTTGTCATTTTTTGTTGTTGTTGACCAACAATAATGTTTTATAACAGATTTTGGAACATTGAAAACAGGAAAAAACAAGTTGAATTATAGGGTTCTGTTGTTGTTTTTGTAATTCGGTGTTTTATTTTTTTCCCCAATTGACCAGAATAAAATAGCACCCAACTATTAATATTTCCTTTTTTTTTGATCAATCAATTAAACGATGATGACAGTTAACATTTTGTTTCCATTGTCATGATACATCTTTTTTCTTACTTCCTACTTTCAAAATTTCCTAGTCTGTATGAAATTTTGACTTGTTCCAATGTGAAAAAAAATTTGATAAAATTGAATATCACAATTTTTGATATCGTTTTTCCAACATAATCTGTTTTTTTCGATTCGTTTTTTTTCAAAATGTTCTGATAAATTTTGACCACCATCACAACCACCCTCAACCCATCAAAATTTTGTACAAGGAAAAAATATGTTATTGATGAAAATAAGAATCTTTCTTTAAAAAGATATTTTTTCTTTTCTTTTTTTTAACCATAACATAAAAATTCATTTGACACACACAAAACAAAGTGCTCTTTAATTGATTTTCATCTACATCTATTCTATAGATTCAATTCTTTGTAACATAATAAAAAAACTGTTTAGATGTTGAAATAAAAATTATGTTACAATTGTTCAATTATCAGAGAAAAAATATGATGACCAGTATGATTTTTCTTTTTTACTGTTGTTGTTGTTGTTGTCGAGAATCTGTAACAAAATGTAAGAATTTCATTAAGAAATACGGTATTGACATTGATAAAATTTATGATTATTAACAAACATTACCAAAAAAAAACATGATGACTTCATTGTTCACTGAGTTTCATGCTTACATATTATTATTATTAGCTGAAATAGTTGGGTCCAAAACAATTCTTTTAAATCATTTTTAATGTTTTGAAGAAGAAAATGAAAGAAAAAATTCGATGACAGTAAAAATAACGAAAAAAAATTCTATTTGCTTAGTTTCATTATTTTATTCTACTTGTTAAAGAAAAAAAGAAAATAACAAAATTAACATGATCAATAAACAGACAAAAAACAATTGTTTTCACTTTATTCTGATCGGTCAAGCATGTTCACCGATGTTCAATCATCCACCCATTCATCCATCGAAGAATATCTAAATTGAAAAGTACAAAACAAGATGTCATTATATCAAACTGTACACAAAAGAAAATTGAGAGATATAGAAAAGGAGAAAAAAATTAAATCTGTTCACAAAAAAAATATTGTTTTTTTTTGTTGTCAGTTGATGAATTCCATCAACTAACAACAAAAAATGAAATGAAATTTCTTTTTTACATTCATTGTATTCTGGATTCTGTATAGAACCTGGTGGTAAATACAAGCTTTTATGACAAGTTTTTTTTAACATTAGATTAAATTTTTTATTATATTTGTACAAAATTACAGAATTATATTGAATTTATATCCTGGGTGCTATAACCTGATGATGATGGTCTTTCGAATCAAATGCTCTCATTTTCGAAAAAAGGTCGTTGTAGGAAAAAAAAGAATTCCTTGAAACTTGAAAAGTTTTTTCTCTGAATAAAAAACAGATTTCTTGCTGAATTCGTATTATTGTTTTGAAACATTATTGTTATTGTCGGCAAAAAAAAAATCTGGATGTTTTTTTTGTTTGGTTTCATTATTATTTATCGAATCATTATGGTAATTTATTCATCAATATGATTAAGATTATTATGAAAACAATGGATAATAGTTTTTGTAAATGTTTTATAACAATCATTGTTAGCCATTATCATTATCATTATTATGCATGTTTCTTTTAAAAACATTAAGAAATTGAATTTTTCTCCAATTTCTTCCATTTAATTCTCGATGAACTTAGCTAAACCCAATGAATAAAAAAAAACCTATATCAATTACATTGTTTCAAGCATTAAATTGCGACATCGATTAATACCAAATAAACATGAAATGGAAATTGTGTACGAAAACTATTCTTCAACACTTTAAATTTTATTCCTCTTTTTTTTATATTTAGCTTGAATTAAAAAAAATCAAGATTACCATCAGAAATACGGTTGTTTAGCCATTCAAATTTTAATTTATTTTGTTTTTTTAATAAACAAGCGATAAGCTCAACTTTTATTTATTTCGAAATTTGATACTATGGCTTTTTCAAACATTGATAATGAAGAATTTGTTTGAAATTCGATGATAGTATTAGTCAATATCGGATAAAAATTTATATTAAATTTTCATTGGAAATAATAAGATCACAATTTAATTTTAAATTCAATTTTTTTCCAATAAAATGACCCATTGGGTGTGTGTGAGTGGGTTTTCAAGAAAGCAAATAGACGTGCCTTTATCTATCGATAAATGATTTTTCCTCCTTTTTAGATTTCACAAGATATAATAAAAAAGTTGGACAAACAAACAAACAAACGAAAATGAAGAAATGATTGTTGGCATCCGGGTTTAGAATCCAGTTCAATAAGAAATATCTGCTATGTAAATGTGTGAATCAGATTAATCGTTAAAACAAACGTAAAGTAATTATCTGATTTATTCAAACAAGTTTATTGTTTTTTTTTGTCGAATTTCCATTAATGTAATTATTTATTCCATTTTACAAAGTATTAGATAACGTACGAATTTTCCTAACATTTTTCTGTGCGCTTTTTATTTAAAATGTTTTTTTTTTGAACTGTACTCTGTTGCATTCTATAAATTTGATTTGATTCACTATAGATATTTAGATCTATAGATAGCGACATTGACATCACAATGATCTTGCGCATTTGTGGTCACAAAAAAATTGTTTCTCTCTTACTTTCTTTGCTTTTGGACATGCGAAATTCTATAGGATCCAGGATCAATTCAATACAAACCAAAACAACAAGATAAATCCTTTATGATTCGTTGCCGGTGTTTCATACTGAATATTTGTTGTTAATAGTTCAACCGATACTGAACAAAGCGATCACCATTAACATGATTGAAACATCGACAAATTAAATTCTCTTTTTTTTTGTTTCAATTTAACTGTAACAAAACAAACTATGAATTTAATGATAAAAAGTTCGAAGCTCATTGACTTCGGGCTAATTGATGTCATTGTTATTGAAATTATTAATATTTTGTTGTTGTTGTTGTTTGTCAGTTGTTATTGAAAACCGATCATACTTTAATGAAAATATGTCTTGATCATCATATTCATCCAATTTATGAAAATAATACCCACAACTTTGTTGAAACACAATTAGGTTAATTGTTCTTTTTTTCATTGTTTCCGTTGACAATGAAAAACACCAACAACAAAAAATTGAAAAAAATGAGATTATTTTCAATTTGTTATTGAAAACAACAGACAAATATTGTTTCAAATAATTGATTTTCGAAAAAAATAGACTAGCTTGGTAAGTATGAAAGTCGATACGAATCGATTTTTTTTGTTCATTCTCTCTGTTTTGGTGGGTTCATGTCATCGTTGATGTTTTTGGGCCCTAGAATAACAAGAGTGCTAAAAAAACCAAAGCAAATAATAAAAATAATCGATTTGATGTTTATCATTTTCAATTTTATTTTATTATATTTTTTGCGATTTTGAAGTTGATTTTGAATACTTATTTCATTTTTTTCTCTTGTTTATTTTGTGTATTATTTTTCCATTTTCAACGAATCGATTGTAGAATCTTTTGTTGGACAAATTCTATTTGTTGGGTTGGCGAGTATTTGTCAATGAAATAAGATAAATAGCTTGGTTTTTCCCTGTAAATCATTGTTCAATTTTTTCCCAAATGCATCAATCATATAATGTTAATGTTTGAAATTTGATAAAACTACAAGCAAAAAAAAGCTTTACAATAATAATATTAATAATGATGATGGAAATGGAACAGTTTGTAATGGAAGAATTGTCACCAAAACCAACAATGACAACAACAATGAAAACATATAAAGAATCTTTTAATAATAAACGTCAACGCTTTTATTATTGTTCACCATCATCATCATCATCAGTAAATTTTTCCCAAATTCATTCCATTATCGTTTCTAGTCGACAACAACAATATTGTAGCCATAAATTTTCAACCACAATCACAAAAAAACATGTACCGATTACAAATAATTTAACTTCCAACGAATTGTGTTTGGTCAACGATTCGTTACCACACAATCATCATCATTGTTCATCAATCATTATTTTTATAGCAATTATTGTTTTTGTGTTTGCCGAAATCGTTACACCGATGACAACTTTGTCTACAAAATCGATGACTATTAAAACGACAACTATTCCATTATTAATGGATACATCATCATCATCTGTAGCAACAATTTCTACAATCTTATCGGAATCATCTTCACCGTCAATCAAAGTAAGCAAATTTTATTTTATTTTTACTTTAATTCAATTTATATTTATGGAAATGGAAATAATAACTAGAATTTTGAATTTGTTAAGTTTTTACAATTTCATTGTCTTTCAATTTTCATTAATGAAAAGTGTTGAAAATTCAATTTACAATGACCTAACTGCATCGACAATCATTCGGATAATTTTGAATGGTTTAAATAACCGATATTATGTACAGGATCATTTATTTATTTATCAGATAAATCCATTCGCTACTTCAGTTAGCCTTTTCCTGTTTTTTTTAATGTTTATTTTTTGTTTACGAAAGGGTAGTCCACTTAATTTTTGTATTCTTTTTCAATTCAAAACTACAATATAAAAAAAGAATAGAAATTAGAATCTCTTGTCCAACGGAAAGAAAACGGAAACAATTTTTTCATTTCCTTTTTGAACACATATATGGTAATGTAAATGATCATGGTAAAAGAATTCAATGTGAAAAAAATGAACGTCAATGAGATACATTGTGATATCAAAAAAAGTCATCAAAAATAAAAAAGGGATCAAAACAGTTATGATGAAGAAGTTTCGAAAATTAAAATCACCATATTGATCAATTTTTTTTCGAGTAAACATAATTATCATCATCATCATCATATTTAGCCATCAACAATATTGCCAATTTGAATTTTTCTTTTTTTAATATTCACATTATTTAATGAAGATGTTCATCAACATTGATTGAATCGGTTGGAAAAAAATAATGATTTTAACGTCAATCACAATTTGAATGATTGAATCTATTACCATCATCATTATATTTGTTAATAAATCATTTTTTAATCATTATTTTTTGACACTTTGAATTATTTTTTGTTGTTGTTGCCAATATGTTTGTGATGATATTATATCGAAAATTATTTTTCTGAAAGATTATTTTTCTACAGTTGATGTCAATTGATTATTTTCATAATTATGTTATTTTATCATTTAATTCAATGTTTGATAAACAAAATGACATAATTATGATGATGAACATGATGTTTGATGGTAGTGGTGATGTTTATTATTATTATTAACATTTTGGATATAACTATCAAAAACTAAGAATAAATGTTGGAGAAACCAAACATTAAGCAATAAGTAAATCAACAGCTGCTATTGACATTTACAATTTTATTATTATTATTTTTTATTTACAAAATTGTTAATGATAATGATAAAAGATTTATAAATATCAATGTTGAATTCAAATAAACAGAATGTTTTTCACCTTAGATTCCAGTCTATTATAGTGTGCATTTCACAATTTCTATTTCTAGATTTTTGTTATGTGTGGTATCCATTTTTTATGTTTTTTTCCGGCTTCATAAATGCTTAATCGTTGCTTGTTAAGGAAACTATAATTATGATTTATGAATATGATGAAAAATTTATTAAATATCGTTGTATTTTTTCTATATTCAATATAAAAAATCAAAGTTCACACTGAGAAACATTAAATTCAATGATGTGCAAGTGGTTTATCATCGATAATACCAAATGAAAACATGTTCATATTTTGATAAACAAATTTTAATAAAAATTCATCCATTTCAATATTTGTTTTTTTTATATGAAAACCCTAATAATCATTACTATGTATCGCAACGGTTTGAAGTTTTATCAGTTGAATCAATAATGTATGATTAACATTGATCTGACATTATCAACAACCATAAATATATGTGAATGTTCAAAGTATCAAATCAATTTTGCCAAAAAAACCGATAGTGATAATCGGTTTTGGAAAAAACATTCATGGATTTTCATTTCCTGATCATTATTCTTAATATTATGTTTTTCCTAGTGTTATGAAAATCAATTTTTTTCTTCAAAATAGAAAAATATCTAATATATGAACAAAATCATATAGCATTCTTATAAGAATTTTTATTTAAACAAATCAAATATGAATGAGAAAATCCTTTCGATGGTGAAAGTATTGGCGAAAAACCAAACTTTATAGACAATTTTGCAAGAAAAATTTTTTGTTTTTAATTAATCCAGTACTTTTTTCACCTCCTTGTTTCTAAGAACGAAATGTTAATTTTCTTTTCAATAGCAAGCAAGAAAAAAACTAAGAAAATTCCTATATTGTACTCACAAAAACACACACACACAATGAAATTTGAAATGACCGTTACATGCGAAATTTTTAAAGTTACGCAATTAGTTTTCCAAAACATTATCGTAAATAAAGAAATTTGAGAATATTATTATTTGTTTCATTAACAAAAAAAAATTGCAATGTTTTTTCTCTCAAACCCACTACAGATCTGTTGTGTTATTCAATTCAAGACCTGATCCATATACCTGATCCCACAGGAACATGCGATTAATTTATCTCTTTGAATGTCAAAAAAAAAATTGATAAAGCAACAACAACATCAATTTCTTACATTATTTAAAATGTTTTTTTTGTACACTTTTTTTTGATTATACTTAATAAAAAAGAAATTTTAACTGAATATTCGTTTCGGTAATTTAGAATTATAATTATCAAGGAAATTAAATTCTATTTTGTCTTGTTGCTGTTGTTGATAACGATGGTGATGGTGGCGGATGTATTGGTGTTAATGATGTATAGGAGGCCCCAAAACAAATCACTCAATTATTTATATGGGCTGTTTACATATGATTTTAAAAGAAAATTGAATCATAATATTCAGGTTATATAATAATAAATCGGTTTTGATCAAATGAAAAATGGATGATGATGATAAAAACGCACATTCACACAAAAAGTAATTTAATATCATCACATTTTTGTTGTTACCAACTTACTTTCGAGAGAAACAAACTAATTTGAAATTTTGTAACATATAAAAATCCATTATTTCATGTTTGACATTCGAGGAAAAAAATTATTTCTTTTATATTCTGTACCGGTGGTTACCATATTATTATTATTGTGAAATTTTGTTGTTGTTGTTGAATATATTTGAATTGTATTTTTAGGTTTTAGTTTTTATTTTGTTATTTTTTATGTCATACCAAAAAGAATTATGCTTATTTGAAAAGTGTCAAATTAACAGAAAAAACAGAATGACTGTTTTTTTTTGAATTTCATGATTTTATACAAAATTCTTCAACAACAAAAAAAAGAGATTTACATTAAAAAAAACAAAATATGAGATTAATACCATTTTTTACAAGAATTTGCGTCTATGGGTCTCATATTGGTAATTTTCATTAAAAATGTTTCATTTGTCAATCATCGTTTAAATTGTGTTTTGATTTTTTCAAAAAAAAAATTCACAATCATTCAGTGGGACTTTTTTCATTATAATCATTATTCCGTTAGGTTGAAAATATTCATTTTTTTATTCCACCATACAATCCTAAAATTTTCATTCGAATATTATCCGGAACTGTTGTAGAGCAATAGTCATCATCATGATCATGATCATCATAAAAAAAAACATTTAATTTCAAAATGATCACCATTTTCTACTTTCCATTTAGTGCTATTATATCAATGATTAATTCAAATTTGTCAGATTACTTTGAAATTGATAATTTTTTTTCCATCAAACAAACATAAACGGAAGCTTTTATTATTCACTAAAGGCAGCCATTAAATTTTTTCTGACCAATATAGGCAATAAATAAAACTTGAAAAAAAGAATGACAACGGCGACATGAATGATTACTATTATTATTCTCGAAACGATCTCATCTCATCTCATATATGTAACACACACATAGACAAACTTATAGAACACATTTATCCATTGATCATATTGATAGAATTTTTTTTTCAATTTAAATTTCATCAATTTTTTCTTTCGTTTACTTAATGTCAAGAATTGTAGATTAATATCGGTTATTGTTTGTTTTATTTGTTTTGTTTTGCTTCTATTTACTTCTTCGAATACGATATGATCCAGAGTCAGGAATTTGACATATTTTATTTTTATTTTATTTGTTTGTTCTGTTGAAAAAAGTACTATCTGGTCTATCGTGATGAATATATCGAATGATGAACACCCAATTGAACCAATAAAAACCAATTCCATAAATCGATCAATTTATTGACATTCCAATCCAGTGATCTAATTCATCATATTGAATATTTGTTGATAATTTTGCCAATAATTAAGCCTACAACAAAAATTTTATTATCAAAATTTATTCTGAAAAATTCCATTATTTTTACCTGCAAAAGAAATCTTGTTCAATGAATAATTTAAAGAGAATTTAATTACATATAATTCTCAACTCCATTATCGTTCATAATCGACTAAAATTGGATGAAAATAGGACAAAAAATGCATTAATATTTTAATTGTACAAAAAAATGTGAAAAACTGAAAAGAATTTCTATTTTTTTAAAAATATTCTCGAGTTCAATGAATTAGATAATGACTTTAAAAACATTCAAATAATAATTTAATCCCTGTATATTTCATATCTGAGGAACGATAAAAAATAAATCGAGTAAAAAGAAAAAAATTCAAAAAATTATAATGAAAAAAGAGAAGAAAACCAATTTTTGTAGAAAAAAATCCCGGAAAATTTTAAAATAACATGCATATTTTCAATTTTTTTTCATTTTTAAATTAAATTTTCAGAAAAATAACTTATAAAATTTTAAACAAGAAAAAATTTTTATAAAAATAATGTTTATTCATTTTGTATAAATAAAATAAATCCTCTCGGGTTTTCGTAATGATGTTAATTCGAAAAGAATATCTATCTATGCTAATGTTTTATCATTTTGATTTTGGATGGGAAAAGAATTTCAATTAGAATAATAATAATAATAATAATAATAATCTGAATGACTATACGCAAAAAGATGAATTTCTATTCATTCCAATGAAACATTTTTTCTCAAAAATATATCTACAATTCAAAATTTTTCATTTTAAATCGTATGTCAATAAGTATTGTATGAAAATAATTTCGCAATACTTAATATAATCTTTTGTTGACATTTTTCTTTTTTTTTTGGCTTCAAACAAGTATCAAGTATAGTTTATTCATCAAGGATTTGTCGGTCGGTGACAAATATTCAATTACACAATGAAAGAAAAAAAAACAATTTTTCAATATTTGTTGCAGTATTAATTTCCAAGAATAATCAAATGTTGACAAATTTATCAAAAAAAAACATTGAATTTTTTTCCAATTTTGTTTCTGGAACAGATCTAGAATCACAAGAATGAATAAAAACATCTAATTTAAGATTATTCGGCATCAAACAAATAATATATTAATTGAATCTCATGGGATTGTTTTTTATTATTGAATTCATTGTAAAAATTAGATTGATTATTGCATCAATTTGGGAATGATTTTTGATTGGAATTAAATTGTTATTCTTTTTTGTTTTCTCACTATATTCAGGATACAGATTCGAAAATGAAATTGATTAAAAAATTATCCGATCGTGATGAACAATTATCAACATTGAATGCCGAAAAAGAACGTTGTGAACAAATGAATTTTACTCGAAAATTACCCGTCGATTATTATTTTGATGATTATAATTCAAATCAAGGTTTTTTCATTTTTATATTCTTTATGAAATTTTTATCATGTTAAAAATATTTTTTTTTTAATATCCAAATCTAAAACTTATAGATATTGATAATGATGATAATAGTGAACAACGACGATGTCCAATCGTATGGGATGGTGCATTATGTTGGCCTGAAAGCGTTGCTAATAGTATTGTACATCAACGATGTCCAGAATATGTTAAAGGTTTCAATCATCAAGGTTGGGCATACAAAAATTGTACAGAAAATGGAACATGGTTTTATAATAATGAAACAAAACGATTTTGGACTGATTATTCGGAATGTATCATAACACATCCAGTTCATAAAAATGATAATCAATATTATCATCATCATCATCATCATCATCATCGTAATCATGATAATAACTCCACCAATCATTCACAGATGAATATTGTTGATCATGATGATGATGATGAAGTTTCATCCAAAATGAACAAAATTCGTTATCATTTGCCAAATTTTCAGATTATTTCACATCTTGGCTATTCGATTTCATTTATTTCATTGGTGGTCGCATTTTTCATTCTTGTTTATGTCAAGTAAGCCAAAAATCAATTCCTTCCATTATGACCACCGTAATTTTTTCTTATGCATCATTTTATTTGTTTTTTTTGTAGTCATTCATTTTTGTTTTATTTTATTTCATTTCGCTTTTTTTGTTTGGAATGTCACAAAAAAAGAAAATTTTATTAACAGCACTGTTTAGTGTGTGTTTTTTTTTGAAACTGCTTAGCAATCCTATCCTGATCAGACTAATCAATAAATTATTCAATTATTATGTTGCATGTTAAAATTAGATTTATTTGCAGAAGACTACGATGTCCACGCAACAGTCTTCATCTTCAGGTTGGTTAAAACTGAAATTGTTTGTCTAATTTTGTTATGATCTATTTGGTTAAATCATTAATTTTCAATAATAGCTATTCATTTCATTTATTATGCGTTCATCAATGTATCTGATTAAAACAAGTTTAGAACATTTTCCATTTGATCTTAATCAATTAAATGTTAATTCAAAATTGAAAACAAATACTTCAAATATTCATGATAATCATGACTATCATCATAATCGCCATCAACAACATTTGCAGAATTCTTTAATAAATAGTATAAAACTTGAAGATGAAAATGATTTAATGGTATTGTCAAATCTTTTGGGCAATTACGATTGGGAAAATTCGTTTCGTACTTCGGTTTGTTTTTCATTTGTTTTTTTTTTGTTTTTCGAAATTTTAATTTTTTTATCTAATAATAAATTAGTCGATTGCCTGTAAAGTATTTACAACAATATGGCAATATTCATTATTGGCAAATTATAATTGGATCTTTATGGAAGGTTTATATTTGCATAATGTTATTTTTCTTAACATATTTAATGATAATTCAAACATTATCCCATACATTATACTTGGATGGTGTAAGTTATAGAGAGAGAATGAAAAATGGCATTTTTTATCAAATTTTATTTATATTTTACAGGTCTTCCCATACCTATTGTTACGACATGGGCATTAATGAGATCATTATATGAAGATACACGGTATATATGATCATCGATTTGATTCGATTCGATTCTAAAACAAATTGAATCTAATTTTCTGTTTAAATCAAAATTTAAAAAAAAACAAAATTAATTAATTGTTTTCATTTTTTGATTTTGATACAGCTGCTGGACAACAAATAGTAATTTGAAAATTTTCTGGATTATGCGGGCCCCAATCACAATCGTTATTGTTGTATGTAATTCCAAAAACAAAATTTCCGGTTCTATTATCTTTATTATGATTTTATTTTTATTTTTTTAATTTACATTAATTAATGATGTTCAATTTTAAAAGTTTCAAAAAAATAATATAAAAAATTGAAAAAAACTGTCTGAAATTAATCAAATATTTGTTCTGTTTTTGTTTGTTCGTTTATTCCTTAAAATTCAGTTGAATTTTGTCTTTTTCGTCAACATTATACGTGTATTATTTTTGAAAATGTTTGCCAAATCAGCAGCAACCTATGCAAGAAAATATAAATATCGTACCTGGTTTCGATCAACATTAGTATTGGTACCATTGTTCGGTGTTCATTATATGTTTTTTCTTGCATTCACAACAATCACATTCAATTCATATGATATATTTGAAATTATTTGGTTATATACTGATCTAACATTTACAACATTTCAGGTATTGAAAATTTTATTGATTTTTATTTTATTTTCGAATCGGAATTAAGATTTATTCATCTATTTCTTATTTGTTTTTATTGTTTGTTTTTTTTCATTTCAATTTAGGGTTGTTTGGTTGCATTATTATATTGTTTCCTAAATCATGAAGTACAGATCGAATTGAAAAAACTATGGATATCATGTAAGCAACATTTGTTAAGTAGACATTTTTCACTGGGATATAATCATTCTACTATGTCGGGTAACAATAATGGTCAACAACAACAACCACAGACAACCAATCATCAAACAAATAATTTATCAAGCCGAATTACAAAACATTCGCTGATATCGAATTGTAGTTCGTTTTTTCGTAGAGAGGTAAGATAATTACAATTTTTTTCGTTGTAAATTTATAAAATTGAATTCTTCTCTTTCCCACTTTTTTTTGACCTATATGATGAATCAAATTATCAAAGACGGATCCAAATACATCAAGTGAATTGAATCGATATTCTATTCAATATCAACAACAACAATCACCAAAATGTCAAAATCAAGCATCGAATAATCGACAAGAATATCATCAACAACATTCAAACAATGGACATTTTTCAAATAAATTCAATTCACCATTATCAACACCTGCATGTGGACAACTACGATTACATTGTTGTGACAATGATGATGATATTCATGACAATGTAGAAGGAGAGGAAGTACCAACTGATCCTGACATGATTAACAAATTGATATTAATTGGTGAAACGGCTATCTAAAAAACCGACCAATACGAAAAAACAAAATCGAAAAGACAGAGAAGAAAAACCAAATTCATTTATATTCATCATCCTTATATATTGAGATTGTTTTCTTTTTTAACCTTCATCAGAAATTCATTCGATTTATTTTCAGGAATCATTCCTTCTCTTTTCAATGTACAAACACAGGTGCACATTCAAGTTATCCAACCTTTTTTGTTCCAATGTAATCGTTATTGACGAAGTTTACGAATTGTTTTCGAAATATATTTTGATTAAAATCTAATATTGTGTAAATAATTTAAAATCAGACATGGAATTTGTTACTTATAAATACATTATTTATTTACAAAAGAATGAAAATTGAAAAAATATTCTTATAAAATGACTTAATTTGATTATATATTTTTTGTTGTGAACAAAAACCAAAATTCCAAAGAAAGAATCTCAAAAAGTTTCAATGGTTATCGATATGAAATGAAAAATAGTTCACTTTTTTCGCAAGTGATTAAATTACTTCTAGTTTCGTTTGAATTTTTTTTTTCATCTCCATCTTTTTCATTGGAACCGTTTTGATTATTCAGTGGCAACGATCATTATATACGATATATTATGATAATTATTGTAATTGTGTCCAAAACTTTTCACCACTTGATTTTTAAAAAATGATGATGATGTGAATATTTTCAATTTCAGACTAATAATCATCATTTTTTTGGTTTTTAAAATTGAAATCGGATCTTTATTTAATCATAGAGTAAATAATTCATTGATTACTATATCAATGATATTATGACATATTATCATTATTGATGATCATTTTCGTTTTGAAAAATTATCACCAATTATTCACACGTTTTGATGATTGTATTTTTTTTTGGCTGACGCCATTGCCATATATCGACAAGGTTATCTTTTTGTCATTTATTTTCCATTTTATACTATGTTATATTTCGAATACAAATCCACGTGCATGTCTCGAATATTATCTTGTCATTTGTTTCGAATTAGTTTTCCATCATTGCACATACCTTGAAATATCAGGAAATATGTTGGTTTTATAACACAACCATAGAGATCATTAAACGGAAAATCTACATTCGAAATTATTTTAATTCGAATGTTTAAAAAAATTTCATTACAAAATGTCATTTATGAATGACGCTTTAAACGAAATACAAACTCGCATTTAATATTGAATCAGCAGAGTTATGTCGTGTCTTTGAGACGATAAACACATTTAAGTAAATCGATCATCTTCTATCGTTAATCATGGGGTCGTTTATGAATTTTTAAATCATTTTTGTTGTAAAAAAAACAACAAGCTAACATTTATGATTTGTCTTCTCCTGTCATACGTAAACAATCAATCCTCTTTCAACAATTTTTTCCTGGTTGCATATCAATCGATACACTAAACAATCATCAAAGATATCTTCATAAGGCAATACATCGAGAATGATATTGCAATAACTAAAATACGACAAAAAATGTTCACAAAAAATATTGAAAAAATATTTCTATTTCTTCTGTTAATGTTATGTGCTTGTATTCATTGTCCATCAAATGAATCGACAGAATCGATTAGACTATTGTCATCATTGAAACAATCTAATCATCCTTCTATTGTTACATCATCACAATTATTTAATGATTCAATTACGGATCATTTATCAACAAATAGTGATAAAATTTCTATCGATTCTCAGTCGAATACATCGACCGGACTGAAACGACATACCAACACAATTGATGTCGGGAAATCTTCACCACCGAAATGTGTCAATACAATCGCAACGAAATGGCTTCATTATTCGCCATTATCGCTGCCTATTTGCCTCAAAGTATCACATTCTTGGACTGAAAAAAGAAACGAAGAAAATGAATCAGCCATCAAGGAGACAGATGGAAGTTTTCAGGGTATTTTCGTCAAAAAAATCAAAGGTAAATGATATAATTGTTTTTCTTTCTTAAATTTTACTTTTAAAAAATTTAATATTTAGATGAGAAGCTTATCATTTCTAGTCAAACAACGATTGTAAACAATGTGACCGATAATGATTCGATCGTTTTAAATCAAAGCCTCGATCAGCAACAATCGAGTATAAGTGGTGATAATTTTGTAAGACCCCTTATTCAAATGAAACCATCAGTAGTTTCCTCACAAGATATGCTTTCATTTGAAGAATGGCGTTCGAAAATATCTGAACAAATGGAACGTGGAAATAAAATGGAAATTGATTCCAAATTCGGTAACGAAATCGGCAGCAAACCTGATCCTGTGATTGACCAGATTAGCGGTCAAAAATCAATGAAAATGACAACGAATCGAGCTCGAAATTTTGCATCTCATGAATGTGGAGCTAAAATTGTTGATTCAAATTCCGAGGCCAATTTCGTCAATCGTGTTCTAAATGAACAGATGGATGAATATATGTTAAATCCATGTAAAATCAAAAATTGGTTCGTCATTGAACTTTGTGAAACGATACAGCCACAATATTTAGAGATGGCCAATTTCGAACTCTATTCATCCATACCAAAAGATTTTGCCGTATTTGCTTGTGAACAGTATCCGAATCGAAATGGTTGTAGTTCATTAGGTAATTTCACTGCCAACGATATTAGATCTTTACAAGGTTTTAAATTGCAAAATAATGGTTTTGTTAAATATTTAAAAATTGAATTGAGTTCATTTTATGGATCGGAACATTATTGTCCCATTAGTTTGATACGAATATTTGGTACAAGCTTATTTGACGAAGTCGAACGTATCGATAATCCGGAAAAATCGTCCATCGATTTTCTCGATGATGATCATAATTCGGTACATGAAGAAGGTACACCAATTTCATTATCAGCTAATTTGAAAGCAAAAAACTTTACCGATTTAGATTTATTGGACAGTGCAAAAAATGCCGTCGTTAATGTTGTTCGAAAAGCATTCAATTGTAAGTTCATTTAATAAACGGATTGGAAATCAATTTATTTTCATTTTTTTTAATTTAGTTACATTATTCCATGAAATATTATTCAATGAAAAAATGGTAAAAATGAATGATACTGATCCAATTTTTGATATGTACAATCAAACTGAAATTGTTCACCTTTATCCACATTTCGAACACATGATGGATGAATGTGAAGCATATTTCTTTTCTGCTAATGAAGCAGATGCTGGCTTGAATCAAACATCGTTACGCATTCCCAATAAATGCCTTTTCTATCAGGTTTTATTTCGTAATCAGCAATTATTTAAATTAATGTCCACTCAATATCTTATACGAAAATATTTTAATAATCAACTGTTTTTTCAATGTGGTGTCTCAAATGAATCTCAGACAATCGATACCACCCCATCTGCGGTGGCGGTTGAGCAGCTAGTCCAATTGACAAATGGAAATAATCATTCCATTAGCCAGAATGTCTTTAATAAAGAGGATCCACAATCGATTGTGGTTAAACTAACGGAAGGAAATCTGCCCACTAAATCTTCATTTATATCTTCTACAATGTTGTTTGCTGATAACATTGAAAGTAATATCTCAGACGTTCCCATTATTAATATTACGACATTGGAGCCATCGTTAACGGAGCCTACAATATCGCAACCCGCTGTGACAATGAATACACTTTTACCTACGAATACTTATCGAACGTCAATTATTTCCACTTCATCCGCTTTCGAATCATCAGATCATAGTTCAAGTTCATCTTTACCATCCCAGCCATCTAATGAAACAAGCCAATTTCAAACTGTTGATTCAATTCAGCCTAATCAACCAATTATAAATCCTTTCACGGAATCAGATGGAGACGTTCATTCATTTAGTTCTATGAGTGGTCAATCAAAAGAAGCAGTTATTGTTCGATTAACAAATCGCATAAAAAATCTTGAGAAAAATATCTCGCTTATGTCTACTTATTTGGAAAACTTAAGTGTTCGCTATCGGAAACAAATGGAAGAAATGCAAGCGATTTTCAATCAAACATTTGATCATTTCAACACATCAGCAAGAGTGGCTGCTGAAAAAGATGCTAGACAACAAGAACAGATAATGAAATTACAGAACGAGATCATGGGTTTGAATCAACGATTCGTTACCTTTTTCAAAGATATTGAACAAAGTAATTGGCTTTTTCTTCGCATTCATCTTGGGCTGATGATCATTGAATTGACTATTGTTGGAACCTGTTGCCTTATATTTTATTTGGGTTTCAAGCATAATTTGAATCGAATATTGAAAACTCATCTTCGTCATGACGATCCACAGTCAACATTTTTATCATCACCAATAGATCTTCAATCCAATACTCAGCAATGCAAAGATGCTAAAGTTGAGTTTTCTGGTATCAAACCATTAAAGGTAAGACATTATAACAAATCTATTTAAATGCAATAATTAAATCGGTTAATTTTTCGCATAGAATATTCAATGGAATCGGTCTAAGTCATTATCCAATTTGGAATCCATGGACACAACTGATCAATATTTCGATTCATTATTTGAAAATAGACAGGATAAATCTGTCGAGCAGAAATTGTGTAAAGCTAATCTTGATTGTAATAAAGAAAATATTCATCGTGATATACATGATCATCATAATTTAAATGATGAACCAACAACTGTTATAGTACCAAAAATTTTGAAAGTTATCAATCAAAATGTTCGTTGAATGTATTTTACTTTTTTTTATATACGTGATATCAAAGTATTTTACCCCTTTTTTCTTTATTTGGGTGCAATTTTTTTTAATTTATTTATTTCATTTTGTAAAATTAACATTTATTAATTTGGATTGAAAAATTAAAATTGAATTTACATTTCCAATCTGAATGGTGAAAATTGCAATAATAATACTCAACCAGATTAGATTGATATTGACATATGCTGAACTGGAGCCGTTACCACATTGTTCCGGTCGTATACATTGGTTATCCTTGGTATTTCGAACCAGTTCCTTTTTGCAGAAACAGCCCTGTCGACATTCCATCGTACACATTCGTGGTCGTTGATTTTTATCGAGAATATCGTCACATGTTGGTGGACAACTTGAACCACATGATAAATATTCTTCATTTGTTTCACAAATATCATAACTATTACTATCGAGATATTGTCCATCGATTACATTGTTTCCGATGATAATCACAATAAATATGACCAAAATTATTTTTTCCATCAGTATAATCATTTTAAGTTAACCGTGTTTACGTTGTTCGATAATAAAAACAGAATGAGTGAAAAAAATGAGTCAAGTATTTTAAGAAAACAAAAATATTAGGCCATCTATGGTAACCAAATCATTAAGAGATAACCCACAAATTGCAATCCCATACAACAACAACAACAACAACAATTCTATAATCTAACATTGTAAACATCCTCAAGTTTTATTGTTATACGATTGTAAATCCAAAGAAATCATTATTCCATATTTCGATTACACACGAATAATATGATTCAATCAAAATAACATGTTGCATGGTAATTTTTTTTTGATCAATCATTTGGAAAAAAGGGCGGTCAAAAATTAATAATCAGAATGTGATAACCATAAACGAATGATTCTTTATTTGACTAGCTTTATTTTAGCAACATATTTACTGTTTAACTTTATAATAAATTTAATTCAAGGCTAATAATCATTCAGGAAAACAGATTGCAACAATATTTGGTCATGGTATGATGATCGCTTAATGTTAAAAAGCCGAAATAATCATTACATTTTGAAAATAAGTTATGAACATAATCATAATCAACAACAAAACAAATATTTTGTGCGGTAGTTATGATTCTAAACAATTTGTTCAAATAGTCATCAGTGATGTGATGATTATGATGATTCGTTTCCGTAGAAACAATCATTTCCTTTGTTTTGTTTCGAGGTTCGAATATTGCCAATAATATAAATCAATTATTTTAATTTGTTCATTTATTTTAATTTTGGTGGCCATTATTTTTATGATAAAGATATCGATATATCTGGAACGGATTTGATTTGATGGCCATTTTGTTGATCGTTAATCACAATACGTGTTTTTGTCCAACATTCATTCATTCGACTTGTTCATTTGAATTTCTGATGTTTTTTTCACTCTGATTAATGGCTAAAATGATAAGTTCAAAGTTCATTTTTTTCTTAAACAAATACCTTTGAACACCTTTTTTTCCACCAAAGAAAGGTAAATGGCCGTGAAACTTGTTTTTTTCATGCATATTATTTTTTCCAATCATGTTATTGTTTTTATATTTGCATTTGATTTTTCGTTCGCACATTTATCATTCTGCCAGCAGACCTTATCATTATGATCATTAAAAGTATTTTTTCTTAGTAACTTACTAGTCAGCGACAAAGGCAACAGTAGATTACAATCGAACGAACTTAAAATCAATGGTCATATATATTTGATGAGTTTTTTTTGTTGAATTTTTTATCCATTGATTTATCCATTAATATATTGTTAATAATTTTTGCACAAAAGCTTGCCGTTCGTCATCATCATCCGAAAGACCAACCAACCAACCAACCAACACCCGAAATTGTTTTCGTCTTTTCAACTGAAAACAGTGAAAGGATCATTGCAAATGTTGCCATTTATAATCATCTTTCTGTTTTCGCTTGGTTAATTGTTTTCATTGACTAGTCATCATTATTCTGTACGATTCATTTTTTTCGTTTCTTTCTGCAGGTCTAAAAATTAAAAAAAAAATAAAAATAAAAAATAAAATAAAATCTGTTCGATTTGAATGATGTTTATCACTGATTCCATAGTCCAATTGATTTGTCTGTTTGCTTTATCAATAAATGGATATGAAGCAAGATATTCTCGACGACCTTTTTACAACTTAGCTCACATGTGTAATTCTATCAAGAAAACGATTGATTTTATTGAACGCGGAGCAAATGGCGTAGAGGTGGATGTTACATTCGAACCGGATGATATTTATCTACATCATGGCTATCCATGTGATTGTTTTCGTTATTGTTGGGATCGTGAATTACTTTCTAATTATCTTAGATTCGTACGACAAGCAACAACACCGGGTAATCCAAGATATTATCCACAATGGACTATACTGTATTTTGATATTAAATTAAAATCATTTTCGGAAGAAGAAAAACGTGAAAACGGTATACGATTTGCCAATCATTTAGCATCGTTTTTCTTTGATAAAACTCCAATCAAATCGACCATTCGATTCATTGTTGCCATTTCATACGCTAGTGATGAGGATTTTCTCTTTGGTTTTATCGATAAGTTTAAAGAATTGGGACTATATGATTCGTATAAAAAGTAAATGTTTTATAGTAATTCGAGGCCGATTTTATTCAATTTTTTCTTAGTTTTTTAGGATTCGACATCGGTATCGAAAAAGATGTCAATCGTGTACGGACCATTTGGAATCGATTAGACATTACGAACGTTTGGCAAGGAGAAGGCATTACTAACTGTTTAAATCCAATTGTTCCTAATCACTTAGAAAAATTGGTTCAAATTCGTGATGGCCGAATGTCTTATTTTTCCAAAGTTTATCGATGGACTATCGATTTAACCGATTCACTTAGATCGGTTATGCAACATCAAATTGATGGTGTAATGACAAATCATCCCGAACGTGTCATTAATATTCTCACAAAAGATCCAGAATTCTCTCGAATATATAGATTGGCAACAACTAAAGATGATCCGTTTCAAAGAATACGCGCAAATCGACGGACTCGAATTCACAATAATGTTAATGGAAAATTTAAACGCGCAATACAGGAAATCTCCGATTCATTTGTTTATTTTATTCGGGAAATTTTCAAGTCAATTTTCTAGGATTACAAAAAATTTTATTATCCTTTTTTTGCTAATATGTAAAATTTTGTTTTGTTGAAAACTCGTTTTTTATTTATTTATATGATGTCTGGGAAAAAATTCTAAGCTTTACCACTGCGAATGACAATAAAAATGCCCACCAAAAAGCTTAACATTGATAAACTAAAAGAAATTTTTGTCATAAAATTATGCGACATTTGTGCCAATAGAAAGGATAAAACTACAACCAAGGATTCAGTAATAACGAATATGTGCAAAAGTAGATCAGCTATACGTAATCCAAATTGACCGGTTATTGCGGCAAATTGTCCAACAATGCCTACGATAATTGTAGCAGCTCCAAACATTAAATCATTACGATCCAACGACATCATTACATAGGCATTGAGAAATATATCGAATGTAAGAAGAAATAAAAGTAAAGCTCGGGCCAGAATAATCGTATATGAATCGTTGCTATTTCTAACATGATACGATTCATGATCAAATAGAATTTCCGAATTTCCGTCAATATTTCGTTGTTGTTTGGGATCCATAAAGATTTTTATGGCCATGTTGATGATGAAAGCCACTTTATCATTCGAATTAACAATCACAATAATGATGACAAAAGAATGAACGGTAATTTAAATCATAATTGAAGACGCAGTTTCGTTTGAAAACAATAGCGGATTTGTTTACAAATTTATGCTAACAGCGCCACCGCTTGGATTTTTGTATCTTTAAATATAATATCCTTGATAATAATAAAAAATCAATGTTACATCTCAGATTTATTATTATCAACGATAATAATGGTAGAGATGAATAAAAGTAATTTTATATCTAAAGATAAGCTAATAATAAATCATAATGATGTTTTCAGAAAAAGTTTCAAATGTTTTGATTCTGATACTATTGTTCGGATCAATTAATTTAATTGAATTACCATCTAAATGTGGTCGAAGAATTAATCACTCATTATTAGAATATCGAATTGTCGGTGGTGATTTGTCACAAATTAACCAATGGCCATGGCAAGTATTCATCAATATTACAGTTGATTTTGGTCTCATAGCCAAACAGATTAATTGTGGTGGTTCGATTGTGAATGAAAATTGGATTCTTACCGCTGCACATTGTGTTCCCCATTTCGTTCGATCTGGATTGAAAGTGAATATCGAAGCGATTTTTGGTGCAGTGGATTTGAAAAACAGTAATGGCATACGTCGAAAAGTTGTCCGTTGGTTGGCCCACGAAAAGTTCGATTATGTGAACAAACAAAACGATATAGCGCTAATGCAGTTAAATGAAAGTGTTTCGTTTGATGACAATACAAAGTTAGCTCCAATTTGTCTGTCTAAATTAGATCACAGTAAACTTAGAATACCGATCTGTTATGCAACTGGATTTGGTTTTGAGAATCGATTTTTTCGACAAAATGATCATCAATTACGACATGTTAAAGAGTTAATTATAGATGAAAGAAAATGCCGTCAATATTATCCCGACATCAATAATAGTACACAAATTTGTGTCGATGCAGATCTTGGTGGTGGCCATGGGACTTGTTTGGGTGATTCAGGAGGTCCATTACAATGTTTTCATACAGACAAAAATCGATGGTATCAGATTGGATTAATTTCATATGGGGAACCTTGTGCATTACCCGAAACGCCTGATGTTTTTACAAAAATCGAATATTTTTATGATTGGATATTACAGCAACAATAGACGTTTATTGAATAAAAATATTTTTATTTATCTATTTAATATCCTTCGTTTGACCAGGTCACCTTATAATCTGGATATTTTTTTGATATTAAATCACAGCTAATTTTGTGATCTGCTTGCCCAAACCCTTGAGAATAACCATAAACATGAATCGTTTTCTTTTCAGATGAATGTTGAATTCGACCACCGCCAACACATTCATATTTGAATTTGCTATCTTGAGGAGCTACAACATCAAATATGTCGGCTGCATCAATAATGAATTTAATTTGATTAAAACATAAAGAAAAGAAAATATTAAGTATTACCATGATAAGCAGCCCATTTATAGCCTCGAACTAAAAATTTAGATTTATCATCATCAATTACTTTGATGAGAATATATTTAAAACGACCATTAGAATCAATGTCAACATCGGGCAAATCGTCAATGTTTGTAACGCGTGACATTCTTCAAATGTTTATAATTTGTTTCATCAATTTTTAAATGAGATATCCAAATGTTTGTCGATGAAACGAGCCTATCGATAGTATCGCGATATGGCATGTGTCTGTTCTACGATTGACTCGTCGTGTGTATACGTTCGAAAATAAATTTTCTCTGGTTCCATGACTGTTTATTCGTTAATATTCTTTTCACTCGATCCAAAATCATTTACAACCATTTCAATGTTTAATTAAACAAAAAAAAAACTTCATTCTTACCAATTCGAATGTCATTTTTTTCATCATGTCCAATGGTGTAAATGGTACTCGATCATTTTCAATGATCAACAATCGTAATACCTTTATAGAAATTATATTATAAAAATTCTCACTAATCTTTATTTTTGTTATTAGAAATAGATGATTCTTCATTCAAAACGTTGAAAATATTCGATTTAAAATTACGAACAAAATGCATTTACATAGGCAAAACAAAAAATGACATTTCATTTGTTGAAATTCGGCCTGATCGTATTGTGTTTAACAATCTAATTTCTCAAAATAAGTCAACAAAATACAATATTACATTGCCGTACGTGGAAATGACAGTCATACGTTATTGTTTCTGTTCGAATGTTTCAGCCATATTTATCCAACCAATTTATGAGTCGTTTCTAAAATTATCTGATTGGATTAAAAATACTGGAGCAAACCATGAAACCCATCAAATTTTGAAAAGGTTAATACCGGAAAATTTTGTTATGATCAACCTCGAAGCTGTTATTAATCGTACACACCTGGATGAATTCTGTAAAGCTGCCAAGAATTGCCAGCCGCGATTACGGATTATCGAGATTAATATTTCATTAGCTTCTGCATATCTTAATCAACCGAATAAATTATTTCAATTGAATCAAATTGTATCATCTACGTCTAGTGACGATAGCTATAATCATTTAAAACGAAAAAAAGATGATAAAACTGAAGAAGTTATCGATATCGATGATGAAGATGAAGAAAAACATGGCGATAATCAGGAACAGGAAAAATCTAATGAAAAGAATAATATATTAGATCAGGCAATCCTAAAATATCCGAACGATGAAGATATCAAACCAATCATCCTATACGGCCACGATCTAAAATGTTTACGTGAAGGCCAATACCTAAACGATAACATAATGAATTTTTATCTCAAGTATTATCAAATTAATGGACAGATTTCCCAGGAAATAGTAGATAAGATGTACATATTCGATGCTTTATTCGCTACGCATTTGCTGAATGTGAATACCCGGAAGCGTCAATTCAAGTATATACAAAATTCAAAAATGGTTGTATGCTCTAACCATGATAGCCTTGAAAATTCTTACCATAAGGTTTTAAAGAAATGGACCAAAGATATCGATATATTTTCGAAAGATTTTCTTCTTATTCCATTAGTCATCAATGGTCATTGGTTTTTAATCATCTTATGCTATATTGGAAATGTGATTAGTAACGCAAATAATTCAACCAACTCGTCTTTGATGATGATTACTCGACAGCAGAATGATGTGGCAGCAAAGCGACCAACATTAATTGTGATGGATTCTCTTGACTGTAAGAATAATCGTAGTCAAATACTTTCCTGTATAGTCCGTTATTTGCGACTTGAACTCAAAGAGAAACATTTGATTGAAACTTCGAAATTTGAATTTAACTTCAAAAACATCTCCGCCGTTGTACCACAACAACAAAATTCATATGATTGTGGCCTTTTTGTACTGGAATATATCGAACGATTTTTGAAGGACCCCGAAGATATCTACAATAGACTATTAAGAGATAAATCAGCTCTTCATGATTGGTTTGATTCAACAACATTGCACCATAAACGAGCAAAAATTCAACAAATCATATTGAATATGTTACTTCCTGATGATGCGAAAAATCTCGAATATCAACTAACACAAATTCAACTGGCCGAACATCGTCGTTTGCGAAATGGAATCATATGATTATTGAACATTTTTAAATTTGTAATCAAAAATTGTTGAAATCCGATATTAGAACATTTTTGTTGTAATTTTTCTTTATGAAAAATTTTATTTTTACTTACAATGAATTCATACACATCATATAATTTTTTTAAAAATCATTTATGAATACAACAAAAAACTGTACCATCACTCAGTTAACGTTAAATTCTCGACAAAATCAGAAAAGTATAATTTTTACATTTTAATTGTAAAAAATAGTTATGTTCGTTTCATAGAAAAAGCGTTCAAGATAAAATTTAAATCAAGCGTATATCGCTCCTAACATACGAAAATCTTTCGACTGTATGTTTGTTTGCACTGATTGATTACATTCGACGATTATATTCGATTATTGTTGATAATAATTTGATGCCAGTCGTTGATTAAATCGAATGTTTGATGATAGAAACAAAAATTATGAAATACAAAATCTTTCTATACAACACATCATATGCTTTTTGTGCATGTTGGTGTGCATACTGTCGATTTAGAATCATCAATTCAATTTTTCGATGCGCTTTGTATAGCTAATTCAATCCATCATCATTGATTAATAATAATCGATTCAATCAGACAATAGCCATGATCAATCGTTGGTTGATTGCATTTGCTTGTGGCTGGGTCAATCTGTTCATATTTTCCGTATTTCGTTCATCCGGTCTGGTCTATGTAAAAATACTTGAATTATTTGATTGTTCATATCAACAGGCTGCTTATTCCGTTTCATTGGTTGGTAGTGTTGCATCGACTACCGGGATCGCTTCCGGTTTTCTTACTCATTATTTTACTCCAAGATCATTGATTATGATTGGCATACTAATATGTTCGGCATCAATTAGCTTAACGTATTGGGCCAATTCGATTCATTTTGTCATCATTTCTGTTGGAATATTACAAGGCATAGGAATTGGATTTGTCACGTGTCTATTGCCTGCCGTTCTCAATTCCCATTTTAATCGACAAAAATCAATTGCTTTGGGTATTTCATATGCTGGAGCAACTTTGGGTGCATTCATTTTTCCATTGGTCATACAATGGATGTTTTCAACTTATGGTTTTCATGTTACTATGCTCATTTTGGGTGGTAAGTCTAATTTGACATTTGATATAAACTTTTTGCTATCATTTATTTTCTTTCTCCCCTCTATCAAGGTGTCATTCTGAATGCCATTATAGGCGCCATATGGTTGAAGATTAAAGACAATAACTTTGAATATGAACAAGAAGAACATCAATCGCCTGTACATCAAATCCCTATGGAAATTACCCGAATCACCTCTACGGAAGGTTCTATTGATTGCAACAACGAAGAGAAAAGTGTTGAATTTTGGCAACAATTCAAACATAATCTCATAAAAGACTATCGACTTTTATCAAATTTTCGATTTTTTCTTTGTTCATTTACTTACATTAATTTTATCATCGATTTTATTGCCTTCATCATCATTCTACCCGATGTGGCTAAAGATCGTCAAATTTTACCAGCAGATGCTAAGTGGTTGTTATCCATATTTGCCATCACCGATTTTGCTGGTCGTTTAATACCAGGTTGGCTTTCATTTTGGAAGCTTACATCAGATAAATGCACATACATCATGTCAATCTTAATTCTTGGTTTGTGTATGCTACTTTTAGTCAATATTGAATCTTGGACGAATTTCGTTCTTGTTACATTACTATGTGGATTTGTTACTGGCTGTCAAATGGTTTTATCACCGGTAGTGTTGGCCGATTATTTTGGCACCGAAAATACTGCCATTGCATTCGGTATGGAAAATTTTATCTGCGGATTACTTTCAATGTTTCTTCGACCAATGATAATAGGTAAAAGGAATTTATTTTAATGTATAATTATTTTAAACAATTATTATTCTATTTACAAACAGGTATAAAAGACATTCATGGCACCTATTACTATTTAGGCTACATCTTATTTATTAGCACCATCATCAATATAGCCTTGTGGATATTTGAAATTGTATTTCGTCAAAAAACATTAATTGCACAATGATTGTTGTCTAATAGAATTTTCATTTCATTTCAATAACTGTCATCGGTTTATTATTATTGTCGTTGTTAATGACTGCTTTACTAGTATTGATGGTCAATTGATTTGAACGACTTGCTTTTAATCGAATTTCTCCAAAAGACCAATGACGTTTGCCAATATAAGTTGAATAGATGTTAGCGAATGGACATTCGACAAATAGATAAATGATTAAGGCAAAACAAAAACTATATACCCAATTAATAATGAATTCGTTGAACTGTTGAAAAAATTTTAACAAAAAAAAAAATTAGATTTCGAAACAGAATTAGACAAAAGATTACCATTGTATAATGATCAAAAACCAATGGTTGTCGTGCGTATGCATATCGAACCCAGGTAATAATGAAATGAATCAGATAAATTGAATAACAAAGTTTGCTGATTGGTGTGAAAATTTGGCTACTTAAAAAATCTTTGACTAAATGACAAGTATGAGTTATTTCACAAAAGAATATAATATAGGCGATCGATAAGGACCAAGCAAGACGATGAAATCCTGCATACAGGCTTTGAATAATCATCGGTGTTTGTGGATATGTAGTGAATAAATAACCACTGATAACGATCAATATCATGAACAATAAAGCTGGAATCCATAAATAGGGAAAAAAATTGGGCATTCTAGGATTAGGTTGTTGGTTTTTGTATGTAACCAACAGATAACCGGTTACAATACCGACTAAATATGGTGTTAAATGAAGATAAGTTGGCATATATATTTCGAACATTTCTCGATACATTTGCCTTAATAAAAGTAATTTGAAAATGAATTTTTGACAAAAAAAAGAAGACAATTTAACTTACATTTCGTCAATCTGGTTGAACAATATGGTCGGATGAAATTGTTTCATGTAAAAATGAATGGTAATCAATGTACAGAATAATAAATTACAAACACTCATTCCAATTATGGCTCGTTTCTGAAATCGATATATCAAAAAGATGAATAAAAAACTGAGTAAAAATAACTGAAATTCAGCCGATAAATACCAAGTATGCACCTGGCATAGATTCTTGGTATCAGAACGAAGATTAGCCGTGAATGATATAATCATCCACCAACTTTGATAACAGCCATTTACTTGTTGATCCATTATTTCTGACCACAATGGACCTTGACCGAGATTCGGTATGAGGAACACTAAGGCAACAATCAACCATAATAATGGCCAAAGTCGTATAATACGATTTGAAATAATTTGCACAATGTTGATTCGCTGTTTTGATTGTAATAATCTAAATGAATTATATGAATGAAGTAAGGCGCTCATTATGAAGAATATATCAACGGCGGGCCAGGCATTGAATAGAAAATACATTTTCATATCAAACAATGATTCAATAAAACGTGTACTCGATCGAAATGCTTCTTTTACTGATAGTAGATAAGCATGACCGTATACTAGCCAGATCATTGTCAATACTCGAAGACCGTTAATGGATGCGAAATTTTCGGTACTAGGAGGTTCGAGTAAAGCGATAATGTTTTGCTTGATTGAAATGCGTCGTAACAAAAAGTGCCATTGATTTTGATCGTTTTCATGCCATATTGGTAATAATTCAATCACTGTTGCAGTAATGATGCTAACGGTTATTAAAGTGAATATGGCCAAAATTGATATTTGAAGTGGCGTAAAATGTTCAATATCTGATAAGGTTTGACAGCTATCCACATTGACGACAAATTTGTCAATTTTTAACAAATAATCAACAATTGTTTGTAGATCGTTTTTGCTGCATCCAGAAGGTAAACAAAGTGCCGTACGACCTTGACGAACTTTGAAATAATGAGCGTAACGTAAGAAATCGGTGAAAAACTGAAAGAAATAAAAAAACAATTGCTTGATTGAAATCATAAAACAGAGGCCTGCTTACAGTCGATTCTAATGCGGTTCCAGTCGTATTGAAAATTAAATCCTGTGTGATCAAATGAGTTCGGTTTGTAGGAACAACGGCATGATATTTGAGCAGACAATATTGACCATGAATATTTTCATTGGGCAAACTACTTTCGCCAGCATGAAGACATTCATCAAAATCACCAAAATTTGTATAGGTACCAGCCAATATTCCAGATGATACAAAACCACTGGCATCAAGTATTCGATAGGCCCAAGATTCTTGTTTAACTAATGCCATCAGGAAATCTGTCATAGATTGTTCACATTCGATTGAAATTTTTTGTTCAGTAATCAAATCGCTTTGCATTAATGATTCGGAAGCCATGTCGACAATAGCATTGTTAATCTGGCTTAATATTGAACTATATGCTAACCAAGGAGCCAGAATATTATCATTTTTGTCTAAAGTTTTCCAATATTCGGAAGATACGGCATGACCAAACTGTTCAATATTATTGCGAAGATTGGATGTTGAATCATAGATTGATGTTCGATTTGTTTCATCTTGAACGGTAAATGTAAAAAATATTCCAAACCAAATCAATAAAATCAATTTGAATGAAAATTTATTCATTTCAGTTTGTAATTTCAACATTATCGCGATAAATGAACAATAATCTATCCAAAATGAATTTGATTAAAATGTATAAACTGTGATCAAATGCGGGTTTTATTTGCTATTTACATCAAAAATTATGGGCAGTACTTTTCTTTTCATTATTCAAGTTCATTTTTTACTTCAACAAATTAGTTGTCTTTTGTCTTAGAAAAAAGGGGGAAGGATCAGATCGGTTTTTTCGATGCAATGTCGTAACAATTATGATTCGACGGAGCATCGTTTCACAATCTGTAATTGTGACCAATAACCGTCTATCATCATTTCCGATTGAGATAGAACCCAAAAAGGGAAGGATCTTGAAATTAAAAATAAAATTGAATTTTGTTACTGATTTAATTCCTTAATATTTTATTACGTTTTTTAAATTTTTTTCTACACATTTTTTAAATCAATCATAATAACAATTGTTCATTTTTTTCATCTAATCATAATAAAATATTTAATAATTATCCGGATTTGTATGAAAATTTTTCATCGAAAAAAATCCGATAAATCCGATTATAAGTGAAAGAAAAAAAACAAAATCGAATTTACGAAGCGAAATTACAATCCAAATTTTTTTTTTTCAAACAAATTTTCTCAACCAGATGGCAGCATCAAGCAATTACATTACATTGAGATTGCATGTTGCCACACCATGCATCTAACAAATTCGAATGCTACTACAATTAAGTTTTGTTTCCACTCTATTTAAACGCTTATCAAACCACTCATATATGAAAAAAAATTCCGAGCTTACAATCGAACACATACAAAATAAATTGTTAGCTCGCAACGTTTTTTATTATGTTCATTTTTTCCGTAAGCTTCATGGTAGCTTGATGTTCGAAAGACAAATTCCAACGCCAATTTCTATCGCCTTCGTCGTCTCATAGTCTCTTAACGTTTTCACATTTTCATTTTTTTTCAACTTGGACAGTATACAATTTCTTAACCTATTCATCAACAATTAATCACATAACTTATTTGATTAATCCATAATATTCGGTATTAATTCAATATCAATGCTTGTACAATTTTTATTATACGAGAAAATTCAATTCCATAAATCGTGTTTCTCCCCTTCTGTTTTTTGTTGTTTCTACTACCAAACAAAAAAAAAAATCTGGTGAATTTTGAAAGATTTTCCGATTCTTTTCTCTGTTTTAAATTTGCCTTTTATTGTTCTTTTGGGTATTTCCTATGATCCAAAGAGAAAAAACGACACAATTTACCTAGCGGATGGTGATGATGGATCATTTTTTCTCATTTTCAATATAATACTCAAATACATAGATTTTTTTTATTAACGTAGAAACTTGTATACTCATCATTATCGATCGTCCGTTTGGAGTCACTGCAATCGTTCGTATGTTTTTACATACGTACTTTTTGTATCTAGGACAAGCAAAGCGATCACAAGTGATGATGTGCGATTTCATCAATAAACAAGTCTTTTTGTTAAATGTCGTTATACAGGCGTTTTATGATTTTTCTATTATCATTATTATAAATCCAGGGCAATGGTGGTTCTGCTTCTTTTTTTTATGTGTTTTGTTGAAGAAAAACTAAAATGTTCGATATTTTTTTTCTTCAACAAGCACATTGAAAAACACAAGTTGATATCTGATAGTGGAAAAGATCATTATTGGTATAAATAATTATTTTATAATCGATTAATCAATTTAAATGCTCGAATAGATTAGCTTTATTTAGTTGATTGGTTTACGTTTTTCGTAATTTTTATTCACCGAAATTCTAATCTAAGGTCCCCTAATTTTTTTATTTGATTTTCAATTTTTTTCTAACTGATCAGATGAGAAGAAACAAGATAACTAAAATTTTCAATGAAATAATTTTTCTAACCATCCGAATTCTTTTTCTTATTTTATTTTCCATATTGTATAGTTTTTTTTGAGAATCATTTGAGATCATTAATTTCAAGGAGAGTACAAATTCGATTTTTTCCAGTTTAAAAATTGGATGCCAGGAAATTTTTTATAATGGTAATTTAGCAATATTTCCATTTTTGTTTGTGATCGATTCAATGATTGAAATGTTTTTTTCTCTTCACTGTTTTAGGCTCCAATAAATCCAGTCCAGATATTAGATGCCTTTACACCACTATTGACAGAAAATGGTGGCATCAAACCGGTAGAGGATCAAACACAATTCCAGAAAATTTACGAGTATGTGTTTTACGAATGGCGATGAATTTCTTTTATTTTTTATGCAAACAAAATTTGAAAAAACTAATCGGATTGTAAAATTTTAATTTTTTTTCCATAGTGTAATGAAAAGTTGTTCAACAAAATTGGTTTCCAAATGTATTTACTATCAAATTCTTATTTCAACAAGCCCGGAAGTGTTGGAACAGTAAGTATTTTCATATCATCATTTTGATAAAATAAATATAAATATAATATATAAAAATCAACAATTTTAAACAATTTTTAGATTTCTTAAAATTGGTGGATGGGACCTTATCTGTTTATGGGTGAAATCGTCACGCGATATTGGCAACGTTACATTTTTGTTGGACCTATTAAAATTGTTACACATATTACCAATGAATATTGATCGTTTACGTGAGAATGAGTGTCCAAAAATTGTTAAAAAATTGTGTAAACATGAAAATGAACAAATAGCATTGAAAGCTAAACAAATTATTAAAAAATGGACTAAAATTATACAGACATTGTCCACAACGACGACGACGAACTCTTCGTCATCGTCATCAGATAAAATCAATAGTAATTCGGGTAAAGAGAAAAAACGTAAATCATTTGATAATTCCTCCTCCTCCTCACCATCATCATCATCATCGGATTATCTTAGTATTAAAAAAAGTAAATTATCAAATTCTACGGATACAGAAACAGAGGTAATAGCGATGAATAAATTAGATCGTTCATCGAATGAAGCAATAACTGACGTATATGAAACATATACGGCAGACGAAATGAATAAACTTATGTTAGAAAAACCATCGGCATCAAGTGAAACGATTATAACTGCAAAACGTCCTGTTACGGCTAAAGTTAAACCGGGCAAATTTCGTCTCGATCTTTCTGTGCCGTCGACAATCAAGAATGATAAAACCAAAAAATTGAAAAGTAATCAAAAAACTGATCAAAGCAATAATGATCAATCGATAAAAAAATTGCTTTCCAAAGATAAATCTTTCAAGGTTACTTCACCTACTCCTGCTAACCGTATTATTTTAAAGGTAAATTTCAGCCAATCAAAAATTATTCACAATTCTGATTTTTTCATTAACAATCACAACTTGTTTATCTAACATCAATTTCTGATCATTACTTTTTTCTTTTGTTTTCATCCATCCTGTTTGAAATTTTTGAAAAAATTGATTAAATTTTTTAGGATTCGAAGAGCTTTATGGATGCCCTATCGATGATGCCCATAACCAATGTTGTCAAAAAAAGACGTAAAACAACGATGAAATTACCTACAACAACACCGACGTCAACTTCAGCTTTGGCTTTGAATGCAAATAATATTAGTACTGATAATATGAAACGAGATTCATTTGCATTAAATGATAAATCAAATAGTAATACTTCAGAAATTGCTATAAATAATATTTCATCATCAGAAAATTGTCAGGATAATGAATCTAATAAGATTAAAAATGAGATCAGTCCAACACTGACTATAACTAATGATTCTGATCTTAGAAATCATTCTGATTCAGGATCAAATGATAATATCAGCAACAACAATGATGATACTATAAATGATGGTAATCTTTCTGTAAAATCTACAACAAAATCTGTCGCTCCCAGATTTTCATTCTATAAAGATATCCTTGATGAAAAATGTGATGGTCATGATGATAATGTTGAGAATGATGCTTCTTCGAAATTGAATAGTAATAATAATACAATTTTAAATGATGATTCCGCTAATAAAAATAGCGATGCTAGCGACGTTACTGCCAATAATAGTAAAAATATTGTAGTTAATGTCCATTCAGAAGATGAAAAATCAATTTCAAATAGGCAAAATGATGTTGGTGATAATGTTGATAATGATGATGATAAAAAGTTGGATTTCAAATCAAATGCAACAAGTGTTACATGTTCGGTTAATTCTTCCAAACCGAAACCAATATTATGCTATATACGCAAAAATTCCAAAAAACGTGTTAGGTACGCATTTAGGATGACTTTGTTTTTGATCGATAACTGATTATCGATTTCTTTTTTTACACAGGTGGCCTGATGATGATACTGATTTGGAGAAGGTCAGATATTTTGAACTTGACGAAACGGAACGAATCAATGTGACCAGACCGTCGGCCGATATGAAACGATTTGATATGAAACATGAAGCCCAAATGATGAGTGATGCTAAAAAGAGTCGATGCTTTAGCTATGCACCATGGCATCTAATACCGATAGATATAGATCCATCTAATATTCTTGTCGAACGTGGGAAAGATTCTCGTGAACGTATTATACAAATGGAACGGATGCAAACAACTTTAGAATGTTTTTACTTTCATAATCAATTGCCGGATAGTGCCGATGAACCGGATCATAATGCTTATGAGCTTATGTCCGATTTATCTAGTCAAGATATTAAAACAAAAATTATACCGTTAGAGGATGAGAATGCAAACACAATGGATAGGGCAGTTATTCAGGACTATTCTTCAACAATGGATCAACCACAACAGCTTCCACCTCCAATAATTGATCCTATTGCATATAATAATAATATGCCATTTAATGTGGGTGGTGGCCCAATAATGGATAATGGTGAAAATTATATTCAAAGTTCTGGTGAACAAAGCTATTTGCCACCACCATCTCAAACATTGCCTTTCAATCACCAACAGTCAATGGGTTCACAACAATCTAATTATAATACCGGAACTCTTCCATATCAAACCAATCTTCCAACAAACAATTACAATGATAACAATATGGGGCTACCGCCACCTAACCATCAACCGTTTGATCATCCACCACCGTCTACGAATAATAATTTCAATAACGATTATAATTCTTATCGACAACCACCAGTTTTCAATCCTGCGCCGCCATTTTCTGATTTTTCGAACGTTCCCCCACCATCTAATAATAATAATAATTTTGGTGCTGGAGCGCCCCAATTTTCCAATAATAATCAAGGTTTTGGTCCTCCGCCATTATCACAACCCATTCAATCGAATGATAATTACTGGCCCGAGCCGAATTTCGGAAATAATACTAATCCAAACAATAATCATCTCAATCCTAATTATCCGCCTGGTGGACCACCACAACCAAGTCTACCGCCTCCACCATATCATCAAGGTCCACCTGGCCCAAGAATGTTTCGCCCAAGAGGTTCAGGTGGTGGTCCACGAGGTCCACGATTCTTTGGTGGACCTCGTGGAGGTGGACCAGGCGATATGTGCAGATTTTTCTTTAAAACGGGAAAATGTAAATTTGAAAATCGTTGCAACTATTCGCATGTGATGGATCAGCAAAAGCCTCCTATTCGTTTCTAAAATTCATTTGCAATTCAATTGTACATTCTTTCATTCAATTTGTAATTGCACACACAAATTCATACTCGTCAAATGCTCATAAAAATTCTAACTTTGTACATTTATCAAATTACATCTAGTTTATTTTTTTTTCGAAATTCTTTCTTTACCATGAGAATTACATTGATTGTTATTCAATTATTATTTGTGTTTAGATCATATATAGAAATTTCTAGATCATCTTTCATTTAATTGCATGGCTTTTTTGTTATTTTTGTTTATTTGAAATTATTTTCTTTGACCATAATAATGAAAAATAAAATTCGAGATATTTTTATGTTTATATTAATCTTTAATGATAATTTTATCAACTAATCCGTTACCAATAATTTGAAAATCTTCGACCAATGATGCCATATTGATGACAACATTATCTGTAGATAATGAATGAGATGTACCAGCTAATTTAGTCGCTTCAACTGATGAATATTTGAAGGGTCGTGTTTCAAGTATCTCTGGTCGCAATAGAACTCCAATTTCACGTCCACCATATTGATCATAAAAAAATAGGGCAAAATTATGATACGCTTTTTTCAACATAGTCAGATAAATGTATGCCGGATTATAATCGACGATCGGCATCGAATGTTGCTCATTATCAGCTGAATATAATGCGTGCTTGATTTGAATATTATCGGGAAAATCGAATGATTCATGTTTGTTTGGCAGAAATTTTGTATTCAATTTGATAATCATATCAAACATGCTCATATTCATTTTAAACAATGATTTCAGTTTGATAGGTTTAAATAATTGAAGCGATTCTCGCAATTGATCGTGTTGAATTCTTGCCAACCTTTGTAGATGAAATACTATTTGTGTATCCGGTGATAATCGAGTATGTTGTGACAGCTTTCGATCATGTCCGGTGACAATGGTAATAATAGGCCAATTGGCTCTTTGTTCTTGAAAACTTTGCCGAATACTATCCATTCGTTCGATTGTAAGTGAATTATTGAAATTTAAAAAAATTAAATTCTTGACAAAATCAAAATGACCGATAAAGTCAAGAACGCGGATGAACATGGTCAAGTGTGAACTAAAAAGATAAAATTAAGCAAAAATCATGGATAAAATAATTATTAAAATGTAAACTTACTTATTAGACGGATAAACATGACTGTCATGTTGAAAGAGATAGGCAACAAGCAGATCGATTGTTATTTCTTCAAAAAAATGTTTGATCATTTGTCGCGATAGCCAACGTTTGAATAGACGACAGGTGAGGTCATAGCAAAAATTTTCATTTTGAAAAGCGTTCAATGAACCACAAATTGCCGGTAATACTTGTGTTTTGAATTCAATCTGATCAGCCTCTATATTTCCAGAGAATTTTGGCCGTTTAGTATTGCTCGATATTTGTCGATGAATCGAAAGTTCTTTTTGTAATGCTATGATTAAACGAAAAACAAATCCTTGTATGTAGATATCCAGATGGGATGAATTCAACTTTACGAATACATTCTGACAACATTCTCGTAATGATTTAGCCAATTCATGGATTAGTAGATATTTTTGATTTTGAAATTCTTCCAAATTATTTGAAAATTTTTGTCCGATTGCATCAAGACGGACAACCAAATTTATTGGTCGTATGTATTTGATTTTATCTTCCATGGCGTTACAATCAAAAATATTGCATTGATTTTGCACATTTTTCGGCCTGGAATTGATAGGCAATGGTGGATACACATCGGTATGACGAGCTGCTGGATCTATGTTGACTACATCATTAACCTTGAACGATACATTTTTCAGATTATGTAAATGTTTTTTGATCATATTGATTGTTTGATTGATCAAAGAAAAACATTCTTCTCCTGTTCCATAATGAAATTGTGGATCATTAAATTTGAGATTTCTCATCTCTAGCATTTCGTCCAGATAATTGTAAGTCCATGAGATGGCATTTAATTTCAGATTCATTCTTCGGTTCATTACATGCTTGATAGCATTTAACACTATCAAACGACGATCACTGAATGTTTGCGCTTCCCAAACAACACACTCTCGTATATCACCATTTTGAAATCGTCGTATTTCAGAACGTTTAGTACCCCAAAGTTCACGAAAATTGTTGGCTTCTGGTTGGTTGGCCATTGGACCTTTAATAATTTGATCAAGAAAATTTTCTCGTCTGATTAAAATGCCAAAAACAATCGATCTGGTTGATGTAATCGGCTGGGCGTTTAAGTCCCATGATTCTTGATGAAGATAATTTTCTGGTTGAATCAATGTCAGACGCTCGCCTACAGCTTGTTGGATCAAATTTTGAATATCAAGAACCATAGTTTGAGTCAAATTTTTTCCACATTGGATATAAAATTTTTGATTTTTTAGTTGATCTTGTTTTAAACAATCGCCTAAAATGCTAATAAAAAAGTAAAGCTGTCAGAGCGGGAAAGATATTTAACTAAATTTAGCTTACCTAATGGAAAAGTCAAAGTATGAAGTAAAATTGATGCTGTTCTGAAAAATTTCATCAAAATCAACTTGTTTAGAATTGAGAATTTTAATTGTTTGATGACAATCTAATTTAATTCTTTCATAAATGCCTTGATTCAAATTATAACACATATTTGAATTCGAACTAGATTCAATAAGGTTGACAGAAAAATTTTTCATATAACATTCTTTGTCGACTTCTTGGATATTGTCATCGACAAAATTGATAACAAGAGGATTCGTTTGCCAATCAGAATCTTTCAATTTGCTCAATATTGTTTCGAATATTTGAATCGATGATGAATTAGGATTCAACAAGTTATTTTCCAACAAATAACAAGTTAACAGTGTCACAATATGTGCAAAGTGCCTACGCAGATTTCGTTTATCCAGCCAAATTCGCATTAGAATAAGTGAATCCTTAACATTTGAATGATTCGAAATGAGATTTTTCATGTATTCACTGGCTTGTACAATAGTTAAATCGTTGAGAATAGTTTGATTATAATATGGTGTCGATTCAAATTCTTCGTTCGTGATCAATGCTTTATTCTGAATAAGACATTTAGTGGGATGAAAAGTTTTATATACGAACGTTTTTCCATATGATGCTGTGGCAAAAATGTTGAATCGATAGTGTAAGCCAAGTTTACCCGTAGGTATCAAATGAATGCAAGTATTGAGATGATCACCATTGAAACGCCTAAATTGTAGGCCCAGTATTAGATCGTTGCAATGGTTCAAATGCTGAGCAATATATGCAAGATAAAAGGCTCGTTTATAATGATAAACAAAATCCATGTGATCTTTTTTCTGCCAACAAGATTTCGGAATTTCCAAAAGAAGATCAATTTCAAAATGATCATCATTATTTCGGCTATTACACTGCAATGCATAACTTCCAACAACATGAACAGCAACCGGAGATTGAAAGAGAAAAGAAGCTTCGCATTTTTCGAATAATTGTTCATCGATCGGACATTTAACATTGATGAGTAAATTGGAATTCAATTTCTGTGCTGGAACATTCTCAAGCTGAGATAATCGTAATCTTAACGAATCGATCCAAGTGGTAATTTTTGTTGCATTTTTCTCGCCGATTCTATGTCGTAATAAAATATTTTCTACCTTTTAATAAAGTAATAGGAAATTTAAAATATATTAACTAGATCTGCAATGTTTTTAATCACCTTTTCAATTTTAGCCATTCTTTTCTAAAAAAAAATTAAAAAAACAAAATGGGACAAATTATAAATTCCAAAAATAATATTCACATTTCAAAACTCAAGGATTCCATGTGTTCGGCATCATTCATAAATGATATCATAGAATGGATAATAGATTTATTTTATGGTCGTTAACATCATTCAATGCCACTACCAAAAATGTACGTTTGAAAATTTTGAATCCATCGTACCAATTTCGATATTCTTGCATTCACAATTGTTCTGTAACTGTAATTTTTTTATTCAATCGAAATAAAATCAAAATAGAAATAGAATTCAATCTCTTATCAAATCAATTCATCGCAACTACACGATCACAGCATAAAATCCATTTTCCTGTTCCTCGTGAACGTGAGTATCATTACCTTTCTCTTTTCATTGTTGATTCCTTATTTTTTGACTCCTTAATTTGTTTTTTTTGTTTAAAATTATGTCCAAACTTAGTGATTCAAGAATGCGTGTATTTGGCGACATTAAAAATGGTCTAGAATTGCCCAAGATAAACTTTAATAAACAACAACAAGAGTCGAATAACGGAAAAGAAGTTAATTTAAACTTGAAACACTCAAATACTACTAACACGAACGTAATCGCTGGTGCAAGAATTTTTAAATCATCAAAAAATCACAGTTCAATTATGACTACGCCAAAAAAATCAGTTTTCATTGGGAAAAATTCTGATAATTCTTCTCATTCGCAAACGAAACGTAATGGATTAAATTTTGAGCTCAGTTTAACTCCTAAAGGAAAAGAGAATAAGATTAATTGCGATAATGATAAAGAAGGTCAGTCATACACATGTTTAGTTGATCCCATTTAAAAAAATTTTTCCCCATTCATAGATTTGTCGCATAAATCGAAATCACTTAGTCAACAAAAAAATAATGGCGCTAATATAGCGTTTAACTTGAATTTGGCTGTCAATATGGATGATACAACAAAAAACAATAGTCATAACATTCCCACAAACAGTGCTAAAAAGATCACCACGAATAGCAACGCCAATACAATGTTATCCGATTCAGGTATTCTCGATACAACACCAAACAAAATTGATCAACCATCGTCAATCAAAGTAGCCGTTCGTATGCGACCATTGGCTAACAATGAAAAAACTGGATCACAAAAAAATGGCAAAATTACAGATGTACTAATAAAAGATAGTAAAGTGATGATACCATCTAAAAAAGATTTATTCGAATTTGATTATTGTTTTGATTCATCAAATCGTGAATTGTTTCATTATGCTTCGCAAGAAGTTGTGTATCGCAAGATGGGTCATCCATTATTAGATTATGCCTTTCAAGGTTATAATGTTTGTTTGTTTGCTTATGGTCAATCTGGCAGTGGTAAGTGTTCATTTCAAGTCCAACAAAATTCATATCTTATTTGTTCGGTTTTTATTCGCTAGGAAAAACGTACACAATGTTGGGCACTGAAGAGAATCCGGGTGTTACGCCTCGTTTTCTCAACGATTTATTCAAACAAATTTCTACTACGAAAAAAGAAATTGAATACATTATCAACGTTAGTTTTCTCGAAATTTATAATGAAAAAATATATGATCTACTTTCTGATGAATTTGAAATGATTGGTAAAAATTTACGTGTACGTGAACATCCTCAAACTGGTCCATATGTTGAAGATTTAACGGTTTTCACCGTAGAAAATTATGAAAATGCTATGGAATTACTTAAAAATGGTCTTGATCGTCGATCGACTGCAACAACAAGTTTGAATGAGAAAAGTAGCCGATCGCATTCAATTTTCAGCATTATTTTGGTACAAAATCGTCATTTTGATAGACACGATGATGATGATGATGATGGCGGAAATAATCCACGCACAACAGAAACATCATGTATTTCTAAAATAAATCTGGTTGATCTGGCTGGAAGTGAACGCGTAGGTAATTTGAATTCGGATCATTTCCGTGAAGGTACGATGATCAATAGATCGTTATTAACGTTGGGCAAGGTTATCTCACAATTGGCTGATAATAGTAGTAGCCGTCTGAATTCGACACATCATTCACATATTCCTTATCGTGAATCAGTGTTGACTTATTTGTTACAAGATTCATTAGGCGGCAATTCTCGTACATCAATGATCGCAACGATTTCACCAGCTAAGATTCATTTGGAAGAAACAATCAGTACACTTCGTTACGCATCGACTGCACAGAAAATCGTTAACATTGTGCACGTAAATGAGGATCCAAAAATGAAAATCATCAACAGCCTATTGAAACAGATTAGTTTTCTTCGTAAAGAAGTGGATCGTACACGTGATTCACCACTCAATAATAATTACGTGGATAATAATCAAAATGAATTGAATAACTGTGAGTATGGAGACAACGAAGTTCGAAATGATGAATGCTATTGTGATCATGGAACCGAAAAGATTAGTGATCTCAAAAAACGATTTGAGGCCATGCTTAAAAATGGAGGAAAAATTCTCAAAGAAATCAAATCTAAAAAGCATTTCAAAAATGACCCCGATTTAAACCTTGATAGATTAAAATTTGAACATAAACTTGATCATCTTCGATCGTTGATCAAGTCAGTCAAAAAAGAAGATCATTTAAAAGGATTGAAAACGATTACAGAATATGAATCTAGTGATCGAGAGATCAATATAACAAAGAAGACAACTATTACAACCAGTGTGTTCGAATTTGATACCACAAAACATAGCGAAAAAGAGAAGAAATTTGAGCAGCGAGATTTCAAAAAAATTGAAACTAAATTTGATAATCATGTTGAAGAAAAAACCGATGAATTGAATGAAGATGACAAAAAGCTACAGCAAGGGGATAACGATACATTTCATTCATGTGATCAATCATCCAATGATGGAATGTTACAATTGGCCACTGAAGACAGTACGGCTAGTCAAAATTTTAAGCCGGACGATAATGATAGCATCAATAAAGATGAAAATTCCAATGTTTCGGAAGTAAAAGATGATCAAGTCACTGACAATGACTTAAAAGATGAAATTGACGATGAAAAGGCTGATAAATCAAAAACAACCATTAATTCGACTGGTGATCTTAAAGATACTAAAAATAAAGATTCTGGTTCAGATGAAGATGAAGATTGGTCAAGCGGTAAACGAGGTAAAAAGAACAAAAAGGATAAAAAACAAAAAAGTGGTAAAAAACAAAAAAGTGGCAAAAAAGCTCGTTGATGGAATAAATGAAAAAGCAGTTCATCCAAAAACATACACATGCAACAATGAAACAAATTCCTTGTTATAAATTATTTAAATTTTAATCAAATAAACATATCTCAATTAAAAACATGATACCATTAATTCTATTATTAATTTGAAAATTAATATTAAAAAATTAAATAAAGAAAAGATGCCAAATTATATGTAAAGACTGCAAATTATATGAGTTGGGCCGGAAACTCTGCAAAAAATAGAATTTGGTAAATTTATCATTCGACAGATGGGGCTTTTTGTCTTGCAAATGATTACTAAAAAACATTTTTTCCGTTTACATTGATTTATCCCGACATATATTCTTCGCATCTTTATCCAAATATTTATTTGTTTAGTTTCATCACCTTGTCATCGTCATACGCCCCATCATCGATTTGAGTACGTGACGTCTAATTTTTTTTCTTTCCCTATATAAAGAGCTAAATTTAGCCACTTTTCGAATCGCATCATCGTCAGAATCAAGCAAACTACGATTGCAGCCAGTTTTTTTTTCGAAGCAATCTATGATTATGCCTGGCTAAAACAAAGAATCTTGATGATAATCTTGACGTCTAGCTAGCCTTTTTGTAGATTGGCATTGATAGTATGTGTACGTACATGATATGATCAAATAATGTTTAATGGTTTAACATTTAACATTTTCAAAGAATATTCCATGATGCTAGCAATTCATTTTAATCGTTTTGAAAGAGAATACATCACAACCCTATCACGATAGTACAAACTTACTTTAAAAACTAGAAAATTTAATGAAATATAGAAATCATGATAATGGCACCATCATAATTTCTATATTTCACACACACCTACCAACATTATTGAATGAAAAAAATTATAGAGGTGATCATTATCGTGTGATGATTGTGTGTCTGTTTGAGCATCAACCAAAATAACATCTAAAACAACAACAATCAACAATTGTTATTTTAGGCGAATCGATAAAACAAAACAAAACAGAAACATTTTATTCATTCGATCATTGAAATCAATCAATTTGAACTCATCATTGAAATTTGATCTTTATTATTATTATTATCATCATAATTATTATTATTAAATCATTTTTACATTATATTTGACCCTATGATTTGTCTATTTGTAAACAACATGATATTATCGTTTTAGGTTTTCGTTGAATATATCTGACACATTGAAAATACTTTCAATTTCGAACAGAATGGATTCTCAACAACACTATTCTGCTACGGGTGCCGGATCTAATAAAAATATTGGTCATTATTCACAAACATTGACCTATCTACTTGGTGAACTGAAACATGTTTACGATCAGCGAGGTAAGTTTTTTTTGGTTTAATTTTCATCGATTCACAACATGGATTGAATATTATTATCAATATAGATGATCCTGAAGATAAACGTAAAGCAGCTTATGAAAGATTGGCTGAAATATCGAAAATAATGCGTGTAATTTTGGAAAAATATTCCTTACTAGAAAGTAAAGAATTATTATTAAACGCCAGTCAATTGGTAAAAGCTGTGAAAACATATGATTATGATAATTATTCAATTGAATTGCATTCACAATTGGTCGATAACATCAATTCTTTGTATAAATCATTCCAATACAAGTGAGTAAAGATAATATCATAATATTTTCATTTCGATCAATTTCATTCAATCGATCAATCATCAAGTTTTTGTTTATTTAACTTTTTTCCAAATGACAAATTTTGCCTTCACATAATTTAATTTGAAAAAGATCGACAAAATCATAGCAGCGATAAAATTTAATTTTATCACCATAGAAATCCAATTTAATCAGTTATCTTTTTGTTTATTAGCTGCTGCATTAGGCAATATGACAATACCTGTTGCATGTACTGTTTATATGAGAAAAAATGTCAAAATCAGCCATCAAATTAATGTTACCATATAAACCTGATGATTTTAATGATGATGATGTTTATTGTGTGTCGTTTTTTGCTTCTTCATACGATGATTATCTTTTTGTTTTATCGTATATCTTTGGAATTTGGACTTTTTTAAGGAAAAAAAACGAAAAATTTTTCAAGTTGACCAACCGATGGTTGATTTATTGTTTTATTTGAAAATTGTCTTGTCCATCAACAAGATTTATGATAAATCTTCAGAATAATTCATGATAGTTCCGGTTATTTATTTCGACTATTATTGTTCGATTTGGTTAGAATAGCTTTTTTTCAATTTCGAAATTAAAATCCATACTCCAACAATTTGATCATTGATGACGATGAGATGTCGATGACCAATAGCTCCCTCATCGATTTTTGTTTTTTTATCATCTAAAAAATTGATAAGTTTGCATTTCAAAACAGATTTTATTTATCATCAATTTTTTTGTTATTTTTTAAAAATCAGTATTTCCAATTGTTTGATGCAAGACGGCGTTTCAATGTCTTCTTCAAAATCATTGGATATAACGCAAAAATTACAATCATCATCATCATCATCTCCACCTCCATCACAGCGACAACAACAAACATCAATTGGTCATCATAGTCCTTGTGTGTCAAATAAATCAAGAACATTGCCGATTAATATGCCCGAAGAGCGTATTTTTTCCTATGAATCAGGCGTAGATGAACTAATGAAACAGGCAAAATGTTGGTACAAATATATGAAAGAATTGGTCGCTTTTATTGAAAAACGTGCCCAAATTGAAAGCGAATATAATCGTGCCATCTCTAAAAACGATCAAAACATGCGAACAACAATTCATCAATTGAAAAGTGATAAAGTAAATATAAAAATGATTAATTTTTTATTTATTTTTGCAAATTTGATTGCAATGTTAATATTAATCAATTTTTCTTATTGTAATAATAATCCATTAGGCTTTTCTTCCTTTTAATGTTGTTTATAATCAATTTTGTCAAAATGAGATCAAAAATGCCAACATATGTGATAACAATTTCGATTTGTTGGGCAAAAATATTTTAGCTTCTGTCAATGAATTTCGTTTAGATTTTGATAAAAAAATTAAAAAAATCAAAGATGATTGGGCTAAAGCGAATAAACAGTTGAATGATGTCATTAATACTTATTCTAAATCGCGTGAAAGTTTTTACACGCCAAAATTACAAGATGCTGAAAGTAAAACGAGACAAAAATTCAGGTATATTTGTTTCTGTTATTTGTTATAAGTATGTTATTTTTCTCTGATTTTTTTCATCATTGAAGTTATTTAGAAAGTAGCAACGAATTCAATGAAGCGGAGATGAACAACACTAAATACCTATGGATTCTTAATGGACAAAAAGAATCGTTTAAAAAATCTAAACGAGAATTAATTATCCGATTACAAGATCTAATGGCCAATACTGAGATTAAGATTAAAGAGATAACTTCTCATTATTTTGAAACACTACGTGATTCAATTACCTATTCGCCTGAGGAAATTCACCGAGCAATTATCGATACTGATCGGCATGAAATGGGAAAACCTTTTCGTGATTTTTCCAATAGCCTTCCATTGATGTTTGGCGATCATTCAATAAAGCAAACTAGTCATTATAATATAGAGAATATTGAAACTTATTCTAGCGAATCAGATAGCGGTATCAACAATAATTCAAATGTTTATTTAGTCAAACAGCCGAAGCAACAGCAATCGGTTCATATCCGTAAAGAAAACAAAGCAGTGAATGCCGTCAATTCTAATACACAATCAAATGATTTTCAGATGAGTAAGTTTAGCCTTATGTTGTAATTGAAAAAATTCTCAAAACTTTTTTTCATCAATTTTTTTTGCAGAAGTTATTGAGAAAAAATACAAGGTAATTTTCCTTATTTTTTTAGTTATGTTGGTTTTTTATTTGACCACAAATTTCTCCTCAGAGTGTCTATCAATACAAAAAAGGTGCCAAATGTAACGAAAACAAATCCGGTCCAAACCTTTTGTTTCGAGTACCTCTTTGTCAACTGTCTTCCAATGCCGTGCCAGATATTATTAAACAATGTGTTAAACAAATAGAAAAGCGTGGTTCCAGAATATCAGGCATTTATCGAGTATCCGCTGTAAAATCTCAAGTAGATAGCTTGACGAAAGCTTATGAAACCGATCCTGATAGTGTTGATCTATCAAATGTTTCTCCAAATGTGATTGCAAATTTGTTGAAACAATTTTTTCGAATGGTATGAATGCATTAATTTGAACAATTTTAAGATTTTACAGTTTGTATTTTTTTAGCTCCCTGAACCGCTATTAACATTCCAACTTTACAATGAATTGATCGAAGTTGCTACGAAATATTCAAAAAATTCTTCGCTCGATTCTTCAAGTGAAGAAGACATCGTCAATAGATTGAAAAAAATTTGTCGCCGATTACCGACTGTTCATTTTAATACCCTACGATATTTGATGAATCATTTGCGACAAATTTCTAAAGATTCAGAATTCAATCAAATGAATCCAAGTAATTTAGGTATCGTATTCGGCCCTACATTGCTGAAAAAAGCGTATGTATTTTTAAAAAAATATCCTTTCAATTCATATCTTAAGTTTATTTTATTTTATCTAAAGTGATAATGATGATACAAACATGCTATATGATACTAATCATCAAAGCCGAGTGATTGAACTATTTATTCTTTATGCCGACCGAGTGTTTGTTCATGATATCGAACCTGTTGCAATAGGTAGCGGATTACATCGAAACAGTTCATTTGGTCAAATTGATAATAAAAAAACCATGGAAACAGCATCTGATTTATACATGAAACAAAATGGTGAAACTATTATGAATAACAGTCATGGCAACAGAATGCCACAATTATTAAAATCGGCTACATGCTCCTCTATACGGTCGGATGTCAATCAAATCAAACATAATATGAACCAGGCTCGATTCGAATTTTTCTCACCTAGTCTTAATCAATCCCAACAGCCGGCGCAACGATTTTATTCATCATCATCATATTCTCCTCCACAAATCGTAGATAATTTGAATCAAAAATCAAACTCAAATAAAGTATTTACTGCGATCACAAACCATTCAAATAATAATGTCCAAAACGATACTATATTATCTCCATTCTCACAAATAACAGCTTCAACAGTTGGGCCATTGAATCGTCATGTAGGCTCGTTACATCAACATCAGCAACAGAGGAACGTAAAACGTATCGTATCGGATTATCATTTGATCTCAAGAACTGGTAGCACTCAACGGCTTCCCGACAAATCAATCAGTCAAAACTCATCACCCAAGCCAATCTATGCTAAACATAATGAGCTTTCAAAATCATCATCCGATATATATTCATACAAAAACATAGATTTCTCTGTCAATTCAAACGAAGATCATGTCTGAAATTATAAAGATTTCTCACCTGTCAATTCAAAATCATTGTCAGCATTTAACCTATAAATTTCAATCCTCACAACAATTCATGTATTTTAAATCGTTACGAATGACACTTGGTAAACATAATAAAACTTTATTTTTTAAAAATGGTATTCGATGTTTTTAATTTAGTTATCTTTATGATGCAAAAATGAAGCGGTGATTATGAAATACAATCAATGATCTTTATATGATTTTTTCATTGAAATTGAACCCATTCTGGATGGATCCTGTGATGGATAATAGACGCTAGATGAAGATGAAGAACCTATGCTAGGTGGATTTAAAGCTGGAACTAATCCAAAATAATCTGGTGTACCAGCAGGCAACCCAGGTACTGAAGCAACTTTGTGCTGCTTACTACTGGGACCTGGTTTGTTTCGTTCATCTTCATCTTCATCGGTTTTACGTTTGCCTTGCGATTTGCCCCATCTTATTGTTAATTTAGTACCTTTTATGCTTAGACGTTGGAATGCTTTCTTGACAGCCTCTTCAGCCGCTTGTCTAGTCGTGAACTGTACAAATGCACAATTTGACTTCCGTACTATGTTGATTGAACGTATCTCTCCAAATTGATAGAAATAATCACGTAAATCACTTTCTTCAATTTGTTCGTTAACGTTACCGATATATAAGGTAGTTATGGACTTATCTTCAGGTGGTATAGGCTTTGGCATTTCGGCGGCACGTTTCAATAATTTTTCGGCTACAGGATCGTTTACACCAAAATAACGATCTTTGATATTCTGGTCGGAAAGAGGATCACTTGGATCGGATGGTTTTTCATGACGATACGGACATTCTTCACCTCTTTTGCATTCACCTTTAACCCAAAAACTGCAAATGTGTGGAGCATTTCTTTTGTAATAAGGCGAATTTCTAGCCAATTTATTAAGAACATCTGACGTAGGCGCATCTTTAAGGGCCCCAAATGCTTCGGTTGCATCAGAATTTTGTACCGCACGATCGAGCATCTGTGAATAGTATTCACGATTTATTTCAGATTTCGGTAGCTCTAACTTTGTCCCAAGTACTTCATCACGAACTTGTACTGGTAGGCCATATTGTAAATCTAATAAACAAGTTTGACAGATATTTTTTGCCCGAGCGCATATGGTACAAATTTCAGTTTTTTTATATCGCATTTTTGATCCTGGACACCATCGAAATGTTGTGAATGGTCTATTACACACTTTGCATTCGGCTCCATATTTTTCTTTCATGACTCTTAGAAATGGATTATCACCTAAGTTTAATTTAAAATCAATTACAATCAAAAAATTATGTTGTCCAAACTTACCTAGACAAGTTTGACACAAAATCGGGAAAGATTCATCTTCCCAAACCTGCCGGTTATAATGCGAAGTTCCTTTGGACATAGCCATCTTTATTTATTGAAAACCGAAACAATTTTTAAATCAAAATAAAATTTTTTCTAAACTGAATTCGAGCACGATCAGAATCCAATATTTTCCACCATTAACACCATTCCAATCCATATGAGTCATAATAGTTGCTCTAGAAATATCAATTCCAAAAGATTGTCCGTTTGAAACAAAATCACGACAAAAATGAGTTTTCAAAATCCCTTCAATTCTGTGCCAGTGATGAATACCGTTACATTGGACGTTGATAACTGTGAAGATGATTTTGAAGAATTCAATGAAGATAATTGGAATGTATCAACAATAAATAATCAACAACTATGGGATGAGAATTGGGATGAAACGGATGATGTGGATGAAGATTTGGCCAAATTTCTCAACATTAATAATACATCGGAAACACAAAATGCTTAAATTTATTCATGTATAAACAATTTTTTCAAGTTTTGTATAAATAAAAATAAATAAAACAAAAAAAAAATCAAATCATAATATCACTTTTGTTGCCGGACTTTCAATTTTTGAACCGATTCGAATATAATGAAGGGACCAGAAATTTGTTTGGAAATGTTTAATTAGATTTTGATTTGTTCGACAGTAATTGGCGATGTAATGTTCAAAACTGAATTGACATAATGAAGCCATATATTGAAATGAGATTATTACATTCTTAATATGATCGAGCATCGAATTCACAGGATTATTAATTTTGATAGATTCGTTAGATGACGAACGTTGGTAGTCGTCAAACATCATCAAACTTTTGTTTTGATAATGGAAATTGTATGTAGGACCAATATGAACCACATCTTGTATACCCGTATGATATTTTAGAAACAATACTAGATCAGTAGCAGGAAATTGATTGATAGACATGAAAATCAATAGATCAGCGGGACGATATTCGGTGACTTGAGTGCTAAAAATTCGCCAGGATTGTCGCATTGATTCCCATTCGATATGGCGAAAATTTTCATCGTATTGCCTTTTGTCATTGAATTTGATGGTATTGAGAAATGTAAATGATTTGAATTTTGAAAATAAACCGTGATTGAATTGTGTTTGTAGTGAAAAATTGTTTCTAGGTGATTCAAAAATGATATCATTGATAATAAACATGTCAATGAGTGGCGAAAATTCGTCAAGAGTTCTGTAAAGATTTTCCAAGTTGATCTGGTCAAGAGTACTATTTTGTTGATGATGAGAAAGCCAAATCAACGACATTAATAGTCGTCGAGGTTTATTCAGTGTAACGATTTTCAACTCTGAATTTTGCTGTAATACATTCTGGATCATTCGTGGAACCGAACAATTTTGACCAAAATAATTGGCATTACAGATACAAGTTTGAAATCCTATGAGGTTACTTTGAACGACTTGCGATCCTCGCCGTAAACATGAAAGAATATTAGATGATTGCGATGATGTAAGCTTATCTGTTAAAGTTTTATTGAACTGAAAATAATCATCTTGAATTTTATAATCATCCAATGAAGGTAGATGAAAATAAACAATGGAAGTTCCGTTCGGACGATTTTGGATCGTTTTCGTGCCAACTCGATGGCCATGAAATATTGTCGCCCTTAGATTGCTTGCGAGAAGAAAGTTCCAATGAAATTTATTAAGAAATGATGAATTTTGTAAGATTAATACATAGCAGCCAAATGTAAGGCAAAGAAGTATAAATAATTTTAATTTAGATTTTGGAAGACCATTGCCTATCATTGATCTATTTGTAAGGCACATTTTAAATTCCAACAAAATATTCTAGCGTTTATCACCATCAATATAATTAACGATAAAAAACTTTTTCTAATCCTAATAAAAAACACGAATTTGCAATTAAAAAAAAGTAAATTTAAGAAATTTTTGAGTCCATTATTTACGTTTCGATTGATCAAAATCAGTGTGTGCATTTATTTTTTTTATTTTTTTGTCTGTTCATTGAAATGGATATGCACATAACAAGTGTGACAATCGTAAAATTTTAATATATTGTTTTTTTTAAATATATCGATCGTAAATTAATCTAATTCAGTTATTTTACATTAACTGTCAACAAATTCATGTATTTAAATATGGATATGATAGAAAACAAGATGAACTTCCAATTAGGCAAGATTTTTATCGATTGGTTGAGATGTTTGTTGCAATTGTTGTTGTAATTCGTAATTTCGTTTTCGTTGTTCATAATCAAGAATATAATCTTCATTATTATATCGTTCGACTGTAATCGGTTTACCAAAACCAATATTAGCTATCACTACTTCACCAGGATCACCTTTCATTCTTAATTTTTTATGTAAAGAACTTTTATCGAAAACTAAAAATGAAATTTAAAAAATTTTAATAAATTCGTTTTTTAGTAGGATTCATAATTTATTATTTGCAGATATATTACCGGGAAAAAGTTCGATATCTTTTTTATGTTTATTGAATGTGTAAAAAGAATATGCAAATGCAGTGGCACCAAGACAAACATAAAGATAGCGAGTTCGTTGATACCATTTTCGAGCCACATCGATCGGTATCGGTTTCATAATGGCTCGAAAAAATCGTCGAGCATGATGCCTCAAATACCACATGATTACGATGATGGTAAGAGGTTGAAAAAAACGTGAATAGTAATTCCAAATTAAAAATTTTATTAATGAAAAATTCTGTTCTACGAAATGATTATCCAGATGATTTGTCTTATTTAATTTTTCAACAAATAACAGAATCTATGAACAAATTCAAAATTTAAATGATACAATTTTTTTCAAATACCAGAAAACCATTTTTATTTATTCAATGGAACAGCTTTAACAAACACACCATATTTTGGCGTTTCAGTTATTATTTTTTGTTCAATTGTCAATTCATTTTCAGTACTCGGTCCCGGTACAAGTCTGTATCGAAACAATAGTTTTGCTAAAGCCAATTTGATTTCATATAATGCAAACCGCATTCCAATACAATTACGGGGTCCATTGCCGAATGCTTGAAATGCAATTGGATCATAATTCTTTTTATCAAGAAATCTTTCCGGATCAAACACTTCTGGATTAGGCCAATACTCTTCGCAATGATGTAATTGGTATGTCGGTATTCGAATGGTCGAATCTTTCGGGATAATTATATCCTTATAATGATAATCTCCTTTAGTATTTCGAGTGATGAAAGCTGTGACTGGAGGATAGAATCGCATCGATTCATTGATGACGCATTGCATATATGTCAATTTATTCACCGTATTATAATCAAATTTTTTTTCATTTGCGTAAAGTTCATTAACTTCATCTCGAACTTTATCCTGTATATCTTGACGTGTAACCAGAAAATGTGATATGAATCCTAAAGCTGTACTTGTCGTTTCATAGCCAGCTTCATAGAAAATGATTGCATTTGCGATGACTTCATCTTGTGAAAGTGATTTGGAATTTTTGAATTTCTGCGCTCCATTCGTTTGTTTGACTGCAGTCATTTCATCATTGGACAGTTCTATGGTCAATTTTGACAGATCTTTTTGTTTAAGTTCATCTTCACTTGCTTGAGCATCAAGCATTAGCTGCAATAGATCGGGCGTTTTTACCGGACGATCCTTTCGCAATCGTATAGCAGCTTCAATTAATTTTGCTAAAATTGTCGAAGCCGATTTTCCTCTAGCTTCGCGTATAATTTCCAATAATCGACGGAATGGATACATTACGATGTCTAATTCTGGAAAACAGGTGAATAACAAAAGAAATCGATTAGGTTTGGTGTCAAACACCATTTTTGCTGCAAGAAAAAATTCATTCTTTGGATCATGTTGAACATTTGTATCGATTCCAAATGCCGTTTTCGATATAACATCAGCTGTGAGAAGCTGAAAATCTTCATAAATATTAAATTCATTTCCATCTTCTGCATGTTTATCGACTTTGTTAATGAATATGTCAATGGCTGATTCTATAATGGGAGTAACCATTTTTAATTTCATCGCACTGAATGTTGGATTCAATATGGTACGATGTTCTTTCCAACGAGCACCACGTGATCCAATAACATTTTCGGAAAATCTTGGATTCGGACGAATACCATGTTTTAGGCCAAATGTTTGTCGGTCAGAAAATTTATCAAAATCTTTGATTTGAAATCGTTTGATTAGTTCCAAATCTATGGTCAATACATTTGGTTTTGCGCCCACATAATATCCACTAGTTTTACCATAATGATCGATCAATTGTTGAGATCTTTCAAAGTTAGACTTTTTCAACAATGAAAATATATTGCCAGTGATCAGATTTGGTTCAGGTCCATTAATACCATTTCGTTTTAGGATGGTCATTTGACGTTTTCGAATCACATAAAATGTGATTAATAAAATTAAAACAAATATAATTGTGCAAATCATTTTGATGTATCCAAATAAATTAATGAAATAATTAGAACAAAATACCAGGCTGTACTACTGTTTTATATTGGCCATAATATCTAATTTTATCAGACAGAAACAATGTTTTATCAATTGAATATTGCACTCCACTAGATTTATCAATCAATTACTATTTTATTACAGTAAAAATTTTGATGAGCAAAAGTATTAATATTTATTACATGCACTTTATTAGGACAAATTTTTGTATTGAAACAACGATGTATATTTTTTTACAAAATAGGTAATGCTCTAACAAACACACCATATTTTGGCGTTTCAGTTATTATTTTTTGCTCAATTGTCAATTCATTTTCAGTACTCGGTCCCGGTACCAGTCTGTATCGAAACAATAGTTTTGCTAATGCCAATTTGATTTCATATAATGCAAAACGCATTCCAATACAATTACGGGGTCCATTTCCGAATGCTTGAAATGCACTTGGATCATAATTCTTTTTATCACGAAATCTTTCCGGATCAAACACTTCTGGATTAGGCCAATACTCTTCGCAATGATGTAATTGGTATGTCGGTATTCGAATGGTCGAATCTTTCGGGATAATTATATCCTTATAATGATAATCTCCTTTAGTATTTCGAGTGATGAAAGCTGTGACTGGAGGATAGAATCGCATCGATTCATTGATGACGCATTGCATATATGTCAATTTATTCACCGTATTATAATCAAATTTTTTTTCATTTGCGTAAAGTTCATTAACTTCATCTCGAACTTTATCCTGTATATCTTGACGTGTAACCAGAAAATGTGATATGAATCCTAAAGCCGTACTTGTTGTTTCATAGCCAGCTTCATAGAACAGTACAGCGTTGGAAATTACTTCATCTTTGGTCAATGATTTTGAATTTCGAAATCTTTTTTCATTCATTCTATTATTCTCAACACCAGTAGATTCTTTATCATTTGTCAAAATTTTATCATCGTTTGATATTTCAATGGATAATTTGGAAGAGTTTTCATTCTTGATTTCATCTTCACTAGCTTTTGCATCTAACATTAATTGCAACAAATCAATGATTTTTATTGGACGAATTTTTCGCAATTGAATAGCTGCTTCAACTAATTTGGCAATGGTGAATTGTGGTGACCAGCCAAAACGTTCATTTAACACTTCCAATAATCGACGAACCGGATAAAGAATTCGATCTAATTCCGGTAAACACATAAACAACATGAGAAATTTGTTAGGCTTTCTGTCAAATAATAATTTGGCTGCAAGAAAAAATTCATTTTTCGGATTATATTGAACATTAGTATCAATACCAAGTGCAGTTTTAGAGATGACATCAGCTGTGAGTAGTTGAAAATATTCATAAATGTTAAATTCAGTACCTTTTTGCGCTTGTTTATCAATTTTGTCGATAAAAATATCAATTGCCGATTCCATGATCGGTGTGATCATTTTCAATTTCATTGCACTGAATGTTGGAGTAAGAATTGTGCGCGTTTCTTTCCATCGATATCCCTTCGAATCAACTAGATCTTTTGCGAAACGAGGATTAGGGTGAATGCCATATTTGATACCGAAATTTTGTCTATCAGAAAATTTTTCAAAATCTTTTATCTGAAAACGTTTTATTAGTTCGACGTCAATTGTCAATACATTCGGTTTATGACCAACATAATAACCACATGTTTTACCATATTTTTTTATATATTCTCGCGATCTTGTAACATTATCCGAACTGAAAAAATGAAATATATTTCCAGTTATCCAATGGGGTTCAGGACCATTAATACCATTTCGTTTCAGAATAGTCATTCGCCGTTTTTGTATCACATAGAATATGATGATGATAATGGTGATTGTCAATAATGAAATCAGGGCAAACATAATTATGAAACAACGTTGTTTTTTTTCGTTTCGAATCGAATGAATGTAAATTTTCAAATAAAAACTCGCAAAAACTCATTGGTTTTATCTATCCACAATGTTTGCCACATTGATTCATCATCATCATCATCATCATCATGAAATCATATCAAATTACACATTGATAATCATAATAAATTTTTATTCAACCATAAAAATTATTCGGGTACAAATGGACTTTGAATATATAGGGGTTAATTCTGTGTTCTCAATTTCCATCTTTATCTTTGTTAAGATAATGGGTTACATAGTGGAATAGAAGATCGTAACAATATTTATATTCAGTCTGATGAAGGGAAAAAATAATGATGATGACATTTATTAAATATGCAAAAAATTTTATGAATTAATAAACTGACCATATTTTCAACTAAATGTGGTCGATGTCGACGTACAGTACGCACAGCATTAAAAATGTCCACTTCATTATGTTGAACGACTTGTTCCATTGCAAAATTGGCAGCACAATATACACCGGCTCGTGATTTTCCATTACTTGATTGTAATGACATAGTATGAATGGTCATTATTTGCATATGCATTTTTTTCTAAAGTAAATACTCACTATGAAACAACAATTACTGGACCATAATTAGTTCGTTGACGCCATCGTTCAACCATATTCATCAATTCTACTAAGGCATTGGTTGATGTTGGCACTTTATGATCTAATGGCCAACAGGTAATCTGAAAGAATTGTGTAGTTTTTGGTTCGGCTTTTACACCTGCCATTAATTCGGTTAATGATACTACTTTTTTATTTATCTTAAAAATCCATGTTTTGATTTTCGGATAATGAGCACTTGAAACCATTTCAACACTAAATACTGGGCCATATTTTTGTTTCTTATATCGTTCTAATGGCCAAAAAAATGGATATTCCTTTAACCAATATTAAAGTAATAAAAAAATGAAATCTAATTCTTAATAAAGTCAAAATATTATGATTACATTTGGCATGTTTGGATTATCCAATATAATCACTGAATTACATTCATGATCATAGATTAATGACCATATATCCTGTATGGTACGTTTTAATGGCCATTCTGTTATAATATATTCCTTTGATCGTGTATAACCCTATAGAGGATATTTTTTAGTGATATTTTTGTTTTTTATATTATCGCAATGGCACAAGACTTACATCAACAAAAACAGCATTGATATAATCGGTATTATCATTGCTTTGAAATGACGTCAAATATGGACGAAAATTGTCAGCTAATAGTATGAAAAAGAAAATGGAAAATTTTCATATACGATTAGTATACTACATTTAATAACTATTTAAAAAATGTACTTACGTGGTACTGTAGATACATCACGATTTTTTTCCCGATTTTCAACACGATGTCCACCAGCACAATCACCAATGGTCGGCAATTTGGTCATTTTTTGTATTTTCTATGCAATAAAAAAAATTAATTCATAACAATTTTGTCTGAAGAATATTGTATAACAAACTCTGTATTCCACTTGATATTGATTCAATCCAGTCATTGTACATTTTTGAGATTTAAGTTTAATTTGTGTAGCTAAATCATTCACCGGGAACCATGTTTTACCACAGATATGTGCTTCCTCTAAGGTTTCATAAACAAATTTATACTGATCCTATTTTACAAAAAAATGATTTAATAATAAATAATTTTTTTTTTATAAAAAAAACTAACTCGATTTTCAATCAATCCACGTCTTGCATGTTTGAGTCGTTTGGTATATCCAAATACATCATATAGGCCATCCTCTTCGGCCAATTCTAGATTTGAATCGATGCAAAGAAAAGCACCAGTTCTACCACAACCATTGCTTGAAAGTAAAAAAATTGATTTTTTTCAATCAAATTTAGAAAACAAAAACAAAAACTTTACCATGAAAACATACCTACAGTGGACAATTGTTGGTCCAACTCTATCGCCTTCATCTTTGATTACTTCCTGTTGATAGATTCGTACACGACGACGAAACTGAAGAATCGAATTTGGAAATGGACATGTATGCGAAGACCAACTGTTGTAATGAAGCTGATAGATGATTCGTACATCATCCTCTTCAATCTCTTCTTCGTATTCGATTTCATCATAAACAGTTGCTGTTGTGAAAGAGGCTTTTTTCGATTTAGTTTTTACACTACCTGTTGTTAATGAATTTTCTAATAATTTTTCTGAATTTAGTTTTTTTTGGCTCTCACATCTATACATTCTGATTCTTACTGTTTGTACTATGCGATAGTATTGATTCTTGTGTTGCCCGAGTGCTCGCAGAAAGTCGAGATCGTTTTGATTCACGAAATCGATCTGTCGATTCATTTGCTGCTTCTTGTTCCTGTTCATCTTCGTCTAACATTTCCAATTTTTGATCATTAACTTCTTTATGTAGATTACGAGGTACTAATCGTGTTTTTTTTACTTTTCGTCTCACTAATTGTCCAGGTTTTCGTATTCGCATTGTACGAATAACAAAATCAGCAAGCTGTTCTTCACTCAACAATATCACCTCAATAAGACCATACATTTCAGGTTTATGTTCTTCCATTGGCCAATATTGGCAACATTCAACTCGTATAAAATCAAATACTTTGGTTAACATGACAATCAAAAATGATTGTTGTTCCCATATTAATCTCCAAAAATCCGAAATCGTATATTCATTTGGACCTTGCGCTGCGATATAAGCGTTCGGTTTCAAAATACTCTAATAATCATTAATTAATTGGAATAATAATTTTATCAAAATTGATATATTTCATACATACATCTACATATGATGCATTAATATAATCCGAATCTTCTTCATCCAATGGATCTTTGGACAATACTACACGATTAAAATCATCTAAAACAATCAATGAATTTTTTGAAATTTACCGAAAAAAAAAACAAAAAAAAAGTTGAAGAAAATCTTATTATCTTAATAATAATAATAATTTACATGGAACACGATTCGGATATGTATTTTTCAATTCATTTTTAGATTTATGTGCATGTCGAGTACCATGTTTGGTGTAAATTTCATTACGTGATGATGCCTGATTTTAAGAAAATGAATTAAACAAATAACCTAATTTGGGTAATGATGATCATACCTCGAATTCGATTTTAATCAAGCATTCATATTTACGTATTTCATTCATATGTTTTTCGAATGTATCAAAATCCATTGGTTGTTTTGGTAAGAATTGATATGCATTGTCCGGATTAGGTTCAATCGGTATAAATCGGCTATTAAATATGGATAGCTGAAGTTTTTTAAACGGTAAAACGGCTGTTGTTGCCGCCTTTTTTAATGTCGGTTTTTTTCGACGATAATGTTTTTTTGTTTTTTTCAGCTTAATCCGAGGTGCCGATTTCATAATATCCGAATCATTTTCAAATAAAACTTCCGGATCCATCAAGTTTAAAGATTGGAAAAGGAAATTATTTTTTGTTTCAATTAAAATTCACCAGATTGAACAAACATTAAAATTCATTCACACAAAAACAAAACAAATCGATTGCATTGAAAAATCGCAAAGCGAACTTGAATAAAAAATGAACAGAGAATTTTATTATTGTAAAATTTGTGGTATAATTAAACTATACAATCCATTCATTCATTCATCCAGTGCGTCATTTAGTCAGTATACATCACACAAAAAACATGCAAATTTTTTTTCACGGCTACAGAATATTCTGCCCCAATTTCCAACTTTATTTTATGTTTCTATGTCAATAAGCGTTTCCGATTCTCGTTTTTTTTTATGTTTGTTATTCACTTTTGCGCTCCTGCCACAAAAGAGATTTGCAATACAAACAACATTCTGATTTGTCGTTCAAATATTAATGCTATTAATAACCAAACGATAATAGTATCAATGTTATTGTCAATGATTACAATTTTCAGTTGTATTTATTTCTATTCTAAACTTAATCAAACGAAGGTTGATTTCTCTTTCACTATATATCTGCCATCATTCATCATCACACTTGATGATAATGACTTATATTTAAAGAATTTTGTTTTTTAATAAACGTTCGAAAATAAAAATATACTTGATTCGTATAAATTGGGTATTTCTATTCTCTAATATAGAAAAACAATGTGTTTATTTTCAAACACTTTTGATTCATTCATGATTTTTTTTTATTCAATGGTTTTCAATTTTAATAATTAATCATTCTAAAAAAATATGAATCATTCGAATAAAAATAAGCGTAATTTAGATCTTGATCAACATTCCAATGACAAAAGCGATGATCCTGTTAAACGATCAAAGCAGAATGAAGATGATCGTGAAATTGTAGAAAATTTGTCCGATTCAGAGAAAAACGAAATCGATGAAGATGATTATGATGAAAACAATGAAGATGAAGAATTAAGTGATAAAGTAAGTTGAAAAATGATCCATCATAAAAATCTAAATTCGATTTTTTTTTTGTTGTTGGAAATATCAGGAAATATCCATTGAATTTACTGCTCATGATCCAATCGAACGTGATTTTCATGGTATTCGATGTCTGTTACAACAGTTATGGCTAAAGGAGAATATAGACATTTCTGAATTGACCGAGTTAGTCATGAAAGATACGATCACTACCGTCATAAAGGTAATTTAGCTTAGACAATTTCGGGATTAATTTTTAAAATATATTTTCAATGATTTAGCAATCGATTGACGAAGACGAGCAACCCGACGAAGATGAACAAAATAATGATGATGAAGATGATGACAACGTATTTGGTGTCATTTCAATCATACCATTTAATAGCCATTTTAATGAAAAGAATTGTGTACAGCAAATCAAAAATTTATTATCGTCATATTTACCTAAAGACAACGACATTTCTCGTAAACTAAACCATTCAGATGCTAAATGTGCTTTAATTATAAACGAACGATTCGTTAATCTACCATCACAAATATCTGTTCCTTGTTATCAACAACTATTAGCCGAATTGAAACAACAAACAACATCAAGCAAATTCGAATTCGATCATATTATTATGATTTCGAAACTTTCGAAGAATCAAAATGATTTATTCTATACTAATGATGAAGATGAAATCTTTAGTGAACGAGCCGAAACTCAATTCGAATATTCCGTATCCAAGCAATCGGATACTCATTCAATAGATTGGAATGATGATGAAAAAACATTCGAACCATATCGTAAGCTGCTTCTATTAACCAAAGAACGATGGATTGAAACTATAAATTTTCTAAAGAATTTATTCTAAATTTTTATATAGAAAATCTTTTCCGTAATATTGATATATCGATTCCTTAATGATTATCCACCTAATAATGTTCTAAAATCACACAATAAATGTTTAAATCAACTTCAATAAATGTAATTATTCATTTGTTTTGATGGTTCATGAGACTAACAAATAAATAAAAAAATTTAAGCTTTGCGCAGTGGCAGTACCGCAAGCAATGAGCTTTTAGCGAGCTGCGGTTATTGCTAGTTGAAAACTAAACCCAATTCCCCGCCATTTAATCGTGTAATACCGATTAGATAGGCAATTTTTGGAGGCCTATCGGCCTTTCATTTTACGAATTTAAAAAAAGGGAGCACAATTAAATTTGATGATACAAGTTTTTGTATGTAAATGATGCAGACATTTGTATCGTATTTTACGAATGGTTTTTATTAACGATTTCTATGATCATATGTTTTTTTATGTTTTTGAACAAATTCCACGCGAGTAAATATACTCATCAAATCAAATAATGTTGAATCTTATCCGGCCTACGTTTGCAAATGTTTCTCTTCGATTATCACAACAAAACATTCTTTTTCAACAAGTACGAGAAAATGTTCGTTGGTATTTTGAACGTTGTTCGGAGGTAAAACGTATTCGTAAACATGGATGGAAGAAAAGAATTTCGACACCAAGTGGCCGTCAGATTATTATGCGTCGAATATTGAAAGATCGTCATGTTCTATCCCATTAAATGTATTTTTTAAATTGATAATAATAATTAGATAATACCGAAAAATAATCAAAATGTTGAAATTTTGAAAATAAAATAAGAATTTCTGATAATAAACATAAATAAATGAAATAATTTGATTAATCAATTGAGAATGTTGATTTAGCGATTTTTTCGCTGTTTAACAGGCCGGTGATCCTGATTATTGTTGCACAAGTATTTTCCGCAAAATAAACTAACGAAATAAGTCATTGAATAGAGAAATAATGATGAAATGTAGAATAAAGTAACAAATGTACTATTCATTTGATCAAGAAAAGGATAGACCCAGAAACCCATTGCCATGCGAAGATATAATGACCAAATGGCATATGTTATAACGAATGTAAAGAATATGAAGAAACCTTTACGTGTTTGGGGTGGTTTGTGTTTGCCAACAAACAATTCCATTATAGTCAAAATGGCAATCATCGTATGCTAATGGAAAATATAGAAAAAAATGCATAAAATGAAAACGTAACTAAAGGATGTTTTTGTTGTGATAAACTTACAGTCGAATGATTAAGCCATGGTGGATAGTATGGATCCATACTAGCGGGCAAAACTAATTCACGATCGATAGCCCATAAAATCCAAAATGATGATGATACTATCCATGATATGGGCAATGCCAATGCATAAAAGATCAGATCGATAAAATTTTTCAATCGACGGCTATCGAAAAGTTGATTAATCAACAGAAGAAAAAAGAAGCCAGTTTGAAGAAGCTTTAGATTTGGTAAATAGATGGAAATCAAATCAAATTAAATAGATGATCTATTTAACATTATACTACTATATTTACCAGATCCCAATAAGTCAAATAAATCAAAGGACCAAATAGTTTTCGTTCAGGTGATAAAAATGGAGGTTGAACGATATATTGCCAATAGATTGAAAATAAATAGATCAGAAATGATAATATTCGTACAATGGTTACAAATTTTTCAGCCATTTTACATATATGTGTGTGTGTGTTCGAATGAGGAAATCAATAAAATGATTTTTTTTCAATTTTATCTGTGAATGCTGAAAGTAATTTTTTTTTTGTTATTTCCACTAATCATTTTTTTTGTCAAGTTCTTTAGCTATAATAGTACTCATCAGACCAAACGTGTTTTTTTCTCGTTCTGTATAATTAATGAACGAATATTTTGCCAAACAAAGAATTTTGTCATTCGATTATATTGCAAAAATTGCCATTAAATAATTGGAATTTTTGCGCCATCTTTTATCAGATTTTAATGTCTTATTTCAAATGTTATGATGTTTTTTTAATCATTGATTTTATCTGCAATTCAAATTCTTTGATCGATAACAAACCAAAATATTATCGAAATTTATTTAATATCGGTTATAATGGTCATTATTTATTGATTTTTTTTTGTTGCTAATTTTGACTGTCGAACTAAATGTACATGATAATTGAAAATGAATGAGAAAAAAAAGAGATATCATCATGAAAAAATAGGAGATAATAATAAATGCAAGTAAAAAAAGGAAATGTGTGAAAAAAAACAAATGTAGATGAAAATTAATATTTAATTCAAATTGATTTTTTGTTGTTGTTGTTTTGTTTGGTAAGGTCATCGATTTGAGATTCTACGGTTCCAAACGATTACGGCGGAAACATTTATCTGGCAGAGATTGTCGAATTTTAGCGATATTCGCCACATCGGCAGCCAATTTATCCAATTCATCCTCATAATTATGTATCGATTTTTTCTGTTCTTCATTCAATTTTTCCAAATGCATAACACGGCTATCTAAATCGGCTGTACGAAATTCACGTTCAGCATCACGTAATCGTTGTTCTAAATCTGAAAGGTTATTCTCATCCATATCTTCCATTGAATCTGTGTATTTTTATTTTGAAAAAGTTTATTTTTTTAATATTCACAACATTTTTAATGAAAACTTACTTAAATCTTTGAGTATTTTATCCACGGTATAAGTTGCATTTTGAACTTTTTTAATAGCATCCATTGCGCTTGTTTTAGCCGTATTAGCTTTACGCAAAGCGTCATCAACAAGGCTTTCATCTTGTTCAGCTTGTTGTTCATACGATTTCATCTTGTCCGATGTTCGATCAACATCTCGTGACAATTCGGCTGATCGAACGAATAGATCATCCGCTTTATCGGTCAATTGTTTTGCAGTACGTAAAGCCATATTCGAAGCTTGTGATACATGTTCAGCTTTTTCTTCGGCCACTTTTGCGGTTTCTTTAGCATTTGATGCTTCGATTAATGCTGAATTCAATGATTTTAATGAATCATCAGATTTACGTATAATATCATCGATTTCTCTTTCTATTTCAGGCACACGATCCATAGCTTTATTGGCCTTTTCTTTGCTTGATTGAACATGTATGTCGAATTCTTTCAATGTTTTTAATGTATTTTTCGCATCATCTAGAATATTATTACCATTCTGTACGGCTTCTTGTGTCATATTGTATGCCATATCGGCACGCGTCAATAGATCATCCAAAGTTTGTTGTTTACGTTCGGCATCTTCAAACAAAAGTCGACCATCATTCAAACGATTTCCTGTACTGTTAAGTAATTCTTCATGTGTTTTAAGCATATTATCAGCATCTATATGAGCTTGTTTAGCCTTATTAATTATATGAATAGCTTCATCTTTGTATTGAGATGCATTCAGATCTGGAACAAAAATATTGCTCACATCAGCAGCCAAATTCAATGCATCTTGATTAGCTTTTTCCGCATCTTTATGCACATCTTGCGATAATTTAATTGTCATTTGATATTGTTCTTTTACTTCACTTAATTTATCTTTCAATTTTTCCAACTCTTCTTTATTAGCTTTTTGAGTGTTGATAGCATCTTTGGCCAAATTGTATGCCGTTTCAGAAATGTTTCTTGCATCTTTGAATTTATTAATAATTCGTTCAGCTTCAGTTTCATGTCCGTCGGCTAATAATCGAGACTCGCGAGCTATTTCAGACATTCTTTCCGATTGTGAACCATATTTTTCTGCACGCATTCTTGCTTTTTCTAATGATCGTCGACCATCATTTTCTAAATGATTGCGTGCATTGTTCAGATCGATTTCTGCAGCATTAACAATCTCCTGTGCATTTGTGATGTTTTTCGTACCATAATTAATTTGATTATTGATAAAATTCATTTGATTTTCAATTTTTTTAGTCATATCCTGAACTTTTCGGATACGATTTTTTATCTGTTCCAATTGAGCAACAAGAGAATCATCATCAATTTGAGCATCTTTAGCTTCTTGAAGTAATTGTTTTACAGCATTCATTACTTCATTCAATTGACGTTCGAAATTCGAATCTTCGACAGCCAGTGGATTTTGTTCGATTTCATCCAATAAAGTTTTAAGACCAGCTACTTTAACTCTATGAGCAGCGATTGATTCTTGTACCAATGTATAACATGGTGGACAATCAACACATCCGGCTTCTTTGTTATATTTATTTTCCTGACAACGTTGGCATTGTTTGCCTTCAACATTTTCACGACATTTACATTGACCAGTAATTGAATCGCATTGTTGTTCTAATGAACCAATCGGATCGCAATCACATTTTTGGCAACCATTTGGACCGAATCCATAATAGTTTGGCAAACATTGATCGCAATGTTTTCCAGTGACACCCGGTTTACAATTACATTGTCCAGAACGATTATCACAAAGAAGATTTTCTGAACCGATTTCATTACAATCACAAGCTTTACAACCTTCGTTAGAATCCAGATCCCAATAACCATCGACGCAGGCATCACATTGTCTTCCAGCTACATTTGGTTTACATCGACATTTACCAGTTACGCTGTTGCAAGTGAAAAAATTCTGCGTTGAAAAGAAATTCTTCAGATATCCTTGACGTTTAGCTTCTTCATAGTCGAAATAGTTATCCTCGGAGATTGTTCCGAATGGATAACAAGCACAAGCTTTGCAATCGCCACGTGGAATAGATAGTGCCGATCCATAATGTCCAGGTAGACATTTTTCACAACTATTACCCCATGTATTGTAAATACATTTTAAACATTGTCCTGTTACTGAATTACAATTACCAATGGCATTTGGATCAATGTTTCCATTACAATCACATTTTTCACATTTTGAATCTTCTGATCGCATTCGATAACCATCCACACATTTCTCACAAAGACGACCTTATAATATTTAAAGAATCGTATTAGATTTTTTTTTGAAATTAATTATTAAGAAAAATATTTTTTAGGTGGGATTGAAAGACCCATTGAAAAAAAATGAAAAAAATGAAAATACCTCCATAGCCTTCTGGACAGTTTAGACAAGCGATCTGTTCGTCAGGTAGAATGGCACATTCACCAGAATTTGGGCAAGGACATAGTTTGCAATCATTTTCTGTGCCCTGTAGTGCATTACCATAATAACCTGGCGCACAACGATCGCATGCATCTCCAGCTGTATTATGCTGACAACTACATCGACCTTTGTTCCATCACCAATTATTGTTAGTTTTAGATATACGTAATAAGAAAGAAAAAAACCGATTCCCCAGGAAATTTGAATTATTATAGTTATATTGTATGTTAATCCCAAATGGAAATTAGACCAAAGTTCATTGGAAAAAATCAAAATAAAGAAAAATCAAAGAAAAAGATTTAAAAATTTTTCGACTTACCCGATTCGCTGTCACAATATTCACCATGTTGATTACATTTACACGGGACACATTTAGCTGCTTTACCACCACGTGGTGGATCATGTTTGAAACCAGCTGTACATGATTCACAATGTTGACCAGTATGACCATCCGGACATGAACATGTTTCGACCCAAGTTGCCTGATTTGATCCTGGACTTGCAATAGCTGTTTCAAGCATTACTTCATCAATAAAACCCGAACCCATATCCGAATATGTCGCTTTGATCTTAACGGCCGTAATATTGGCTAACAATGCAATAAAATCTCGTGAATTCAATTGTGGACTCCATCCATAAACCATATCTTCGTTTAAACGGAATCGAAAAGTTTGCATTCGATAAGTAGGTAATGGATTTCCTTGTGCAAAAATAGGTGATGAAATTTTGATGCCATTTCCTTCAATGACCACATCTTCAATGGTTGAAAGAATGTTTCCTTTACCACCAGTAATCTGAAGATTAAATGTCAGGTTTCGATTGTATGAATATTTTTTATCGTCCAAAAATTTATGCGGTGCATGAAAATACAATGTATTATCATGAAAACTTGATGTAGCTCCAATATTTTGTCCAAGACTATTATATTGAATCGGTATGTCATTTCCATATTTATCTTTGACAATCCATCGTTCGGAATCACGATTGAATGTACTTTCGATTAAATAAATGGAATAGCCTTTTGAACTTGTACATTGATTTGAATGTCCATAACAGAAACAAGCAATACAGCCAAGATCATTGTTAAGTTGAAGATCAAAAAATCCCGGTTTACAACGATCACATTTTTCACCTTCAACATTTTTCTTACAACGACATTTACCTTTGTTATCACACAAAGGAACATTATCCTGGCTTCCTTCTACACTACAACCACAAGGTCTACAACCATTATGGCTAAAATCAAAATAATTTGATGCACAACGATCACATCGTTGTCCTTCGACACCAGGTTTGCAAATACATTGACCTGTGCTCGAACATTGTAGACTAACTGAACCAATCGGATCACAGTTACATGCCAAACATCGATTCGTTTCAAGATCAGTATAGTAATTTTCTTTACATCGTTCACAATTCGGTCCATCAGTATCATCGGCACAATCAATACAATGACCACCGTGTCCTGTACGTCTCCATAAAACCTCATCGAAATAACATTTTTTTGATCGGCCATTACAGTTGCAAGCTTAAATTAGAATTAGATAAAAATTGTAAAAAAATTGATTGTTATAAGAATAAAAAGAAAAAATATATAAAATCAAAATCATAGAATACATTGCCATTGTTGACCGGTCCAAACTTTAACCTCATGTGTACTACTAATAGTCGAATAGGTTTTTGGTTGTGCTGATATTATACAAATCGCACTTGTTAGTAATAACAAAGAATGAATCCATAACAACATGATTACAGAATCAATCGACTATGTTTTTTTAATGAACACAATATTTTCACAAAAAAAAATATATAATTTTTGAATTCAAAAAGAAATTAAAACATTTAATCTTTTCGTATAAATTTTTTCATTTTCTTATTTATGAAAATTATTAAAATCAATTCGTATCGACTTTCGCTTCTTCGAACTAAACTTATCAGCTTCACAAATTCGAATGTTTATGGTAATAGAAATTGCTTAAAAAAAAGCGTGGGTGATTATGGTCACCACCTTGATATGAAATCTATTGCCATACATAGCCATAATTGCGCGGGCAGCTAAATGATCAATGAAAGATGCTTTTGACGAAGAGCAACAGGTCTTAATAAATTACGTTTTTTCTTAAGATTCATTTTTTTTTGCATCTACTTATGGATTTATGGATTAAATGATACTTACGTTGACAAGCATAGGCATTTTTGGTGGTAGCTCGACGCCATGGTTGATCATTATAGAATGGTAGACATTTTTCACAATCAAAACCATCAGTATTATGTTCACATTGACAAACTAAACGTCGTTGACCATTCTGATAGTTGTTAGGAGGTATTATACATCGATTCGAATGCCCATTACATTTGCAACTGATTGATGGAACAATAACTATTATAATCACACTACAAATCAAAAAATAGTATTCACTTACATTCCACCAATCGAAAGATCAGATATTGCATAATAATATGAACGAAGCACTTGTTCATCACCAAATATTTCATCGCCAAATGTATTCATATTGTCCAAAACAATCAGAATATCGGTGGCAGTTACAAATTCCTAACATACAATACGCAAGAGTATATAGTTATAATGATATAGATTCGAGAATAATTGGGCTATACCTGTAATCGTTCATTGCTTTCAAAATGAGTTGCATTTGGTCGACCTTCCAATGTGGTAAATACGACATTTCCGCCTGTCAATGGTGAAATGTCACTGAATTCTTTCGTACACATGGCCTGAGTTTCATCAAATTGACTAGAATATGCACGATCAGATACGTTATAAGTTTGTAGACAATTCGAACTATAATATTGGAATGGTATCCATGGCCCATCTTCAGATGTACGTTTGTATATCGCAAAACTTTCAGCACGTGGCGAATAGAACAAAAGTCTTACATAAGTAATTTCAAATGCTTTGCCTAACGGTACGGTGATGTTCACCTGTTTGACACCTTCCATCATTGTTTCACTTTGCCACCATGTTATACGATTCATTTGATCAACATCGATCATAAATTCGGGAGGATGTGCAAGTGCCGGATTTTGTGCATCACAAATTTCACATGTTTTACGCGTTGTTCCAGCTGCTCCGGTTTGAAAACAATATTGACTAAAACCATTCAAACCGCAAGTATTGGTTGCTTCAATCGGGGCATTATAGGCTGCATTGACAAATTCTGGTGCACATTTTAATGGTCGATTTGATTGATCATAACAACTAGAACTTGGATTCGGTACCGGACCCGGATATCTTAGCTGTGGAAATATATTATTATTGTTATTATAATAATTTGTGCCACTAGCTCCATTTCTATAAGGCTGATTTGATTGATAATATGGTTTCGTATATGGAAGAGGATCATAACGATTTTGGCCAAGGACCACTGAAAACAGTATGAATAATAATAGAATCAATGTTCTCATCATCATTATGGTTGTCGGACAAACAAACAAAACAGAAATGGCCACACACTTGTCACTTCAGAAAAAAGATTTGATCGAAAAAAATGATGATTGATGAAAAATTAATTTGAATTTCAACATTGATACATTGTCTGAAAAAGGTTATGATCGATAAATACGATCTTCGAACGGAAATGGCAGTGATTGTTTATTGCAAACTGATAATTCAAAATTGATTTTAAACTAAAAACTAGAAAAAATTTAGTGTTTTGTGTGAGGGAGAAAAAGAAGAGGATCTAAATTTTTTTGAAACAGGGGATGAAAACTAAAGACAAAGACATGAGGTATTGATCATCTTAAATAAAATGGTAGTGGTCTAATCATTGCTCAGTTATAATTATCACCAAATAAATTTAGACATTTTTTCGGTTCTTGAAAAAAGCGAAAAATCTGTTCATTCCAACACACACTATAGATAGGCTCATCATCTAAAATTACTTGTTCATATGTGTTATTATCCATCGATTTATATCATGGGTGCTAAAATTATACCAAAATCCCTTTTTCTTAAAAGAAAAAGTTCTTAGCCATTTTGACAATCAACTATCAATGAATGAATGATTGGGCAATTCTAATCAAGTGTATGAGCCACTCCTCTACTTCATCATAATATTATCCTGAGAAGAAATTCAAAACCGAATCGAATCATAGTAGTCCGAAAAAAATAAGATATCCAAACCACCACCTCGAACCATACCACACTGTTTCACATAAACACAACCACACACACACCCAGATACTGTTTATTCAGTTATGTTATTCAAAATAACCAAATAATCTTTGCCGTTGCCGCCGAATGAATGAACGCCCCTATCACCAAAATAGATTTACTAGCTATCTTGTAAATTTAATGTATACAAATGATAAATAGCCAAGTTATGTCAACAAACTATTGATGGCCATATGGTGGTTACTGCCAACAAAAGAAAAAAATCATGAATGATAAACTAACCATGACCAACCAGATGTATCCAATCGATAGCAAAAAACAATGTTACTAGGAATAGTTTTTTTTCAAGTCCGACTTACGACCTTTTTCTTATCGAAAATTTTTGATGAAATCAAACTATAAAACACCATTATCGCTAATGTGATTTACGTTGATCGTTGAAATTGATTTTTGTAATCAAAATCAATAATAATGATTGTGAATAAAATCGATTCAATCGAAAATGGTAATATGGCCGGAAAGCCTGTTGCTTATTATTTTCATAAAATAAAAAAAAAATTAAATTTTTTTCGATCATATCATCTATGAACAGTTCTCATCTATGACGTTGATCATCGATGGATAAATCTGATTTTTTCGATGTTTTGTTGATTTTTTAAAATATTCATTAATATAAATTAATCTATTCCTCATTTTATTCCATTTTTCTTCGCTTTGTTGCAATCATGATTCACAGCCTATTCTTCATCAATAATTCTGGGTGAGAGATCAAATTGGAATTTTTATTAAAATTTCGTTATAACAATTGTTTTCGGTTTATTTTGCAGTGATATATTTATTGAAAAACATTGGAAAAGCGTGATACCTCGATCAGTTTGCGACTATTTTCTCGATGCCCAACGTAAAGCAGATTATTCATCCAATGTTACCCCGGTAATTGCCACACCTCATCATATATTGATTTCGATTCATCGATCTGGATTATATTTTGTTGCTGTTACTACGGGTGAAATTCCTCCCCTATTTGTGATCGAATTTCTTCATCGTGTTGTCGATAATTTTATTGATTATTTCAATGATTGTTCAGAATCTTTACTCAAAGAACATATTGTTGTAGTTTATGAATTATTGGATGAAATGCTCGATAATGGTTTCCCATTAGCCACCGAATCAAACATATTGAAAGAGTTGATAAAACCGCCGAATTTTCTTCGTACCATTGCGAACACTGTTACTGGACGTAATAAGTAAGTGAAAATCACTTTAAAAATGAAAAATAAAATTTAAATGTTATATTTAGTGTTAGTTCTACTTTACCTACCGGTCAACTATCGAATGTACCGTGGCGTCGTTTCGGAGTCAAATATACCAATAACGAGGCTTATTTTGATGTGATTGAAGAAGTGGATGCCATTATTGATAAAAGTGGCTCAGTAGTTTCTGCAGAAATACAAGGATATGTAAGTAAAATCTTTATTGCTATTGAATTTAGTTTTCATTGATACTATTACACACTTAAAGATCGATTGCTGTGTTAAATTATCTGGTATGCCCGACTTATGTCTATCATTCGTTAATCCAACACTATTCGACGATGTTAGCTTTCATCCATGCATCCGTTTTAAACGTTGGGAATCGGAAAAAGTGTTATCATTTATACCACCGGATGGTAATTTTCGTTTAATGTCCTACCATATTGGAGCTCAAAATATGGTCAACATTCCAATTTTTGTTCGTCATCATATTTCATTCAAAGAATCAATCGGTGGTAAACTGGAAATTCAAATCGGGGCAAAACAATTGATGGGCAAAAATGTAGGTTTCAGATCCAAAAAAAACTGGAACTAGAATATTAATTTAGCTCTTTTTTGGAATAGTTGGAGAACATATTCATCGAAATGATTATGCCAAAAAACGTTTTAAATGTAAATCTTGTACCAAATCAAGGAAAATATACATTCGATTCAGTTACAAAATTATTGGTCTGGGACGTTGGAAAGATGGAAATTCATCAGGGTAAAAGCTTACCAACGGTTAAGGGTAGTATCGTTCTACAAAGTGGTGCCCCTATACCGGATTCAAATCCAAACATACTTGTCAAATTCAACATTTCTCAATTCGCTATATCTGGATTGAAGGTCAATCGTTTGGATATGTATGGCGAGGTATGACATTTTTTTTGTAAAATTGATAATGCAACATTTTAAAATCTTTTTTTTAATTAAACAGAAATATAAACCATTCAAAGGAGTTAAATATATGACTAAAGCTGGTAACTTTCAAGTTCGAACCTGAAAGAAATCATCTATTATCATATCATATCTTATCAAATTCTTAACGACTTATTTGAAAAAAAATATAAAATTTTTTTTATTGATCTATAGTTTAATTTTTGTTTCATTGCAATTTTCACAAATGTTTTAATCATCTTGACCGGTGCCCGTACGACTTGATGATGTTGACTCATTCGATGAATCTTGCCTTGCAACTCCGAACCATTCATGATGTAAAACTTCATTCATGTTAATCCGTGTTGATGGATTAGGATTCAGATGTTGATTTAATAAATCTTTAATCTGCGATGATAGGTTTCGATTGAATTGATATTTACGATCCATTTGACTTTTCAACAATTCTTTATTGTCTCGATCAGTAAATGGTAATCGATTACTGACCAGTACAAACAACACGACACCCATGCTCCATACATCGCTTATCAATGGATTATATGGTTGTGATTGTAACACTTCAGGTGCAACATATGCTGTGCTGCCACAATATGTATCTGAAAGCATTCGTTGGCCTGAATTACGTTCAAAGCAGGTACGTGCAAAGCCAAAATCAGTCAATTTTGATATAGTTTTAGCACGATTCAATAGGATATTCTCGCATTTGATATCACGATGTGCGAATCCCAACGAATGCATATAACGCAAAGCATCACCAAATTGAAGATAAAAATATCGAGCACGATCTTCGGGCAAAGCTTTAGTACGATGTAGCAGGTCAAGAAAATCACCACCTTCTGCTAGTTCCATGAAAACGATTACTCGATTACCCACAACCAGTATGTCCATTATATCGATCAGATATGGGTGTTTGAGTTTTTTCATTGTATAGATTTCACGTGGCAAAAATTTCAACCGATATTCTTCGGATGTTTTTTCCAAATCTATCACTTTAGCTGCGATCGGTTCGCCCTTGTATGTTGCACGACATACACATGCAAAACTTCCACTATTCAATGGTTCGCCGATTTTGAAGCCACGTTTCTCTAGTAATTTTTCATCGTTTGGAGCCAATCGAACTCTTTGTTTGGATTGCATATTTATTTGATCAACAGAAAAAACGATCAAAGAATAACGGCTAGAATCAATAATCAAAACTTGCATGAATATGAACGACCTTTATACGCTATTCTAAACAATTAATAAAAAAAAATTCGAATAGATTTGATTATTTAAGATTTATTGTTAATATTTGTAATTGACAATTATAACATATAATTGATTAATTAACAATTTTTTCAATAAACAAAAAGATTTGGAAATCTAAGAGCAAACAATGGTGGTGCTCGTGAATTTATCTGACTAATGTCACATATTGACAAAAGAGGATTATCATAAACATGACAATTTCCATCAAATGATAGATGATTAGGCTGCATTGATTGATTGACAATAGGAATGATGCTTTGATGATCCAATGTATCTAAGCTATGTTTGTTGGGATTTTGTACCATTTGATTTTGATGTACTCTTGTTTCCTGTATTTGAAAAGATTTGTCAATAGTGTTCAAGAGAATTTCTTGGAAGGTTTTTTTCTAAAAAAGGAGAACAATTCAAATGAAATGTATTACAATAGAAAATAAAAAACATACCGATTTGGGATAATTTTCGACTAAATTTTCAAATTTACTATTTCTTAAATTGTTTAATAGATTCATACGGTGACGTAATTCCTGTTTGTGATCACGAGTCGGATTTATCAACACCTCTTTAAAAGTGGTGAAATTAATCTCTTGTTCAGGTAATTTCTAGAATTTTAAAATGACAACCAAAATGAATAATAATCTATAAAAATGATAGGAAAAACTTACGCGTACGGTTCCAGGTGAAGAATTGACACTATCGATTTCAACTGTTATAGCATTTAAATCGCTCGTACTACGTGTCATTGATGAATCAACTAACGATTGAAAAGAAAAATCAAATTTTAATCTAAAAAATAAATCCATAATTACATACCATCACAATTCGATTGGAAGGGTGTGTTCAATGCTAGCGTATCATGGCCGGTTGTCTGAAGTGATTCAGATAAGACTTGTTTATTGAATAAAAGTTCATCAGCAACTAAATAATCGGTACTATTCTGTCTACTAGGACTATTCTCTTTTGATTTGTTACTAATTTCTCGTTGATTATGTACGTTTTCAGAAATGAACAATTCGCCACTTGTGTAATTTTCGGCCAAATGGCAATATTCAGGCAGCAAATATTTTGCTTGGTCAACACGAGTTTTAATAACTTGTTCCACGTGTGTACAGATGGCTGGAATTGCTTTTAGATTACTGAAAAGATGAAGAAAACCGGCAGCGATACTATGAATAAAACATCGATGCGAATCGGATAGGTTAAAATTTCTGGAGATAGCCATATCTTGTAGAGCAAATGTCAATCGAAGTAAATCGATGAGCACTTCATCCGAATTCATTTCTACACAAATCAACGCCATGGTAGTGAAAATACTATCGAAATTTTCTTTTGTATTCGATTCGATTTGAACATTTCTATAGATGTGGACAAGAATGTCATGACCATGTTTACGCATAAAATTTATATCGTAACGGTCGGCCTTCTCAATGGTCAATGTTTCTGGAGGAACAATAGTAACTGGTTTGATGAGGCGAGGTAAATTTTTATGACGATCAAGTAATTGGTGGAAAATTTTCTGCACAGTCAATCGAGTTTTTGGATCCGGTGATAGGGCACGTGTAAGTAATTGATTCAACAGGGTTGATGGGAATGTTTGTATCATGCTCACTGGTTTATATTTAGTCGTTACTTTAAGCAAACTTTTCAATATGATATTTTGCAATTGTTGTTCGGTGGCTGATGTACATGAAGCTGGTGGTGCTTTATCAATGATGAATATCATCGTTTCAATTTTCTGATAATCTGGTAGATTTGTTGTAAATTCACCTAAAGTATTGATTACGGCTTCCTGGAATTGTTTTTCTTCTTCAACAAATTGTGTTTGAATATTATTGATCGAATCATGTAGATGTTGTAGCAGTGAATTGATCATTCCAAGAACAAACGGACCAATTGTATCGGCTGGTATGGCTATGATTTCATTCAAAACATTGACAATGCCAGTCTGTACTTTTATTTTATTTTCTAGATTGCAATTTTCCAATTTTTCACGACGACCTTTGGCCACACAATCCAGATGATTCATTAGAATTTGTATGACAGCTGGTTTTGATTGTATCGAGTACATTATAATTTTGAATGTTTCAATAGCAAAATTATCACCAGTTGGATCAGCTGCCATTTCCCAAAAATGATGAAGGTCAAAATGAGTAATGATAGGCTTAAGAATATTATGTACATGACCGAAACTAGCACGATTAATTAATTCACGTAGGCATTCGGTAGCCACGTCATTGGGCGTGGATGATTCGAAATCGTCTTCGGTAAATCTTACCGGATCAGGTGGCAACAGACGTGTCTGACTATCTTTGAAATGTGTTTCATCTTCAAAATCTTTACTTTTCATATTGAATAATAATGATGGAATTATCTTGCCCATATTGTTATCAGCCCATATATTTACTTGCATATCATCACTGACTGCTTTCAGTATCAATCCTTTAATACCAATCAATCCGGCCATCCTTAAACGTTTACGAGTAACTAGATTTGGATGATTATCGTGACAAAGCGAGGCGAATTTACAGACAAAAAAATCATAGCTACGATGATAAGTCGGTGTATCTTCTTCAATTTTTGCAAATTTTACGAACTAAATGTAAAATTGTAATAAAAAAACGTATAAAAATCATGAAAATTGATAGCTTTATTTATACCGATTGTGTAGCCAAAATTTGTAATTCTGGATCATGACTTTCCAAAACTAGTTGTACGACTTTGAGAAAACTTTCCATAAATAAATGAAGCGAATTGTGACATGTTTTCAATAATTGATCCATAGCTTCAACGGCAATGAAAACAAAACCAATTCGATGCCTGTAAAGATCACGACCAATTCGTTCGGCTAGATAGGCGCCAATTTTATCCAATTTATCTGGTGATGACATGGCATAAAAAATTAATTTTTCCATATTAGATTTAACCAGGCCATCCTATTTGTAAGAAATTATTGAGATAAATATTTTGAAAAAGAAAAAATGAAAAAAAACCAAAAACCTCAGCATTCGATGGAAAGATGGTATCGACAAGTCTTTTATATCTTGGCTTGAATGGTGAACAACAACAAGCACAACAGCCTATGTGTAAGCAAAAAAAAAGAACAATTAATCAAACTTGGCCATTCGAAATATTTTATTTATTCGTAAAGAATTTTTCATTCGTATCATTTCATTATGAAATAAATAAACATACAAAAAAAGGAAAGGCAAAAAAAATATCAATGAAAATAACACAAATACAAAAAATTATATTTATTCAAAATGATAAAAACAAATTGAAAAAAATCCATGCAATGAATATAACAATAACAACAACAAAATAAATAACAAACAAAAACAAATATAAATTGTGAAAAATTAAGAATCTCAATGGGAAAAAACTATTCTACGACGAAATGACTTACATTGATCACATCGGTTAAACCATCCACTACCGCTACTAACACCAGCACTGGCATTTCCATCATTATTGCCATTTCCGGTATTAGAAAGCTGGAATAAATTCTCCAGATTAAAACAACAAACCATCGTCATTTTTTTTGTTTGTTTGTCGCTAATCGAAAACAACAAAATAACAGGAAAATTTGAATTACATCAACACAGAATTATGGTTGATGTGGTGTGTGCGAGTGTGTGATAAAGGAAGATAAAACGCCAAAATAATATACAAAACAAAATGTAATCAACAATATAATGTGAGCAAAAATATTGTGACAAGATTAAGAAATAAAAAACTCAACGAATCGTTGCGATTGTCAACAAAATCAGTTAAAAAAACAATACGAACAAATACGGCTCTTTTTTCTGCAGATTTGTCGTCGCCAACAACAACAAGGAAATGAATGTTTGTTTGTTGTGAATAATTGAATAATTTAATAGTGAGGAGAACAAAAATTATTTTTTACTAATGTTGAAAACTGAAATTATTATTTTTTTTGTTGATGTCATCAAAACGAATCAATCAATCAAGGTATCAAGGTGAACCCAAAAACCATCATTCAGGATTTACAATCAATTCGAATTTTTCATATATTGCATACAATAAAAATGGACAATGAAATGATAGTTTTTCTTTCAATTTAAATGTAATTAATTTTTTCTGGTTTTCTGTTTAACATATTTTGTATAATATTGTGTAACATTATTATTAATCATGACGTTTGTTTGACATACAATTGATAATTAGTTATATTTGTTAACATAAGATGAAAATTGCTATTTTAATTTTAAAAAATTCAAATCTAGATTTATCTTTCTCTCTATGAACCAAGGTTGTTAATTTTTTTTGTTATATATAAGATAATTGATTTTTTGTGTTTTGGAATGAATTATGTTTTTTAACAATTGAAATTGAATTGATTAATTAATGAAATATAATAATAACAATGATATTCAATAATCAATGGCTATAATTCGTTTTTTATTTTTTGAATTTGAATTTGATTATGTTTTGTTTTGATTTCATTGATTGAAATTGAATCAAAGTAGCTGTGAATAACGCCATGTTGCACAGATGCTGGAAAACCAGCAGGTCATTTGCATTGACCGTCTACTACAAGCCATTGTACGTCCAATGACCGTTGTAACTGCCGAAGTATTGGTTCTCATCGCATCACCTTCCGATGATGTACTATCCGATGATGATTGTTCTTTATTCTTTTTCGATGATGCTGGTCGTGGTAACATTGTTATTTTGATTTTTTTGACAATTACAAAAACGATATAATATTAACAAATTGACGGAAAATATTCAATTAGGATTTTTTAAAAACAAAAATACACCGTTAATTGATTTTTTTTTGTGTATTTTAATAAAATTGAATTTTGTTATCGTTGTCAACAAATAGGTTGAAAAAAAGATTTCAGATCAGAAAAGAAAGTAAAGAGAGAAAAAAAGATTTTCTATTAATTTTATCAAAATCATATCGTCATATTAAAATAAATTCAATTAATCAATGTAGTTTCAAATTACACAAGGAATTGAATTGAAATGGAAAAAGGTTTATGTGTAATATCAATGGATCTTCGATAAATCAAATGTAAGGGGAAAATATGATGATTTTTTCAAAGAAAAAAGATGTGAAACAGGTTTTTTTCTTTCGTTTTTTTTCGTTGCCTAGGTCAAATGTTGTTATCGTATCGATCGAATCAATGAAATTATTGATGAAATCATAATATTTATGAAGCGAAAAATGAGCAAAGACAAAGATTCATTCAAATTATCACTTTGAATTATTCATATATGAAGCCTTCTAATAATATTTTATAAAATCTTTGACAAAATATTTCTTTTCAAATTGAAGAAAACGTCGATGAAAACGAGGCAACTTGGTTTACAAACACAATCACGCACAACTACTTCAGGCACTTGAAATAGTTGATAGGCTTTTATTAATTATAAATCCAGAATCAAAAATTGCGAACAACAATTTTCTTCATTTAAAAAAACAGATAAAGAATTTAAATTTCCATGACTTTCAAACACAGACATCACAAGTACAAAAAAAAACAACCTACAGGATTTGACTTTCATCAACCGCTAAACAGACAAACTTAAATACTACAGAACACACACAATTGTTAATGATAATAATGAAAAAAATAACAGACATACAAAAAGTTGAAGCATAATCATAAGTGAAATTGAAATATCAAAAAAAAAAAATGAGAATCACATGAGACGATTTATTCATCATAAATTATTATTATATCAAAAAGGGAAAAAATAAGAAGAAACGTCATTGACATAGAAGCAATGGTGAATCCAACAACAACAACAACAACAAAAACGATATGGCAACCAAACATATACATTTGTAAAAATATGTCAATAAAGGAACAACTAACTCCAGACATTGGAACAACAACAAAATCCAAAAAAACGCCATGCGCTATGTATCAAAAAAAAATTTATCTATCCAGTTATTTTTCTGATTGGATTCCCCAGTTAAAAACACCAGCCATAGCAGCAGTTTTTTCAATCGTACAATACAATAAAATAAAAACAAATAATAAAAACAATGAGAGAAAAAAATTCATTTTTCATCATCATATGTCAATGTTATCATAAATCGATTGATTAACAATATAGTTGATGAAGAAAAAAAAACAATTGTTTGACAAACCAAAAAAACCAATGGAATCAATGGCACCGAATAATAATAATAATTTTCAAAAGCAAACAAAACAAAACAAGGACAAAATCAATTGAATTATTATTATTATAAGCTTAATGGCTGATAGAAATTAATAACAAAAATTTCCTTTTACACATCAATCAAAGGGGGAGGAATAGAAAATTTTTCCCAATATTGAATCCTTCAATTGTTGCTGATAGAAAATTAAAAAAAATCATCTCATCTCAATAATCATAAATCAATCAAAGAAAAAGTAAAAGAAATATGCATCAACAATAAAACCAATTAAAAAAATCGATTACTACAATAAATGAAATTAATTGCAGCCGCGGAAAATAAGATTAAAAAATAAATTAGAAAACCTTTTAGTCTTTGAAGTGTTTGAACAAACAAACCAAAAACAAAATCATAAATTTTATAGCAGCTAAAAGTTTGGATACATCTGGTCCCATGGCTTTAGGTGAGGGAGTGAATGAAAAAAAGATAGGCTACACTGCAATGCATTTATTCTGGGTCAGCAAAATCACAAATTATATAAAAGACATAAAAAAGTATAATGTTCGATAATACCAACAAGTACTTGACATAGATTTACAAAGAAAATATCTTTGTCTATCAATATTCTATGCAAAAATAAAAATTTGATAATTTAATCGACAGTTTTAATTTTGTTTTCTGGTAAGAAAAATGACAACTAAAAAGTGATTTTTTTTCATTTACTCCAAACAAACAGTGTTGATCAATTAGAATCCTTGAATGAAAAATTTGAATTCAGCTATACTTAATTTGATTGATTCAACAATATTTTTTTGCAAGAAAAAACCTACGCGATAATAACCAACCAGAAATAACACATGAACATTATCATTGAAATAATTTCAAGGCAATATTTTTGAGAATGGGGTATAGAAAAATATAAAAATTTTCCATTCAAAAAGAAATTTAAAAAACATTTAAAATGATGATCAATGAAAAAAAATCATACCTGACATTTTTGCAATTTAGAATTTTTTGTTTTGTTTTCAATTTTAATTGTTGATTGATTGATGATTGTCAATTTTAATTGGATTTATATTCTGAAAAATTGAAGAAAAAAATTATATACGAAGGCCAAATGATTTAGACCAAATGAATTGTTTAAATAATATTTGTTGTTTTTTTGAAAACAATGTGCGATTGTCATTTGGTGTTCGTAATGATTTTAAGTAGATTATTAATCGTCAGTTTGATGATGATGATGGTTTTGTGATGATAATTCACTGATAATTCAATCTGACGTGTATGTGATTAATTTGAACACAGTTAATTAGAAAAAGATTTTTTTCAACAAACAAATTCGAACGAAATATCTATAGTATAGTTGAAATGAAAAAAGAACGTTTTGTTGGTCGACGATTGGATGGATGAATGGTTTTTTTAGGTTTCGTATTCAAATCAAAAATGACAGAAAAAATACTTTGAATAGTTGGGATGGCTGTCGGAAATGATGTTTGTGAGAAGAATGGATAGATAATTCAAGTGGATGGTTTTTTAACTGAAAATAATTGTAATCGATTATCATGACGATCCATGATGATGATGAAAAAAGATAGATTCAATTGAGTGAACAATAAAATCCAGATCTAGCATCCAACAATGGAACCAAACAAAACAGTAATCGTATAAAGAAACAGTGTGTCAAAAATCATGAGCAGTATGCTAAATTATTATAAATGAAAAGATGCTGGTTTCCAGTTATCTATATATAACAAAAAAAATGTATGATTCACTATAGTTAACACAAAAAGAGAAACGAAATAAACGAACATTTTACCAAAATATAGCATCATGGAACAAAATTACCACCAAAAGCACAAGTTGGCCGTTTAGTTTATAATGATTTGTCAACGAAAAATTTAGACACATACACTAACAAATATATAGAATCGGTAGCGATAAGAAAATTGATCCGCACTGCAGTGAAAAAATAATAAGCATACTTTTCACCACATTCATTTGATAATGAAAATAAAACTGAATTTGAATTCGAATGTTTTGTGATAGAATTTTTCTCTGAACATTCGAATCTTTTAAAATTGTTGGTGTTGGAATTGGAAGCTCAATGTTTTTAGGATATCAAATAAATAAATAGATCCATGTTCCAAGTACGCCATCTATTGGATCATTTGATAGAAAATGAAATTTAAATTTTGTTATAACAACAAAAAATTTTCTTTATTTATTTAAATCAATTCAAACATTATTATTTTTGGACATTTTTTTTCCTCGTTACTAATTCATACGAATCCATCAAGTTTGTATGGAGAAAAAAAACATAATGAAAGCATTCATTTTTTCATTGATTTCCTGTCTCGATTTCCGAAATGAAAAAGATTATAAGGATTAATGTTGGAATTATTTTCCAGTGAATTATGGAAAAACACAAAAAAAAACAACAACGACAATTTAACAATCAATCATTGACGTTTGACAATTAGCAAATATCATTTCACACGTCTCTGTGATAACAATGTAATTGAATCGTTGGAAGCCAAATTAAATTTGTCATCATTGTAACTGGATGTAATTAATAATTTTTTTTCAAACAAAATAATCATGATTAATATGTGGATTTTATCAACAATTCTGATCATATTTTTGATTCATTTTCAATCAACAATAGCCATTGATGATGAAAATATTTCTGAAAATCAAGAATTATCATCATCATCATCATCATCACAACAGATATCGATCGAATGTTCTGAACATTTTAAATGTTTATCATTACAACGAAATAATGATCATTTACAGATATTGAAAATGAATTCAACATTACCAAATTGGTATGAACTTTGTAATTGTGATCAATATTGTTATATATTTGGTGATTGTTGTTCAGATGCACCTGAAGTTGATAAAATAAATCTTGATCATTGGTCATTTGTACGTGTAAGATTTAGTTCAAGAATTAATTTTCTTACATTAATGAAAAATCAATGTCCAAATGATTATCAACAAAATGAATATATTCGTTTACAATGTGAACATTCATGGTATGATCCATTCTACAATTATCTATTACCTGATATGGAACAATATCTATTGTTTGATCAGGAAGAAGAATTTAAAAATTGGCATGTAACAAGTCGAAAATCATTGATAACATATCGCAATCTTTATTGTAGTATTTGTAATAATGATACGGAAACTGATGCCTGGAATCAAAGATTAATGTGTCAAGATAATAATGATGATCATCGTTGTACGACTATTCATCATCAGATGGCGCCGGAAATTCTTGGAAAAGAAAAATTAAAACGAACACCATTACAGAATAAAGTATATTCTACCTGTAATCTTGGATGGTATAAAATGAATTATATGAAAGATCCAAAATCGATTATTGATACAATGAAAAAATGTCTAATATTTTATGCACCGGTTGCTGTTAAAGATTTAAAATCAAAAAAATATATTCTATTCAAAAATAAACATTGTGCCCATTGTAATGGATATAATTCATCAACAATCGAATGTGCACGTATGGCTGTTGATCAACCTACTCAGGTACCACCTACATTTAATTCGATTACAACATTAGATACGAATGAAATTTTTATCGATAATGAAAATCAACAATGTCCGATCATGTCCATATGGAATCCATTAATCAATAAATGTCAAGAAATTAATGTAGCCAATAATAATAATGCACAACCGATTCGATTCCGTCATTATAATCAAGCATTACAAAATAATTGTTCAATATTTCAAATAATAATTTTATTGATATTGGTTTTATTTTTATTATTATAGTCATTATCAATTATAAATTAAGGTTTTTTCAAAAAAAAATCAAGTAAATTTAATAATTCAAAAATTTTGTCAATTGATCATTTTCTTTACGTATAAAATATCGTTGTAATGGCGTGATTAACAAATAGATTGGATTGCTCATGATTACAAATGCAATTGCAGTATTCACAATATTTACCTTTTAAAAATTAATTCAAATAATTAATTAATTAATTTAAAAGAATCATATAACTTACATAGATAACGTTTGATTCCGAATTTTTTTCCCATGAATATAATGGTATCTGAAGTAAAGAGATCACAGCACTAATCGAACTCATTATGCCTAGTAATTGATTAAAATGATCCGCATGAAATCGAATTCGTAAGAATGCTGAACCAACAGCTAATAAAAATGAACGATAAATAGTAACGAACACAATAGATGCATAGATGAATTCTTCACGATCAAAATAATGGCATAAAACACAAATTAACAATGTAAATGATGTTATAAATAATGGCCAAAATCCTGATTGTGCTTGTTGAACACGTTTTTCCAATTCATCTTTTTCGTTGATTGTTTTACTTAGTTGCCAATCCATTAATAAACCGGCAATAGGTGATACAACTAAAGCAAGCACTTGAACAACTCCATAAAGGTTAAGAAATAATGTTTGACTTGAACGATCTTCTGTAACTCTTTTAGTCCATAAATCTAATGATCCAACATACATAACCATATAGGTAATCATCCATGAAAACCAAAGCTGATGAAGATTATATGGTATGGTACGAAGAGAAATCCTAAGTGGTGGTGATTTTTTTAACACCGGTGACAAAGAATGTGATGATGGATTTACATTTTCAATCGATTGATTATCTGGTTCAAATGCATCATTTACAAAACCATTATTCACCTTTTTTCGCATCAATGTAGGCGATCCGATTGTTTTGAAATTCTGTAGCTGAATGGATGGCTTAATTTCTTCAGATGAGGATGATTTTTTATTCGAAAATAAAAGACCATCAATATTGGCAGGATAATATGCGGCTTTATTTTGTTGATGAGATTTTGTAAAATCATCATTCAAAATTGGATTATTATTTTTCTTATTATTATTATTATTATCCGGTTCTCGAACCTTATCGCTTGGTAATACAAACAATGTGAACGGTATGGTAAACAAACTTAGAATAACCAAAATCAATTGTATCCAGAAAAAATTCCTGCCGCTATTATCATAAATATATTGTAGGATAACATATATAATTGATGATGCACTAAATGCACCCGAATAGATCGATATAATTGTCGATCGTTTTGATGGATAAAGATTTGATATCTGCATATTAGCTATACGAATCGGTACACCGCTCAACGACATTATTAATAAAGCAGGAAATAGTAGCCAATCTCTTCCTTTAAATATCGATAATGATAATGATAAATAAAATATTTTCAAACAAACAAATAAAAAAATTATACATAGAATAAATCATCTGGAAACGAAAACAATCCAAAAAATCTTATATTCATATGTCACACGCACATTATTTAATTATCCTTCAATATATTGACCTTAACATTTATAAAATATCATCATAAGGTGATTGAAACTTATACGAACAGACCTTGCCACCAAAACAAAAAATCGCTATGGAAGATGACTATTCTCATTGATTTATCTTTCATAAATTTTTCGTTTTCCTGGTCTAACTGGAAAAAATTGAAGTTGAAAGTCATTGCCTTTGTCGACGCAAACATACATGCATGCATGCATGCTTGCATGTATTGCATGCATCTCATAATGATCATTATTCACAATTAACATTGAATCTTTTTTTTCTATTTCTATTTTCGTATAATGTGTAATTAAACTGACAAGCTCCAATAAGTTTGAAATATTTGAGGGAAATTTAATCTTTTTTGTTCAAATGTTTTTTGTTGTTGATATTGCTGTTGTCGCCGAAATTCAATCAGATTGTTAATCGTAAAAAAAATCTTAAAATGTCCGGTTTACCTATGTTTATGACTTACCTCTGGCAATGAAACAAAGAATAAATGCACCTAATGCAAACATGGCACTATTATCAGGAAAAAAATAAGTAAAATATCATTTTTAAAAAAATATTGAATATTTTTTCGATTAGTAAAAAAAACTTTGGCCAAAAGAAAAACTTACTTGATAATTAGTCGTACGGTTCTTAAGCCTAATTTTTCAAGTAAAAATCCCCATATAAATGCAGCTGCACCCATACAGAATGATCCAATCGAAAAGGCAAGATTAAGTGTTACTTCTTGTTGTTTACAACCCTGATTCATTATTGTCGATGATAACTAATCTCACAACATAATTCGAATAAATTGAAAATTATAAAATTAAAATAAAATCATACCGATGGTTGGAAATTTTCTCGTAAATATAAATCCAGATAATTTTCAAATGTGGATTTTGTTTTTGAAGGATCAGTTACCAGTTTAATGTCACCAAAATTATCATTACCATTAGATTTTAATATTAATGATGAATCATTTAATAGTTGATAGATAAAACTATGATTATAAGTACCCTGTGTCTCAAACGGTATGACTATAACCGTTTGATCATCATTACCATTATCAGTATTATTAACATTATTGTTGTATGAATCATTATTGATTAATGTAAAATTCACTTTTAATGTAAAATTTTTTGGTAATCGTCTGATTGTTGATGATGTAGATGAAAATGATTTTGGATTGATCGGTATGGCACTATTAGTGAATGGCAGAATATTTTGCTTATTTGATTCGGATGTCATTAACATTTCATCATTATCATCATTATCTTTATCGATAATGACCGACGATGATGATGGGATTGTTTTTGTTGCAGAAGAATTATTATTGATATCATTACAAAGATAATCATAGATGCCTTCATTTTTAAGCATCAATTTTAATGATGTCCAACCAAGTATCGTACCACTAAATATAAGAATTTCTAATAGGCCAAAAACAACAACTAAAAATCGTTTCCATTCAGATTCATACATTTTTAACAGAATTATTTATCGAATCAATCTTTTTGGAGAAAAAAAATTTAGTTTCTTTTCTTTTCTTTTTTCTTTGAACACAAACTAAATTCAGAAAAAATAAAACAAAACAAAACAAATCATATCAATATTTTTGTTTTTACCTTATCGATTGATAATAATTCAAGAAGAATTTTTTTGTGAAAAAAAAACAACAAACACACACACACACAGAGAATAATGATATAGATCGAGGTAAAAAAATTTCAGGAAAAAAAATTCCATTTGATTTAAACATCACCAATACAGATGAATCATTAACATTGATCGAAAATATTTGGGACAATTTTTTTCAAAAATTGAAAATTGAAAAAAATTAATCAAACATACAGACACACGTACACACCGACAAAAGCCAATTATTTGGTGGTACCCTAAGCATTTATTTCGGTTGCTAATATCGTTGTATTCCATTCATGATCTGTACACGTACAACAACAAAAACCATAAAAATTACTGGTAACTATGGAATAAATCAATTAGAATTGTTAGGAAAATACATAATAATTTGCAATGTTTTCATTCTCTAACAGAAAAAAACAAATCTAAAAAGAGAAAGTCCATCCTTTTTTCACATTGATTTTCTCTCAATTTTTTTCTTTTCTTGAAAAGTAACATTTCGTATACGATTCTCATAATAATCTTGCATAGATAGTGAATGAAAATCTTTCATGAAATTTTTTTTCTTGATTTTGAAATTATCTGGTTGTGACTATCATTCTATTCATTCATTTTAATTATAAAGCCGGTCAGCTATATAATTTACCAATAATTTTGCCTTGAAAATTTTTTATTCGTTGCTTTTCTTCCAGATAATTCTGGTGAATTTTTGTTTGAATAGATCAAAAGATATACTAAATCAAAAGAAAAGAATAGAATTATATTGAATGATTCAACTGAACAATTAGCAGATGGGTAGGTGGTCATTGTAGGCGAATGGAAAAAAAATTAAATGAAAAATATTTATAGAAAAAATTTGCATAAATGTTTTTATTATGTGATTTATGTCTATGTGAATCAAACAAATAAAATAATCAAATTTTAACAAATCAAAAAAGTCAATGATGATCATTGATAAAGAATCGGTTTATTTAGCCTTGGATATAGGAAATGCTTACCAAAAAAAAATTTCTGTTTAATTTGATGGACAATGAAATAACAATTTATTTTCATTTGATCTAGTGATCATAAAAACACAGAATTACTAAAAGACCACATTTTTTAATACCTTAATGTTTCATTTGATGGATGGATAGGTTGACCTTTTTTTTGTTTGTTCGTTTGTCATCGATGATTGATTATTGTCGTTTTATATTACCAATACGGTTGTCGGCTTGGCTTGGCTTGGCTTGAATGGATGGCTGTCGTCATCAACCGAATCATTCAATCAACAAATAAAATAAAATGAAAAAAAAACAACTAAATGGTTATTGTCTCATTTATCGACCATAAATTTGACATTGATTTTTTATTGAAGATTATTTTTTTGAAAATAAATGAATGAATAAATGAAAATGAAAAATCATCAAAATGACAAAGAAAAAAAATCTAATGGTAAAGATAATCATCATCATCAAACTTGATAATGATGCTGTGCTAATGTTTTTATTTACTTATTTCATTTTTTTGACAATTTTTTTCTACCGTCTTTTGTCAAATAATAATAAAAATTGATGACAATTATTGAAAATTGTCTAAACAGTCAAAAATGATTCGAAAAGTTGTCAAAAAAAACAGTTAGGAGATTAGTAATGGTCGATTAATCGATGGTATCGAAATTATATGAATGAAATTGAAAACAAATTCGCCTGAAGACAATTTTGTATTGTTCAATTTCATTATTTGATCGTAATTAGTAATAATAATAATGATTGGTTTTATTTGAATAAACACAGAGGGTCGGTATAACAGGATAATTTAATTTAACCATTTATATTTGATGTTTTTTCCTACCAAATACTAATTACAACCAAAATTACCCATTGACAGACTTAATTATCATCATTTCATATTTTTTTATGCAACAACATTATTTCAATAAAGTTTAGAAAAAAAGGATGAATTTGAAATAAATAGAAAAAAATCCCACTGTTACTTGTATGTTACGAATAAAAATCGTAAGAAGAAAAATTAATCATGTTGATAGATGGATGGCCAAGACATTTTTCAATGTATTTGATATTTTTTTTTAGTTACATTATTGATCAGATCAATTATGATCTTGAAATTGGATTTGTTCCGTTTCATTTTTTTTAAATTTTGCTTTGACATGATGTTTTTGAAGGATTTATTTTCATTATTAATTACAAATAGGTTTATCACACAAAAAATAGCAATGACAATTTCGATTAAATTGATTTTGAAATGTACAATTTTTTTCATCAAAAAACAGAAACTAAAAACTAACATAACCATGAATCATGAGGAAATCAAATTCGGTGACAAGACACAATATTCGTTCATTATCATTGTCATTTTTTTGCACCATCTACATGGCCATATTTTAAGTCAATGTTTCCGGTATGCCTAATTCTTCAAAAAGCCAACGTATTTGTGTTCCTGGACCATAACCATGTCGATTTTGTGAAGCGATTCGAAATATAATGGCCGGTTTTGGTTCAGATTGAATATTTGCCATTTTAATCAATTGTTCGCTAATAATACAATGATTCTGTTTACCTTCATAAACTTTTAAAAATGGTTGATCTTGTAGTTCGTTTTTGTTCGGTACTTTTTCCTTATCAACAGCCATGAACACAGATTGTTCAATAATTTCATTTGATGAGTTTGATGAGGTCGAATTATGCCATGATATATGTATTCCTTCTGATACACGATAAATTTGTACATTACTTGGAGCAGGTGGCAAATGTGCGGCACAGGTTTGAAAATGACCAAGTATCGGTCCTTCACACCATGACCCTAATCCTTGTGCATTGAAACCAGCTACACGAATTTTATAGCGAGTAGCCGGTTCTAATTTTACTTGTTTGAATTGCGTTGAATCATATTCTTTATCGATACGATTATGAGTTGTTAGTTTTTCGGGATTTTTTGGCACAAAATAATGTTCAATATTAAACGATGGTTTGCGAAATAAACCAACATCGTGCCAAATTTCCTCAATGACGGGCGTAGTGGATGTTGTTAAAGTATTAGGCATTTCACTATCATCGGGTCCATCGCTTTGAGGAATCTTTGTCGTTTCCAGTGACTTAGTTTTATCAATCGAATCTCGTCGATTTTCGTTTTCATCAATTTTGGTATTCATATTGTTTGTGGATGATAAAGAAGAAGTAGGAGGTAGAGGTGTTGGTAACAATGTTGTCATTGTCGATGATTTATTTGTATTGACTGAAGCAGAGGTTGAGGTCGAAGCTGTCGCTGCTGCTGTTGTTGTGGAATTAGCTGTATTTTTTGATGCAAGATGATTTTTGACCATAACTAATAATTCCTGAGGAGTTATTTTTCCATTATTACGTTCCAGAACTTGTTTAATTTCGGGAAAACATTCTACCGGTGTTTCAGTGAATTTTCCATTTTTCTTATCAAAAATTTTGACGACAATTTTTTTCCCAATGACAACTTGATTTGTAGATGATGTAGTTATTGGATGATTTGTAGGTTGCTGATTTGATGAGGATGTTGCTGTCGCTATTGATTGCGGCAATAAAGGAGATTGCTTAATGTTTGGAATCGATTGTGTTTTATGAGCGACCTGTGAAATACGTTTAATTTGAACCAAATAACGTTCAGTATTTATATCAGGATCGACAGTCAATAAAAGCGAATCAAATGTTGATTTTATTAATTGAAGATTTTTTGGTGCAGTCGGAACATCCAGATCAACATACCAAAGATCACGACAACAAACTTGATTATTCCAAGATTTTCGATAGCCATCTCGACCTGACCATATATAAAGCCGTGAGCCAATAAGGGTTGATGAATGGCCAGCTCGAGGCTTTGGAATTGAATCACTAACATCACTTTCATCAATCTTCGGTGTTATCCAATTTAAATGATCCAGATTCAATATAGCCAATGTATTCGAACATTTCCAACATTCTTTCATTTTGTTGGATTCTGAATCTGTTGAATCTGTAGGATTGTTAATTGACTTGTCCATTAAAGTCCAACCACCAAATATATACATTTGGTTGTTAACAACATTGGCTGTATGCAATGAACGAGGTGCTGGTGCAATACCAGTGATTTGTGGCGAACTCCATGACATTGTGTTTAGGTCCAAAATCCAGACATCGCCTAAGCGATTATTATCCATACCACCGTATATGAGCATCCAATCATGACCAGTCGTTTGATGTTTGTGCATGATTGCTGTATGTGATTCTCTTGGACTAGGCGAATGGCCTTTAGTTACCGGAATCGACCATTTATAATTGCTCGAACCTTTACCAATGTCTAGAACGTAAAGATCATTTAAATATTTAGGATTATGATTAAGCGGATCATCTTCATTTTGATTAAACATTCCACCGAAGAGAAAAATCTGTTGTCCAGATGTATGCATAACAAATGAATGGCCAAGTCGTGCACAAGGAGACTCCTGATTTTTTTCCACAAAAGGTATGATTTTTTTCCATTCCCAATTGTTCAGTTTCAATTCGTATAATGATGCAGAATATCGCCCAAACTCTAACATTCCACCGAATAAAAAAACATTAGTGACATTATTTGTCATTCCAAAAGCGGCAACACCCAGTGGTATATCGCCCGTCATCTTAGGCCATATCCACTTATTTTCATCTGTTCACAGAAGAAATGTTTCGAAAATAAAATAAAATGAACAATCTATATCCAATCAAAATATATTTACAGGGCATATAAACATGAAATTCATCGATAATGCCATCATTGCCACCGCCGAATATTAGCATCATATTCTTGATGGTAATCGCGCGATGCCCATGTCGAGCTTTCGGCGAATGGCCAGAAGAATTTTCAATTTTGCGCCATTTGAAAATTATATTTTTTTGCACGGACATTTTGATCGAACATTGAAAAGCATTATACATTGGTCATTGGTCTGTATATATGCAAAGAATTCATCACACTCTTATCGCTTTAAAAATGCGCGCATACAATGGATACTATTTTCATGAAGGCGTGGCCATCGTTTATTTCCAATTTTGCAACCTCGAGAAATCGCTAACCATCTTAATCATTCTCAAATTTTTTTCCCTAATTTTAAAATTAACCAAAAATAATTTTTCTTAAAGAAGATCAAGACGGTTTTAATCCGATAATTTTATTCTGAAATTCGATCGAAAACAAGAAAAATTAGAATGTCCAAATCGTAAAATACGTACAAAAAAATGCGGCTCAAATTTTCATTATTGATATCGATAGTGAAAACATCGATTGTGTGTGTTTGTTGGCATGTGTGGCAAGCATTGTGCACACTGCTGTCCAGTCGTACTTCCTCTTCTTTTCTGTGTCTGTCTGTGCGTGTTTAAGCTATTGACTTGATCCGAAAAAATTGAATTTTTAAGATGTCTTTGATTATTCCCGAACGGTTCCAACACATTCTTCGTGTTATGAACACGAATATTGATGGTAATCGCAAAGTAATGTTTGCGTTGACTTCGATTAAAGGTATTGGCCGACGATTTTCCAACATTGTTTGCAAAAAAGCTGATGTCGATTTGAATAAACGTGCTGGTGAATTGTCCGAAGAAGAAGTTGAACGTTTAATCACCATCATTTCAAATCCACGACAATTCAAAATTCCTAACTGGTTTCTTAATCGACAGAAAGATATTCGTGATGGTAAATATTCACAAGTTACATCGAACAATTTGGATACTAAATTACGTGAGGATTTGGAACGATTGAAAAAGATTCGCGCTCATCGTGGTCTTCGACATTATTGGGGCCTACGTGTACGTGGTCAACATACCAAAACAACCGGTCGACGTGGTCGAACTGTTGGTGTCAGTAAAAAGAAGAACTAATTTCTAAATGACAATTTGTATCGCTTTCATTTCATTTTTTTTTGATTATCAAAAAATAAAAACAATTCTGTTGAAATGAGATTTCTTTTTTTTTCTATTTTTTTTATTACATCCAGTAGTTTTTATTTTTAATTGGCATTAAATTGTGTTCTGTTTTATAAAATTGAAGTAAAATTTATCAATTTGCTCGAATTCGGTAAAAATTATCGATTGTTAATATCGATATGTTTGTACGATATATCGCTAACAAAAACGATGGTCGAGATTTGGAATCAAGCGTTGGCCACGCCTTGTTTATTGGTGTTTGTGTTGTTTGTACCATGATCTATTCGAGTGTTGAAAGTTATAATTTTGTCATATATTTATTTTTATATTTGTAATTATCATTTTCAATTATTTCAACAAAAATAAAAAAAAACTGGCTATAAAATTATTCGAGGATTCCGAAATGTCCTCGCTAAAAGATTCACTATTATCCAAATGGTGTAAAGTAGAATCGCCGGGAGGTATTAGTCCAAAACCACGACATGGGCATCGAGCCGTTAATGTCAAAGATATGATGATTGTATTTGGCGGTGGTAATGAAGGAATCGTTGACGAATTACATATATACAAGACTTGTAAGTTTTGATTTTCTGTGTTCCTTAAATCAGAATATCGATTTCGATCAATTAAAAAAATGAGCAGAGACATCTATTTTGATTAATGGAGGTTTCATTTCATTCCTTAAAAATACTAAAATATTTGTTTTTTCAATCATAGCTACCAATCAATGGTTTATTCCAGCATTGAAAGGCGATATACCACCTGGTTGTGCTGCTTATGGAATCACCACCGATGGAAATCGAGTATTTATTTTTGGCGGTATGGTTGAATATGGAAGATATTCGAATGATTTGTATGAATTAAAAGTGGCCACATGGGAATGGAAAAAAATTAGAGCACGTACGTCTAAGAATGTTGAACCACCACGCGCTCGACTTGGACATTCATTTACCATTGTTGGTAATAAAATTTTTCTATTCGGTGGACTGGCCAATGATAGTGACAATCCCAAACAAAACATGCCTAAGTAAGATATCTTGACTTGTCTGGTTAATTCTTATATTTTAATTCTTATATTCTTTAGATACCTGAACGATCTATATGTATTAGAGTTGAAAAATTCGGTTTATCAGTGGGATATGCCAAATTGTAGTGGTGAACCTCCAACACCACGTGAATCACACACAGCTGTAACATTTACACCACGTAATGGTCCTGGACCAAAATTGTTGATTTATGGTGGCATGAGTGGTTTTCGTCTAGGCGATATCTGTATTCTGGATATACCATCCATGACATGGAGTAAAGTTGATCCTTCAGGTTCAATACCATTTCCACGATCGTTGCATACGGCTACAGTAATCGATCAAAAAATGTACATATTTGGTGGCTGGGTACCTGTATCTTGTAATACGGATTCAACATTATCCGCCGAAAAACTTGGTCAACATCATCAGGAAAAAGAATGGAAATGTACTAACACGTTTGCCTGTTTAAATTTGGACACTATGCATTGGGAATTTAACTCTCCTGAAATAAGCGATGATATCAATGTACCAAGAGCTCGTGCTGGCCATTCAGCTGTAGCCATTGGTTCAAGACTTTTTATTTGGTCAGGTCGCGATGGCTACAGAAAAGCATGGAACAATCAGGTTTGTTGTCGTGATCTATGGTATCTGGAAACGGAAAAACCATCGGCTCCTGTTCGAATACAATTGGTTAAAGCAACAACATCAACTTTCGAAATTACTTGGGGATCGGTTGCTAACGCCGATTGCTACATTGTACAGATACAGAAAATCGAATCACCCGATCAGCAGACACCACCAATTGGATCGACAGCTTCGATGAAAAAGCCTATGCTTCCACCAGCTACAAATCCATTACCAACATCCATTCCAAGCACATTGTCGACAACACCTGTTGCCGCTGCGGTAACTCCTGCTGCAGTCACTCCCACAGCTGTATCAATTGCAGGGATAAATCCTCAGGCGCCAGGTGCTGCTGCTGCTGTTCAATTGTTAACAAATTCAACTCTTTTGTCAAATACGTCTACTGCATCTCCAATCAAAGTTTATACAATTCCAAAGACACAAGCTACGGTTTCTAATCTAGGACAAAATGCACAGATTGTTACAGCTTCTAGTACCACGACCGTACCAACACCGACAACAATGTCCGGTATGGCCGCATTGGCTGCTGCTGCAGCGGCAACCCCACGTATAACAACAAAAACATCGGCCGTTTCAACTGCAAGTAACATTCGAATTGTAACGCCTGCCGCCGTGCAACTTCATCCGACTACATCATCATCTCCTACAACTGGTATTAAATTAACACCTTCGGCCAGTACATCAACGGCTACGACACCTCAACAAATTCGTTTCATTACGACATCATCAGTTCAGTCTGGTACTAAACAGATTCTCATAAAAGGTAATGCGGGAGGTGCGATACAGACATCACAGTTAATATCGCTAGCTAAATCATCAAATGGTACATTACATTTGGTGGGAAAGATTCCCAACACTGGTGTTACCGGACAAGGACAGCAGCAGATTGTTAAAATTATAACACAAAATCCATCCAAACCGGTTACTGTATCAGTAGCTTCAACATCATCTTCGGCCACAACTTTAACTACCACAGATTCTGCATCTTCGAATTTATCGACAAACACAACGAATACACAGCAAGCCAAGATTATTAATACACCAACAAATGTTAAAATGATCGTATTACCAAACTCATCTAGATCTGGACAACAATTAGTCATTGCACCTCAGACTGGTACATCTAGTAATGCACAAACTTCATGCTCCACTCCTATGGTATTGAACAAATCAATTAAAATTCCGGTATCTGCCATCCGTAATCAAACAGTACAAGGTGGCGCATCCAAATTGGTCATTTCTGGCAGCCATTTGCAATCAAATTCAATTCGTTTGATTCAATCTAACAATAATCGTGTAGTGTTAGTACAATCCACCCAGCCAACAATATCGACAACTGGATCAACTATATTAACTACTACGACTGCTACTACAATCGCCCAACCGATCAATACAGTTGTGACGGCTACAAAAATCCCTCAAAGTGATGGTCCTGAAGATGAAGAACCAAAAAATGAAATTTCCACCTCAGCGGACGAAGACCAGAAACCATCTTTTGATCATGACCCGAAAATGGCTGATGATCAAAAACCAAAAACTAACAGAATGGAAACCAGCGAATTAACACCCTCGTCGATCGTCACAACCACGACTACGTCAACCATGACAACTACAGCTGCTGCTACAACTATCACACCCGCGATTGCCAAACCAACTATTGTTACGACATTAGGTTTAACCGCAAATAAGAGGACTGAAAACGCAACGACTATTCACCGTCCGTCAAATGTTGCGATTAATAGTAATGACAATCATCATCTGCAACAATCTTCGAAGTTGACGTCTCATAAACCGGAGCAACAACAAGATAAATGGTATGATGTTGGTATATTCAAAACGAATAGCTGTTCGATTACGAATTTTTTGATACCTAATGATGATTCGATCAAATATGATGCCGAGTTGGATTTTGATTCAAAATCCTGTCCACAGTATGCAAAATTTTCCCGCGTCTATCTTGAACCGGGTACATCATATCGAATTCGTGTGGCCGCTGTTAATCTCTATGGTCGTGGACCTTGGAGTCCTGCTATCGCATTCAAAACATGCTTTCCAGGATTTCCACCTGCTCCAACATCTATTAAAATAACCAAAAGTTTAGATGGTGCTCATATTTCCTGGGCTATACCTCCATCGGCATCAAAAGATATAACTGAATATACAGTTTATTTGGGTGTCAAAACTGTTCTGCCACCTCCGACAAGTGGTGATTCATCATCATTCAATCCATCCCCTTTTGCATTTGCCAAAGTATATTGCGGACCACAAACAGAAGCAATGATACCGAGTCGTGTTTTGATCGATGCCTACATCGATCAAGAGGCCTCAAAACCAGCCATCATTTTCCGTATTGCGGCTAAAAATGAAAAAGGATATGGGCCTGCTACGCAGGTTAGGTGGCTACAGGAAACATACCAATCACCGGGATCCTCATCTTCAGCTGGAACATCATCTGCATTGGCTAATAAACGATCATTTTCTCAGAATAATGATTTCGCTTCGTAAGTATTACCGTCAGTTTCTAATCTGAATTTCACTTGTTTCATTTTTCCATCTATTTTTTTTATTTATAGAAACAATAAAAAAAGTAAAATGTAATGATTCTGGTATTGTAAACAACATCGATTTACGACTGCAAACATTTTCGATCATCTGGCTTGTCCTGGTTAATAGGAAGGATTCTAACAGAAATTTCTATTGTAAATATATTCAATTCAAGAAAATGACAAGACATTTCAATTTGTTCTTGCGCCTCTATATAAACTAATTCTTCGTCATCCGATCCATAAAATTATTTGTTTTGGTTAAAAATTCGGCCATCATCATCAACAATTGTCATCAGCACATTTGTTTTCGTAATCATCATATATAAATAGTAACAGACATTGAGAGGAAATGTTTGATTTGCAACTGGCAAAAAATAAAGTGAAATTTCGAGCAAAATTTTAACGCCGTTAATTTTTCAACATTTGATTCATGTCTTTTTTAAAAGATGTGCGTGCTCACGTTCCCATTTTGTTTTCTCAATTGACATAATTCAATTTCAATACAATTTATTTTATCATCTGGAATATTGATTATTATAATATATGCACACATTAAAACTATACTTTTAAATTTTGGATCCTATCTTTTCATTTAAACGTCGACATTGATATAAACATTCTACATTATCATCTATTTTTTTTTTGATTTTATGCATTGCAAATTCACATTTGGCCAAACCATAAAAATTACTAAACGCTTTGTTAGTTTATTTGAATGTTCATATTATCTTGTGACACATATGTATTCGAATCAATAAGATGTAATCATTAAACCATACTTTTATTTTCTTCACAACATGAAATTCTTTGACCGATGGATTATTATAAATTTTGATTGAATGATTGTTGACCTTATTTCATTTCTTTGATCGGTTCGATTCGAATGATTCAATTTTGTGTGTTTTGTTCTGTATACATACCATTTGAATTGAATTGATCTGTGTGAAAGAAAAAGGATGAATAAATATTGGTTTATTTAAAAAAAAAATGATCAAAGACGGATTTTTACTTTCTATTCGGTTACACCAGTAATCGATACATTAAAATTTTCGACTCGTCATATTCAGTTCGCATTTTATTCACTTCAGTCGTTTTTTCATCGACAATTTGTTTTGATTTAAATTAGTTTCTAAGATTCTATTTGGAGAATCTAACATTATTTTTTGTTTATTTTATAAAATAATTTAAACTTTTCTGTCGTTCTGTGATTGATTGATGATTGCAATTTTCTTCGGTTTTTCGGAATATTCAAATCGTGTGTTTCATTGTCTACCAAATTGTTACAGCAAAATGTTTTTGTTATCGAAGATTGTTGCTACATTTATCTGGTTAATCGTAATTGCTTTCGACCATTGTGATTGCGGCCCATCTTACACCTATGATCCCGGTAATTTAATTCAAAGTTTTTCAAAATTGTTCCGTTTTTTGACATAACTTTTTATAGCTTTAGCAAACGAACTAAAAAGTTTATTGCAAACAAATCCGAATGATTTGAACATTTTTTTTCGTTGGGCTTACACCGTTCAAGAGAAAAAAACAACCGATGTCTTGTTTGAATTACGATGCGACCTGTACAAACTACGCGTCCTCTATCATCATCCAGAATCTCGAATTATCTTAAAAAAATTACCAAGTAGTAGAACAAAAAGTTTGTTGCAACGAAATTCCTTGCATTCAAATTTTTCCACACAAATTTATTTTTATCGACGATCTGATGGTAGGAATTGTCATTGTTTTCATGAAATTTTTCATTTTACTAAATTAATTCTTTGATAAGATTGTTTTGAAATCGCTCATTTCATCATACCAATGCGTGAATTAGATCGAATTGGACGACCTCATGGTTTTTTCGAGATAGTTCGAAATCGAAAATTTTACATTGAATTCAGCGATTCCAATTATGGACCTAAAACTGCCAATTTTCGTTGTTCATATCAAAATTCAACCATTTCGACGACCACGACTACGACTACAACTGCCTCACCTACAAAGACAATTCTTCTAAAATCTCAAGCAGCGGTAACAACTCAAACCAAAAGTCAAAACTCACGGCAATATGAATTTTTGAATCATATTAATTCAATTTTAGCTGAACATACGAAAATTCTGACTGAACAACGGCAACGAATCGTTATGTTAGAAGAACAATTGTCAAAATGTTGTCGAACAACGTGTGATAACTTCAGTGTTTCTATACACCACTGCAATGACCACCATAATCATCATCATCAACATCAAACATCAAATGGAAATTGTACAAACATCGAACAGCCAATACGACCTAAACAAACTTGTGCTCATAATCCATGTTTTCAAGATGTTCATTGCTATGACGATCCTATTACTGGATTCCGTTGTGGGCCTTGTCCTACTGGCTTCAATGGTGATGGAATACGATGTGAAGATATTGATGAATGTCGTTACTATAATCCATGTGATCCGATGGTATCATGTGTGAATATTGCTCCTGGATTCTATTGTGAAGAATGCCCGAGAGGATTTCGTAGCACATTAATTCGCGGTATAGGTCTTGAACAGGCACAAAAATTGCGACAAATTTGTCAGGACATTGATGAATGTCAAGATGGTCGTAATGGTGGCTGTGTAACGAATTCCTATTGCATTAACACAGCAGGTTCTTACACTTGTGGCGATTGTGTGGATGGATATCAAGGAAATCAAACTGTTGGTTGTCATGAAAAATCAATGTCAACTGTAATCTGTCCAGATGGTTGTATTTGTCATCAAGACGCCTATTGTGTTAAACGTAAAGGAATGATTAAATATGAATGTCAGTGCAAAATTGGCTGGGCTGGAGATGGAAAACTATGTAATCTAGATGGCGATCTTGATGGTTGGCCTGATTTCGATCTCGGTTGTGCCGATGTAAGATGTCGAGCAGATAATTGCCCTCAAATACCAAATAGCGGACAAGAAGATACAGATCATGACGGTCTCGGAGATGCGTGTGATCCGGATGCAGATAATGATGGCATAACAAATTTCAATGTAAATATTTGATGAGTGAAATGTTTTTTCAATCTTGTTCACAATAATTTATTGCTTTGGTCAATAGGATAACTGTCCATTGGTTTACAATCATGATCAACGCGATAGTGATTATCGCAATCAATCCGCTGCCGATAAATATGGTGATGCATGTGACAATTGTCCAACGGTTCCGAATCCCAATCAAATGGATTCAGATAATGACGGCGTTGGTGATGCATGCGACGATGATGCCGATAATGATGGCATCCCAAATGCAACGGATAATTGTCCATATGTTGCTAATACCGACCAGAAGGATCAAGATCGTGATCGTATCGGAGACATTTGCGATAATTGCCCTACCGTTTATAATCCTGATCAATTGGATGCTGATAAAGATTTTGTTGGTGATGCCTGTGACACTAATAATGATAGGTAAATTTCATAAAAATTCTTTAAATTTTCTAAATAATTTAAGTCGTTCTATAGAGATTTGGACGGTATTCAAGATAATCGAGATAATTGTCCAGAAATCGCCAATGCTGATCAATTGGATTCCGATGATGATGGTCTTGGTGATGCATGTGATTTCGATAAAGACAATGATGGAGTATTTGATCATGAGGATAATTGCCCATTAGTATATAATCCTGATCAAAAAGATACCAATCATACAAGCGTTGGTGATGCTTGTCGTGGCGATTTTGATGGTGATGGTGTACCCGACATATTGGACGTTTGTCCAGATAATCGTAAAATTTATTCCACAGATTTTCGATCCTATCAGATGATTGCATTGGATCCAAAAGGCACATCTCAAGATGATCCCGAATGGATCATTTTCAACAAAGGTGCTGAAATATTACAGACAAAAAATAGTGATCCAGGTTTGGCAGTCGGATTCCATTCATTCGGTGGTGTAGATTTTGAAGGTACCTTGTATATTGATGAAGTTGAAGATAACGATTATGTAGGATTTGTATTCAGCTATCAAGATAATTCTCATTTCTATGTAATGATGTGGAAAAAAGCCGAACAATTGTATTGGGAATCTAAACCAATGCGAGCGTTCGCTGAACCTGGTATTCAATTGAAATTAGTTCATTCACCATCAGGGCCAGGTGAATATCTAAGAAATGCCTTATGGAATACGGATTCAACTCACGGTCATGTAAAACTTTTATGGAAAGATCCAAGAAATATTGGTTGGCGAGAACGTACTCCATATAGGTGGTTACTATTACACCGGCCAAAAATTGGCCTTATAAGATTGCGTGTTTTCGAAAAGGAACGTCTTGTTGCCGATTCTGGCAATATATTTGATGTTTCTCTGAAAGGTGGCCGATTAGGTGTGTTTGTATTCTCACAAAAAGCGGTCATTTGGTCGAATCTAGTGTATCGATGCAATGAAGCTATCCCAGAATTAATTTACGATCGATTACCAAGAGAATATCAACGGCAAGTAGAAATCGATCAAAGTCGTACGTCCATCATGATACAAGAAGATATTATTGGCAATCATATTTAAATCGACATTCGATCAAATGAATATTTTTAAAAATATCAAAGCGATTTTCATAAAGTTTTAAACAATTTAACTGGAGCAGCTTGTATTTCAACTAATAATTTATTTCAAATTTTTGAAAAATTAGATTGAATAAAAATGATTTTGACAAATAATTATATGAATCTACGGTCTGACAGTAGCCATGCTGATTATTGAATCAAAATCAGTATCAGCAAGAGTAGTCATGTCGTTATTGACTTTGTCCGTTTCATTCAAGACAAAGGTAGAAATTGTTGTTGGTGAAATTGTGGTTGACATCTCATCATCTTCAGATCGACTCATTGCAATGATTTTCGGAATGCTACTTTCGGTAGTCGATGTTATTTTTAAATTATCAGTAATTGAATTCATAGCTACTGTAGTTGTGATTGCGCTCATTATGTCTTTCGAGTCAGGTGAATTTATATTTTGTTTTATCGTTGCAGATATGATGTCTTCAGCTATTTCCTTTTCGGTGAAGGTGTCATCCGCATTCGATGTCAAATTGATCATAATTTCAGATTCATCATAAGATCGTCCTAATGATTGACCATTCGGCTCAGTAGTCATTTCGATGTCTTCGATTTTGACAGTAGAATTGACAACTTCATCAGCATTGATACTGATAGTTTCTGTTTTTACTTCATTAATTTCAGGTTTCGGTGCTATTGTAGTTGTGTCGATTTCGTTGTCTAACTTTCGAAACTTGTTGGAGTCAGAGTCGGAAATTACTGGAATAGGAGTCGTTTTTTGTGATGATGAAGACGGTACAGTAAAATTGGCGCCAATTTCAAAATGTTTATTGACGACAATAACAGGAACATGGTCCGGCACAATTACTGCCTTTTCAGTGGCGTTTAAATCGATAGGTGATAGTGGTGGTGAAGATTGTTGCTTCGAAATGTTCGTATGAATAAATTGTGGAATTTTTTCGGTTATTATTCCACCGGGTACGATGCCATATTCTGTTTATATAAATTCTGAAAATAAAAAAAATTGCTTTTTAAAATCACAACAAATAATACCTGAAGGACAATGATCATAACGAGGACAACATTCTCCAAGTACATATTCGGGCTCACAATCGAATCGAAATTGACAATCTGCTAATGAACAGGTGATAGAACTGCCTTGACAATAGCATGAATAGCATGGGCTTTCAGCATTGTGTATACGTTCACCATCTTTATAGTATTGACCATTATGTTCACATCCTGTAGAAAAACGCAAATATTATTCATGATTATAAATACGAAAACTAACATACCACATTGATATGATGGGCAGCATTCACCGACATGACGAATGGCACGACATCCAGTTTTGATTTCACAATGTTGAAGCATACAGATAAAGCCAGGGGGACGACATTTACATGTTTCACATGGATCATCGGTTGGTATTGGATCGCCATCTTTGTACACAACGTGATCGACAGTACAAGCTATCAACCACAAATTGTTCATACAATCGAAATGTGAGCAAAAAAAATTGAGAAATTGAAATCGATTGCAATCAAGGAAATCACTTACCAGTTTCATTGGCAATGTAGGAAAATGCTCTTTTCGAACGTAAAAATGGATAACAATCAATGCCTAATAATAGTTTTTTTTAATCACTATATTGATTCTTGATTCGAAAAAAGATCAATTTACTCACGAATATGATTGATTAAAATCGACAATGTAATGATAAACAAAACAAACCGATACCAATGGCCAATCGAAAATTGCATCTTAATTTTAATTCGAAAAAAAACTTAGACCAACAAATAAAAATCGAGTGAAGAAATGCACAGATGAGTGAAATATCTGAAACATCAAAGACTATAGCTGATATTATGGAACGTGATTGGATTGATTGAATGGAAATAGAGACAAATTTTAATATTGCTGAATAATTATAAGCGGGTGTTACAAATATTAATTGGATCCCCGACAAGGCTATTTGTTTTGCATTAGTAAAACTTTCTTGTTTTAATAATTTGTTGTAATAGAGAAAAGAGATTCTCAAACAATTAGAAAAATTTCACTTTGATTGAATGTGAATGTGACCATAAAAGTATTTAATCACTAAAGATGAATTTGATCATAAGTTATTTACATTTCTAATTTTGAAGTTGAACGGCCATTAGATATACCGATTCGAATTGAAATAAAATTTAGAAATATTTTGAGCATTGTTCTAAAACAGCCATTAAAATATCAATGAACCAGTCGAATCAAATAGGAATAATCACAGATTCTTGAATCTAATAATTTTGATAAGGTGTGAGATCAAGTATAAGAGGATTCGACCAACAAAAATCCACAAGTGGTCTTCATGTCATAGAACTCTCACTTTCAGCTTTAATAAAGCAGTTTACGGACAACTTCAGATTGTCCAGTCGATTAGGATAACTACACGATACCACTCTCTTTAGTTATCAATCCATCTATTTGCTTTTATTCGGTAATAATTAGTTTTCTTTTATTGCTGGTTGTTAAAACAGACGAAGCGTGAAAGACCTGTTCATTGTATGAAGCAAATGGTCAATTATTTGAATGGCTACATGTCACTGTCATAGTCTAATGTCATCATCATAGTTTTGCCTTAATTGAAAGAGGAAGAAAACCGAGAGTATACCTTAAGGCAATTGCGCTGCATTTATCGATATCAATTCGAATTTTTTTCATGGATTTTGTCCTTTCTATTGGTTGTGGCAATGAACAAAATAGGCAACAACAAAAAATACACGAATTTTAATTAGATTTATCTATTCATTAAAAATAAAAGAATGGAGCATTTTTTGTTATAGAAAATAAGCGGACTCAACGGGTTGATAGAAAATTTGTATAAAAATTACAGATTAGACTTCAGGGCTAAGAAGTCTGTATAGTTTTGGCGCGAGCAACAATAAATGTTATTTCGATAGAATCTGGAAAATTCTGTAACAATTTCATATTGTTTGCGAAATCTCCACTCATCAATTGGTCACGTAGTATTCTAAATAATAAATTGAGAATTAATTAAGATCACCATTTAACAATAGAAACTTACATAATCATTGAACAGCAAAGTTTAAGAAGAAAATCAAATCGATTCTCATCAGAAAACATAAAGTCCCAAAGACGAAGAACATCAGGCAATGGAAACTCTTGTGATAGCAACAATGTTATCCAACGGAATGCATAATAATGAGGCTTAATTCCCTGAATTAAATTTATCCGTTGACACAATTCCAGATCTTCTTTGCTCAATATTTGTACTAGCCGATCCATTCGACTTACAATACCGGATGAACGATCAGAATCCGCATGTTTATTGAAAATGTCACGAATCTCGCTCATTAGACTGGTGAAACACCAAAATGTATCGGCTTCACTATGAGTACGCCATTCCAGTTTAGAATCATTTGAAAATACATAATATATTGGTCCAATGATTTCGTTCATTCCTTGAACATAACCTTGGCCAGGATTAAGTTTAGCATATATGAATAATATTCTAGCCACAACCTGCCAATGAAATTCTCCGTCATTCGAATCAGCTGCCATGGGATCAATATATTGATTTTGATCGTACACTTTGTTTTTACGTATTTCGGTCATTCCGAAACAATCCTTGATAACATCGATACTATGAGCCGAATTGTTCATACGTCCAGAAAGAATATCACTGTCAGAAGAATCGAATTTACGAGCAATTTTTTGCTGAAAAAATGATATGTCTGGATAAAGACGACGGACGTCTTTATCACTGAAATTTACAGAAATGTTAGTTCGTTAGCTCATCCACGAAAAAAAAAATCAAAACTCACATTTGTTGAAGAATTTCATTTTCACGAAAATAATTTTTCCAATGACTATTCGGATCAGTGTTTAAAGGCTGTTTTTTATAGACAAAAATCAACTTAAAAGTTTAAAATTTTTTCCTCAAATAAATTACATGATCATCTTGTGATTGCCCAATGCTACTATTCTCAATTATCAGATCACGAATAAATTCTTGATAAAGTTGGCGCTTTTGTTGTAAACAATTGTTCCATTCATTTCGGTTGATGGGCAAATAACCGAGTAGTATCTAAATCATAACAAGGTTAGAATCACTGAAAAAATCGTATAGACGAGAACAAACCTTCCATACAATTGAACGGATATGTTTATCATCATCAGGACATCCTGATTCAAAACAGATCTTTCGCAATCGGCTTATGTCAAGAGCTGATACTACCTCTAAACGTTCTTCATAAATCAGATCATAAAATGATTGTATCCTTTAAGGAACAAAAGATGAATCATTAGCCGTATTTACATATACAAATCATTCAAGTTTTTCTTTTCTACTAGATTAAGTAGAAAAAATGATACAACTACAACAATATTTACCTTTGTTTGAAAGCCATTCATTAAGAATAGAAAAAAAAACAAAATAAACGTGATGATTGAGCAGAAAAAATATATTAGATAATTATTATTTCTAAAAAATTGGCGTAATCATTATTATCATCAATCTAATTATAGTTTTGAAGGCAATGATCGAATACACCTGACAATATGCTTTTTGACAGTTTTATACAAAAAAATTAAAATTTGGAATATGTTGAACCCATAAATGATTCAATGAGATGGGCGAATCATAAATCGATATGTACAGTAAAGAATCGATGTATCGTGTAAAAAATGTCAATTCATAAGCATAAATTATTCTTTATAGAATATTCTTAATTTTTCCTATTTGTTATCATCCTCCTTGAAATTTGATCTATTAAAATTTGAATAATCAAAGCTTTTAGTTCCAAAAGTAAAATTATAGCCAAATTATCTCTCAATCGCCTACACACAGAGGTTTAACAACGAAAATTGATATTCATGAACTTTTTTTAAGATATCTTTTCCAAATATCAAACGACAACTACAATAAATCTTGAAATTTTTTTGTGTAATAATTCATTTAATGAATTATGAAATTCAAATTTAGTTTATGTGTTTTCGAGCAACTTTTTTTTAAAATTACATTTTTCTCAAACAAACGAATTATTTAAAAATATATCGAGGATGTTTTGTTTTATTTATTTCAAAATTTCTCTGAGCATTTGATCATGAATATCATCATTTTTACCATAAATAGAAAATACAAGTGATAAGATTGTTTTTTTTTTGGTATGTGTATAAACATTTTTTCTCTCAATAATTTTTAATGCATTATATACAAACATAGAAATAAAATGTCCAGCCAGGTGTGTATATTATACCTGTCTTTCTCTTTTGAACAAGCATTTTAATTTTGGTTTCTCGTATATGGCCATATATTTTATATTGCCTTGATCGACAACGAACAACATAACCACACATACACATATACTCAATTCACTGAGAGATCCAACATCGCTGCCTTTTGTTGCAAGCTATCAAATCGTTTCCAGGCAGCCATCCATTGAGCGAGGCTAGCATCTCTAATAAACATCGTCATCACATTCGATACCATTTAAACCATTGATAATAGGTGCGGTATATTGTCTATTTTGTTTCTGTGGTTTTTTTTGGTTCGATTAATATTTCATCATCAACATCATCTTATCATATAGACAACGACCAAATATCCTTATAATTAGTAAATAGTGCTGCGATAAATTTTTTTCCATCTAGCTTTAATCAAATCAAAATAATAATAAGTAGCAACTTTTTATATTCTTCGATAACGCCGTTTTTTCTTTGCTTTATCATCACTCTTATTAATGTTTAATTGGTGTGGCATTTTTTGTATTGTCAAATTGATTGATCAATAATCTCCTTCATCAAAAAGATCGATTTTTCAAGAACTGAATTCATTTGTTTTTCATTCGAATCTCAAAACAAATATGTCGTTGGAAGATCCATTTTTAATTGTTCAAAAGTATTATCAATTTTTTTGAATCGTTTTCAATTTGATTGATTGATTTTTTTTGTGAATTTTTTTTACTTAGTGAAGTATTCGATGCTTTACATAAGCTTCGAAATAATTTCACTCGTTGGACCGAATTACAATCAAATCCAAACGAATTATCCCGCGAAGATTATTCAGCTTTTGTAACTGAATTGAAAAATGGTCTGAAAAGTATCCAATGGGACCTTGATGAGTTGGAAGAATCTCTCGGTACGTTTGGCCGAAATGCTTACATTATAAATGAATTAACTTTACGATTATTATTTATAGAAAATGGTGAAAGAGGAACTGCGTTGGACGGTAATGAACTGACAAAACGTAAATCATTTATCAATAAAACACGTGATGAAATTCAATCAATGACCGAACAGCTAACAAAAGGCAATAATATATTCAAAAAAGTTGATTATACAATCAATTTTGGTTCACAACAATTACCTGGACAAACCGGTACAAAATATTATCGTTTGATTAATGAACCAGAAAGTTCTGCAAATGCGAAACTAACGTTCGATGATGATGAATCCCATAAATCACCTTATGTACCAAATCATTCCATGTAAGTTGATAGATAACTTTTTGATTATTTAACTGGAAATATTAATTTTTCGTTTGAATTAATAGAACATTAGACGAGGCTGATCACGCAATCAATGTTATTAATTCAAGACCGAATAAAATGGAAAGTATAAGGCGGCTATGGTTAAACATCGGTAATTTAATTTACAAATTCGATTTGATAATGAAATTTTTATTTTTAAATTTTCATTTGTTTGACAGATGAAAAACAAAAAGTCATCGCTGGTTTTGCAGGAACGGCAATCATTGTTTTATTAATGTTTTTCCTTTGGTAATTAAATTGGTTGCAATATATGAGGATTACCATGATGCAACACATCCAAATGCAGCTGTATACAATATAAAATTGAAATAATAATGTTTAGTAGATAAATGACATTCCATTTTTTTAAATGTAAATACCTGCAAATTGAAAAAATATTAATCAAGGTTTTTACTAAAGAGGAAAGTTTTATTAAAAAACACTTACTTTTGATGTGTGAGGTGTTTTCTTGGATATGAATGGGATGAATGAAACAATATTATCCACCGTGAAGTGTCGATATAAATGAAATCTGATCGCCAATTTTAATGTGATAATCTTTATCACCTAATAGCTCCCAATCAGTATCATTAACAAGCACTAGAATTCCGGGCCTAACTGAATCACCTGAGCAAAATAATTCAGGTCGTTCTCTAAGGTATTCATCACGAAGATGACCAATCAATCGTTTTATCGTCCATGGATGTTCATTTTCATTGTCATCATTGGATAATGTTATTCGATGTTTTTTTACATTACCAAATAATAGTTCAGCACCACCCGTGAATTCGACAGTAATTTCCATAATTTGATTATAAACTTTTTTTTTCGAAAATTTTTGGAATAAAAATCAAAATGTTGAAATGAAATTTTTAGTATTAACTTGAATTGTTCGGGATTGCACGACTTGTAAACGTTGTTCTTACTGTTTTAACCCATCCGAATCTGTTTGACTATTATGACTGTAGAGGAATGTTTTTGCCATGTCAATGTTGTACGAAATTTTTATTGTTCGACGGCTATATTTTCATTTATATTTTCATCATTAGCATTATTTATATTGATTCTGGTATTATTTTGTTTCAACGAAAATCATCGCCATCAGCGTCGTATACGACGCCAACAACCACAGCAACAAAAATGTTTACCGAAGTAGATGTATTCATCGGTAATAATACATTAATCGATCCGAAAATCTATGATTATTGGCTCGATGGTTATCCTGGTAAGAAACAATCTGATTTTAAGTTTCAACTGTCATAAATCATTCTTTTAATTATAGCTCAACATGCAGCAAAAGAAGTTCGTGAAAAGGATTTTACAAGTCTAAACAATGTACATGAAGATCTTATTATTAGCTACGTACTTGACCAATATCGAACATTTCAGATGTTGGAGAAATTATTACACATTCCTATTCAATTATCTGAACAATGGACATTTCAGATGACACCGGTTACACAACAAATGTTGATTGAAAAGTATTATGATTTTAAAGATGCTGTGGTGCGTGAAATTCTGGGTAAAAAATTATCTGCTAGAAATCGAAAAGAATTGGATGAAGTCAGCGAGCGTACTGAAGTATCTATAAAAAGTTGTCGACGACAATTCGACAACATAAAACGTGTGTTTAAAATGGTGGAAGATATTCCTGGTAATCTATGCCAAAATATACAATCACATTTCTTGTTACCACCAGATTTGGCCAAAAAATATGCAGCTATCGTTTACATTTCCAATAATCGTTTTGAAACATCTAAACGAAAACTTCAATACCTTCACTTTACCGATTTTCTACATTGTTCACTTGAAATCATGAACAATTGGTCGTGCAATAATCCTGATTGTAAATATGAAGAAACATCCATGGATATCGATCGAGAATTTCTTCATGAACTTCGTGATTTACGAACTCTTTTGGAAAAGGATAATTTAGAAGAACATCGCCTATTAGTATTGCGTATGTTGAAACCAAATCTTACCGAGAAAAAATATAATGATATTGATTCAGCTTTCAAAGTAAGTTTTTTTTCAAAATAAACCTAGTTTCAAATTTTTTCCCATTTAGAATATTTCTAGAAATATTATCAACATTGCTTATGGTCTTAATCATAGCAAAGAAATACGTGATCTTTTTCTTGATATAGTGGAAAAAATTATAGAATTATTTAAAGCGATTAAATTTAATCAAGCTGAAACAATCTTATTCCTTCGTCATTATAAAGAAAGTCCACAATTTATTGAATCATTCAAAAGGTAAAAATGTTATATCATGTATAAAAAATACAATAAATTCTTTATTATTTAGCAATCGGAATCTGCTTAAAGTTTGGGATCGTTTTATTACCACATTCAATAGTTGTGTATTGAAAATGTATCATTAATAAATTTGTTATTCAAAATCATCATTAAAATCTTGTTGATCATATTCAAGAACCATCTTTTTAAAATGAATATTCGAATAAATTTGATTCTCCAAAAGTTGAATCTGTTTTTCGACCATTCTTAATTTTTCATTCAATAGGTTTATTTTCGTTTGCCAAACAATGTCAATACGATTCAATTGATTAGTAAGATTAGTGATTAAATCAGTAATTTTTTGTACAAATTCACGAGTTTCCCAATCTTCAATAATGTTTGATCGAGAACATTCTGTACTATTAAAATCGTCCATTTTAATAATTCGACTCTGAAAACCCAAAAGAAAATGATATAATAAAAAACAAATCAAGCCAGGAAGTATAATTTCCGTTTTGAATATTGAATCAAAGAGGACAATCAAAAATGGCATATTTATAATATTGGCAGATTAAAAAATTTAGATGGTTGCAAAATTAAAAATTATACTATTTTTATAATTATAATATTTATTATAAATAAATGGTATTTCTTTAAATGAAAAAAAACAATCCAAATCATTCTAATGTTTGTTGTATTTGTTGAAGCAGTTGATCCATGGTTTTCAATGGCTCAGAATTCAATATTTCCAACGCCTGCTTTAGGTCATTCTTTTTTTCGTCGATTGCTTTATTTTTCACAGTTGTTTCAAGTATAGCTTCATTCAACTTTTCTATTTTATTCATATCCTTGACATGCGAATATAAGAGTTAATCGATTCTTAAAATATTGAACAAAATCAAAATTACTTACAGTTATGATTTTCATTAATACATCGGAAGATCCATCGTTCATGATCAAATCTTGTTCCAATTTATCTTCACGCTGGATAGCTTCTACACGTGAATTCAATTGTAATACGACTTTGTCCTAATTCATAAAGGAATTCCAAATAAGAACAAGCGATTGACATAGACAAATAATTCAAAAAACACTTACCATGATACCATTGAATTTTTCCAACAATTCACCAGCTTTTTTTTCAATGAATGCAACATTTCTATAAAGTTTCATCTGATCAAATTCTTCGCTAAAATTTTCCTTCAAATCAACTAAAAGTGTTTTCAAAATGTAATTAATTTCGGTTCTTGCATCCATTATTTGAAATTTTTTTGATGTTTGCAAAATCAGCAAAAGCGCGTAAAAAATCAACGAACAAAAATCGATCATAAACTATGTAACTTAGTGCTGCCCTCTATATACAACAATATTATTATAACAATTAGTTTTTAGTATAAGTACGATGTTTTTGTTTTGACATTTTCAGTGTTAGATTAATTTACAGAATTGCATCAGACACTTCTGTTATAAATTTATTATTTTAATCTTGAGATTGAAAAATGTCCATTATCATAAGAAGTCCACATCTTTTCAACTGTTTACGAAACACAAAGTTTGTCGTGATCACTCCTGCCTTTTCTCCAAAAAATGGTGCGTCTTTGTTGCAGAATGTTCGATTCTTTTCCGTTGGACGTCGTGGTGCTCGAAGTGGAGTCACGCGATCCATCCCTGTAGCCAAGGAACGTCGATCATTGAAAGAGATTCTTATGCAACCAACAAGTGGTGCGCCATTCGCATTTGGTTCATCAGCGGTCGCAGGTGCTTCATTGTTTGGTCTTGGTGCTCTTTGCTATTATGGATTCGGTTTGAGTAAAACCCCGGGAACATTTGAAAATGCCTAGTATGTATCATTTGGATCATATCATATAACAACAAAAAAAAATATTCATTTTCACCTAAATAGTGCGTGGCCTAGCTATGTTCGCGAGCGCATTAAGAGTACCTATTTTTATTTTGGATCTGGATTGGCCATAACTGCTGGTTCGGCAATTGCTGCTTTCCGTAGCCCATTTGTGATGAATCTGGTTACGAAAAATTCCATGATGGGAATCTTATTGACTATTGGTGCAATGATAGGTACATCGATGGTTGCACAATCGATCCCATATCGTGAAGGATTCGGCAGCAAACAGCTAGCATGGGCATTACACTGTGGTGTAGTCGGTGCCGTAATCGCTCCACTTTGCATACTTGGAGGTCCACTCATGTTACGTGCTGCGCTTTATACAGCTGGAATTTCTGGTGCATTATCAGCCATTGCTTATTGTGCTCCTAATGATAAATTTTTGACGATGGGTGGCCCATTGGCTCTTGGTTTGGGTTTCGTATTTGCCGCATCAATGGGCTCAATGTTTCTACCACCAACGACAGCTTTAGGTGCATCCTTATATTCAATCAGTTTATATGGTGGTCTTTTGCTATTTTCTGCATTTTTACTCTATGATACACAACGAATTGTTCGTCGTGCTGAAACACATCCACCTTATGCAATGATGCCATATGATCCTGTCAATGCGTAAGTAGCGAAAAATTTTAAATGAAAATTCAATAACGATTCTTTTCTATCTAGCTCCATTTCAATCTACATGGATGTCATTAATATTTTCGTTCGATTAGTAACAATATTGGCTGGTGGATCTGGATCGAAAAGACGTTAAAAAACATTTTGGATTTGAAAAAAAATTAGTTTTTCTCTTTCACACATGTGTCTACAGACAAACTCATTTTTTCTGTTTTATTGAAAAAATAAATTTTATTTATAATGGATACTTTTGTCAAATGAAATTTCATAAAAAAATGATTATAATATTCAATTAGATGATTGTTCTCGTATAACCGAAAATTGTATTAATGCTTCATCTTTACGAACATTTTTGATATAATATTGGGCTTTAGGAAAAATTTTAAAATGCGATCCAGTCTTTACCACCGTTTCATTTTCATCATTAACTTTTAAAATTAATGTTCCATAAATGACCGTAAAATATGTAGCATAGGGACCATTGCGACCTAATTTTTTCATTGCTAATGGTTCGAATCGAATCATACCAAATGCTGTTCCTCGATCATCTTTTTCGATTAAAGCTGTATGAATTCCTTTAGATTTATCTGATGGTTTAAATATAAGTCCAGAATAGGATTTCACAAATTCTGGACAATCGGTAATTGATTTAGTTTTGAATTTTTTTGAATGAATTGATAGATTTAGAATATCATAAAATTTTTGGCCGCCATTCGAAGAAGTTTGTCTTTCAGCGCAATGATGTTCATGATGATTATCAACTTTATCGTCATGAGTTTTCCTTTGGTTGGATTTTGTATTCGCTCGACGTTGTTTGATGAGAGGTCTGAGAGGTTTAGCTACGCCAACAACGGTGGGCATAGTTACAATTTGGTTATTAATTTTCCGATTTTCCATTTTATAAATTGGACGTTGGCCACGCCAATAATCCAATGGTTGGATACGATTTCTCTGTGATCGACGCAAATAATTGTCATAATCAACCGGAGAAATATTATCATTACTCTTGCCATTTTTTAACATTAGATCTAAATGATTTGGTCGTTTCTTTTTCTTTTGGCGAGTTATGATTAATTCGGAAGTAGAATCTCCTAAACTTTTGTGACCAGAGCTTTTTACTGAACTTAATGTATCGTCTTTATTGTGCTCTTTAGGATGTTCAATATCGGGCGAAAGATTGGCCAAAAAATGATTATTAGAATCTCTTTCGTCATGTTCACTTCGATTATATACTGATTCATTAAATTCAACATCGCTATCATTGTTTACGTGAATCGGTGACAATGAAGATTCCATTAAATGGTCATTTGCATTTGAGCTAACATCGGAAATACAAATATTGTTGCGGTCATCATCAATATGGCGACTTTTGTTATAAGAATTACTATCGATGGATCGGCGATGAGTGATAGTTCGACGAAATGAAGTATCTTCTTCAGTTGAATTCAGATCATACGGTACCAACAAATTCATTTTTTTCTTTGAAAACGATAAACTTTTTCTTTCCCCTTTATAGCCATTAACGATTGAAAAAGGAGCGCTACTTTTTTCATTGTTCATTGTCAATTTATTCGGCAGGTCAAATGTTTGATTAAGAAAGCAGTTTTTAACATTTTTAGTATTGGTGAAACTTGATTGATTTTTTGATGGTGACAATTCTGGTTGAAAATTAAAGCTATCATTCGATTCCCCATATGATTCGTGTTCTGACATTAACGAAGATTCTTTTTCGTTGTCATGATCAAAAACTTCTGGCTCATCAGGATCCATTGCGCTCAATTGCTCTTCCTCATACGATTCGTGTTCTGACATTAACGAAGATTTTTTTTCGTTGTCATGATCCAAAACATCTGGCTCATCAGGATCAATTTTTTCATCATACACGGATTGAAGTTCAGCCGTTGCATTATTTTTCAATTCAAATTCATCAATAGATTTTTCTATTTCGTATTGGTTGCTTTCGATTTCTGATTGAATTTCATTTTCAGGTAATTTTTCCTTATCATCCACAAAAGAATTGCTTCCAATTAGTTTGACCTTATAGTTTTCACCCTGTTCATTCTCAGAATTTTCACTTTCTTCATGAACGGAGACGATTTCCGTAGTCAATCTTATGGGTGATCGATTTTCATCAGTTGTAATAACTTCATCATGCGTATCTTCATAAATTTTTTGACAGTCCCCATCAAATAATTGAATACTACCCGCACGATTGGATAAATTTACTACTTGAGAATCATTACGACGGCATTTTTCGACAGATTTTGTTAGATTCGATTGATAGAAAGTATTCATATGGGTCATGCAATAAACCGATATTTGTTGTCTAGTGAGGTTACGAACAACATTAGGTGTCAATGGTGAACTGTATGGCGAATCGTTATCAAGAATTAGTTTAGAGAATGCCGATTCGTTATTCACTTTTGTCACAGTTCGATTGAATTGTATGTTACTTGGACGTGGTTTTTTCGAAAATCCGTCACCAAAGCCATCAATGGATAAATCAATATTTTCTGTAAGAGTAATATCTATCATTGAATTAATCATTGATTTTTTTCAAAAAACGACAAATAAAAACTTACTTCTTTTAGTTGAGTTGTGGAAACTAAGACCATCATTTTGAGGATTTTTTTCAACACTTTTAATCAAAGTGAATGATTTTTCATTTGTCTGTCGAGTCTTAAAAGAATCATTAACGGCAGCAGAAATGGTCAAATTGGATAATTGATGTTTAGAATCTAAGGGATTCACAAATTTGTTTATTCAAATGTTTCACAATCAATACAACAGACTTACTTTTCGATGTATTTTTATCGATCGTTGATTGTTGCAATTTATTGATGGAACGATTGGCCAATGGTGTTCTTTGGATCGACGAATCAGAAATTTCACCGTTACTTGATTTTATTGGTGGCGATTCATTAGTGATAATGCAGTTAGATGATAGTGGAGTTGAACAATTTTTTTCACATGAAAAATTCAGACTCGAGTCAGAAAAATTCACACTCGATAAGGAAAATGAATTATCATTAAGAAAAGAAAGCCTTGGTTGTTCAGTAGCTGGAACCGAAGATAGCATTCGATCCAAAATTCTATCCCAGTTCACTTGATTCGTTCCCATTTTTAAAATCAAAGATTATGCACAGAAAAAAATTAAGGACTACTTTCCAATTTTGCTGAGCCTATTTTTTGTGTGCAAATGAAGAAAATATAATTATCAACAAAAAAATAAACATTTGCATGTCATCAAGAAAGGAGCACTGAAAAAAACCGTTGAAAACAGCAACGAGTCTTTACACAACATTCATACCATTGAGCAACAGTATACTTCTACAAGTATAGTACTATAATTTTACCCGCCAAAACTCACCCAATATGAGGAGGTCTATGTGTTCTCATTCTCAACCCTTGTGAAGCTATTTTCATCCATGTGGCTATTGTGTTTTCGGCTATTTAGAGGTTTCGTCTATTTTTATAGATGTATGTTTTACAAATAATTTTGCATCACCGTTTCTAGATTTCAGAATAATTCAAGTAAAACATTCATTTAATTATAATCTAACCATTTATTAGATCAAAGTAGATAACAATTGACGTTTAAAAATATCGCTATTTTGATCTGATTAATATTTCGTAAAACGTTTATGTTTTGAATTTTCTTATATTTCAAAGATATATCTTATTATTTTGGATAACATATTTACATAAAAAATGGCTAAGAAAATCCCAACAAATGAAAGAAATGAAAACATCGAATATGAATGTTGTTTGATAAATAAGATACATAGGATGATGTGGAAGATTTGAATCATTACAGTAATTTAAATAAAATTATGTTTTATATGGAATGGCAAAGGCTCAATGGCAATTCATAGGAAGAGATCAACAACAAACAAAAAAAGAAAAAGAATATTAACATTTCTTTGGAACGAAAAAATACTAATCAATGATTGAATAGATTAAACAAATGTGTACATGAACCAGAATCGAATCAAATTCTATTTTACCCATTGGCTTGGTATCCATTGTGGCTCATGTTCTAATGCATTAATTTCGGTCATTAATTCTTGATAGGCACTCTCGATATCGGTCATCTGCAGAACCATATCGAAAAAATGGCCAAATTTTATTTCGATTTCAGTAGCTTCATCAATTATAGATTGATAATCAGCAATGGTAAATGTACTGCCTTCGCTCGTATTTTTTAACGCCAATAATCGATGTAAATTTTCTGGTTGGGCAGGTGGAGCTACAAACACAAAAAATGGTTTCAATTTTGCACCTATTTTGTAAGATGAATCATTTTTTTCAATTTTATTAAGTTTTTAAGAAATTAATTTGGATACATACCGGCTTGACCTTGACGAAGTAAAGGAATAGAATGGACATGAAGATTGAGAACACATATTTTACCCGATTGTACTACCGCTTCGATAGCAGCGAAAGATGTGCCATAATAATTTTTCTCATATTCACCATGCTCAACAAATCGACCTGTTTGATATATGAACAGATAACAATAATCTGAGAAAAGAATTAGCTAAAGAAACTCACTTTCTTTAATGTCATGTTCAAACATTTGTCTTGAAATGAAATGATAATCGATTCCATCAAATTCACCATCTTTTCGTGGTCGTGATGTATGAGGAACCGCCGCTGCAAATCGATCTGTTTCTTGCATTAATCTTTGCCGTAATTCATGACGACCAATATTGGCCGGTCCAATGAGAACAATGGGACGCTATCAAACAATTATTTGAAAAAATTTCATGATTGAATTTGTAAAAAAGTTTTACCTTAAAATTTGACCGTGGATGGAAGTAGCATACTTCTTCATAAGTTAATATTTCATCGTGTGTCAATATTAAACGTTGTTTGGAATTTTTCTTCTTTTTTCTCTCCAATGAACGTTTCCCACAATTAAAAAGCAAAGATGGTGATTTTGATTTTCCATTAACAAATCGAGATTTACGATTCGATGTATTGATAGTGGAATCGTTCAGTATGGACTGTTTCATTGCTTCACGTCTGTAAATGAAAATATTATTTCATGGTAAATAATTCGATTAATTCAAAAAGTAGAATACATACTGAATTTGAAATTGTATGGAAGGAATTAAACCCGCCAATGATTGATCATGTTCATCACCTTCTCGATATGCTTGCCACCAATTCATATCCGATTGATCAATGACATGTAAAATGTCACCTTTGTTAAAACAAATGCCCAATTCTCGACATGGTATATACAAGTCTTCATCCGGATCATAATCGAACAAAGCACGTAAATGTAAAACTTGATTCTGATTAGCAGCAACGACAGCATTAGTCGCACCCATTAAATGCGGATTTACATGCATCAAACTATCACGTATGGCTATCACAAATGTTAATGTACCTGAAATTCGATAAATGATAATTATAGAGTTAGATGACTCAATCGATCATGACATTTAACTTACCAGTCATTTCGGAAAGCAGATCGCAAACTTGATTCACATTACGTCCTTTCATTTCGATACCATTCACTTCGAGTATTTCATCACCTTCATGCAGCATGCCTGATAACAGAAAACATGAAGAATTTAGGACAAGAAAGAGCTTAAACAGCTAAAATCCTACCAGATTTATGTGCAGCACCACCTTTGATAATTCGACCAATGATAACCGAACCATCAGGTTCATTACGAACGGTAGCACCAAGTGGCTCACATGATGTTTTCTCAATTTGTACAACTTTCACTCCAGTGTGCAAAGTGTCCAGCATTTCGATTTCGTTTACTTTATCCTCTATAAAACAGAATCAAAATGATAATTGTAATACGGTTACCGAAGAAAATAACGCTATTATTTACCATGAATTTCATCTGGTATTAGTGCCAGCATGTTTTTTTGGCTTTCAGCTAATACACGATCATATGCATAGCAAAGAGTTTCTAATTCAAATCTGGTCAAAATTTCAAGTAATTCGGCAGCATCCGGGTGTATTAGCTTTAAAAAAATAGGAAGTGATCGAATGAATTTATCAGAAAATTAAGTGTCTTACATTTTGTTGCAATGTATTGATTGTTTCCTGCAATGAATCACTGGCTATGGCATCATTGCTACCATTGTTTCCGCAAAATGGCAAAACATTCGAAGGATGGTGACTATAGCCATGAATAGGCTGTGGTGATGAATGAAGATTCAATATATCGGGTTGATGATGATGTGCATAATGGGAATGATGCAATGACGGTGGAGAGGAAAGATTTATTGGCCTTGTGATTGAATTATAGCTTGGTGGTCGAAGAGATTGTTGTGAATCCAGGTATGAATTCATTTTTGAATGTTGATGTTTCATCAATGCCGAATATATGGAAACAAGATTTTTTAGTTTACTTTCCTGTATTAGTTCTTTAAGATCAGCGTTCAATGATTGCCGTATGTTTTCAACAATCATTTCCAGATACGGTAATGGAAGCACTAAAATGGAAGCACACATGAAAAATCACAATAATATTCACAAAAATCAAAGATCAACATGCATCATCGAACAAACCTTTATCAGATTCCCGTTCGATTCGAATATTAGATGATGGTGGCTGTTGTGTTGCAGCAAATGAACCATAGCCATTGTTCGTATATGATACCATAAGTTGCTGTTGTTGATCATCATCCGGTTCGAATGCGATATTCACCATTGGTTCAACAATATGATGATCATTATTGTTTTGTTCTTTTAGTTGTTGTAATTTTTTACTTGATCGTAAGCTTGAACGAAGAAATTCTTCCTCTTCTTTTTTTCTGTTAATTTCATCGGAATATTTTCGATACTTATCCGTTAGATTTAAACGTTGATCTGTATTTGTCGTCACAGATTGTATATTTGATGGCACGGATGATGATGATGCTGATGTAAATCTTTGTGGTGGCTGTGGTGGTGCATGTGAAGGTGGTGGTGGATAACGGGGTGTTTGCTTTACCACACCTACAAATGAATCTGGAACATCGACTGGTAATTCTCGATGCATCTGAAATGATTGATGTTGATGTTGTGGTTGTTGCTGATGATGAGGATGAGTGTGATGATGATTATGATGATGATGATGGTGATGCGATTGTTGGGAATTTAATTCGACTAACTCCATTTTGTTTGAATCGGGTTGATGTTTTTGTTCTTGTTCATCAACTATCGTTTTATCATCGAAATTTTCGTTGTCCAAACGAACTGATGAAATGGAATAACCACTTTCGGATGTAAGCTTGGCGTATTTAAATGATGATGAATTCACAGCAGTCGATGCAGGAATGACTTTTTGTTGTCGTTGTGTATTTGGTAAAATCGACGATGATGATGTTGTAATAACTATAAAATCGGAAGAATTGTTCGATGTGGAATTTCGTGTAGAATCACGATTCGAAGATGATTGATTAGATGATGTTTGCGATACAGATTTATGTTGTTTCGATGATTGATGAATAACTGATGAAGGTATTCGATGCTGTAATGGATTTTTGATTTCAACTTGTTGCTGTTGTTGTGACCGATTGTCTTCGTCTAATTTATCAAATCACCAGATAAAATTGATAATTTATATATATGCAAGATGATTATTTGAAAAGTTGATATAGAAAATAACAACTTACTTAACAATTTAGATAGCTCGGCAATGTCACGCGGTTGGATCACTTTGGTAGGTGTTTTACGATTTTTATTCGGTGTTGATGATGATGATTTAATTGGTTTATCGTCAATATTATTATTTGAGCAATCAATTTTATCATCATCATCAATGTCTTGATTATTATTAATATTATTGACAATTTTGTCGAAATGTTCACGGGCACGATTACCAATGATGAATGCATCGATTGGTGAAGAATCTAGTTCTATTCCATTCATCAATGAAAGAGAAAAAGAAAAGAATATTTGTCACATTAATAAATGAATTTATTGATTTTATAGAGGAACGTAATGAATACATGCATTTATATAAAATATTTTGATCGCAAATCATAAATATTGAATAAACAAAACAAAAAAATAACAATGAATTTTAAACGATCAATAATTATTGATTGATATTTTGACATAAAACATTTTCAATTATAAATAACAATCAAACAAAAAACTATAGTCAAAAGTCATTCCCATTCATTCAAACTACTATATCAAAACATCGATTGAAAAAAAATTCCACTTATTCATTCACCTGGTAGTAAAGAAAATGGAGAGGTGAAAAAATCTATCATTCTATATTACATGCATATTTGGCAATTGGAAAAAATTCTTTACATAAAGAAAAATTGATGTTCAAAAAAACATTCATCTCAGTAGAGAGAGAGAGAGAACAACCGACCAACCTAACCAGTCATGCAACACTAAGTAAGTTCAAAAGTCGAGCTGATCATGATCTTTTTTCCTCGGTGGAATCTCTTTTCAGTGATCGTTGTATAAAATATTGAAACAAAAACAAAAACCCTATTCCAATTCAAAATAAAAAATAAAATAAAACCGAAACGTGATTGTCTTTGCAATCTTTTCAGGAAAAGACACCGGTAATTGGTCAAACTTTTCTTTTTTGTTCAAAAAACAAAAATATAAACTTACCCAATTTATCCGTATTACGACGCTTAACTCGAAGACATATGGTACGAGATTTGATGCACTAGCAGAGAAAAAACAAAACAAAATTATCAATATAACCGACAAATATCATCAGGAAGAGAATCTTTGTTATTATCATCATCATCATAGTGTTGTAAAAAGAAATGAAAATCATTTTCTTATGAAAATATGCAAAGAAATTTTATTTTATCCAATTATCATCAAGTAGCCATTATCTTTATCATAAACATAACAACAACAATAAAAGTGATGGCCAAAATAACAACTCATCTCATAACTATTGTGAACTGAGACAGCAAACAAAACAAAAAAAATCCGAAAACAATGGCCAAACAACAAAACAGCATAATAATAATGAGGGATAATAAGAAGAAGTGAAAAAAAGAGATGATAAAAAAATGGGTCGTTTACATCGAAATGTTCATATTTGTCATATAAAAATTTGATGAAACAAATATCTAAATCATTATTTTAATGTGGGTGTGGTTTTTCTTAATCTTTAAAACGATAATAATTTCAATGACATTTTACAACAACAAAAAAAAATATGCTGAAATTGAATAATTAGAACATAATTCAATTGTCAAAAGAAAAAATCTTATTGGATTAATGGATAAAAATGTTTGAGAAAAAAGAAAAAAAAATCATTGATGGATGACCAAGAATAAGAATTTCACTTTTGCTTTTGTTTTTTTTTTGTAATAATCATCTTTGTCTTGAAAAATTACTGATCCATATATAATTATGGCCAAATGTTATCTCATATGTTTAAATTATCAGGATAATTATCCATTCACACATTGTTGTTATTATAAATATTTTATATATATGAAATGGAAATAAACCACAAATTAGTTGCGCATCAAGTAATTAAGTTTGTTCTAAATAATTTACATTATACCAAAAAAAACAAAAACAAAAAATTAATTGATACAATACCCGAAAGATGAATTGATTGATCTATTTTTTTCCGAAACAAATATTCCAATTTATAAATGAATGAATGAATAAATTATTTATTTTTGTTGATAAAAAAAGAATAAAATGCATAGCACACATACATTGTTGATTGCATTTTACTAAAAAAATAAATATACAGGTAATATAAATATCGATGATTACATCGTCATCATTGATCATCATCATCACATAGGATTCACACCTTTTAAAGGCAATATACATTCACAACATATAACAGATGATGATGATGGATTTTAACGTTGGGCGATGCTTCGAAAAAAAAAACATCAACTGTATAGGATTTGTTCATAATCAATAATCTAATGATGTTATTGTTGGTTGCTGGTTGTGGTTTCTACAGTGACTGAAATTTATTTTCAACAACCATCATAAAATGAAATGATAAGAACAAAAAAGAAACAAATAACGGTTTCCATTGTAATTTATCAAGGAAATATTTAAATATTTTCGAAATTCGAATGCTTAATGATTATCATGATGATGATAATAATGTTCGACCATTACCAAGCATTTTTTTAAAATTAAATTTAAAAATGATTCTCAATTTAACAATACAAATTGAGATGCGAAACTCATCAATTAATAATTATTATTAACTTACGATTGAAGGTTTAATTCAATTCAATTTCGATTTAAAAACATTGAAGGAAGAAAATTGGCAGAAAAAAGCTTGAGACCGAATATAAAAATGGATGGCACAGAAATAAAAATTTTTCGTAATAAAAATTGTTTAATTTTTTTTCGAAATAATCGAAGTAAAAAAAATTCAATGATAAGCTCGTTTCAAAGAATAGAATTCTTCGAAGAAAAAATGATGATGAGGATAAAAATGACTCACAACAAGCTCAGACTTGTTTGTTGAGAAGAGGACAAGAGTCCCAAGAAAACGAAACAAATAGCAGAAGAAAGCGCAACAGTGTGCGGTCCCAAAATCAAAGCTGCTTCTTGAATCGATAAAGATGACGACGACGACAACAACAACAACAACCACACAACAGCAAATATGCACCACACAAGAATGTGAAATTATAATATATGCCGAGTGTATATCACTGTGTGTTTTGTATGTGGTATGCATGTTGTCGCCGCACCTGAGGATTGTAATAATAATAAAAATATTTGAAAAAAACCTGGCTGCGGTAGTGGCTACGTGTAAAGAGAAGCAATAAATAACCTGTATTGGATATGAAGCATCANATGTCAATGAAAAAAAAACACAAATGATAAAATAATCATATATATAGAATACACATACGACAACAACATTCTATTCGAAGATGATCGAAATCGGAACAACCAGGAAAAAAAATATATATTCAGACAGGCGCCATTCATTTTTTTTTCAATTCAGGGACCAAATGGTTGATAGCGGTCTTTTTTTTTTGTTGCTATATATAAAAATTCGAAGCAAATAACACTTTCGGTCGGTATATAATGATTTTTATTTATTCAATTCAATTTTAAAGTTATAATTTACACTCCTACAATTACAGTTCTTTTTTGTTTTTTTTAAAAGATAAAAATATTTAATTTACATCGTATTTAAATAAAAAAGGACAAGTTTATTGATTTATTTGTTGATGGTGATCTTCGATGGTTGTCGCTGCTTCAATTACTTCGTCGAAGTACACTTCTTCTCCGTGATTCACTCTGCGATCAATCATCACACTTTCGCATGTACGTTTGATTGTTATCGATTGTACATATGCCTTGGTCCTTTTATCGATACCGATTCTATCCATGTATTTCTTGTAAAATTTTGTAACGAGCCCGTCCCATGTTATCACGATTGGTATTATTTCAACTTCTGTATTTGGATGTAATATTTTCAGTTCGTTGGCAAGGACTTCGTATTTACGAAGTTTTGTTATTTCTGTTTGTTTTAGTATATTTTTATTAGTCACACCAATTTCGATTAGAGTAATTTTATTGTTCTTTAGGTCATGAATAAATAAGTCGGGTTTATTATGTTCCAATCTTAATTCTGTTCTTATTGGAACATCTGACTTTATTTTCGCCTGGTCATTTATGAGTACCGACTCCACTCGATAGTTTTTAATCTTTTTGGTTTTACTAAATCCAAATTTCAAGGCATAATGAAAATGTATGCACCTGACTATGTCATTGTGGCGTTTTTTGTAGTCGAAGTCCAATTTTCTTCCACATTGCGTCGCCAGGTGATCTACCGTTTTACGTGCTTGATTACAATGGCTACATTTTTTATTATCGTAGAAAATATTACGGTCTTGAAGCTTTGTTAACATGGCTTCTTCTTTTGCTGTTATGTTCCCATGCTTGAGCCATACTGATGATTCTTTTACATCGATCACATTGTCCTCATTCTGAAAGATTACCGAATGCATTGCTTTACTCTGAATCTTTTCCATCCTCTTCTTCTTTTGGTTCAATACCAATGTATCCAATCCACTTTCTTCATACTTTGTGATAAGATATTCTTTTATTGTTCCAAGAAACGTTCCACTGGCTTTTTCATTTTCAATTATTGGTTTTACTTCAAATCTTTGATAAATGTGATTATACAAGTTCAACAACATTTGTTCAGCTTTTTCTTCAATATTACATAATCCTCTTCCAAGTTCTTCTCTTTTTAGATATAATCGGTCCATGTTGGCTGAATTTCTTACAATTCCTTCTTCGTTCATTATCTTACGAATTTCTAAGTCAATTTGTTGAAATTCTTGCGGTTCAAATGCTATTAGACCAATGAAATAATTCAAAGTTGATATGGCAAATTCGTTCACAGCAGCAAACATATTTTTAGCGTTTAGTTTTGCTTGGCATAGCTTCCGTACACGGTCATAAATTCTTTGTCTAATTATATTTTTATTTTCAATCTTTGCAATGCTTGATGAATCTTCCAATATTCCTAAATACTTATAGCCAATATTATCATCAACCACATTTCCAAAAACTTGGTTCGAATCTATGTTGCTTGCTGATTTTGTTTCATTAATATTTAGGTTCATCTGTTTTAGGCATCTTGCGGTCAATTGGCACATGTCTATTAATTCTTCTTCAGTTTTGGCAAATAATTTTATGTCATCAATAAATATTAAATGGTTTCTTTCCAATATTTGTTCTTCATCTATTGGTATTTTTGCACAATTTTGATTTAACACCCGACTTAATGGTTCTATTCCTAGGACAAACAATAGAGGTGACATTGAGTCGCCTTGCATAATTCCTTTCGTCATTTCGATCGTTCCTATTTCTTTTTGATTACACAATAATTTTACTTTTTGATACTTGAGCATTCTTTCGACGAATTTGATTATATTGTCCGGCATGGTTAACTTTTTCAAATAGTCTTCCATGTATTGGTGATCTACTGAATCAAATGCTTTTTGTATGTCAATCCATGTTGTAAAGAGATTATTGTTGAATTTGCTGTTCAGATTTTTATTAATGAGCGCTTGCTCTTTTGCTCCTTGGGTTCTTTTTCTATTACCCATTTGGTTTGGTGAGATTAGACTGTTCATATCACAAATATGTTGCAAAATTGTCGTCATTACTTTACTGATAAGTTTATATATCGTTGATAGACATGTTATAGGACGTAGGTCTTTCGGTTCTTTTGCATTTTGTTTTTTGGCGATCAGATATGTCACCCCCCCGTACAATTCTTCAGGGATCAGTTCCGGTTCTTCAATAATTTCTTGAATTAGACTAATCAGTTTTGGATGCAATACATGGATCTTCTTGATGAAAAAATTATATACAAAGTCATAGCCCGGAGCTTTCCAATTCGGAAGTTTTTTGATCATCGATTCAATAACACTTTTTTGCATATCATCCTCCATCGTAAATTGAACTTGAATTGGATTTACTGTTTCGATCAATTCACTGTGATCTTCCTTATCTTGTTGTTGGTTCCATATTTCTTTCCAAAATTCGTATACGTCTGTGACATTTATTTCTGGATCAATTTGTTTCTCTTCTTCTTCCAGCTTTCTGTAAAATTTATGTCGATTAAATTCGTACATCATGTTTGTTCTCTTAAACTGTTTTCGGCTTTCAGCTATATTGATCTTCTTTTTGTAGACCAGAATTTTCCCCTCCATTTCATCTTTTAATTCTCGTATTCGTTGTTTATTATTGGAATGGATCTTGTTATTTACACATATTGTTTTCATTTCTTTTGTCAGCTGATTTTTGTTATGATTTTCGTTGATTATTCTTATTTTTTCTTGAAGTTTGCTGATCTTTTTTTCTATAGATTCTTTCCATTTTGACGGTGACTTTACAGATTCTGTTATTTGTTGATACGTTTGTTGACAAGCGTATAGGATGTCTCTTACTTGGATGATATCAACACTTTTTTCATCTATTTTTTCTTGTTTCAGGATTTTGTTTATCATATCTAGTACTTGATGATTGATTTTTTGACTGAATACTTTTTTAGTACGTGTCTTCATTTCTTTTTTGACCATGTATTTATTGATATTTGAAAGCAGTGTAGTCTTTACTTTTTGATATAATGATGGATTGGTTGTGTTTTCAATTGGTTGAGATCTTTCTTCTTGTATGTCGTTTTCTTGATTGCTTATTTGTTGATTGTTCATCTGTTGATTGTTTAGCATATGCTTTACACGATTGTATTTGTTTTTTATATCGACACTTGAATAGTTTTTTCCAAATTTGTTGTTGTAGTCAGTTAACAGCTTTTGCCACCATCCACGTGGCATTCGCGTAAAACGGTTTGTAATTATTTGGACTAATTTGATGATCCATTGTTCTTCTTCTTCATCTTTTATTTGTTGAATTATTGACGTGTATACTAATTCTTTGGTTGTTGTTGATGATGTTGATGGTATTTGGCTCAATATTTGCGTTTCATCATCGTCGTCTTCACCTTGCCATGCTAGAAGGTTGGCCCGCGAGATATCGTTTGATTCTAAGTTGATTCCTTGATTTCCGATACTCGAAGCACTTTGTTCTTTTTGTGATGTCATCGTAATTATTCTTATTTCACCTTACAATTGCACAAAAACAAATCATTCGCTACAATTTTCAGAAAAAAAATTTCAAAATAATCACAATAACAACCTGCTCACACGGCTATTTCCACAGGAGTGACAAATAATAATAATATTATACCCATGTGAATATCAGGTGACCATAATGTTTTGTTTATTACAATAACAGAATACTGTGATAAATTATCCTGACCAAAAACAGAAAAAGTAAAAGTAAAAAAAGGATTGTAATAATAATAAAAATATTTGAAAAAAAACCTGGCTGCGGTAGTGGCTACGTGTAAAGAGAAGCAATAAATAACCTGTATTGGATATGAAGCATCACTTTTTAAAATTTGATTTGTATGATATGGATAGAGCATGCTCGAAAAGAACTTTCGAATTTTTTCCAAATACCAATCAGATAATCATTTTTTTTTGATTAAATTATCTTACCTGATGTATGTAATCAATGATTTCATTATGAGACATATTATCCAAATTATTGCCATTTACTTCAAGTATTTCATCACAATCTTTGCGGTCAGCTGGTGAGCCTGATTTTGATTTTAAATTTTTTTAAATTCTCAAATTATGGCATTAAAAATGATGGAAAAGTGAACTTACCGAATAATTTAATTTTATCGTCACGTTCGACCAGCACTATCACATAGCCACCAATGTCGACCATTTTTGATAAATAATAATGTTAAATTTTTGATGAAAGAATTTATTGAAAATGAATGATGAACACACAATGTATCAGGACATGGATAATAATGATCTTAAAATAGTTGATAATGATCAATAATCAATTGTATTGTCCATATTTGGAAGATTTGTTTGTTTGTTTGTTAGAATGAACACAAAAAAATAGTATCCTACTCGCCACAATGTAGTAGACGAGAGAAGAAAAATGTGTCCAATTTATAGGACATGAGAATATTCTGGTTACATGGATTTTTTTACTTGTCTTGTATTCATCAAATCGTTCAATAGATGAATGGATTCAATGTTTATGTCACGGTTGGAAGAGTTTTCTCTAACATGGAAATCAAGCCAGAACACATCCACACTCACACATATAAGCAAGGGAGCCAAAGTATGTTCAATACTTGGGCCTTGTCAAGGAATTTACTCATTTTCATGGGTAGCCAGAAAAGGATGCGGCTATCAATTTATCAAAAAAAAAACAAACGATTATGGGAGGAGTTGCGAAATCGACAAAGATTATTGCACATGTGCCTGTGTTGTTTTTGGTTCCAGGACCTAGACAAAAACTGATTCGGTAATTGCTATATAGAAACCAAAAATATATTGAAGGACTTTCCAGCCTTTGAAATGATGCTTAATAAGCTTCAAAATCAATTGGACACGGCTAGAATAATATACTAACAAAAAAAATGAGCATTCTATGATCATCGATACGAATGACAATCAGCATCGACTATAGAATCAAAAAATCCATTAAATCCATTCTATAGCTTCCAAATGGTTGATCATTTGTTTTTATTTGGAATTCTTTTTTTTTGAGAAATTTTTATCCTAGAAATTACATTAACAAAGACTGAATATAATGATTTTTTTTTAGATAAAGATTATTCATTATTCGATTTTATGTTCATTATATAAATATTATTACTAAAGAATGGCGCGCTGCTTTCAATTGAAAATTAAATGAAAATTTTCAGTTTTGATTTGTTAAAATAGCCGTTCGATTGATAATAGTCAAAATAGTCGAAAGTGTAGAAATTAAACACTAAACGCTTTGTCATTCTTGGCTGCTTTATTTGTTTGCCTATTCATTCAGATTTAGCCGAACGTATTTGAAAACAATTTTTTCTTTTTATTATTATTTTTTATTTAAATTGATCCTTAAATTCAACTAACGATGCATCAAAAATTGCATCTTACATCCGCTTCTGGAATCATCTCATTATTAGATGATTCATTATGTGAAATGAAGATTTTCGCTCTCGATAAATTGAACGGAGTTGTTGATGAATTTTGGCCCGAAATTTCCGATGTTATTGGTAAAATTGAAGTACTTTATGAAGATGAATGTTTTTCACATCGTAAACTTGCCGCATTGGTCGCATCAAAAGTATACTATCATCTGGGATCTTTTGAAGATTCATTAACATATGCATTGGGTGCTGGAGAATTATTCAATGTGAATGCTACTAGTGAATATGTCGATACAATCATATCGAAATGTATTGATCATTATACAAAACTTCGTGTGGCTAATGCAATGATATCAGCATCGAATTCAAAAGATTCATTGCAACCAATAGATCCGCGTTTGGAAGATATTGTCAATCGTATGTTTCAGCGTTGTTTCGATGATCATCAATATAAACAAGCCATTGGAATAGCATTGGAAACGCGACGTATGGATATGTTTGAGAAGGCGATTCTACAATCGAATGATCTTAATGGAATGTTGGCATATGCTTTTAAGATAACCATGTCATTGATAGATAATCTTCATTTTCGTAATGAAGTGCTGAAAATCCTGAATCAATTGTATAAAAATCTTAATGTACCAGATTATATTTCCGTGACTCAATGTTTGATCTTTTTGGATGATGATAAATCATTGGCCGAATTGTTGGATAAATTGACTCGCAAAGATGATTCTGTCCTTTTAGCCTATCAAATTGCATTCGATCTCTATGAAAGTGCTACTCAACAATTTTTATCACGAATTATGGAATCATTACGATTAATTGCCCCAATTTCAAGCCTTTTGGTTAAACCATCACCATCAAGTCAGTCCAATGAAGAAAAAAAAGAAGAAGAAAAAATGGAAACCGATCAGCCTACAACCGCACAGCCAAAAGAAGTAGCTGAAAATTCAAAACAATCCGAACCGAAAAAAGAAGACCTTAGCGAAGAGGATCGAAAAAGACAAGACCGGATCGAAAAATTGGCCAAAATTCTAAGTGGCGATGTTTCAATCGAATTAGATCTTCAATTTCTTATCCGTAATAATCATACGGATTTACTCATCTTGAAAAATACAAAAGATGCTGTTAGAAATTCTGTGTGTCATAATGCGACTGTTATCGCTAATGGTTTAATGCATTGTGGAACAACATCTGATCAATTCTTACGTGATAATCTTGATTGGTTATCAAGGGCTGTCAATTGGGCTAAATTCTCTGCTACAGCTAGTTTGGGTGTGATTCATAAACGACATGAAAAAGAAGCTCTTCATTTGATGGCATCATATCTTCCACGAGATAATGGTCCGGGTAGTGGTTATACAGAAGGTTAGTAAATTTGAATAGATTATTTTAATACCGAGGAATTTAATATTTTCTTGAATATTAAAAAAGGCGGTGGATTGATGGCGCTTGGATTGATTCATGCAAATCATGGTGGGCCAATTATCGATTATCTCCTCAATCAACTTAAAGGAGCTACTAATGAAGCTGTCAAACATGGTGGATGTCTTGGTCTTGGTCTTGCAGCCATGGGTACCCATCGAAATGATGTTTATGAACAATTAAAATATAATCTATATCAAGATGATGCTGTTACCGGTGAAGCAGCTGGAATTGCTATGGGATTAGTCATGTTGGGTTCAAAATCGCAGATTGCTATTCAGGATATGGTTTCATATGCACAAGAGACACAACACGAAAAAATTTTACGCGGTTTAGCCATTGGTATATCAATGATTATGTTTAGTTTATTAGAAGAAGCTGATTCATTGATAGAAACTCTTTGTGATGATAAGGATCCTTTGTTACGACGATCCGGAATGCATACAATCGCTATGGCTTATTGTGGAACTGGTAATAACAAAGCTATTGAAAAGTTATTGCATGTAGCTGTATCAGATGTAAATAACGATGTACGACGTGCTGCTGTCGAAGCACTTGGTTTTCTTTTGTTTCGTACACCTGAACAATGTCCAAGTGTTGTATCATTGTTGTCAGAAAGTTATAATCCTCATGTTCGTTATGGAGCAGCTATGGCTTTAAGCATTAGTTGTGCCGGATCAGGTAATAAAGAAGCCTTGTCATTATTAGAACCAATGACCAATGATCCGGTCAATTTCGTACGACAAGGAGCTTTGATTGCTACGTCATTAATCCTTATACAACAAACTGAAGCTTTATGTCCCAAAGTAAAAGATTATCGTGCTATGTATTCAAAGGTCATCTCGGATAAACATGATGATGTCATGGCAAAATTTGGGGCTATTCTTGCCCAAGGTATTATCGATGCCGGTGGCCGTAATGTTACTGTTTCATTGCAATCACGCACTGGTCATACAAATCTACCAGCAGTAGTCGGCATGCTTATTTTCACACAATTTTGGTATTGGTTTCCTTTGGCTCATTTTATTTCTATGGCATTTACGCCAACTGCTTTAATTGGTTTGAATAGTGATTTAAAAATGCCCAAAATTCAATATCGTTCGAATGCTAAACCTTCTACTTATGGTTATCAACCACCGTTGGAAGAGAAAAAAGAAAAAGAACGAGAAAAAGTCACTACCGCTGTTTTATCCATTACAGCAAAAGCTAAGAAAAAAGAAGCAGAAAAGAAAAAAGACGAGAAAATGGATGTTGATGAAACTGTCAAAGAAGATGAGAAAAAAGATGAAGACAAAAAAAGCAAAACTGATGAGGTTAAAAAACCGACAGAAGAAAAAAAATCAGAATCATTAGAAAAACCTAAACCTGAACCCGAAGCAACGTTTGAAATTTTGTCAAATCCAGCCCGAGTAATGCCATCACAATTACGTGTAATTCAAATGGTTGACAAAAGTCGTTATGAACCGATCAAAGATATTAGCATTGGTGGTATAATCTTGATGAAAGATTTGAAAACATCCGAACCCGAAGAATTGGTCGAACCGGTACAAGCTGGCGGTCCAAAAATGGAGGAAGAAAAAGAGCCAGATCCACCAGAATCATTTGAGTATATTGAATGAATCGGCTTAAGATTTTTGTAACATAAATGATAAGATGATTTTTTAAATGAATAAAATTTAATTTTTAAAGATTAATTTCTTAAGTTCAAATACACGCTAGATGGCTCTATAGTTTTGTACACCGACAGCGAAATTTTGTGTCTCGTTTGACTGTATTTTTCACCTAAATAATTTCAGTCTGATAACAACAGATAAAAAATTTTGATAAATTGTAACAATCGTCAACAGATGTCGCGGAATTTTACATTGAAAAAAATTTGGATTTCCAGTCGATTCATTGACAAGTTTCCATCAGTGAAAGGATTCTACATTAGGTCGGGCAGCGAACTCGAGTTTTGTATAGCCGATGCTATAGCATCCTACTTCTATGTTTATTTCTAAGTAGTGGAAACCGCAAGTTGTGAAATGTTGGCAAAAATGTTTGAAAATACACTGATTTGTTCGGTTGTACAGAATAACAACAAAAATGGATGCGTCTCACACTTGTGTTCCGTTTGTTTTGTAATATAAATATGATGGGAAAATAAGAATAGTGTGCCATATACGCGCCAGTTTATTTCATTCAATATGTTTGTAGTAGAATCTATTTTTGGTTTTAAATCGTGCAAACAAACAGATGGATGCATGGATTTAATGATGAAAACTGATGATGAAGACGATGAGGATGCTGATGGTTGCGACCAACACACAATCAGACAATTTTTCATCATCTAACTAATTCAAACATAAACCAGCCTGATATGAATATTCAAATGAACAAGAAAAAAGCTTTCGTTTCTTCTCCATTCATATGGATGATATGACAAAATTGTTTGTAAAAATAGAATTCCAGCTTATCATAAGGATTCATTCAATAACTTCGCAGTCTTTGACGTGCGATTGAATTAATCAAGTATTTGGAAGCCAGTTGTTGATCTATAATCACGGGTAAGTTAAATGATTTTCTAGACTAACTTTGTTTGTTTATTTACTGTTTGAATGTCGTATCTAATCTTTCGATTACCGTTGTATCTAACAATTCTTAATACAATTTTTTCAATATTTACAGAACGTCATTACTCTTATCGATGAAAATTATCTTAAAACTTTTATCACAGCAGATATAAAATATCAAATTTCAATGTGCCAAAATATTTTATGAATATTGTGGATTTTGATCACTGAATTTCTAGCTTCTGCAATTCGATAGAAATGTCCAATTTAAGTAATCAAAGCAGTGCCGGTACTAGTGGCTCTGGTGGCCACTACAATAGTTCATTTAATCCTGAATTGGATCTATTATTCTCAAATTTATCGACAATCGATAATGAACAATTTTCTTCGCCATTATCATCTGTATCCTGTCAACAATTACAACAGTCATATAATCTGAATGATAGAATTATAACTAATACCTGTTCTAATACAATCGATCATCATCATCAACAACAACAGCAACAAAATTCTAATATGAATTTCAACGCCATACGTGAAGTATTATCCATGCTTAATGGATTGAATGTCGAAATGATTAAAAAAAATCCTAATGATCTGTTCATGTTGCTTAAATATCGTAGTGGTAGTAATCAGAATTCGAATTCAACCAATAACAGTCATGGTCAAAATGATATCAATTTAGATGATGCATGCTGTCAAATGATTATCCGCATTGGTGGAATTGGGAAAATTTTGCTAAAAATTCTCAACTATCTGAATTATTATACAACGGCAAGCAAAGAAAATTCTCTGTTTGCTTATCCAATGTTCGATGATGGTATTACCGAATCCAAAACATTAGGAAATATAAAACAATATTTTGTCAATTCTATTCATTTACAAATCAAAGAATATCATTATCATTTATTAATGATTGAAAGTCGATTTCGACAATTACGAATACATTATTCATTTGCATTAAGGCGAATAATGTTATGGTCAACACAATGGTTGGAAAAATTTCTGTTCATTATTGATCTGTTGAAAAAATGTATCGATTATAAAGGCATTGCATTATTAAATCAGATCTATGATCATTCAAGAAATGGTGATCATAATGTACAAAAAATGGCCCGTTCAATTCTACATCAATCACTTAAGCCATTCATTTTCAATATGTTTGATTGGCTTCTTTACGGAGAAATTAATTCAGAAAAAATTGGTCAAGATTTTTTTATCCGTGTCAAAGATAAATCAAATATTTTGGCACAATTTCCAAAACCAAATAGAAAATCAAAAAAATCTAACGAATCGAATGATGATAAAAAGTCCGAAATGTTTGAATGGAAATCCTATGAACTTAATATGGCTATGTTACCATCTTTTATGTGTCAAAGACAGATAAAGAAAATTTTTTTCATTGGAAACGCCATACGTTTGTTACGATATACAATCAAAGATGAATATGATCAGAAAATGGTCAATGAAATTTTTTCTTCATCACAGATTCAAATCAATTATGATATAATCAGAAAATTTTTATATAAAAATATTGAAACAATCAGTGAATGTGATCGTTTCTTTTTCGAACACGGTCTTGTCGAAGATTTTGACTTGCTACTTGAATCCTATTATGATGTAATCAATGATGAAATGTTCAAAGTATTACAGATGAACAAAATCAAAGCCGAATTCGAGTTATTATTAGCTTATGTATTGATACAACGTGGAGATTTTTACGAAAGTTTAATCGATTATCTTCTACCATTGTTTCGAAAACCAGCCACTGAAGTGATTAACACAATTGCCAATGGAAATTCGACCAGTAATCTACACCGTATATTCAACATGTTCATGATCAATTCAAAATTGATCGATATGCATAAAGTATACAAGATAGATTCATTGCTTTATAATAATTTTGAATTGAATGAAAATCTAGTGTTTACATTTACGAAAAATGTACAAATGATTTCACATCATCTTGGCTGGGATTGTTTTATTGTACGTTATACGTTCAGTAAGAATGTCTACCGTGTCATGTTCGATGCTCAACTGATTCGTTATGAACGTCTTTTTCGTCAACTATTCTACTATAAACGAGTTCTGTATTCTATACGAAAAGCTCAACATCAGATTATATTCTATCGTCGTGATTATCGACCTAAACATCCTAGTCGAACACGACCAGAATCACAAAATGTTCGATCGTTACCGGCTGATATGTTAAAAGTTATCGTACACATGTTGAATACGTTACATTTTCTTTTCTTTCATATGTTTGGATTTTCATCAAGAATGTATCGATATTTTGGCCAACAAATTGGCACACTATGGTCAACAATGTTCGAGGTGAAATTTGGTGAACCGCAGAAAAATGTAGAAAAATTTGTTTATGCACATGAGAAATTTCTTCGTTCGATAGAACGTGTGATATTTTTTGATGATAACATTGAGCTACTCACTGCATACGCAGCATTGAATGATTCGATTATTGATTTTTGTGAATCATTCTGTGAAACAGAATTCTTTCCTACCATTGTTCGAATGATGGCCGATGATGGCTATCAAAATCAAAAAAAACAAGATCAAAATCTGTCGAACAAATCTAAGCCACGAAATTATCAACAACAACAACTTTTACAACTGCAAGGTCTTTCCGAACAATTGTTTAAACTTCAATTCAAAATTACCGTAAACATATCGAAATATCGTTGCTGCATGCGAAAATTCATACAACTTTTACAACAATCACAATCATCGCCATCATCATCATCCAAATGGGCTAGCCATTTTGAATTCAAATACGATCTGCTCACATATCAACCATGTTTGGATGGTTTGTTTCGTCTGTTTTCATTCGTGCGACGCCATAATCCTATACCCGAAACATATGGCGATGATGATGTTGAGGATTTAAGCTTAGAATTTTAAAGTGCCAAAATGTATTTTTTTTAATTTGATTACGAATTTTTTGAAAATAAAATTGCTACATTATTAAAAGCATTAATGATGTTTTATGACCGAATTAAATTCTAATTTAATAATTAATTTATAAACAAAGTCGATTTGGCAAAAGAAATTTTGTAAATGATGACAGAGCCAAAAGGCTGGGCTAAATGTCCCGAAATGGGAGTTATTGTTGCTGGTATGAAATTTCATATAATTTTTTACTTTTTTTCTGGTCATTCTGATCTTGAATCAAATTCAAATTTTATTCGAACACCATAGATATTTTTGTCCCATTCAAAGTTCCGTTTGGTCCAGATTTTACACCTGAATTGGCTATTCGTAAATTTCAAGAAAATGATGTATTTTTATGCTTAAATTCAATACAAATTTTAACTTGAATCAATATTTTTCTTTCTAGTACGACGTTGGCCTATGGATTGATTTAACAAACACTAGACGATATTATCGTTCATATTTGGTCAAAAATAAAAAGATTCGTTATGAGAAAATTTTCGTTACTGGGTTAGTTAATAATATAAATTTTATGAAAATGATTTTTTAAAATAATGAATTTTAGACACGGTGAATGTCCCTCGAATGTTCAAATCAACCGATTCATTCGAATATGTTCAGATTTTCTTCGCATACACCCAGGTCGAAAAATTGCCGTACATTGTACACATGGATTTAATCGAACTGGGTTTATGATTTGTGCCTATATGGTCCAAGAACTTGGTTGGTCAATTAGCCTAGCAATTGATCATTTTAGTAAATGTAGACAACCTGGTATCTATAGGCAAGAATACATTGATGAATTATTACGAATGTTTGCTGATGAAGATGATGATTTCAAAACAATTACTGCTCCACCAAAACCCGATTGGTCTAGAGATGAAAACCATCGAAGTTTCATTCATCATCGAGGCACATCATCAAGCGATCAGGATAATCTGATAGGATGTATGAATGATCTACGAATTTAACATCTAAATATTGACAATCATGATTTTTGCAATTTATACTGTAATTAATTTTAATATTTTAAATCATCTTATTGAAATAGCTAATACACTAATAACACTTGATTGAATCAATTTTAATTGTTTAAATAAAATGAAAAATTATAGAATTGAAAATTTGATTTTTTTTTAATGTACGTCTTCTATGAGCAGGAATCCATGTTTTCATTCCGAAATTATAATAATTTTTTTTTTGAGTTTCATGATCGTCAAAGTCAACATTGACGGAATTAATTCTTACATCAAATTCTTAGGGACGGTATTTTAAAATAACTTTTTAAAAAATAACTGTAAAAAATTACATTATGAACATCGAACTGTAGAACATCTTTTTTCGATACCAAAACAACAATGTCTTCAAGAGGAGGATTACCACCTCGTTGGAAAAATTGTCCAAGATTCGGCGAAGTTGTGGCCAGTATGTTTGATTTGACAAAATTAAATTCATTAGAATTATTCCATTTTTCCTGGATTCAGATACTTTCCTGCCGTTCAAAGTTCCTCTTGATGATTCTTTTAGTTCATTATTAGCTCCGACTATGTATTTTACGCCGACAATGCTAGTTAATTATGGACGAGATAATAATGTAATTTGAATCGTTATTTGAGATTGATCTATTCTAGAATTCATTGTTTTTTGTTGTAATTTTTTTAGATTAACATCGGTCTATGGATCGACCTGACATATACGGATCGATTTTATGATAAAACATTGGTTGAAAAAGAAAAAATTAGCTACGTTAAATTGAAATGTAGAGGGTCAGTACAATTGATTGACCTCATGATCGACTTTTTTGTGTGACCAATACTTCTATTTAAAAACTTTAGTCATGGAGAAACACCATCGCCTGAACAGACACAGACATTTATTGATTTGTGCTCAAGATTTTCGGTTAAAAATCCCGATAAAATAATTGCTGTGCATTGTACGCATGGTTTTAATCGCACAGGATTCTTAATTTGCGCCTATCTAGTTGATCAAGAAAATTGGAGCATCGAAGCAGCTATTAGTGCATTTTCACGTTGCCGTCCTCCCGGTATTTACAAACAGGATTACTTGAATGAATTGTTTCGTCTATATGGTGATGGCGACCAAACGGCCATAATTTTGGCACCACCCTTACCCGAATGGTGCAATGAAGACGATCAATATCAAGACGATGAAGCTTCGGTCTATGAATCGTACGGCCAAGGATCATCGACAAATGGCAACCGGCAACAGATAAACGCAGGTGATCCGTTTCTTGATGGCATTGATGGTATCGTTATGGTGGTTGAACAGGATAAAATCAGAACCTTGAGAGAAACCTGCACAGATATGTGCAAATTTAAACTAAAAGGTTTCCCCGGTTGTCAACCTGTTTCGTTAACTCATCAGAATATAAATTATCTTCAAGAAGAATATATGGTTAGCTGGAAAGCCGACGGTAATCGTTATATGATGCTCATATTGGATTCCAATCAGATGTATTTTTTCGATCGAAATTATTCCATTTCTCAGATATTTAATCTAAATTTTTTGCGCCGTAACTCAAAAGAACGTTTATCGGAAACGTTATTGGATGGGGAAATGGTTGTCGATGTAGTCGATGGGAAGCGCTTTCCCAGATATCTAATCTATGACATTGTCTATTGTGATGGACAAGATGTATCCGAAAAAAATTTTCGTGAACGTTTGAACATCATTTACAAACAGGTCATTACGCCTCGTGAAGCAGCCAAACGAAATGGACAGATTGATCGCAGTAAAGAACCATTTGGAGTACGAATGAAAGATTTTTGTGAGCTAAAATATACGTACAAATTTTTTGAGCCAAAATTTCAACGAGATTTATCACATGAGATCGATGGTCTAATTTTTCAGCCAGTTCATTTACCATATTTAGCTGGTCGTTGTGATCGAGTGCTAAAATGGAAACCACCGACACATAATTCAGTAGATTTTTTACTGAAAATCATCGAAGAAACGCGACCTGGTCGAGTGGAAAAATACATAGGCCAATTGTATGTCGGTGGAAAACGGGAACCATTCTCTCACATAAATGTTACTCAAGAATTACGGAAATATAATAATCGTATCATTGAATGTCGATTCAATATGCAACGAAATTGTTGGGAATTTATGCGAGAACGAACTGACAAATCTTTTCCAAATGCTCTATCGACGGCAACAAATGTTGTTTATTCGATGCAGTATCCAATCACAAGGCAATATCTACTCGATTATCTACATAAAAATGGCTTTAAATAACAAATGACTTCATTCACAATTTCCGTTCATAAATTTTTCATAATCATTTTGATTCGTTTCATTATCAAACATCAATTTTTTCGTTCATTTATTCTCATGTGTGATATTCATTCCAACATAAAAAATTTTTTCAACCAATCTAATTGTATTTGTATAATAAATATGAAAAATTGAACATTTATTCATTTTTGAGAAATTTTCTCGGTAATTGAATGTTTTGAGAAGATTTGATAATGTTTACGGGAAAAAGTTACAAGTTTTTCTCTCAAGACTTGGGTCATGTTGTCAGTGTTGATCGATTTGGGGTACATATAATTTTCGGATTAATTGAACTGATCCTCGTATTATTTATTTCATTGTAAATTTTTTCTTTCGTCTGGAATAATTTCCAAAAACTGTGTCAGTAAAAATGTCATTAAAAATTTTAGTTGGTTGCAAACGAGTCATTGATTATGCCGTCAAGGTTAGAATAAATAATTTTCAACTTTTTTTACTCATTCTGTATTTATTTCCTAGATTCGAATTCGTCCGGACAACAAAGGTGTTGTTACACAAGGTGTCAAACATTCGTTGAATCCGTTTGATGAAATAGCAGTAGAAGAAGCGGTTCGATTAAAGGAGAAAAAATTGGCCAAAGAAATTCTAGCCGTTTCAATTGGACCACAAGCAGCACAGGATACACTACGTACTGCTTTGGCCATGGGCTGTGATAAAGCATTACATGTTAATGTTGATGAAAAAAGTGCTGAAATATTGTTGCCAGTTCAAGTGTCAAAAATTCTGGCGAAAATCGCTGAACAAGAAAAAGTTGATATTGGTAAGAATATTCTTATAATTAATCTATATTTTATGTCATAAATGTTATTTTTTTACTTTCATCCAGTGATTTTGGGTAAACAAGCCATTGATGATGATTGTAATGCAACTGCACAGATGACTGCAGCACAATTGAATTGGCCACAGGCGACGAATGCATCGAAAATAGAAAGTAAAGATGATAAAACAGTTTTGGTTACCCGTGAAATCGATGGTGGTCTTGAAGATATAGAATATAAATTACCTGTAGTGATTAGTGCTGATCTTCGTTTGAATGAACCCCGTTATGCTACACTACCCAACATTATGGTAAGCATAGCTATTTGAATGAAAAATTCTCATTTTTTCTTATTTTATTTATTAAAGAAAGCAAAAAAGAAACCGATCGATAAAAAAACACCGAGTGATTTAGGAGTGGATATTACACCGAAAATGGAAATCCTATCCGTACAGGAACCAGCAAAACGTGAAGCTGGTACCAAAGTTGCCGATGTTGATGAATTACTGACCAAACTTAAAGAAGCTGGTCGAATCTAGAATAACTATTAATAATTGAAAGGAAAATATTTATCAAAATCTTTAATTTTTTACAAAAAAATGGATTTTATGAGTGAATGATTGTCATGAGAATTATAGAATTAAATTTTCATTTATTTCATTTTAATATTTAATTTTTTTCCTTAATTTACAGATTCAATTGAAAATGGAAATTGAATCTATATTCATAGGATCTGATTCTATCTTATAAAGTAAATTGAAAATCAGATGTCTGGCCTGGTATTGGACTTCTTTGGGTAACGCATTCAAACTTAATGCAATATATTTGCCGAATGTCAGCAACAATGGATCACATGAAATTTTGTCTTGATATTCCTCTTCATGTTTCCTTTTTTTTGATATACGCTTAGCTGATTGATTCTCGTTGAAAAATATTTCGTTTTCACTCATTGTTTCGTTTGTCAATTCTTGCGTGAATGATGAAAGCATTTGTGGAATTATTGATTCTTTTTGTGATGTTGTTTCATACACAAATGATGATGATGTCTGTTGATTTGACTCATTAGCTTCTTCATTGGTTGTTGCTAGTGTTGAATCAAAGCCTGTTCGAACCGGAATCTTTGTCATTAGCGATTCGATTTCTTGGAAATGTATCCAACGTATAGCAGTCGAATCTTTTTCAGAAATTCTTTTGTTTTTTAATGTCGCATAAGTAATCTTCAAATTTCGAAATTTAGCCTTGACTAATTTACCACTTATTAAATTTGGCAATTCATAAACATTATTTTTGTTTGCCACATAACAATTTAGTTTCAAGGCGATTTCGTTCCAAATAGCTGCTTTTTTAGTTATGTTCTTGTAATCCGGTTCCGCAACATTCCATAAACATGGATTCGGTTTTATCAATGTGATCATTTCGGAAATCAAATCGTCATCATTCAAATATATAGAAGCTTTGTCGTTTTTAATTTTATAACTAGTCATTTTTAAAAATTTAAAAATTGGAATGAATTGAGCTTAAAATTCGAACAAATATAAGTTTCTTTCTAAACGAATGAATTTTTTCTATAGAAAGTTGATTTGTTTTGATTCGAAATGCAGGCTGAAATATATATTCGTGGAAATATTTCCCTATATTTATTTTTCTGAGCATTTGCGAATGTCAAGAAATATTTTCAAGAAATATTGCTCAGCAATATTGCTGCAGTGTAAAACCCCTAGAAAAAACAATTATCCAACGACAGATGGCAATGCATTCGCATTATAATCAAATGAACGATTTGAATTTTTTCATCGATTCTTGTAATTTAAATAAATTCCATACGAAGAGAATTCAAAGCTGATAATTTTTCGAAATAATCTGACTACTATCCTTCAGTTTAATAGATGTTCATCTATAAATTATTATTATTATTTTGATCTACCTTGGTAATAAAATAAAATGTATTCGGTTATCGACCCCGATCAAAATCGAAAAAATACTTTCGTTTTTTTTTGTTACCAAGAAAAAATTTTAGTATTCAATCGATTTAGTTGGAAAGAAAATTTCACATAGTTTTACTGATTTTCTTGATGAATGGATTCTTTTTTTCGAAATGAAGAAATTCAACAATGAACAGAGAGAGAGAGGGAGAGAGGGAGAAACAAACCTGATTTGGTCATCAAAGTCGTAAATTAAACAATTTTTTTTGAAAAAATCCTAGATGTGAAATTCGAATTCAAATGTTGTATTCGTCTGTCCTGGATTAAATGGAATAAAATGATTAAAATGAAGCAGATGAGAATGTCCATTCTATTATTATTTTTTTACTTTTTCCTAAAATTATCTTGATTTTTTTTTTAATATTCATAATTTTAAGAAAATGAATCTATTTTTGTTTTGTTTTATCTTTTAATGATGTAATTTAATTTGTTCTTTCTTCTTTTGATCCTTATTTCGACTGGTCAAAATTATTATCATCATTATGATCATAGCAATCATCTTTCTTTCTTTTTTGTCATTAATAAAAATTGTATATCATGTCCAAACTCTTTTCAACTTTGATAAACAAAAAATTTAAGATGAAGTAAAAACAAAAAAACAACAATTCAACTTGATTATTATGATGATAAAGACGGCGGCGGCGGCGACGACGACGACGACGAAGATGATGATGATGACCATCATCAAACATCCGACGTGCCAAAAAAGAAAAAGAAAGAATAAAAAATGATGATACTGACAAACAAATGTCAGTGAACTCTTTAGTTATTTCGTTTGAATAATTTCATGATACGAATGTACATCAAGTACATCATCCAAAGAAAAAGAAAGAGAGGGATACCAAATCAAAAAAATAGAGAAAAAAGCGAAGAATATCGTGAAAGCGAAAGTCAGAACCCTTGAACCTTTGATTTAAAATCATTCGACATTCAATAAACAAGAATTGATTTAATGTACAGCCCTTTTTTCGTCAATTTATTCTGATAGCTACATCACCATCATCGTCGTCATCATAATCATTCGATTACAACAATCGATCAAGATGATGGAGATTAGAATTGAAAGTGAGTGAGTGAAGTAAAGAAAGAAAGGTGTGCAATTGCAATCAACCCTAACCGAACAATGTTTTCCAATGCCAAACATACACATAGACTTGATTATTTTTCGCCAACGCTTCATAACTATAGTTTAACAATTGTAATTGAGCAACAAGTGGCAAGTATAATTTTAGAAACTATTTTTTTAAATTTCAAAAATAGCCAGAAAGCTGTGGATTGTGAACGATGACCATGATTCTCTAACACACACATAATACAAACATAAATCATCATCACGATGACGCCATAATGATGATGTTATGTGTGTGTGTATACTGATGTTTTTCGATTCTTTTTTTTCGGATACATTTAGATTTTCGAATGAATCCGAAAAATAATAATGCGAAAATAAACAAATATAGTAGACAAACAAAAAAATTAACCGGATGGCGCCCATGTATACTGGTTTTTGTTGTTGTTGCAGGTTATTTCTCTCTCCGCTATTGAAATTGTTTGATGATGATCATCATCATTTGTTATTAAATCTGGTTGTTATGAATTTTTTTCGAATTGCAATGGGGACATTTTATATTTATAATATGGATGAACAAAAAAAAAATGAATGAATGAATGAATGGATGGATGGCAACGTTATATATCCTGGTTTTTTTAAATTCTTGTTCATTATAACTTTTTTTTCTTATTTTGAATCGATTGACGTGACAATGATGATCATGGTTGGATGATCATCATGATCGTCACATTTTTTCTTTTTATTCATCCATCCATGACGACACAATTCCAGAAAAAAAAACTGTGGTCAATTTATTGTTGTTGGTATTTTTTTTAGTGTAGTGATGTAATCAATCAATAAAACTAATCTGTTAATCAAAGAATTCGTTATTCATGTATAATCTATTTCAATGAATTTATTGATTTCAAAATTAATGTTTAAAAACAAAAACAATCAAAAGAATGCAATAATTATCTGAATTTCATCAGAAAAAAAACATCACGATCAATTCGATGTATGAATATGGAAAATTTCTGATTATTATTATTATGGTTATACAATGTATCATTTTTCCTTCATATTCAGTTTGATTTGTTGCTTGTTGCTGTTCGTTTTGGTCAAATATTATATAGTTTAGCTCATCATGATAATAAGCCATTACAGATTACTTTGCCCAAAAAAATAAAAAAACATTATGTTTTTTAAGATTGTTTCAAATATTTTTGCATGTAAATCGTCCTTGGAATTTTGTTAACCATTTTTTTTTCTTTTTCTTTTTTTTTTGTTTCTGAAAATGTTTGATTTTCATTGCGCTTATATTTTGCGGTTGTTGTTGTTGAAAGAGTTAATATGGCATTCGATAATGAAAATTGAAATAGTCAACACATGTGGCTTTTTTCTTGTTCTATGGTTCAAAGTCGAAATCCTTTTTTCTGGCATTTTCATAAAAACTTTATGACGATATTTTTTCTAATAGAAGAAAAACAAACGAGAAAAAAAAATCTTCAAAATCGAAGGCCATCAAAGCCCGAAGTAACACACGCAAAAATCAAAGCGAAAATGAAAACGCGCCAAAATAAAATGAATAAATAAATAACCCAACAACGTTCGTGTTCAAGGCCAACCAAGGTTTATTCATTCTTTCGTATTTATCGTATTTTCGATTCGAAGATGATAATGCTTTGCCATGTGGCCCATATTTTGTTTGAAAACGATCCGAACTTTGAAAGCTTCAACAACAACAAAAAAAGTTTTATTATGACCCATACAATTCACAATGTATTCTTACGATAAATATTCTTTAATGTTGGAAATTAGAAAATTCTCGAGCATTAGCAACAACAAAATCCTCTTAAATAGGGTATTAGCAAAATAATAAATTTTTTTTATAGAAAAAATCTTCACAATTTTATTACAAATGATAAAAAAAAACATTTGCCCACAAGAATTAACCAAAAAGCAAAATTTCGATAAAATTTTTTAAAAATAAATTTCTAAATCAACGATTTTTACCAAATCAATCTGTTTTTCAAATCATCATGATTTTTTTAAATATTCCTCCTAATCGGATGTTATTTGTCATTTACTTTCTAATCAACAATACTGTTAAGGGCGTATATCATAAAATATTCGTTGATTGTTTTCATCGATTGATTTTTTTAAATACCGATTTATTTATTATGCTAATGTCTAATGAAACGAAACTAATGATTCATTTGAAATTCAAACGACAATGACATTTATTATTTGACATTTGTCCGTTTTGATTTTTGTTTTGTTTGTTTATCCAAACTTTTCGTTTGACCGAACATGCAGCAAAAAATTGGGCGTAACCAACTTTTTGTTTGTTTGTTTTTGTGGAACACATTTTTCTCATTAGCAATCTTTTCATTTATTTTTTCTTATATTGTCATCACCCCTCTCTCTATATTTATTTGTCCTAGGCCTAGGTCTTCTAGGCCAAAAAGTATACTTACACACAAGACAAAACAGTAGATTTTGGGCTCGAGATAAAATTTATAGTTTCAGAGAGAAAAAAATTCCATATTTAAGTGTCATCGATAACCATAGATAACCATAACCATTTATCATTTCGATTCTGGTCCGATTCGAATCGATTTAACATTTAGCCATCATTTGAGTTGGTTTTTTTTTGTTTTTGTTTTTGGTGGATGATTGATTCTTCAAATTTTTTTAAAAAATCAAGTTTTATAAGAATATAGAGGTAAGTTTACCCTTTTTTGAACTCTATGTTGAATTTTTTTCTCTATTTTTTGCAATTTTTTGATTTTCCAAATTCATACGAATTATTATTTCATGATTTTATTCTTCAGACAATCGATTGATTCCGAACATCGTTAGTAATAAGAAAACGTGCCAAGCATTTTTTTTTTTGATTTCAAATTGATCATGCGTAAATCGTTTAAAAATGGCGCGCTATAACATGCTTGTGATATCTGTTGGTTTTTTTTGAGTGTATCTTTTTACAATGGGATCTGCATTCGAAAAAAAAACTAGAAGCAAGGTGTATAGTAGATCCAAATAGCTACATACAGTCGAATTGGAGAAAACTGGTTAACCAATTGATTGATAGAAATTTTTTTTTTTGGGTTCAACAGTTATCACATATTACCACTACTACCACACACTTGTCTCTATTTGAATTGAAAATGACCAGTCTGACTGGTTGGTGCATTTTGACTAAAAAAATGGCAGTTACAACATTTGAAAGGAATTTTCATTTTGATTGATTGTCATAGTAGCATAGAATGAAAAAGCGCACCTTCTATAGAATGTGAAAAAAAAAGATACATGCAACAGGCATTTGGACAAAAAGTTTTTGTTTTCAAATTATCGATGCGAGAGGATCCGAGAAACGAGAAAAAAAATCATCACACACAACCAAACCACCACTATAATCATTTGTCCGTTTGACTTCGATCGATCATGACTTCGTTTTCTCGTTAATTTTTTGACTTTTTCAAAATGGCTTTCGCCCTATTCCTATTCTTGAGATTTAGATTGTTTGCTCTTTGAATTTTGAATTCTTTTTTTCAATATGAATTTTTTCTACTCCATATTGAATTTGCTTTGTGTGCCATTCATTGATGATGCCCAAATTTTGTGGCTCAAAAATTGAACTTTTTTGTTTTGCCATCCGCGCCAAATCCAACTGAATTTTTTTTCGTTATTTTCAAAATCATTGTAAACGTGTTCCTCATGCATCCATATTTTTTTCCTCTCAAGTTGTCATCGTTTGTTTGTTTCTTTTGGTGTAATTTTGTCAGCAAAAATGTTCTTTGAAACAAAATGACAACCTGTTGATGCTACCGAAAAAAATATTCTTAGAAATCAATTTTTTTTGCTTAGGAACTTTTGCCTGCTTGATTCCTTCGTTGTGATTGTGTAATGTTTTTTTTCGTAATTTGTTTTCATGATCCTGTAATTTATAATATTTTTATTTTACTCTATAACGCGCGCGCATACGAAATGAATATAAAAAACATCTATCTTTTTTTTGAGCGAATCGCATTGGCGGCTGTGTCTATACATTTGGGGAAAGGATCCTTTTTCCTTTTTGGAAAGCCTGTTGCTTCTTTCGGTTGAGAGATGAACAACGTTTTATATATTTTAACCAAGCGATTCGATTTATATCAACAGGCCGATGTCGTCATTTTTTTCACACACAAGCACATAGCGCAAATAATCATATAGACGTGTAAAAGAGAATGAGAGAAAAATCGATTCGAATATCTGACGACGATCACCATGGCACTTGTTGGTTTGGTTTGATTTGATTTGGTTTAAATGTGTGTGTTATTATAACTGCATGTCGTTGTTTCGATTTTTTTTTCTGTAACTAAAACATTTGCCATTGTGTGAGATTATTAGTCGATTTAAGTATATTTTTCTTTTAATTTTCTATATAAAAACTGTTTTTTTAAATAAAATAGCGCCTGAACCATATTTATCACCATGATTGAATCCTTTCAACAATATAGCCAACAAAAATTTCAAACCAGGATTTCTGATGTTTCAAAAAAATAGATATTTTTTCTCTAATGAATTTTTCACATTTTGTTTTAATTTTTCAATTTTTTCATCATCTTTGATACAATCTATATTCTATCATTATATATTCATCCATCAATGGTAAACTTTTATTTTTTTTCCCTTAAACATCGAATGTGCTGTTAATGTGTGATGATGTGCCATCGGAAGAAACTAATTGTGGTGACAAAATTAATTTCACTTCTTCTAATCAACACGAAAGTCGAATGTTGATGGATGACTGTGCGTCTAGTCCTGTTGTCAATTTGATGTTCGTAATCATCACTCGAACACGCCACATTTATTCAAAAAAAATCGATAATAAAATCGAATCAAAGGCGATGATTTTGAGATGTTTGATTTGATCACATCATCATTTTGATTAAACAAATCATTACATGACTAGATCCACACTCATCCATTACATTATGACATTTGAACTACCAAACAACCATCATCATCATCATCATTCGATCTTTCTTTCTTTTTATCTATCATTAATATCATTTCATTCAAATCAAATATTGTTCCAACAACATTTGTTATTTCATCGATAACAATTTTTATAATAATAATAATAATAGAGTAATTCCGCACTCGCTTTGATCCAATCTATCCATTTCCTCTTAAATTGTATTTTTATGTTATATAAGCTTTACCATCGATATCATCATTTGTTTATTCATTTCGTTGTCACCAATCGAAAATCAAACATCCTCAATTTGAACATTTCCTTCTCAGTTTTGTTTTATTTTATTTGCTTGCTTGCTTGCTGATGTTATTTCCTTTTTCATTTTTGATGATGATGTAGATGATTTTTTTTATTATATTTCATGGATTTTTTGAAAATCCCGATTTTGTTTTTGTTTTTTAAACAAACAAAATATTTGAAAAAATAGATTTTTGTTTCATCCTTTATTTCGAAATAGGATCAGTCCATTAATATTTTATTGTACGTTACACACCCATATAAAAATATTTTGCTATATGTGAAAACAATCACAAAAAAAAGTAGAGTATAGAAACGTGTGGACAATTACAACGAAAGAACGCCAAAAAAACCGTTGAATTTTTTTTTACAGAAAAATTCGTTTTGAACAATTGTTTGAAGGAATGTAACCAACACAACACAACAACTATAGTTTCTGTGTAAACACAACATGCCGCAGCCGGAGCTCGATTAAACTTCCTCTCTTATTTCACTGACTTTAGAAGAAGATGAAAAAAAATTTTACCTGTTTTTTCTTCTCTTTTTTGTACAATTGTCTATGATGATGGTGGTGGCTATTTCATATTGATGTGTACATTTAAAATTAAGAAAAGAGAGCTAGTCTTTGAATGAATATAAATGAATCGTGTGGTATGTGTATTCGAACGTTTTTTTTTTGTTGAAAATTTGTACCCCTCATTCTCTCCTTATTCGCTACTTATAGATTGTTTGAGATTTGATTTGAGAGTTCATCACCTGCCACAACAGAAAATTCAAAAAAAAAATTACTTACTCTGTTTGAAATAATCGTTCAAGTGTGTGTGGGTATTTCGGGGGAATATCAAGCAACGATGGCCATTCTCTTCTCTCTCTATACTGTTTTTTTAGTTGGCCGTATGTGGTATTCATCATAAATTATTTTTCAATCTTTGTCTATCTCATTGTGTGTGTAGTTGTTGTTGGCTCTTTTGGTTTTTTCCCCATGTTTTTGTGTATACACCCGTCGTTGTTTGAACGAATGAATTTTTTTTAATGGCATGCCAATCAGGTAAAAACCTTCGCTGGTTGTTTTTTATACAGCACCAAAAAAAACTTGTTTGACGGTCAGGTACTTCCATTCTCTCTCTCTCTTCAGGATTGATCATCATCATAAGAACATTGATAATGATGATGATTACAATCACGAAAAAACGATGAATGTATTATGGGTAAAAAAACAACCAAACATAGATTTGGATGATGAGCGATGAAAAAAAATGGATGGGGGTGACCATGATAATAATGATGGTGGGGCTCTCTCTCTCTCTCTCTCATTTTCTTGTCTTGGTTAAATAAGATTCTATTTTTTTTTTAATTTTGGATTGAGAAATTACATTCAACAATTGGGAATTGTTGAATGCGCTTGCGTCATTTTTTTTTGTATTTTTGTTATGGGCGGCGGTCATTCAAAAATTTTTATCGTTTTTTTTTAAATTTTATTTGTTATGGCACATTAATAATAATGGGGCGACCATATTCTAACCACTCATAAAAAACAAAATATTTTGGAAATGATTGACCATAGAGAACAACAAGCAACATGTAAAATATGATGACCTAATTGATCAAAAATTTTTGATCGATCGGTTTTTTTTTGGAAAAATGGACTATTTTTGAATATCAATAAAAATATTTAAAAAATGACAAAAAAATTCTTAAAATTTTCTCTGGATAATATTGAGTTTTTATTTTGTTCATTTTGCACGATTAGGAAAAACACACAGACAAATGATAATATTTTATTTAAAATCAATATTTGGATGGATTTCGGATGTATCAAAATCGAATGATTATTTTATTTTATTTTTCTACTTTAGTTCACAAATTGGAATATTGATTGATTGATCTTAATGATATATATGATTGTGGATAGTTTGTATCTTTCAACCAAAATAAAAAAACATTTCTATTATTTAGCTTTTATAAGATGATTAACATAATCATCATGATTATGATAATAATGATTATCAAAAAAACAAAACCGAATTGATTATGGATTAAAAAGAAAAATATATGAAAATTTCTTCTCTCGGAGTTCTTGAAGCCGATGAATGTTCCTTGGTGCTGTTTTGTTTTTAGTTTATTTTTTGGTTGTATGACATTTTATATTTAGCTCAAAATGTTTTCTGAGCAAAAATAGATAAATGTTACATCAAATTATAAATTACAAAATGATCTTACACGATATAATATCATCACCGGGCTAGCATTCATCCGGTTTTTTATGAACATTTGCCATCGAAATTATGATTTTGTTGCGTGGAAAATTCAAATTAAGGTAACAGTGGTGCCATCTTATGATGAATGATATTGACTTTTATATTTTTTTAATGAATGAAATATGATCAGCCATCTGGTGTTAACTATCGTTTTTGTTTAAATTATCAAATTTTTTTTCACATAAATTTAGCAGGAATTTTTTCTATATTGGATATCACATAATTTATCAGCATATCGATTGACGATGGATCATAAGAAATGACAAAAATTAACAGTCTAATAAATTTTTAAATTTTATCACAAAACAAAGCTAAATCATTGAATGAATGTAACTTATGACGGATACGAATTGTTAATCGAACATATTTGATTCGTCAGAAAAAAAACGCCATTATTAACAAACTAAAAAGTAGTCTGTAATATCCTGAACAGTCATCGAGTTTTGATGAATGTTTTGAAAAGTTTTTTTCTCTAATGAACAGTAATCAATTGTCCTTGATAAGAAACATCAGCAAGAAAAAACATTTAACAACTTCTATGATGTGAATAATTTCTTAATTAATTTTATATTTTAACATTCTTTCTTGCAGATTGAATGTACTTTTTTTCAACACTCAGATTGTTTCATTTTTCCTTTACCTTTTGATTGATAATTCCGTCTGCGCTATTCATTTAAAAGCTGTTTTTAACATTACAAACATCAGATTAATTTTTCGTTTTGCTGCTGAAACTTACAACATTAACATAATGAAGAAAGAGCAATTATGGATTCTTCCATTGATTTTGGCTTTATTCAATGTATTGGTCTGTTTTGTACCGTATTTCATTGCCGTTCATACCGGCTTTGTCGATCCAATTTTACCTTATGTCAGTGATACCGGTTCCGATACGGTTGCAGCTAAGTATTTTAGCTCAATGTTGGACATATGTGCATTTTTTGGTATGTTCAATGAATTTTTTCAAAAAATATTTTTCTAATGAATTTTCATTACATTTATGTTATTTAGCTATGATCATTGGATGGATTAGATATAAACAGATTAATTTTTATATTAAAAATATCAAAATTAACGCAATTAATGTTGATTCTGATGACATGGCTTCATTGAAAAGTAAAAATAGATTATTATTATGTTTCTATTTTCTAAGTGCCTGCGGTATGATTGGTGTTGGAAATATTCGTCTATCCGAATCATTTTATGTACATTGGTTGTTGGGCTTTTTAATCTTTTTTCCATCAATTTTTTATTCATCATTTACATGTTATGTAACACGTATTTTGTATCGATTTGATATTGAATCGTATCCTATCTCTTTAATAATCGGTTGCATTTCGCAGGTTATATTATTCACTCTTTTCATAGTGATGTCATATTTTTCTGTCAGAAACATTTCGTTCAACACTTTTATAGATCTTTCATTTAGGCTTCATTGGCCAACAAATCAATCTGATTATGTTTATCATTGTTTAGCTAGTGCTTGTGAATGGCTAATGATTTTAGCAAATGTAATACTATGTTTTTCATTGTCGAATCGTTTTCGTCAATTTAAATATTGGAATCAAATTTAAATTCATTTTTTTGCAAATTACACTTGACCGATCATTTTATTCACATACAATAAAAAAGAATATTAGTACTTTTCTTTGAAATGCAATAAATTCCGGAATTTTTATTTCAATTAAACATTTTCATGATATATTGTTGATATAAAAACAAATAAAAAATTCTGATGAATAATCAATGAATGATTAATAAAACGAATCATTATTTCATTTTTAATTTTATTCAAATCGACAGTGTAATCAACTTAACGATATTGTTGATCGACGAAACATTTTATACACCATAATAACACCTTTACTATAAAGAATTAAACACTGAATGAGGAAATAAGAAAATCATCAATTTTAAACATATTGAACTATCAAATGACAAACCTTAATGAACGTGTTTAAAGTAACTAAATTAAGTTTATAATAATGGACTCCATAACGATTTTTACAATGAAATTTTTCGATATAATTTATAACTTTTAGATGAGTGATTGTTGATCGAAATTGAGCACGAGCATTTAACGATATCAATCGCAGAATACCATTACGATGAATCTTTTTGGGCAATAAAGTTAATATAAAATGAACACCGAATATACCTAAAAATTGTTGCATAGCCATCAATGATAAGATAAGAGTTTCGAGCATTGTTTCCTCTGCATGATGAAACATCATCGACATAACCAAGAAAACATTGTATGGAATATTTGACAATAGATAAGCAGTACCAGGCCATGAATAAGTTTTATTAAATCTAGCAATAACATTAACCGTACCAGTATGTGCAACAATAAACTCTCGTAAATCATTTGATGATAGAATTCGTAGATTATCCTCAAGATATTCATCTAATTGGTGAAGACGTAAAATACTCGAAAAAATACTTGTAAAACCCATCATTACAAGAATGAGAAGATAATTAACCAAAGAATAAAATCCACCGGATACACTTAACAACATTATTTCGGCCAATAATAATTTGAACGGTATAAGAAATCGATTTGTGAAAAAGAAATGACTATTCTGCCAAATTAAATAATACAATTGAAAATGCCAGAATATTGTTATCAAATCGATTAATAATAAAAATCCTTGCACAAAAATAAATGCTAGCCAAACAAATTGTCTAAACTGTTTACATAGCTTTTCAGGTGTTCTGCCCGGTCGATATGGATTGCGGCAATGCTTGTTGATCCAAAGATGAAAAAATGATGTATCATGTTCGAACATGATCTTATATAAAAGTTTAATACTATGTTTATCTGGATCTCTATATTGTGTATTTTCGATAGTTTTTATAGCCAATAACAGCAATGTAAACAAGGCATTAGTTGCCGATTCTATTTTAAGCATATAGACAATATCAAAAAACATTATGCGATATTCTTTGGTCCATGGAACAATCACAAGTAGCCAATGCCGTAATATGGCTAACCAAAAATATACATTGATCACTTGATGTGTTAAATGAGTTATAGAATCTAATTCAAGCATTGAACGGCAATATTTTTCAAGATAATTTAATCGTTTGAATGGATTAATCACCTCAATAAATTGTTCGAATAATAACCTTATCTTTGGTGGTTCGGATTGCATAATTATATTTGTCTAAATAAAAACTTTTGGAAAAAAACAATTCAAGTTGTATATTAGAACTTTATGGCCAGTGTTCATCCATATAAAATGCTAGTGAAACTAAGAATGAAAAATTTTTCAAGAGCAGTTGCGAATTTTTGTTTGGTATTGATCACAAAAATCCATCATCATCAACAAAGAATGAAAAATTTGGTACAATAATGACAGAGTTCATGATAACTCGAAATTTAATTTATATTTTTCATTCAAATAAATAACAACTTATTTAACCTAATGGTTTCGAATTGGTTTTAGTCAGGAATTTTTTCTAAAAATATTCCAACATTGACTGAAACATAACATTTAAAAACAAAATAAAAATATGATCAATAAATAGTTGGAAAATCGATTTTAAACAAATAATTTAGAATTTTAATGATGATAGATAAAAAAATGGAAACGATTCAAACATTTCTATTTATTTTTTTTTATTGGAAATGTTTTTAAAAACAAACGAATAACAACGAACGGCAATAAAAAATGACAGTCAAAACAGAATGAATAGGCTAATGTGAATTTTACATAAATAATTCAAATGAATTCAATGATGAAATAGTGATGGTGATGATGATGATGATAATGTAAATGAGCATTGATCACAATTCAGAAAACAGATAATTTTAAGAGGACGGTTGTTGATTTTTTTTTTAAATCAAGCGGCAAACAAAACAAATATAAGAAAAAATATGAATAAAACAGCAAACACTTTGATTATTAACCAACGATTATTGGTAACGGATGTTAAATATTGTAATAGAGAATCATGTGCCTGTTCGACATTCATCATGGTATCGGTGACATTGGCATCAATCCTAGTGATCATTTCTTCTTGCTGTTGAACCATCGTAGCTAATTGATTAAAAATGGTACCAAGTTCTACAATGGTCGATTCAATGGATTGCATAGTATTTGCACGATCTTCTAGATATTCATTTGTTTGATCGGGAAATTGTAACAATGTTTGTGTCTGAGCCAATGACATGGAATTATTATGACGATGACCTCGATAGTTATTTCCATTATCAGTATTGGACGTATCACCAAAATCGATCACAGTCGTTTGCGATTGTTGTTGTTGTTGCTGTCGTAAATTTGATGCCGAATGTGAATGTGGCAATGATCCTTGTTGCTGTTGAGCCCGTGATGCTAAAGGTGGTTGTATAACGGTACCAAACGAGAATTGTTCTCGCCGTTTTTTAACTTTTTTTATATTTTCACTTCTAACTTCTAGGGTATCACGAAAACTGTTTGATATTGATGCAAGTTGATGTTGAAGTGTAAGAACAACGTTTTTTGTATGTGATCGTACATTATGTCCACTTGAATTTGATGATGATTGTGTTTCTAATTGAAGTTGTCGTAATCGTTCTATTTGTTGATTTAATGATTGTATATCTTGTTTGATTATGTAGATTAATTCATTGAATTCTTTGGAAGATTCTTCATCATCGAACATGCTCTTTTTCTGTGCCATCATATTGATTTTTTCCAATTTCTGATAAGTTAGATATAGATCACGAGCTATCGAACGTGAACCGCTCATGAAACGTGAAAATTGTCCATATTGTTGGGATTGTGGATTCGATAAGGGTGATGATCCATTCTGTTGTATTTGATTTGTTCCTTTGCGTGCCCGCAATTCCATCGGAAGATGAGAGCCAGCCGTACCATTCAAATATTGAGGTCTGCCAGCCATCGATCTTACGGTGACCATAAATTCGGATGTCCGATCACGAACCATTTTTCAACTTTCAAATTAAAGTTTTTCGATTGTTCAAAAAAAAAATTTATCTATAGCTGAAAAAATCTTATTTTGGAAAACCGATTGGTTTGATGACGTTGAATTGAAAGAGAAATTTTCCAACTCTCTCTTTCTCATCAAAGCGTTATTGAGTTAGAGAATACAGTGAAAACTCTGCATTTTGCATTGCATCAGCTGCTCGTCGACCATTAAGGTAGATATAGACATTCATTTTTTTTATTCGTTCATTCGAATTTTATTAATGATTTGATTTATTAATTAATTCTTGCTTCAAAATTCATCATCATGAATGATTCATATCGGCAGAAAGAATGTGAACAATCTGTAGATTCTAGTAGGATGAATAAAAGAAAAAATCAAAACAACGATGATAAAACTTTTAAAAAGCCAGAAAACATTCAAAATTCTTGTTCAAACAAGATGTTGAAAACAAATACTTCTACAACGATAATGATAGATGAATTTTCCAAAGATGAAAAACCTTGTCGAAGAAATTTTCATTCACTTGATCAATATACTCAACATAAATTGTTAATTAATTATTATAAGCTTACACATCCTGGTAGCTGTCATCAAGTGTTTCAACGAGATCATTCACAAGATAAAGGTGACATACAGGTTTTGATTGAAAATCATCGATTTATCTGGCCGGAAGAAGATTTACAATCAAATCAATTAACCTGGGGACAACGTGTAGCCAAAAAATATTATGATCGTTTATTCAAAGAATATTGTATCATCGATCTTAGTCTTTACAAACAAAATAAATTTGGAATGCGTTGGCGAACCGAACCTGAAGTAATTGAAGGTAAAGGTCAGTTTATTTGTGGTAATAAAGTCTGCTCGATACGATCCAATTTAACTTCATGGGAAGTGTTGTTTGCTTATGTTGAAAATGGAGAAAAACATTCTGCATTAATCAAAGTAAAACTTTGTTTCGATTGTTCAACGAAATTGAATTATCACCGACAACATAAAAAAGCAAAGAAAAACCAAAAAGATGCTCGAAAATTGAAAAACAAAAAATCGAATCACCAACAACAAAAAGTTGAAGTGAAGGAAGAGATTCTTACATCAGACGATGAAGCTGGTTTGTTCAAAAATTCTGAATCATTATTACAAAATGATCATAATGATAATGATGATGAAACTTATGAACAATTGATCGATAAGATATGGCGAAAACCGATCAAATTAGAACAAGAAAGTGATGATGATCAAGAAGAAGGAAAAAAATTGGAAAATGATCTCGATAATTATTTGGATGAACTTTTTCAATAATAACGTTTTATGTGTGTGTATGATCAATTTTTAGGAAAGATTTCGCAATGCTGAGATGTTGCAATGCGTCGGTGTGATGCATTTTGTTGTTTTTGTTTACTGTCATTACAATCAAAAAATCTGAAATTCTTTCATTAAATTTTCTTATATAGCAATGAGTTTCACCAATATTATTGTCATTTAAGCCATTCAATTGAGGTAAACAAAAATGAATGATTATTTTTGATTCATTTTTTCTTTTTATTTTTGCTTTAGATTTCGGACCAATATGGAACATGAAGAGCAAAAAACACAAAAAAATGTCAAAGAGGAAAATATTTTCCTCTTTGTTCCCAATTTGATTGGTTATGCAAGAATTATCCTGGCATTGGTTTCATTCTACACGATGCAAAATAGACCAATTACAACTCTGGTCTTGTATTTTCTATCTACATTTTTGGATGCATTCGATGGTTATGCTGCTAGACGATTTAATCAATCCACACGATTCGGTGCAATGCTTGATCAGCTTACCGATCGTTGTGGTACAATGTGCTTGTTGTTCGTAAGTTTCATCATTTGAATGATCATTCAATTAAAAATTTATCTAAATTAAAAATTTCAGGTACTTGGTACTTTATATCCAGCTTATCTTTTCTGGCTACAATTATCGGCAGTAATCGATATTGCATCACATTGGATGCATTTACAAGTATCATTAATGTGTGGCCGTACTAGCCATAAGATGATTTCATTGGAAGATAATCCCATACTCTATCTGTATTATAATAGTCGTACGGTACTTTTCGTAATGTGTTTCTTTAATGAATTATTTTATGTTTCGCTTTATATGCTTTACTTCTTCGAAGGGCCAACAGGTACGATGAGATTTGAAAAATTTTATTTGAATTGGAAATTCTGAATCTATTTTTTCATTAGTATTTGGATTGGGATTATTTCGCTTGGCCACCTATGTTTCAATGCCGATTGCCATCCTCAAAGCATTTATCAGCATATTGCAGCTAATAGCCGCTTGTTATAATTGTCAACAATTGGATTTAGATGAGCGTCGACATTTTCAAATTCGTAAAGCAAACTAAATGAATCTAGTCTTTTTTTAATAATCATATCCTTTGAACTGTGGGCCAATCACAACTTTAGCTAAACTAACATTTCTTTAATCCGAATATTGTTTTCATTCATACATTCATTCATTGTTTTTTTATCATGATTAAATATATTTTCATTTTGTGTCACAAATGATTTTCCTGAAAAAAATCCATTGTTAAAAACATCTTAATTTTGTAAACAATTCCATTCGATTGATGGCATTACTATCGTATTCACCGCTATTGATGTTATAATAGCCGCTATTGGTAGGTGGAGCAGCATTTACGAAAAAATCAATGAATAGGTGTGTTTGTGTGTATGTTGTCTGTCTGTCTGTCTGTCTGTCTGCGGTATTATTCGATTCAATTTTTGCACCAACCCAATACATAACACCGAAGTGTTGAAATTGAGCTCGCATGTTTATTCATCTTTGAGCTATTTCGTTGTGTTTGATGTATCTATTTTCTGGATTTTCGAATAGAAAATTTTTGATTTTTTTTTTGTTTATAATCTTAATTTACTGATTAATCGATCAATTTGTGATTTAAAAAATTGGTGATTCTTTTCAGCCATTTTTCGATAAGCAAATACAAAGTATTCGTATTTTTTTAAATATTCTTGCTGCTCGTTTTTCTTTGTGTGATTGTATGTGCTGAGCACGTGCTCATCACATTTCTTTCGTTTTTCAAATAAATTTCTTTATTTTTCTTTGAAATGTTGAAGTTTAAATAAAATTTAAAATGACTTCTAAAAACAACAATTCAACATCATCGTCGTCCACAACGATGACGCAACGTCCATCTCCGCCATCATCTTCAATGTTTTTGGTGGTACATCCATTACCATCAAATGACGATGAATTGAATGACAAGTAAGTTTGTACAACATTTTAAAGAGATTTATAATTTATATTTAAAAACCTTAGAATATTGGAAACTGTTGAAAAGTTTCGATCACAAACGAATCCAAATAATCCGGCTAGTTCTGTTGGTAGTGCTTCAAATTCTTATTCGAATGTGCCTGTTATTAATTTTTCTGGATCAAGTATGTCTTCAGCTATTTCACAAAGTGAATCTTCAACAAATGGTGGGGATTCATCACCAATGAAAATACCACAACAGCAACAATCAGCCGGTCAAACCGTTCTACAATGTGTTGTTAGCCGTAACCATGTTGCAGTTTTGCTTGATGTAAGTTGGCATGTAAAGGTTATTTCTATTTGATGAACGTGAATATAATTTTCCTATAGGACTATCGGGTGTGTCGTTATCCATTCAATATATATGCTGAACGTATAAATAGTTCGAATATCCAATCTGAATCCTCTTCATCTTCGAATTCGAAAAAGTAAGTCGTTTCCACTTTTTCAAAATGTTTTGTTTTTTCACTGATATTTACTGATTCTAGATGTATCTATGCTTCCACATTGAATTCTGTTAGTAACGGTGGTAATAATAATGGCGCTAGCACCAGTGGAGGTGGATCAGCATCACCACGATCAGTTCCATCACGAAGACGTTTAGTTCGTCGTGGTGGTAATCGTAGTTCAGCATCAGTAATCATGAGTCGTAGTCATATGATACCGGCTCAATATGTACCGGAAGAATTGGTAAATCAAGCCCAGGTCGTGTTGCAAGGAAAGTCGCGTAATGTCATCATACGTGAATTGCAACGAACAAATTTGGATGTAAATTCGGCTGTAAATAATCTACTATCACGTGATGATGAAGATTTTGATGATGCAGATGATTCGCCGGAGCAATTGATACATTCAGAAGATCTGATCTCATTGTTAGACAGTGGTTTTGCCGGTCAAGATCATTCAGTTATAATTGATCCAGAATTCAGTGAAGAAGCTGTTTTTTCATATCCGCTTAGAATTCGTGGATCAACATCGATTTTTCCTCCGAATAATCAAAATCAATCAAGTTCAAGTGGACAAAGTGGCAGTGGCAATATCAACTCTGGCAGTACCGGTGGTGGCCCCACTTCAAATAATAATGTTGGTGGTGCTAGTGGAAATAGCAGCAGTTCAAGCAATCGAATCCGTTTGCGTGAAGAACCATATTCATTTGTTGAACGTGAACTTGGGTTATCCTCACCTTCGCAGCAAGGTAAACGTTGGTATTCGGTCACACAAGAATCAGTGAAGAATTTAGATTCGGGTAGCGGTCATCGTCATCAATCATCATCATCGTCAAACAAAAAAAAATGTGATCAAATTCAATTGTCGCCAATATCGTTCACTGATCAGGAATATTGGACTGGATCCAACGATCGAAAATTCATACAGATAGCATCATTACACTCGGAACTGATCGCTATTAATAATCAGGGCCAATTGTGTCAATGGCGTTGGCTAGATTCTGAGCCATTCAAATGTCAAATATCCGAAGGTGTTTATTATTTTCATCCACGTGTACCATCATTGGGACTTTTATCTGAAAAAATACAGCATCTTGCAGCATCAGTAGTTCGTGCAACCGTTGTAACAGATACAAATAAATTGGCCACCTGGATGGATGAATCAATTGCTGCCGCTGCGTGGAAACTCGAACATTCAGCTACTAATCAATTGTTTGCGGATGCTTTATCTAGTGCTCTTTCTGGATCATTCAAAATTACTTCATTGTATGTATCGTCACTTATGTCTTGCGTACAATTGTCATCTGGGTCATTGTTCTGGTGGGGTACGCCACCGTTTTCACATCGGAAAAAAATGGCCGAAAAAGGCCAGAATGAAAAATCTAAATCTAAAACAAAATCATCATCATCAACATCTCAATCAGTATCAAACATGAATAGCAAAGACAATGAGATTGTTCAAGGAACATTGGTGTCCATGCGAAATTCTCCCATTTATCAATGTGGTGAAATTGGATTTACGACCGTTAGTGGTGTTCCAAAAGTTGGCCAGCTTATATCGGCTGCATGGAAAATGTCTGATTCATATTCGTTCCGTATATTAACTCCACAGGAAATTCAATCAAGATTGTCTGCTAATTCTGCATCAACATCATCTTCAACACCAACTGTTTTACCAGTATCAACTAATAATCAAGCATCGTCAAGTAAAAATCTTGAACGTGCAGAAATGCCGCCACCACCGTCACCAGCATCGTCAACATCATCTGAATCTTCCAATACAAATGCACCGGTAGTAAAACGTGCACGTGGTCGTAATCTTAGCTCTTCTGGACAACAATCACAACAACAACAAATATCCAGTAATAATAATGAAGAACGAAATTCAGATCGAATCGAAACATGGAACCTAAAAGATGTTGTTTTTGTTGAAGATGTTAAAAATATGCCAATTGGTCGTGTTATTAAAGTTGATGGAAATTTTGTTGCCGTTAAATTTAATGCAAATCCTTTGGATGTCCCACCATCATTTAACAAGAATTTACAATCACCCGAACAACAGCAGCAACAGGTTCGTCCGTCTGGAGAAACAGATTCTATTGAATCATATATACAAGATTGTCGTTTATTACGTAAAGAAGATTTGATTGCTGTACGTTCATTTCCATCAACATCGGCCACTCCTACATTTCTTAATAATTCAATAATCGTTGGTAACAAAGCTTATGATTACTTTCAACGTACACCAAAGCGTGTACCACTCGCTGAACATATGCAAATTTTGACAATGACATTGACGAATCTTGGATTACATGTCATTGCTAAAATGGGTGGTTATCGTCTATCTTATTTGCAGATCAATATTGTTTCTGGCCGTATTGAACATGATAATAAGTTATCAATTGAATATAGTACATTTTTTGGCAGTGGAACAAATCCAAAATCATCATTGATACGATTGTTCAGTGCTGGAGAAAATGAACAGACTACAGTTGTATTATGTCGTGATGGTAATGGAACTTTGTATCCATTAGCTAAAGATTGTACCAATATGGTCATAAGAGAACCGATATCATTGAATCTTGGTCCCATATCAACAGTCGGTTTGGGAATTTTTTCATTGCCCAATATTCATAGTGGAGGAGCTATATCGTATTCAACATCTTCTCAATCGACAAAAACTCATGCTGCCATTTTGGCATTAACTTTGGAACGACAATATCTAATGCCAGTCATTCTAAATTGTGACCTAGATGGTGTTCGTGAATGTCTATCATTATTGAACACATATCCAAAAATATTCTTCCCGATGATCAGTGAAGTTTGTGATGGCAATCATAATATCATCCATGTAGCTGTTTCGGCTTGTTTTCCAACCAGTAATAAACCGCGATCATCTTCCACAGATTCGGTTCGAATACACATTCAATTACTAGAAGATGATGAAGATTTAGGCCATCAAGATCCACGATCAGCGTCATCATCGTTGCTTAATGATACCCCTATGAATGATAATAGTTTAGATGCAACCACATCTACCAATGCACAGCAGCCACAGCCTGCCCAGAATCAGTCATCAGCTACGTTTGGAAATTCAAGTGAACCTTTATTGGATCCGACCGAACAGAAGCCAATAGCTCATTCTATCCTATGGACATTATTAGATTCCCCAGCCTTGTCTGGACATTTATTTGATCTACTTTCGGCACGTGATTATCAAGGGCTAACTCCTTTCATGTTGGCCATATCAGGTCGTGCCTATTCAGCCGCACAGCAAATATTTGTTGTAATGCAACGTGTTGCACGTATAATCGCTAATAATGAATCGTCCACTCAGCAACAACAAGATCAATCATCATCGCCTTCATCAGCTATAACACAGGATTCCATTTATCAACGTACGTTTATGCAGATGTTATATCCCCGAGGATCATCACCAGATCATTCTCCATTGTATATGTTATGCTCAAACGATACTTGTTCGTTCACATGGACTGGTAATGAACATATCAATCAAGATATATTTGAATGTCGTACTTGTGGCCTAGTTGGTTCACTTTGTTGCTGTACTGAATGTGCACGTGTCTGCCATCGGGGTCATGATTGCAAATTGAAACGAACAAACCCGACTGCTTATTGTGATTGTTGGGAAAAATGTAAATGCAAAGCATTGATTTCTGGCTGTCAACCAGCAAGAAATAGCCTTTTGAAACGGTTACTTGAGTCGACGAATTTATCGCAGCGAGTTAATGCACGTGGTGAACATATTCTTTTGTTTTTGGTTCAGACAGTTGGTCGACAAATTATTGAGCAAAAACAATATCGTCCAACTCGATTGAGGGCATTCGCTGTAAGTTCAGGAAACAACAACAGTGGTGGTCGTTCTAAAAATGATTTAAGTGATGAACAATCCAGTGTGCCGGAACACGATCTTGAGCCTCCTAAATTTGCTCGGCGTGCATTAGAAAAAATGCTGAGCGATTGGCCAACAGTTAAATCTATGATTTTTACCGGTTATCGTTCGGCTGAAAATGCCGCTCAACAACAGCGACGGCAAGCATATCTGTGGAATCTTAATGGAACGGCAAACGCTTATTCATTTGAAGAAGAAAATTCCTATTTATCTTGTCAAAATGGCTCAGCTTTATTGGATAAATTCACACATTCATTATTGAAATTGAATTTAAGTGATCCCATCGACCGTATAACTGGAACCATTTTACAGGCATGTAAATCACCAAATATTGCTCAAGAAGGTCGTATTGTTGCACGACGATTTGTACGATCTGTCATACGTGTTAGCTTAGCGCTTTTGTTTGAAGCAAATCCTGTTCAATATTCAATGGCTTATGCTCCGTTAATGGAAATGTCATCATATCGAACATATTGGGAACGTTATTTATCAACTCATCCTTCAACATCGTCATCATCATCATCATCATCGTTGCAAAAGAAATCAAATTCAATGATAATAATGATACGTAAAATTCGTAAAGTTTTCATTTCTTTATTGCCCATTGCAGCTGAAGAATTGTGTGAAATTGCCGAATCATTAATCGCCCCTGTCAGAATGGGTCTAGCACGGCCATCAGCTTCGTTTATGATGTTAGCACCATCATCATCACATACTTCGGATCTTGGTGGTTCTATAACCGATGAACTTTTCTCCGTTGATACATCTGTTTATTCCCATCAACGTGATTTCCTCGATGCTACGTTTGGTCTTCATGATCCAACCATGTTAGAACCGGAATCACTTGGATCTGTTTCACAAAATCATAATTCCCATCACATGCTTTGGAATTCCTATGATCAATCCTCCGCTGACATTAGAGCTGTAGACGCAACATCTGCTTTGCGGTCTTTGGATTCCCAGACCGATAATAATAGTAGCCAAAATCAACAACAATCATCTCAAGATGAATTACGAACAATTGGCAATGAAGGTAATTTAACGGTACCTTCGATTCCTTCATTTCAGTCACTAATTTTTGGTGAACAATCCACCGAATCATCAACTGCGTCTGTTTCTTTGTCGAATAATCAACTGCCAGAAATTATTATTGAAAGACCTGCAAACGAGGAAAATAATTCACCAATGGAATCAGATCAACATCAAAGTAATCTAACGTCTGCTGCATCCGATGCCGATATAGACATGCTTGTTGCCGGTAATCAAATGATGAGTGAAGCTGATGATAATTCAAATGTTGGTGGACGTTTGGATACTGAATCCGATTCTGAATCGAATCCTGATGATGGGGCATCATATCTGAGCAATGCGGATAATGCTTCAGCACAGCGAAGTGTTGTAACCGGTGCAACAGCTGGCAGTGATGTTGGAGTTGCCTCTTTACCTTATGATGATGAATCATTAAATTCAAATGCTGATGATGTCGATGATGACGACGATGATGAACAAGATGTAGAACCTGATGATGATGACTCATCTGATTCTGATGATGCGTCAGATACTGCGGAAACGGAACCAGACACCGATGTCCTTTCAAGTTTTATTAATGATAATGTAGAACGTCGTCTTGGAGGCGTCCAAGTTGGTGGATCATCATCTAATGCTAATTCTGGTGGTGGTTCGCAAACTGCAACAACCGGTTCAGCTCGACACAATATTTTACAACATGTTCAATGGGCATTGCGCTCTCATCGTGATCAAATGTTATCATCAACATCAACGACGAATCTTCCAGAGTCATTCCGTCGTAGTGCTATTTCGAATGCATTAGTTTCTACGGAAAATGTTGTGCAGATAACGAACTCGATGGTTGGCCTAGCCCGAGCTTTTTCTATTATAATGCGGCATATTGCAGATTTAATGGTCATCATACGCGAAACAACAAACGAAGCTGGTTGCATTGATTTCCCTTTTTATTCTATCAGTCCAATAGAATCGAAGCAGTTATTGCAAATGATTGAAGATCGTCTTCTCAATACATGGAATTGGTTGATCATTTCAATGGACACAACGGAAACGCAATTACGTTTTGGATGTGCACTATCCAACCGGCGCCTCACTCCAGTCGTATCTAGAGGAATAAGTTCTTCGACTAGTGGTTCAAGTACTGCAATATCATCTGGATCCGGTACAGCTGGTGTTGGTGGCTCAAATCCTAATTCAGGTAGTGCATATGTGGCTTCTTCAAATCCACGTTCACTTCGATTAAGAACATTTCAAAGTCAAGATGAAATGGCAATGCTACCAACATTTAATCGTAATAGTTTACGTACTCGCACTGGTGGTGGCAGTTCTTATGTTTTCACTCGTACATCTGCTGGAGCTAGTGCTGCTGCACATGGTGCTTCCGGTTCAGCCGTCGCTTCCGGATCAGGTGGTTCAAGTGGAGCCGGTGGTTCAAATGTTTCTTCAAATGAATCCAATCAAGCAGCTCATCGTGATTTTCTCAACTATGCAATGTCATTGATGCGTGCCCATTCAAATGAACATTATGATTCATTACCCGTGTTGGATGTATCATCACTCAAACATGTTGCATACATTTTCGATGCTTTTGTTTATTTTATTCGTCGTGGTTTCATTACAATGGATTCTTATTCTGAAACTATAGCCAATGAAATTATTGATTCATCATCGATTAAAAGCAAAGATGACATACTAACATCAGGCCGAAATCATGCATTTTTTAGACGATCTAATTCTACATTATTTCTTGGTTGTCCGAGACCTGATCCGTTTTCGGCTCCATATCAGGAAGCTTTGCCGTTGGCCAGTAAACCACAATTACTACAGCCAAATGCTAGACGTGAACAATTGTTCGGTATACCTAGACCATCTAATGCAATGGAAGCAGAAGAAATGATTGAATCGTTACCATCACAGATGAGTCTTTCTAAACGTTATCAATGGAATTATAATAGTAGTTCAATTCGATCACCAAATCATTTACAAATATCACCAGCTCGATCTCAATCTGTCATAACTGAATCATCTACGTCATCATCCTCAAGAGTATCAATCATACAACCGAATAAATTATCAGTGATTGTTATGGCCGGTTCAGCTAAACATCAACAACAGCAAACAACTTTGCCGACAAGTCCAAATTTAAATAACAATAATCAATCTTCTGTTATAAAAATTTCGACTAATCAGCAACAACAAAAACATGTCAATTTTTTCGGGAATATTCAACAACAAGATCTCCTTTTAGGCCGTTGGCATTTAACACTCGAACTATTCGGTCGGCTGTTTGTTGATGACGTGTCACTTGAACCTAATTCCATTATACCGGAATTGACCGGTTTTCCCATTAAAGAAAGTAAATTCAGACGCGAAATGGAACGTCTAAGAATCAGTTGCTCAAATACAGCCGCAAATCAACGTGATTTAAATTTTTATAAATTAGATCGTGATCGGCATCAATTGCTCATACAATCATTCAAAGAATTGAATTCGGTTTTCTCGCCCATTACTCGACGGCTATCATCTCAAACATCCGTTGCACCGCAATCATTGACTATTACGCGTGTTAAAGTAACCTTTAAAGAAGAACCGGGTGAAGGGTCTGGTGTTGCACGTAGTTTTTATACAGCATTTTCTGAAGCCGTATTAGCAAATGAAAAATTACCCATTGAATTATTAATGAATAATTGTTGCGGTTCAAACAGCATGGTCAATATTCGTGGTGGTGGTTCTGCTACAAACTCATCCTCTGGTGCTTCGGCTGTAAATTATGAAGCTTTTTCTAGTTATGCCTTCCGTCTACGAAGTCATAATAATAACAATAATAATTCTAATGGTTCATCTTCTGGTCAACGAAATAGCAATTCTACTGGCTCTAGTGGTGGGTCTGTAAATTCAGTTCCACAAAACTCTTCATCCCCAGTAAATGATATTCTTGCTGCCGCATCAAGTAGCAACAACAGTAGTTCAATGCGAAGACCACGTTCCCCAGCACGTTATAAGCCATTCTATCCATCATCATCATCATCATCATCATCGACAGCTCGTCGTACGCAATTAATTGAACGGATTCGGAATATGCATGAACCGCGCTCATCAACATCTCCGTCATCAAGTGGAAGTAGTAGTTCAACATTAGCACCGTCTTCTTCTGCAGCAACTTTCCGTCGAATCGCATTTTCACAGCTTCGATATGATGCACCTTCGTTTGTGCCTACGCAGATGATTAATTCACATCGAAATTCACCAATCGTTCCTTCAGATTCAAGAAATGGAATTGGTAATGATTCTTTAAAAATCTCTTATAATTAACAGTATTAATAATTGCAAATTATCAATGTTTTTTTATTGTATATGTTTATTAATTTTAGGTTTAAGGATTTATAATCGTGTATACAATTTATATCCGGTGCATGCATCGAAAATAACCGGAATGTTATTGGAATTGCCCCAAGAAACTCTTTTAAACCTATTTAATAATGAAGAAGAACTGCGTAGTTCTATCGATTGGGCTATGGAAATAATTCATGCAAATGAAATTCGAAATCAGACAAGTAATGGTAACCAAACAACAGCAGCCAATACAACACAAGATGGATCGGTTCAAAGAGATGCTTCTAGTTTAAATACCAACGCGCAACAACAGCAATCTTTATTTTTGCCCTCTTTTTTAACGACCGATGCATTAATGTATGACAACTATAATGCAGATCAGAAAATTCAGCTCTCAGTTCAAGGTTCGGGTGCTTATAAAACAATTCCAAATGAGTCATCTACAACGGCAACAATTTTGCAATTAGACAATTCATTTTCAGATGAAGATGATGCACCATTATTCTATCAACCAGGGATGCGTGGATTTTATTCACCTCGTGCTGGTCGGTCTAGTGAAAATCGCTTGAACGCATTCCGAAATGTTGGTCGCATAATTGGTGTTTGTTTTCTACAAAATGAGCTATGTCCAATCTCATTTAATCGACATGTGATCAACATGATTCTCGACCAACCTGTTAGATGGCATGATTTAGCATTTTTTGATTCGGAACTTTATGAATCATTGAGGCAATTAATTTTGGATGCCCAGTCCAATGATAAGGATGAAATTTTGGCTGATTGTGATTTCCGTTTTGCCATAGATTTACCACCAGAAGAAGGTGGTCACAGTGTTGAATTGATACCTAATGGCCGTAATATTCGCGTTACGCCACAGAATGTCTATGACTATGTTCGAAGATACGCTCAATATAAGATGGTCGAATCACAAGAGAAAGCGATCAAGGTAGGTGTATTTGAACAAAAATTTATTATTAAAAATACTCTAAAATTCATCTTATCATAGGCAATACGGGCTGGTATATATGATGTCATTCCTCGTATTTCATTTGATGGCCTTACTCCCGAAGATTTTCGATTGTTATTGAATGGAGTGAATGAAATCAATGTTCAACAACTACAAACTTATGTCACTTTTTATGATGGTATTTCAGAAATATAAAAAATTTAATCTGTTTTAAATTATTAATAATTTGCTTTATTTCACATGGAATATTTAGAAAGCGGTGATTCTGAACCAATAACAAATATTCGTAAATGGTTTTGGTGGGTATTAGAGCGGATGACCAATGAAGAGAAACAAGATCTTATTTATTTTTGGACCGGTTCACCAGCCTTACCAGCCAGTGAAGAAGGTTTCCAGCCTATGCCAAGTGTTACTATAAGGCCACGCGATGATAATTTTTTCGTCACTGCCAATACGTATGTTCAATTATTTAGTGCTCATTATTTGATTTGCATTCTAATCATTTTCATTTGCCATTATTCGTATATAGTTGTATTTCACGGCTGTATATTCCATTATATTCATCGCGAAATGTATTGCGGCAAAAATTGCTCATGTCGATCAAATCGAAATCGTTTGGCTTCATTTAGAATCCGGAATATCATTTGTCGCAACTATAAGTGTTGACGAAATAAATTGTATACAAACATGCACACATACAAAATTTTACAATTCAGATGGCTTATTTATTCATATAAATTTTCATTTGCATATGTTTAAAATTAAAAATGATTGATTGGCGAACTTTTTTTTAATCTCTAGAATTTTCATCCAAATAAATCTGATGTGAAAAAAACAAATTAGCATATTTTCAACAACAACAAAAAAATAGATTTTTCAAAAATTACTATAATCATTAATAAAATGTATATTTTTCAAAAAAAAAACAAAATTATTGATAATGAGATTTTTTTCTCACTAGCATTCAATGTTAGTGGCCATCGTTGGGATTGGTCATTTTGGCAATTTTTTTAAATTTAGAGTTCGATTTGTGTTTTATCTGAATATTTGGTCATTTATTTGAAAAATGATCTAAACCAAACACATCCTGTCAACACTTTTTCTCGACTTTATTTTATCATGGATTGATAAAACGAATGAAGGTATTTCGCGGTAACTGTCTGTGTTAGTGTGAAATGTGAGAAAAAATATTTGAAGAATTTAACCTTCAATTTAAATTCTAAGTGAAAAAAAAATCCATCAATTCATTCAACTATTGCAATCTTTTAGATGAAAAACAAAATTTGCAATAACCGAAAATGAATAAATCAACATTTGATGTTTTCAGAATAAAAGTTTTCGAATTTCAGCAAACGCAAATAGCATGAACACGGTAAAAAACCTGATGATATGTAACTAATTATATCAATGACACTAAGTCAAGTCAACTTAAATTGTAAAAAAACGACGATTTGGTGAAAAACATTGATTGAAATTTAGTCGAAATACTAACCTATTTTTTTCTTTTATATATAGAAAAATTTCCTCTGACCACATTCACGTTCATTTTAAATGTTTGTTTGATAATGATAATTTTTGTCTAATTTATTTTTGATCAACGTATGATTCATTGATGGCCACAAATTATCTTTTACTTCATATATGGTGAATGCTTTTTTTTCTCTGCCAAAAGGATATCAAAAGTTTATTAATCAAGATGATGAATTATTATTCATTTCTTGTAGAAAATGATTTGAGCTTGATGTATCTGTTATAACCCTTTTTTGGGATTGAAAAAATTATGCATTAAATGCTTCTTTAAAAAAAATCTGATTGAATAAAACAAACAAAATTAAATGCTTAATTATATTGATGATGAGAATGTTGATTTATTAATTTGGTAATTATTAATGTAAATTATGCGAAACACTGGAAAAAATTTTAATTAATTAATTTCTTTCATTGATCATCAATCGATTGATCTTTAAATGATTATTTAAAAATAACCAAAATTTACCATTCAAAGGAAAAATTTTTCATTATTAGCTATTGGTTATTCATTCGGATAATCCATCAAGATCATGATCATCTTAGTTCAAAAATCAAGTTCATAACCAACTTCAGAAACATTAGAAAGAACTAGTTTTCATTATTATTTTTTTTATTATCATCATCATGATCGATTAATCGATCATTTTTTCACATATTCCAAACTTGATTAAAAAAAGAAATTTCAAAAGAGTACATTCATCATTCAAAATATCAATGATGAAAAGAATTGTGAAAAAATAATTTCACAAGAATCGGCTTATCGAATTGACTATTCAAATTGAAAATTGTTTTTTTCGACTATATAGTTTGTGGTTAGGAATAGCACTTAATAAAATATAGGTAACATTGGTTTCATTAATAATCCTGATCAATCAAATGTAATTCAGTCCAACAAAACATTCATTTACAGGATCTAAATACGAAGAAAATTTTTTTAGATGAAATAAAATGAAATGTGGGCCACTATCATCATCATTATCATTATCATCATCGAAACACATCGTAAAAAAAACATAAAGTAAAATAATCATTGATTCCAATTAAAGTTATAAGCTTCGTACACTTTCGATCAAATCAAATTGAAATTAACAAATTCTTTCATGACTGATGATAAATTATGGTCACCGATTTTTAAATGCTACTGTTGTTGATTTTATTTGTTTCATTTTTACACACACACGAATTAGTTTCGTTTGAATGGATGAATTAATTCTATTTTTGAATAAGAAAAAAAAGACAAATATCTAATATAGTCTGGAACAAGTGAAAGAAAAAAATTTCACCTAAATTTAGAATATAGGTTGCAACAAAAAAAATTTGATTTGGCCAAGTTTTTTTGTGGTGATAAATTAGAGATTATCACTTTATAATCCCGTCATCATCAATTTTCGATGAAAGATTTGAGGTAGAAAATTTGTACGAAAAATATTCAAACACCTACGAATTTTTCAATCGGATAACGAATTCTCAACCTATTACTACCATTTTTAGTTGTTTTATCAATTTAATTTTGATTGGAATTTGATTGAAAAGAAAAAAGAAATTTATTGAATGGTATTTTAAATTTAAAAAAAAATTCTAAAAAATTTTTTAATAAAATGTACTATCATTATAATTTGTTCAATTCATATTCGAATCATTTTATTTAATCTGAATCTTACATTTTTTTGTCGAACATCATCAGTATGTTGTCTTGACCACTACTCAACATCATCATCATTATCGATGATCATTTTTACCATAAAGGTGTACATCATTGATTTACAATAATAACCAGTAAATACCAGGTTGAAGCTTGTCTCTTTTTTTTCCTATCCAATTCGATCTCGATTTAACGATACAAATCGACAGCAGCTAGTCGACTATTCACTGAAAATTAAACTTACTGACTAAGAAAAGAAAAAAAATGCTGTTACTTGAGTATAGCCTTGACCTCAGTCGATAAACTAAAAGTAAAAAAAAAGAAAGAAAAAAATGTACATAACGGTACAACCTCCTACTTGTTTGAACCAAATGTGGATTTACGATGAGAAGGAAAAATAATGTAGTTGATTAAATCAAATAAGTTTGGCAAAAGAGTCTTTTTCTCTCAATTAGAATTCAAACCTCTTCTTTTTTTTTGTTGCTGGACCCAAAGACAAAACTGACGGATCATATTCAATTAGAAAATTCGATTCGATTTCAGTTCTTCCATTCCAATCATCACCATCTTCCACCGATCATTCATTCAGTTACGATCAGTATTTGTCGAAAGGTCGACCAACTTTTTTCACTTCATTTGGTTTGGTCGTAAAAAATTAACATCATTTTGTGCCAACGAATTTTGCATTGGTGTGTGTGTGTGTTTTTGTGTGGGTTTCGGTGGATAACAACGTTACAAGATAAACAAAATAAAACCAATTGTTTGTTCGATCAACCGTAACAAACTTTGGCACATCATTTGTTGATTATTTTTTTCGAAGATATATCTGATATTTACAATTTACCATTATTCTACCTTTACCTTTGATCAGGGAGAATTTCAGTCCTCCGAAATAATGTCATCCAAAACATTATGTAAATATTTTTTAAATATCTGTTTTGTTTGTTTTCTTTATTTCTGAAGTAAAAAAAATAATGATTTTTCTTTTGTCTGAAAATTTAGGTCTATTTATCGTCTTGTGGGCGACATTAATAACAACTACTTTTGCTATTGAAAGTAGTAGTGATGATATATCATCATCAACGACTGCTGTGCCATTATTGTCATCATCATCACCATCATCATCATTACCAATATCAACAACGGTATATTCAACGCCCAAAGCGCAATCATATAGAAGTAATAATTATCAACAAGAACAGAAAAAACCATGGCCAATACAATCTGGTCCGATTAATTATTATCAATTGGCTAAATCATATAATTATCCATCTTCATTAGTATCAAAATCTTCACCAGGTCAACCACCATCCTTATCATCACTAATGTCAAATTTATTCAGTCCATTCAATAAAGTGATGAGTCGCCGTGTTGCCGGAGGAAAATTATTCTCATTAGTAGATCAATTTAATAGTAATGGAAATGCTAATAATCTTCTTGCTAATGCGGCTGGTTTTGAATATCCAGGTTCCGGTGGTAATCTTGAAGCATTAAATGATGCTGTAAATAATGTCATGTTGGGATTGAACGGCCTACAACCAAATCAAGCTAATCAATTGGCCGGCCAATTGGGATCATATCTTTCAGCTGCTGCTTCAGCTAGTGGTATCGATGCCAGTACTAAGAATGGAAAAAAATTGCTTGATTTTCCTAAACAATGGTATAAATTATTAGGTGAAAAATTATCTGGTGCATCGGAAGCTGCATATTCTGCCACAGTACCTTTCAAAGAATCATTAATGAATACAGTAAAATCTTTCTACAGTTATATTAAGCCAAGTCGATCACAATCAGCTTCACCATTTGGTGATGCAACTAGTATGATAGCTGCAGCTGCTGCCGCAGCCGCATCACAAGATTCTTTGATGACAGCTGCCCAAAATTCACTTCAAGCTGCAACTAGCCTTCAAAACCAGAACAATCCAAAGCGTCGTCAATCAGATTCATATTCTGGTTATTATTATAATAATATCAATTATCCAAATAAAATGATCGCAGCATCACAACAACAGCCACATTATCAACAAGCATATGCTCAACAGCAACTTCCATCGGCTGCTTATCCACAATATTCTAACGGTAGATATGCTTCACATGGTGGTGAATATTCACCACCATCATCTTCAGGTTATTCAAATGTTAAACCTCTATCAACACATCAGGCTTCTGCAGTTCAACCAATTAACAGTGAAATGATGGTGATGGAATCACAAGCCAGTCCTTTAACTGCCAACAATTTAAAGAAACAATACATTCAATATATGGGCAAACAACCGATCGCTACCACAATGAATCAACCAGTGATTCAGATGCCATCTCAATCAACTTCATCTTCTTCAGAACAGCAACAGTCGGCAGCAAAATATGATCAAATGTTAAGTAAAATGATTCAACAATCCATTCAGCAAACTCAACAACAGTTGTTGAATAACAATTCACCTGCTACCTCTGCATCTACTCCTCAAGCGACGGGTGCTAAACAACCGAATGTATTGTATCAAAAATCCAAAGAAATCATATCAAGATTTACGAAAAAACGTATTCCATCCCAATCGTTGCAATCACAATCACAACAATACGCTGCAGCTACATATAATTCGATACCGATGATCAACGAATTTGGTGGATTCGGACAACGACTTCCGAGTCAAACGATAGCAAAAGTTACAAATAAATTACCATCACTTCCGTTGGTATATAATACCAATAGTCAACAACAACAACAGAATACCCAACAACTTCAGTTCAGTAAACAACAACAACAATCGAATCGTATAGAATCAACACAAAATATGCCATCAGTACAATCACAACAACCAACAAAATCAAAAAATTCTCAACATAGTTATTATACTAAACAACCAATGAATCAAAGTCCATATGGAATTCAACCGGTATATCCATCTTTACAGCAACAACAACAACATACATCACCACAAGGGACATCATCATCAACTGCATCACCAATGAGTACTAGTACATCGGTATCGATATCAATGCATCATTCAATAAGTTCACAATATGATGATCATGATAATGATCAATATGGGGATAATATGGAACAATTACAACAACAACAACAACAAGTTCAATATCAACCACAATCAACAAATGTTGATAATCTAAAAAGCTATTTAGATACTAATCCAAATTTAAATACCGGTAGTGATATAAGCGTACAGAATAATCAAGGATCTGTCTATTATTATTATGATCAACCACAACAATATCAACATCTACAACAACAACAGCAACAACAACAATCTGATCAACAATTATCATCACAACAACAACAGCAACAATCAGGACAATCTGATTCACAGGAAGATCAACAACAAAAACAGAAAAAGAAATGATTATGAAAATCAATTAATAAATAAAATAAGAATTTAGTCGCTAATATACACATCATCGATATATATTTATTTATACTCCATATTTTTATCATTAAACAAAAACCCTGGATTTTTTTCCCTTGAAACATTTTTTTGAACATTGTTCATATTTATATATGCCAAAATGAGAAAAAAAACAAAGAAATTCACTCAAATTTTATTGAACTTTTTTCATTTTTTTATAATTTATACACATTATTGATCTGATTTATTTCACTTTTTTTTAATTTTGATCATACTATTCATTTGAGAAAAAAAAGAAAATTGAAAAATATTATTCCATTTTTATTGGTTATTTTTTTAGAAAAAACATCAAAATTTGATTGATTTGTTTGATTGAATTAAATGATTAGACGGTTGAATACCGGTTTCAATTATCTTTCGAACATTAATATAGCAAAGATTCTTGAATGTTGACAAATTAAAAATTTGTGATGGCAGGTTTAAATTGTAAGAACCACACACACACACACACACGTTTCAATAATCGGTATTCAACAACAACAACAAAACATCGAATACATTTTCATACTTTATAGATTATTACAATCATATAGATCAATAGATTTCGAAAAAGGATACTTGAACTTGTTTTATTCAATAAGTTTGATGTATTTTTTTCCAATTGAATCATGACAAGGGGGTCTTATGATTATGGCATTTTTTCAAACGGTCGATTGGTAGGTTGATTTTTTTGTATATTTCATTTTTTCTCTATATATGATAATGATCAGAATAAATGAATGAATGGTATGATCATGATGATTATTTGGGAAGTAAATTATTCGTACATGGCCAATATTTCAATATCGGACTACCGTGAAAATGTCGACCGGTTTTTTTCTTTGTAATCTCAATATATATGACACACACACACACTGAGAGCTAATTATTAAAGTTGGCCAGTTCATCAATCTGTGTGTGTGTGTGAAAACAAGATTTTACATCATTCGTCAATCTTAGTCTTGTTGATGATTTCGGTCAATAAATAAATTTATTCAATAACGATGATGATGATGATGATGATCATTACTTGAAGAAAGAAGAAAAGAGGTACAAAAAAAATGAAAAAAAACATCAACGGAAAGCCAAGATAGATAGTTAGAATAGCATTTTGATAATGATCATCCTGAATGAAATATATAGCCTAAATATAAATATGGCATTTTGTACACATTTAGCATTAGACAAGAGAAAAATTGTGATTGAAAAAAAAGAAGAAGATAAAAAAATAACAAGTGAATATTCGATTGAATACCTGATGGTGACATAACAGAATGTATATAAAGTTTAATTTTCTAACGGTGGCTATCTTTCTCTCTCTTAGTTCATCTCAATCAATTTTAGTGATGGCAATTTAGTGAAAAAAATCAAATTTTCTTTTAAAATTAACTTCTATATTATTCAGTTTGGAAATTCCATTGAAATAATGATGATTGGCTACTATCCAAGGAGAAAATATTGGTGTGTGTATGCGTGTGTGGGGTGGAGTTCAATGATTATCAAAAATATTTTTCTAAGAAAAAAAATTCAAAAGCAAAGATTCATATGAATAGTACCGGCATGTGACAAACAAACAAGGTCAACCAGAAGAAAAAAAAACATCCGTATATATGATCCGAATCCTGAATAAATGTCCTGTGATTAAACTAATTCATCATCAATATTGTACCAAATGTATTCAAAGAGGCAAAAAAACAGGAAAACTAAAATTCAAGATTAAAAAAGAAATATATGTTGAAAATGTTAATTAGTTGTAGAAGAAAAAAGTTCACAAAATAAAAACCATCACTTATGGACAGTGGAAATAGTCAGAGTTTTGACATTAAATGAATATAATAAATGCGATGAGCGGATAAAAAAATTGGTAGCATTTAGAGAATTTAAATTTTATTTTAAAGAAAAAAGGGTTTTTTTTGCTCATCGGGTGAAATTAAAAAAAATGACAAATGACAAACTTGAATGAGGAAATGAATTTTTTTTCTATATTCCATGATCATTGATATTAGGTGTAGAAATTGAAAAGAGACGAATTATTATGCATCGGCAGTCATAAAACTTTGCAAATTTTATATTGAATTTTTTCACCAAGCATAAATTTTTTCTTCTTGATTTTGTTCAATCAATTTTTGTTTATTCCGTGAACAACGGTTAGTGATTTAAAAAAATTATTAACGATTTTTCCCATTGCTGTGTTCGATGTTGCTCGCAATTTGTTACAACTGAGTGATTGAAATGAAAAAAAACTGTTGCAAATGAATGAAATATTAATTTGACAAAAATTAATCATCTAAATAAATTTTTTAGAGAAATCAGATTAAAGTTGAAGAAAAATGAAAGAAAAAAATTCCGTTAAAGACATAGGATGAAAAGATGATCAAATATAAAACCTCTAAAATTTTAATAAATGATTCAATTAATTTAAAAATATTGTCAAGATTAAATGATTGAAAAAAAACAAAAAAAAATTCATTTCTCATCCAAAATCATTGCATCGACATCAGGAAATATAAAAAAAAATCCAGGAATTGGTCATCAATGTAATGTGAAATAAATTTTCAGCAGAATAAGATGAAAATAAAAAAAAATAATACAGAAAAAAACACAGAACAAAAATCTAGGTGTGGATCATCAATTTTATTACATTTATTTAAAGAAATATGTATTATTAATTCATCAATATTAACCGATCAAAACCGATGGGTCAGTCAAATGTTTGTTTCTCTAACAACAACCAGTTGAATAAGATAAATAAATGTATACTTCATGGATTACTATTATAATTATGATAAGATTTATGCGATTGTAATGAATAACTTGATCAATGATCAAGCTTTTAAAGAATTCAGTTCAATTATTCAGTAATAAATAAAGGAAATGAATACCGCATAAAATTGGTAAAACGAATTCCTGTTTTTAATATCAAATCTTTAAATATTGGAATTCGTGTAAACGAATAAATCGATATAAGCATATATAGGCAACAATCAATCAAAAAAAAATGCATTTAACATTGGTGATGATTTTAAATGACCTTCCTTCTTTTTTTTAAAAAAAACCAACCGTACATTTCTTCCATTATAGCCACTGATTTAATGATCGAATTGATCGATCAATCAGGTCAATCATCGGAATTGTTTTTTTTTCTAAAATTTTCAAATGATAAATTCATCGTGCATATATGATGGCCTAATAAAAAAGAAAGAAAAAAGAATATAAAAGGCTGCTATTGCATTTTGATTCGATAATATTTGTTATGGTTATTATTATCATGATGATCACCAGCGAATTGGCAAAACCAAAAAAAAAAAACACTAATTATCGACTATTTATTTTTCCTATACGTTTCGTTTACTAGCTCAATTATGATAATTTGATTTTATATAATTTTTATTTTACCAAAAAAAGATTCAGATCAAACACAATCCAGTAAGAAAAAAAACAAGGAAGAGATGAAAAAAAACTATGTGATGCCATCATAATAATGATAATGATGACCTATTGTTTTAGGATAAAAAATTCTTAGTTTCATTATGATTATTTTCCTGCTATTTTTCATATCGACTAATTTAAAAGGAAAACATTGCAAAAAATCTTGATACAAAAACATACATATACCCACATAGTGATTAAAGCATTTTCTCTATTTGACTTAATTAAAGTATAAAAATTTTTCTTGTATATAGATGCAATCAAAAGAAAAAAAGATTACTACCCCCTACATTCAATATATTGATACGACTATAATCACCAAAAAAGAAAAACGCGGTCGTGATTCGATGATTATTATCATCGCCGTTCATCAACAGCAATGTTATGGAAAAACGATTCGATCTAGTTTAGGAGGTACGACTAGGTACCATGTCGATCATTTTTCATAGATCAAATGATTATTACATTAAAATCATCGTTGACATTCTACAACGAATTTTTATCAACGTTAAATGTCAATGAAATAGTATGGAAAAATGTATGTAACTAAATCAGATATTCTTGAGGTCAACAACAAATTTTCAATGCTATTCATTTGAAAATTGTTAGGTGATATTTTTTTTTTGAAAAAAATTGAAAAAGTGAAATCAATGTTTTCTCTTAAGCCCTGTGCTGCCATCTTTTGTTTTATAAATAATGGTGGCTAAATGTTAACATTCGATTGAAGTAGAGATTTTGAATCTAAGATGGTAGCACCTAATTGTGACCAAAAAAAGATTCTCCTGATCTTCGAATAATTTGAAAAAAGAAATTTTTTATTTTCATTTTTTCTAATTGCTGAAAAATCAAGTTTATAACTGAATAATGGTTTTTCGAGATTCAGTTTTCAAGATTCTCATCATCATTAATTTCATCTATGATGATCAACCATTATGATGATGAATGAGTTTGGTGCCATTGTAAAATGATGATCGTTATCAAAAAAAAATGATAGATGATATATGGAAACAAAAAACAAATATAAAATAACAATGTAGTCGTATTTTTAGGATGTAAAGATTTTAAGAAAATTAATGATTTCTTGATAGATATGTTAACCATTTTTCAATGGATTTGTAGAATAAGAATGTCTCTAAAGAATGAATCTGATATTATTATTTGTAATCATATAGCAAATCTAAAATTAGAAATTAGATCTTGAATGAATGAATGAACAATTGAATTTATAATCAAGAATGTGATAATCATCAAACATTTCATTTAAAAAAAGGTGTTAAACAATTGAATTCGTGCTATTTAAAATTGACCAACATGAACGGTAAGTGCTGAAATCTGATGATGTTTTTTTTTGTTGTTTATCTTATCTGATAAATCGTTCTGATTAGAAGAAACAAACAAACAAATTGAGAACTATTTAAAACCAAAAACGAGCAAAGAATCATGCAATAGTAAATATGAATCTGATGCAAAAATACAGAAAAACATGCGAAATGAAACAAACAAACATTGTATTCACAAGTGGTTAAAATGGGTATCATTTTTCCCCTTTTTGATTGTAATAATCAACTATGATATCAGGCACTCTACTCGGCAGGTATAGCCTTCTCTATAAATTCCCTGACAGTATTTTTGATGATCATAATTTTTCATTTATTATAAATTCAAAATTGATGATATGTTTTTGACT